AAATACTGAAGCAAAGGCTTATGGTNACGCAAGCCCCTTCATGCTAATGATGATAAACGCTGACGCTCTAGACAAGCAATACTCTATGCCCATATCCTGAACCGCAGAGATGCCATCTACTGAATACCCCAAACACCATGATGGTAAAGCATATCATAAAGCCGACACAACCGTTCGTTCCATAGACAATAGACAAGGTATCCCGTAACCCGGCCCATGTGTTTCCCAATTTGACTACTCCATATGGAACTTATAATAACCATGCACAAAGAGGCACTAGCCTCGTACATAACCCAACATCCATACTTTCAAACTATACTCCTGTCAGCTCCAAGAGAAGAGCGCTGATCGCTCCAAGTCCAGATCCCCTCTAAGACCGAGGACATGTCCCGAAATACCCCTCATCTTCAGGCTTAAGCTCCTCGATCTCATCCGAGCTCACCTCAAAGTCGATGCCCTTGGCCAGCAACATATTCTTGATATCCTCGAAATGAAACTCGAGCGGCACCGCATCTTCCATCATCCACGTCCATGGGATTTTGCACACCAGTTTGACCTTCTTCAGTTTATGCAGCCGCTTGACACGTACGTCGCGCGCAAACTGCGAGAGCGTCTTGAGCGCGCTCGCCCGGTACTTCTGCTGTGAAGTGTAGTGCTCGATCTTGCGGCGGGCGTCCCAGTGTGGGAGCTCGTAGAGCAGCGACGCGTTGTGCCACCACCAGTCTTCGAGGGCGAGCTCGATCAGGTTGGGCGGCAGCAGGTCAATCAGATCCATAGTTGCCACGTTTGCGGGTGTACCGTAGAGCATGGCCATCTGGATGCAGAGCTTCTCGAGGGTGCCCATGGTTGCTAGTGAGGCGAGACGCCCACCCTCGGGGCCAATGAGCGGCTCGAAGCCGGAGACGTCGTGCCAGCTGACATCGAGGTTGCGCAAGTGCTTAGCATGCTGAGAGAGAGCCACATCAAGGGCCTCCGGGTGCAATTCCATGCTATTTTCGTCAACCATGTTGTCGCGATCGTAACCATCGCGGCACGGAGCCATGTAGAGGGTCTCGAGCTGTGGTGCATTGACAAGGAGGTGATAAAGATCGGTCGGGCAAGCGCCACTGTTGTGGAGGAAGATATGACGGATGCCCTTGAGGTACGGCCCCGTTTCATCGCCGCCTATATGGTGAAAATCGGGATCCCAATCGTACAGCTCGTTGGACCATATGCCGTCGTCGCTGCTGACCTCGAGTGTCGTTAGGTTGGGGAATGCGGAGAACAACCGGGCATAGCGGCGTGGCTGGGTGCCCCAGATCTCCGGAATCTCGCAGTTGCAATCTTCGTCCTCGAAATGGCTAAGTAGTTCTGGATCACCCTGTAATTGAAGGGTATGTACGTGAGTAAATGGAGTTTCTGGCGCGCCTTCAGGGTAGAGCGCTCTGGCGACGCTCATATGCCTACAGAAAACATCGTATTCCTCCTCATCGTCGCAGATCGGAACTTGTAAGAGATGGACTTCCAGCCTTGTTAAGAACGTTAGAATAAGGTAGAGAATGATCTGAGGGACGTAGTCGAGGTTGGCCGACGTCAATGGAAGAATTGTCCGGAATAGTTCGATAAAGTCTTTGGCACGCTTAACTGTAATATTGTCGCCGGTCGCAAACTTGAGGGTCGGCCCATATTTAACCAACAAGCGACGCATCTCTCGGATGACGTCTTTGCGGCTCAGAGTCAGATGACAGGACAGAAAGCGTGTCCAGACACCGTATTCGGGCTTCTCGAGGAGCGTGCGAAAGAGGAGAAACATCGAAGCCTCGTTCCATAGGGCAATAGTACGATAAAGGCATGGGCGGGCGAGGGCCGCCATCCTACGCGAGACGCGACATAGACTGTTTAGTCCACGGCGACAGCGTGTGAAGTGATACCATGGCTCATCGGCCATCAGCTTGTCGTAGGCGACGGGGCGTGTCTCGCCAATCTCGGGCTGCTCGGGGATCAGGCATTCAAGGATGAGAGTCAGGATCTCTGGAGGCATAGACTCGAGCTTTAGTGGCTGTTTAGAAGCACATGCGGGAGTGACAGGAGGTTCCCCTTCTCCATCACTATCTTTCTTCTCAATGGTCATCATCTTGGCAGTCACAGCCACCAGGACAGTTGATTCCGTTAGACGGCGATGAGATGGTTAGACAGTCTGTTGTTTAGATGTTAGTCGGTGGATAGGAGGGGTCATTAAAGGTGTGCGGATAACTATGCCGCTACACCGGGTTGACTCAAGGGCTGCGATCGCTGTCAGATAAGGAGCAGTTGGGAAGAATGGAGGTGCAAGCAATTGACAGCCGAGTCTTCGAATCAGATTGGGATTGGAAAATGCAGACTGGCCCGCCATTGCGGGGCGCGTTCGTCAAGATGGTGGGGTTTGCATGCTTGGCATTGCTTGACCTGCTGCATTAACCCTGACCCTGATTCCAGAAGTGAGTGGTCTTGGAGCCAAGATCTTGGCAACGTATCGCACTCTGACTTGCGATTTGCATCAGGCGATGGTTCAACCGCAATTTTCCGAGTTGCTAACCTGGCGCCATCAGATCTTTGGTTTCAAAGGTCAATTCAACAAAGAGCTCAATGATAGAAGTATAATGGTTGTATCAGCATAAATATGGAATTAAATTCCAGTTCGCCGGCCAATCCATAATGTCCTCCGCAACTTGAAATGCCTCTTCATGTCGTGGTTGCGAGTTGAGTCTGTGCTTAAGCCATGTGAGTCTCAATCTTTAACATGCCCCATCCTCCCCTCAATGCTCAGGTATCTTTCTCAATCCAGGCCCAGACCGACGGTTGGCAGCAGCTCGACGACTTATGTCACTGTCAGCTGTGTGTCTGCGGCACTGGCTGTAGTGGTCGTGCAGCTCTCTCTGATAATAGGCGTGCCCCAGCCTGTCAACACTTGAGTGCAGGGAGAAGTAGTTGCACAAACAGTCGTCGTGTGTGTTTCGATCGCCAGTGTAGGGCATCCACACGGAAGCGTCACTCCCACTGCAAGTTGTTAGTATTTACAGAATCTACCACTAAATACAATGCCTTCATAAAGCTGTGGGATGTATCTCTTTTTGATCAGAAAATGATGGCTCGTACCATCCCTAATGAAGAAGCCAGTGGTGCAGGTGACGGGACACCCAATACTGCCCCAAATGGTCCGCGTGGGCCGAAAGGTACATGAATCGGGTAGGGTGATAGCAGTGCTGCTGGAGGAAGTTGTTATTGTTGGAGACACTGATGTAGTCAGGGTGGTTGGAGAGTTGCCCGCTTGGTCCGTCGACAAGCAACGTGCCGAGACGGATCTAGCAACATTTGTATTAGCTCGGGCATTTACAGCGTATTCAACTTTGATCCCACTGCTTACTTCGCGACAAAGGGTAGTGCAATCCAAGTGAGTCGCATCTCGTCTTTGGGGACCAAACTGTTGATCCTTGACTCAATGGTGAGGTCACAGTTAAAAAACCATAAGTTTAAGATGTCAGTTATTCCAACCCATTAGAGTGGGACATACCAGCTATTTATAGAGACTCAAACTCGTATAGTCGTCCATTGCGGCTGGTTTGCATGCTGTTGCATGTCGCTATCATGCTTACCCTTAGCTACGGAAGGAGTATCCCGAAATTCCCAGAGTGGTAAATGTATCTTAGATAGGTTGTGAGAGCTCGGCTGGTTATTGTAACTGTCATTGCAACAGTGTTCATGCATGCTTTCAGCTAATACGAGAAGCATCAAAAACTCCATCTCCTTTCTTCACATTATGTAGGGCTGGTTTATTCCTGGTAATATTATAGTTGTGGTCCTATAAGAGTGAAGGCCAAGCCAGAGTGTGCACATACATGGCTTTCAGATCAAGTTATTCCCTCTGAAAAATTTTCTACTAGGTATTGTTGAGAACCTAGTTGGGTATTGCTGTTCGTGGATTCCGGGGTGTTTGGGGGCTCGCTTAAGACCCATGTCTCAAAAGCTGAAGAACTTCATGTGCCCTCACAAAGATGCATGCACCATTTAATGGAAGCCAAAGCCAAGACAACTGCAACCATTGACCTGTTCCTATCCCAAAATAACCTTGAAGATGAAAATTTAGAGGCATGTGCATTTGTTGAAGAAGTGTCCCGCTTTTGGAAAGAGAGCTATGGTCTTGCATGTCAAGTCTGGCGATAGTTGACCCAGATGGAACAAACAAACAAACAAACAAAAAGCTGCACCAAAAACGCCCGACAACATAGTTAGGAGAAGATATTGAAATATCAGCACTTTCAGCTAAGAAGAACAGCGAAAGTCCACAGGGACGCAAAACCTTCAGACTACGGTTGGAGGGAAGCAGAAACCATGGAAGCTCAAGTTGGAGCCAAAGGCCCGAACAAGACTCAACCAAGTGGGAAAGAGACTCAATCACCCCGGGCTAAGGAGCAGAATCAGTCTCAGAAGCGTTCTATCGTCGGGGAAAGAGCATCAAACTGAAGTAGAGGTCCTATAAACAAATTTCTCTTTACTCTACCAGATCTCAAGTGAAGCATAAAGGCTAGCCACGCATGTTGGCGCTGTGCTGCCTATGTCTGACTTCAGTTTTGTTTTGTTCCGGATGCCCAACAACAGCAACGACAACATTGACCGGTTCATGCTACTGCCTGAGGCCAACTTAGCCAGCAGCAGAATCCAACTCGGTCAAAGAAATTAAACTATCTCAACTGTCCCTTCCCTGCAGAGATCATCCAGCTAGGGCCCTACTACGTTAACTGTGCCGAGGCCCAGGTCCTAGAGCACTGACAGCTTTGGTTTGACGAGCAGAAGAACGTGTACAAGATTGTTCTCTCCCCTGAGCTTGCTTTTTGGTTTCTGCAGCGCTTCTGCAACCTTGCCGGCGCAATGCAATTCATCGACCACTACTGTATGTGCCGCAGATGCATCAGAAATATGTCTGCGTGATACGTGCTCCGCTCCTGGGGCTTTGTGCGAGAAGCGCATGACCTTGTCGTGCTGTGCGATATGCTTCCTCCAGAAGGGGTACCCAGGCATGCGGCTGCAACGACGCATTTTCGGGGAGGGGAGATTATGTGTCAAGCTTATTTGCGACGGCTGTGGGCAGATATCCAGCTGTTGGGCCAGTCCAGACTTCGGCGCGAGTTCGATCAAATCATTTGAAGCTTCATAGGCACCCTCTCCTCACATCCCTGCGGCTCTTTTCATCCATAGAGGGAGCGTTTATGTTGATAAAGTCTGAAAAACACAAGTGGATCTGTTATGATTGTGGTAGCTCGGCTGGGAAGGCGTTCTTGAATACTGTGACCGGGACACGATACATATCCGGGCAACAGTGCCCAAGGGCCACAAGTGCAAGCGGTGCAGACTTCACCGCAGAGATCTATTTCATTCCAAATATTACTGTGGGGTCTGCAAGGGTCAGGAAAAGAAGCAGAGTTCCCAAGAGAGGGCGGCATCTCCATCTCAATAAGGGGCAGGTACTTCTGCTGTGGAAGAGGTGAAAGAGAAACTAGAGCGGATGAAGAAAGATAAGGCGCAGCCAAAGGAGGATACGACGCCAGATACTCATTGTCGGATGGAGGAGTCTTCGGAGTGTTTCTGTTTTAGGTATGACCAAACTGAAGCTGATGTGAAGGAGGAAGACAAAAAAAAGTCTAAAGGCATCTGGGGTAGATGAAGACAAGGTGATGGGAGAAGAAGAGGGTGGAAATAAAGATGAGATGGCTGGTGAACAACAGCCAGCAGAAAATGATGAAATAAAAGAAAAGCATGAAAAGACATGGGAAAAGAAACGGCTAGGGAAGAGATACCGGTAGCGGAGGAAGATGAAACGCTGAAATGGGCAGGCTGAAGAGGAGTGAAAGGTTGATATTGATGGTTCTGTACTGTTTTAGTGCACTTTTAGGTTTTGAGTCATCGGAGCATAACTGAGCACTTCGATCTTAGCTTCGAAAACAACAGCAACAATCAGAAAGTACAGCTTCATTCCCAGATATCATCCCTCCAATCACCCGTCACATATCCCTTGGTCCAGGGGCAGCAACATACTAAAATGGGGCCGAGGCATGTCAGAGCTGTTTGAAGTTTCATCCGAAATGGAGTGCCTTCTTCTAGATAGACGAGGCTGCCGATACTCTGGTGAAGAAACACTTCCCGGAGCTCTACAGCATATGGTCATCCTACCGGTATCCCATTCAAAAGACTGATTCCTTCCGGTACATAGTGTTGTACCAATTTGGGAGGTGAGCCCTGGCTAGAACCACTCCAGTAAACAAACAGTAATCATCCCTGATCAGGAGTCGTCCTTGATATAGACCTGCAATGCAAACGTGCACCTGGCCCGCTGTGACGCTTTGGGTTTGTTGCTCCGAAAACCTCTCCGATAAGATTCTCAATTGGCTTCATGATGGCAGCCAAGAACAACCCTTCTATCGAATGGACGGTTGGCCAACCTGCCCCGGTACAACCGCAACTGGCTGTGGCTGCCATATGTTGCAGTGATGTTCAGCACCGGATGTCATTTTGTCTCTTCAGTCTTCCAACACTTTTCTTCTCGGTTGAATCCATCGACAAGATAACTAATTCGACTATTGAAGGACAGTCCATGCCTACACAATCTTCCCGGAATTCGCGACCCTCGATATTATTACCGGACTGCCAAAAGATCCTCAGTTGCACAGCCTCAAAGGACCGGTATTAACGCCTGTGTGATCATCTTGGGAGTTCATTATGTCATTCTTTCGATGGTGCGTTGATGGTCTCTTTGGGCAAAAGACATAGTTTAAGCGTATGTGGCTTCTGGTGTTGGAGTTTTGGCATTGTTGTTACTTATCAGAAAGAGGAAACATAAGGCCTAGATTAGGAGTAGTATTTTGCATGTTTGGGAACTCGAGTAAAGCTATTGTTCCAGAGACATGAATGCTCAGAGAAGGTCGGTGCAAGCTGAAGGAGAGAGATCCTGTTCTGGAGCTTTGTGGGATCAATAAAGTTTCCCCACTTGCTTGACAGGGCTTGCCTAAGACAACACTGACCCCCAAACAAGAGATCATTGTAGGAACTGCATGTGGCGGCTCCACCTTGCCGACCAACTTCGAAGAATTGGCCATGCTGGAGTTGACGATCGGATGTCTCTTGCTTCAAACGTCCAACTTATAGTTGTTGCCTTTTCAAAGTACTTGTTCATTGAAAGCTGTATACGGTTCTATTTGTTAGTGTTACAGGCATTAGAACCGTGTCCCGTTGACAGGAGATAGAGGTGATTGTGATATTGCGTCATCACATATGGGTGATGTAAACAGGTCCATAATACCCTAAAGAATCTCCAGGAACCATAGCCTTCAGCCACAACATTGTTAACCCCAACATCAACACAAGTGAAGCAGGAAGCTTCCTACGTCACCATCAAGACTAGCACTTCGAAGTATAACACCAATACAGCTGCTTCAAATGGCATTTTGTCTCCCTCCAATTATGTTGCCCACTCGGTTTTCAGCAGCCTCAAGGACTGTTATTACTCCTATCCAACGTCGCATGGTAACATTTGTCACAACCAAAAGCAGCACCATGCGGCCCATTGCTACAGGCGGCCCGACCAAGCGGAGCTCAAGAACCGGGTCAGAGGATATCACTCGGTTTAGGGCTAGACCGTCCGGTATCTTGAGTCCAAACACGTATTTCTTTCTATTGCCTCCCTCCACAAGGCACAATCCTGCTGATTGACTGAAATAGGATCTCGACCCTTGCTCTTGGCAGCATGCTTGCCGGAAGTTGGTACATTTGGCATGAGGGACGTAACTACAAGGTCAATAAGAAGGTTCAGAAGTATGAGGAAAAGCCGCTTGGGAAGCATCGTGGAAACGTTAATGCGGACTACATGAAGTATGACAACTGGGTGGACTCCCGACGTGCCAGCAAAGGGAAGTGAATGAAAGGATGGTAATGTATGTGACAAGCCTTACTGGCATGGATGATGTGAGAAGTCTTTGTGTAACCTTGAGTTAAGTGGTCTAGGTAGGCAAGAATTGTGGGAATGTTGATGAAAATTGAGGGTGGCAAGGAAAGGGCAAACGATGACTTGACACAAAGCTGGACTTGACTTCACTGTCGGCAGCGGTGGTAAGGAAAATCCAATGGAACAGGGCGTACAGTATCTTTCATGATATATTGGCAAACATATACGGGTCTAGGTCAAGCACAGCCTCAGACATAATTGATGAATTCTTCAAAAAGCTGCATACATGGCAAGATTTTGGCCTTGCAGACTTTAAGCTCTTGTCGCTTATGCATCAATTCAACACGTCCTTCAGTTTGACTCACGACAATTAGAGAGGTATTATCTTCCATATTTCACCAACAGATTATACTTCTCTGGTGAGGACAATTTGATTGATGGATGCAAAGTTGCCAGTGCAGTGTACTGTATGTGATGTGGCTCATAATTCTCCAAGCGGGTGGCTGCCATGTGGTTCCGAAACAACCACTGAATCATGTCTTGGACTTCAGAGCCGCAACATCACTCCTCTTGACATTTACTTCAAGAGATAAAGCTGAATGTTGAATTTTTGTCGGAAAAATGCACATAGCTGCTTGCTTTTGAGGATAACTGTTCAATTCTACAGTAAGTACAACTTGGCTTCATTTGCTTAAGCGCGGGAATGTGGTTTGTGCCTTGATCAGGACACTTTTACCGTTCTATGGTAGAATACTAAAGAAGCATGCAACATCGTATATAAGCTGACAAATTGAGGGAGATCATCCTTGGTAGCTTTGACGTAGTTTACTAACATTGACCTTTAGTGCAGCGGATATAAGTCCTTTCGAAGATTCTTCCCGGTAAACCATCGTTTTATTTCCCAGATCCTAACCCCCGAGAGCTCGTCCGTTTGAATAAAACACAGTCAAAACTGGCATATCCATGCTCTTCCGCAATATGGCCGAGATTCTCGGTGTCCTAACCGGACACACCGTGATCTCCATCTCGTCGGCATCACAATGCAAACAGCAGAGCATCAATCAGGTTCTTTTGGCCGAGTTTTGGGCGTTTCGTGGTACCCTAACTGTTGAAGAAGCGGGAGGTCTTCTTGAGAAGGAGGGGAAGGGGGGCTGGTGTTGAAAACATGACAAACGGATTAAAGGGAGCCCAAAGCCGAATCTAGGTACCCGCTTACATCAGAGACCATTTTCAAACCATTTTGCAGGCTAAAGCGATGTTGCATCTTGTTTTGCAAGGGCTCTGCGGAAATGCCTTGTGGTTCAAAGAGGTGTCCTCAGGCCTCAACGTTTTGGAGGTGAGATCTGACACGATTAACCCCGCTCATTTTCAGATGCAGAGAGTAGGAGTACCCAACTTGGTCTTCTGCAGGAGCCACACCCGGGGAACTTGCGGACAGGCTGAAGCGCTGGTACACACGCATTTCTGCCCAATCTCAAGGAGGAACTTGATGCCAGACTTAGGAAACTTATTCATGGCGACCCAAGGGATCGACACTCGACAGACGACACCGCCTCTTCCTCTGTATTCTTTTCTCATTCACATTGCATAGGAACTCAGAATGTTGAGAAGGGTTGTGAGTGGGGTGCTGGCCCGGAACAATACCCATGAACATATGAGCATCGACAGATTGTAAGCTTGACTTGTGGGCTGAGAATTCGAACATACAAACGGATGTTTAAGACCTCAGTGCGTTCCCATTTGACGTCAGATGCCAAACGCTAGATTGACATGGAGCATCGGGGATTAAAAGGCTGTGCTCTTTTTCGCCTGGAAATTCTAAATTGGGAATCGGCCACCATAATCTAGTACGTCTGCCAAGTTGTTTTACTACTTTCTGTTCTTACAACCGTGTGTCGTCCAGCCTCTCTCCAGCACTTGGGCATGAGTGTCATCACTCCATCATCGTCTTGCTGGCTTCGGTCCATTTTATCCCGTCCGCTTCAACCGTCTTCCCGAGAAGTTGCCATCTGGTAACAGTGGAAACCAGAGAGAGGAATAGGAATCATTGTCAAAAAGAAGGGAAACAATACCTGCTAAGTAGCCAAAGATGGTTACACGTGTGCAAAGCAGTGAAAGCCCCCTTACTTCACCATCCAGATCCAGACGTATGCATGAAAATGGCTTTCGGGGGACAGTTTTCCAGCCCCAGCCTTCCGCCCGCAATTCCCACGCCTGGTAGATCGTTGGACCAAAACGGACGGCGGCCTCCTCACATACATCAGCCACCTGCCCAGGCGGTTGGAGCCCGGGTAGCAGCATGTCAGAGGTGCTTGGCAGAGAGCGAATGTAGCTGGACAAGCCAGCGCTAGCAGACTTCTGGTGGTATATGTTAGAAAAGCCTGCCGGTAAATATACCCAGATCCATGGTGAGACCATCGTGCGAGGAGCATATTTAGGAGTTTCCAGCTGATAGCTCTGGCAGGTCATTATGTATGTCTCGCTACAAGACGCAGCTGACGCATTGTAGTCGCCTTCGCCTCGATTGCCACCTACGCGAGACACCAAGAAAGGAAGTCATGCAGCCTGAGAACGTTGCTGTGGGTATAGTTCCGGTAAATCTGGATTTGTGATACCTCGGTTGTTTGCTTCTTTACTTGCATTATCCCATAGCGCGGTGTGTTAGCGGATATCAACTGGCGTTGTTGGTATCACCAAACTGTACATGCATCGGCATGTGCACAACATGTCAGTGGTTCTTCATGCAAAGGAGGTTGCAGAAGTACGACTGACTGGCCCGTCTGGTACTGCAAAAGTTGATCTCTCCGCAGCTGCAGAGCTGTGGCAAGGCCAGCTAGCCTTGGAAAGCCAAAAGCAGAAATGGACCCCACCTCTCCGCAGAATTCATGCATTCTTCTCATGGTAATCTGGACCTCTCTTTTCTTTTGGTCACATACCAACATCGGCAACAGGCTAGATCGGTTTCACGGGTAGATCGCCGATCGGAGATATCCTAGGGTGGAGCCGGCATCAGATTAGACGTGGCTTAGGTATGAGATGCCCCGGGCTAGGACAATACGTAGTCCAAGTATCACCCCCTGGTGAGCTGAGAACTCCAGGCTTCCTAAGACTTTCGTTTGCAGAACGGAGATTTCAGAAATCAAACCACACCTCTGGCTATTGGCCACCCACAGTGGGGTGCCTTCTCTCGGCGCATCCAAGGATTGAGTCGCCGGCCTACCGTATGTAGCCGTCATATCTACCAACATTTGGCGGAGGAACGAAAGCTTCGGAAAACTTTGATTCCCTGCATCTCCTGGAACATGTTCTCTCGCCGTCTATAATGAGAGAGCGTACATCTTCAGGGGTTGCATGCATCATACCATATTCCGAGGCAGCCAAGCATCTAGATACCCTGTTTCACCGCTAGAAGAGCTTTACTGCAGTCCTGTAGGTGAGAGCCCCCAAATTTCCTGTTAGGCCGGGCCGACCTTTCTTTCTTTGATAGCAGGGTCGGCATTACTCCCGTATGGACGATGACTGCCACTGTCAAGGCAGTGACGGCTCGGCCGCGGGAATCAAGCTGGTTCGTCCGGGTTCCCGATGATCTTCTGTCCTTTTTGAGAATGGTTCCCGTTGCAAACCGAAACGGCTTCGTCGTTGCCAGTGTTCTGTAAAAATGACAGGGGCGGCCGAGTTGCAAGGAGGGAGTGTGATTCCTAGATCGTAGTATACTGGGGTGCCGCCATGAGTATGGCTCTGATTCTTTTAAGATATTAGACACTCCTCAATTCCAGATGCTGAGAGAACAGGTGTCGTTGATTCCTCATTCCCCAGATATTCGGCTTTCTCAATAGGAACTTGTCTGGGTAATAGCGATTGCGTACTTACTTTTGTTGCCCCTCTTCAGCCATCGTAAACCATTCTTCCCTCCATATTGTCATTGACTGTCAAACAGAAGTATCGTTGTTCTGCCTTTGGGTCTGGAAGTATGTCTCGGCTAAGGCTCCCAAGTGTCCCTTTCATCCAACTGATGCCGACTGATCAGGCAGAAAAGCTCGCCGTCTACAGGCATTGAGTGTTTTTCAAACGTTCCCCTCAGCGGGAACCCACACAGACCCGCACCAGAACCAAAGACCACTGGACTTGACCGCTCGGCACGTCGAGGTAGCAACCCGAAGGACGACGATTCTCATCGGGAATCACGTTGGATCAGATCCTCCTTCGACCCAGCGGGGCTCATCACTACACCCTCAAGTCATAGGTCGAGGAAGCAGGCAAAGCAGCGGTGAAGGAAGAGCGAAGGAGGAAGAAGCGGTGGCAGAAAGTGCCGCCAGGAAGACAGAGAGTAGATTGGCTGTCGGGACGTAGACGTCACAAGATCTTGAAAAGAGTGCTGAAGCCCCACGGCGAGGGGAAGGGACTGTCAGAATGCTTATGAGTGTGGCCCGACCCCGCAGGGTGGACGTGCTTCCTCCCGATGACGATGACTTCGACCAAGGCACAGCTGCAGGTCTTTTGTCGTGGCATTTTGATCTAAGTCAAAGCATCAACGCTGCTCGCATCCTCCAACAGCGAGTTCACCAAATGCCTTTCAGCCATATTCAAATGAAGGCCGTTGGATGGGCCGAATCTGGACTCAAACAGGAGGAGCAGGAGAACCAAGAAACGGCGTCCTATGGCCGTCCTTACAACACCCAAGTATTGGTGAGTTCAGTGACTCGTTCTTTGTCCAAGGAGAGTCACCAAACTGACTGATTCATCTCGGGAAACAACAGGCAGCGACGATGATGTCCAACTGCACCTCACGCACATCTCCCTTATCTCATGTCTCGCATTTCTCCACGACAACGGGCCCAAGGGATGTGTGTCAGTCTTCGAGTGCCAGCGTGCCTGTCAGTCCGGAACTTCTCGAGTCTCCATATTGGCAAGGCATCACAGCAACAGGGCCAGATAGCCTTCCGTTTGTTGCTCCTGGGGGGGAAGCAGTATGGGGACACGCCCCATCCATTCTTAACCCCCCCCCAGCGTTCAACTATGGCAGCTACACCATCGGCGTACATGCCAGCATGATTCCGCAACAAGTGTTCAGCGGCATTCCCTCTGTTCCTGACAGCGACACGACGGATCATGGAAGTCCTGACTCCAAGCTGTGTGCCTCGTCGGATCTCCTTGGGCCCATAGTCCTCGATGACGAGTCCAGCCAGGCCTGGAGCATGTCGCCGTCGGAGACCAGTCCTGCCCTCGTGGAAGGTCAACCCGGAGTCGATGTGGCATGGGATGATTCAGCTACCGACGACAAGACTGTGTCTCCTAAAATGCTGCGCTTGAGACGGTCGCCAACCCCATGCTCGGTCTACCCCGAGCCGGCCTTGTTGCCGCCTGCTGCGAAGGTCGATATTGCTTTGGAGTCTCCGAAGAATACCTTGGCCACTTCAAAAACAAGAAAGCTCCTCCAGAGCAAGAGTCAACGCACAGTCCTGCCATCGGGCAGCACCGTCCTGTCCTCATCCAGCTCCAAGACCAAGGGTCGCCCCTCCAACACTCGGTCCCCCTCACCAAGCTTGTCTCGCAAGACGATCTCCAAGCCAAAGAGCATGCCGCGTCTGGCTCCTGCCCCACGGATGCCTCCTTCCCCAACTACTGTAGCAGCTCTTGACCCTTCGTTACCATCCCTACGGTGTACCTCTCAACCCTTTGGTAGTGAACCTTGGTCTGAAGTACCCCAGATCAAATTCGAGCTGTCAGATCGGATGTCGAAGGATCAGTTCCTTGTTACCAAGAAGAGGGAAGGGCTGACATACAAGGAGATCCGTCGCATGGGCGGATTCACCGAGGCCGAGTCCACGCTGCGTGGGAGGTACAGGACGTTGACAAAGAGCAGAGAGGCTCGGGTTAGGAAGCCCGAGTGGTCCGAGCTGGATGTGAGCGCCCCCCACCATTTTCTACTGTGTTATGCATCATGAACAGTCGCTAACGCTTCCCAGCTTCGCCTCCTAGAGAAAGGTGTCCGCGCCCTCGCCCATACCCCCGACCTCAACTCGGCCAAAGTCCCGTGGAAGAAGGTGGCCGAGTATATCGTTGAACATGGCGGCAGCTATCACTTTGGCAACTCAACCTGCCGTAAGCGTTGGGATGAGCTCGTGAGGGAGCAGATGGCGAAGGGCAAGAGCATAAATGAACCGTTCTTTGATGATGAGCCGGCCCGCTGCCCGGCTGATGGTACTACTGGACAGAAGGCGTAGGTTTCTTTTCTTTTATTGTAATATTGCATGCTTGGCTGGCTTAGCTATTGGCTGTTTGCTCTTGGCGCATCGGAAGTTGGACATAATGGTGGCTTGAGGGAAGGAGAGGAGGAGGAGGGGGAGGAGGAGGAGAGGTAATATGGTGTGCATATTATGGAGTTGCGAGAGAAAGTAGCCGGTTTAGTTCAAAAGCAAATCTAGATAAAAGACATCTAGTAGAGAATAGACCAACCTGCAGCGAAAAATCTCTATGTCTAGCCCCGATGAATGATGCTTTTGTCATAGTAACGCCGGCGCCTGGATATTCGGAACCCCTATCCTGCCCAACACTTCCAGAATTTGCTGTGGCTCTGCCCTCAAGGCGTCCCACTCAGCCTGCGTCTTGACCAGCGCAGTACCAGCCAGTACAGTGCCATTAAGTGCCAAGCGACCAACCTCCTGCCGTTGCCCATCCACATCGGCCACGACAGCCTGGCCCTCAGCAATGCGTGGCACAACCACCATCACGTCCCTTGTCATCCCGAGGTTGTAGCTGATGCTAGCTTCGCCACTGACTTGACCTACTCCTGTGGCTGCGGTGTTTGCGGTGCCCAGCACAGCCTCACAAGCTTTTCGGTAGAGACGGAGATAAACGTCATGAAGGGGCTTGACTATGCCGTCGCCGTTGCGGATCTGCTCAGCGAACACGCGGAACGGCAGCCTAGACCGAACCTCGTCCCGGCAGAGTTCCCCAGCCAGCACGGTCCATATGTTGGCATCATTGCTACTAAGACCCTCCTTCATACGGTTTACTCGCAAGAGTTGTAGATGCCGGTGGGGCTGGCTTGCTCCCGAGTGAGGGCCGGAATTGAAAAAGACGAAGAGCTCTCCTCCTTTGTCGTTTTTAGAGTTGTGGTAACTATGGTACACCTCGATGCATTGGTAGGCAACCTCCAGGTCTGCCGCCTCCAGAAGATGTGTCTGTTCCTTGAAAGCATGTGTTGCGAGGATGAAGTGCTCGGGAATGATTGCGAACTTGTTGAGAATGAGATTGTGGCTCGGCTCAAGGTGGGTGACTAGCATAGGTGGAGGGATTGGCGGCGCGAAAGGGTTGAACAGAGGTTTCTGGGCTGCATCGGTCGGTGTCGCGGTCGAGACAGTCGAAGGAGTAGGAGGAACAGGAGCAGGGGCGGGCTGCGGGGCGTTTGGTTTCTTGGCTAGGGCTGGAGAGAAACGGAGTTGGAACTAGTAGTTGATCAACAAAGTTAAAGTCATCGTATTAAACGCAAACACACATCTATGGGCCGTGACATACAGGAATGGAGTTGACATTGATCAAGGTTACCTGAGTCGCGAAAAAGTTGACATCGCCGCTGGCAACTGCCCGGTCAAAGGCAGCCTTGACCAGCTCAGGCAGGTTGGCAGGGACCTTGACGGACGACATACTGTCAGGCAGTGCCGTCATATTGTCACGGAATGTGCGCGGACTTTTGGACCCTGATGGACCCTGGGAACTCGATCTGCTGCTGACGGGAGCCTGTGATTCTGTGGAGGGACAAGAAAGTGGGACGATGAGGTCATAGGTAGTGGTCTGTGCGCTGTTCCTGGATTATCGATCCTGAGGGTTAGGGTAGAGAGCAACGAAGAACAGTGGGAGCGGGAATTGGGTGAAAGGACAGGGGAAATGGGACTCGAGGAGCAAGAACATCAAGGAATGTGTTCGTGTTTTGAGCAAAATCACTATGACTTTGCAAATTATGTGGCCTCTGGGCTCTTTCTCAGCCAAGCCAAGCAAAGACAAGACAGAAGTTGAAGACTGAAAGCTGACAGAGATCGTAAAGTCCAATACCGACAAGAAGAATTAAAGAAGGTGCTGTATTAAGTCTATCCTGGTCAATGTGTATTGTTGGGCTCAGTTATGTTCTGGTACAAGTTAAAATCCAGGTAGTCCTATTACCCAACGGAGAGCGGGAACGTAACGTGGAAGGATATACGTAAAGTACAAACCGGCCAGCGCAGTAAGGAGGCCAGTGAGCTGTCAATATTAGCCAAGAGAGTTAAACTGGAGAAAGGAAAGGGGTTAAGAGGGAACTCACCTTCTCAAACCAAGTGTGGAAGTATATGGCCGTCATCAAGAGCATCCATACAGAAAGTCCAATCACAACGGCAGCGAACTTGCCGCCAAAAGCCAGAGCTTCAAAAACGTTGGTCAAAACCTGCACATCCTCCCTCTTATCAGGCGGTGCTTCGACCGCAGCACTCTTGATGGCGCCATCGTCCATCAGAACACACCTCTCATCCTCAACAGCCTTCGTCGACCGCACAACAACCCATCCAACTTCCTGGATTAAGAAATAGCTCCCCAACACGAGCAAGAAAACGTGCCCGCTAATATCATGCCCACCCTTCCACTTGCCCCCCGAAGCCTTGCACGCAGAAGCACTAAACACCTCAGCGATAAGCTCCCCAATCTCGCGTTCACATCTACCTCCCGTCAACATAAACCCCCTATCCACAAGACCCGGACCAAAGAACCACTGCGTCACGAAGATCCACCAAGTCGTAACAGAAGCCCATCTCATCACAGCCTTGATCCTACTCCCCCAATCCTTTCTTGTAACAGCTGGGTGAGTCGCCCAGAAGACGAAGAACGCGATGGTAATCCATGCCCAGCCGCGCTTGACGAAAAACACGTTTAAGATATTATCCTTGCGCGCGAAATAGGACGGCGCTTTTTCGGGCGGGTAGTGAGACTGTCGCACGGGGTCGTAGGGCGAGGCGCGAGTCTCGGGAGACACGAAGGAGAATAGGGCGCCGAACAGCAGGAGAGCTGGGTAGAGCCCTAGGACGAGGAGCTCGATGCGGGTTGGGAGGTGGGGAGGACTGCGCACTGGGCGGGAGGACATTGCTGTGGGTGCCGGTGATGAAGACGAGGAACTGTTTATGGAGGAAGGAAAATCTAGAATATCGGCGCCTTGGGAGGTAGGTCTACGACGGACAGTTGGTGATGCGTTACCGACCATATGAGCGTTGTTGCTGAGTGTTCAGGGGAAATCAGATGATCGAGAAGCGACTGAGAAAATAGGTATGCTGCCTGGTCGCATGCGCTACGTCATGGAAGAGGCAAGCAATACCCAGAACGAAATGAGCGATCTCGCAGAAGAAAAGAGCAAACTCCAGCGCCTGAGAGATCGTTGACTGCGACGGCGTCTTGGACGACGACGAGGGTCAGTCACAAGACGGTTGCAGCTGAAAAAAGAATGAGGAAGCCCCAATGTTGATCGCGGTCTTGGCAGGCACTGGGAATGACGTTGTTGCTGCAGTCTTGGCATTCTTGGCATCGGCTTGGTCGTCGCCGAGCCGAGATGGAGGGGACAGCGGAGTTACCTATACACACTGTGGTCTCTTGTTCCTGTGCTTCTTCCTCGGTGGGCCATTCAAAGATTCCGAGGGTCAAGATCTCACGTGAACATCACGATCGACAGCCATCACGCCAATGATATGAAGTCCTGGAGGGATCAAATGTACAACACAGATGAGAGGAATTTATTTTCCTTTCTATCCTCCATGCTCTCTATGCCCAACATATGCATGTAATGTCGAATGCACCAAATCATTCCCAAACTCCAAGCAATGAACAGGCAAACTGCACTGGTATCTCAGCTAGGTAGTGCTCCTCGGTGAAATAAAGATATTGCATGAAGAAAAGCAAAGAAATCATGGTAATGCCTGGGTATCTAGCAAGGAAACTCAGAGATATCCCTTGGTCGCCATTGCACCATCCTCATCCTCCATTTCAGTATGGACGCACCGGCCAGCCACCCACCCTCTAAGCAGTCGACTGGAACCACGCCACCGTCGCGCAGAAGTTATTCCTGTTATCCGCATCCAGAGCAACAGCGTTGCCATCAACCGTCAGCATGTTCACCGAGGCCTTGGTGCTCAGACCAAAGAGGTGCACCTGGCTGTTGCCCTCGAGCGATACCATGTTGGTCTGGCATGACTGCGTCTTGAGGCACTCCTGATCGTAGTTATCGAAGAAAGAGTAGAGCCCCGCGCCGTAGATAAACACGTCGGTCGAGTTGATGGCGCGCACGCCCCAGGCCCGCTTGCACTGCTCTGGGTTGGGGGAGTTGGTGCACGAAGTAGCGAAGTCGGGGTCGGCAAAGTTCGGGTTGACTGTGAACGGCTGAGTCGCGTCGGGGTTGCCCTGGAAGTAGGGCGTCTCGGTCTGGATCAGGGCGAGGAAGACGTTCCGTGCATTATTGAACTGATAGTTGTGCAGGACTGAGTGCTCGGAGGAGGTGCCCCAACCCCAGACGGGACCATCACCTTCGATGAGCACACCGCGGCCGTTGAAGACATCAATCTGCTGATCGCGAGCCTCGGGCTCAAGAGCGTGGTCAGCAACCCAGTACCAGGTGTTCTCGAGATAGGCGCTGCCGCCTGGAGTGACGTGCAGCATCAGGAACGAGCCAAAACACTCGGGCTTGATCGGGTTCGTGATGTTGGGGTTCTTCGCGCACTGCTCTAGCTCAAGTTGGGTTCCGGCGTAGCCGCCGATACGAGTATGAACATCCCAGAGACCAGCGGCACCGGGCTCCATGCCAGCAACGTTCCACTCCATCATGATCGCACCAGGCTGAGGACCAGCAGTGCCGAAGATAAGGTCGGACATCTCAACGCGGCCCCTCTCACCCGGCTGACCGACCTGGAAAACAGGCTTCGGATTGGCCTGGTCCTTGAAAAAGCTATCGCCGCCAGCCAGGATGAGAGGAAGAGCCTCACCAGTGATGCGGATGTTAGGCGGGACGCGGACAGTCTTAGTGATTATGTAGGCGCCATGGTCGAAGTACACAATCTGCTCGGGAGTGACGCTGTCGAAGATGGCCTGGATCGCGTCGGTATCGTCGGTCACGCCGTCGCCCTTGGCACCGTTGGCCTTGACGCTGACGAAGCTGCTGACTGGAACATCCTCGTACTGCGGCCGGCTGCGAGTGAACACCTTGCCCGTCGCGGGGTCGAGAAGGACGTTAGGCTTGACGATAGCTTGCTCAGTCGTCTGAACGGCCTTGCCGCTTGTGCCGCCGATGGACCCGCCATATGTGCGACCCTGAGCGAAGAACGCGATCTTTTGGTTGCCGTCGACAATCGTAGTGCCGGTAGCGTCGTTCTGGACAGCGATGGGAGTGCCGGTCATCTCTACGTTATCCAGGATCAGAGTGCCGTTGGTGTGGGGCTGAGCCGGGTCATAGGCGGTCTTGATGCCGATGCCGGTGTTGGTGATGTGGCTGTCGAGAAGCAGAACAGAACCAACAGTCTGGCCATCAGGGCCGCCGTTCGACATATCGATACCGACCTCACAGTTGTTGATCTTGACATCCTGGAAGGTCCAGGCCCAGTTCCAGTTCATGAAGATGGCAGTCTTGCAGTTGTTGAAAGTCAGGTTGCGGGTCGTGAACTGCTGGTTGCCGAAGAAAGCGCCGTAGCGACCGCCGTTGAAGACAAGATCGACCATCAGACCACCGGAGCCGTTGTCCATGAAAATGCCCTGCTGGCGGTTGTCATCGCCGCCGTCGGTGCGCATGTTGAAAACGATGTTCTGGAGACTTGTCGCCTGAGCCACCTGCCAGTGGATACCTGAGCCGACCTCGAACGGCATCGCAGTCAAGTCAATGACGAAGTTGCGAACCTGCCGGAAGAAGTTGTTCTGGTTGGTCCACCAGTTGTTACCATTCTCGTCGTACGGGTCAGCGTCGATGACCGCCATGCCCTCAAAGTTGGCGGCCGCCTTGAGCGTCGGGGGACTGATCGCATCGCCAACAAGTTGCGTGTAGTAGTAGGAGATGATAGGCTTGCTGACAAGGTATGTGCCGGGAGGGAAGTACACGAGCGCCGGGGTCGTGGTCTGCGAGGAGCAGCCCTGTCCGCAGCGGTTGCCGTCGCTGATGGCTGCGTTGATGGCGGCCGTGTCGTCGGTCACGCCGTCGCCGACGGCGCCGTAATCCTTGACATTGCGGAAGATCTTGTAGTTGGGGTCTGGGTTAAAGGCAGGCCTGCCTTGCCGTGCGATGTTGGCTAGCCACCAGCCCGACGGAGCCTGCCGCCGAGCTGGAGCCGCAAGGGCCATGGGGGACAGGAAGTTCAATGCCAAAAGGCATATTGTGGTAAGTTTATTGAAGCCCATCATGGTGTAGACCAGCTATTCCGTGATGTATATGGGGAAAAAGTGTCGATGACTGTATGTTGTTAGTGAGTGCGTTTGGCCAGCCAAATATTGCTGCGATTTGAATCATTGATGAAAATAGAAGAGGAAAGGAAAAGAGTGGTAAGGGGGAAAAAAAATGCAGCACCTAAGAAGGTGATGATGGCATGCCAGTTGCTATGGAGGTGAAACACCTTCGCGATCCTTCCATTGTTGTTTACTTTAGTGAATATGGGACAGATATCATCTGAACTATTGCTATTGCTGTCGATGCCTGTATTGGCGGGTTGCCAAGCCAAACAATAGGACAGGCGATAAAGTGAGACGTCAACAATAGGGGTCGTGGGGGGTCGACGCTTTGTTGGAGGGCACAAGCCACCTCACTCGAGGCTTTTATAGGTCACCCAGGCTCACATGTGGCAATGACATAGGACAAAAAGTGTAGAGCAACTTTGAACTTACGTTGTCTTTGTGTTGTGGTTTCTTAATGACTCCAATATGAGGCAACAACAAAAAGAACGTAAACGCACGATGCAGCAAACGAGTGACAGAACCGCCAGTGACGAGCAAAACGGATATGGCGGCAGCAATGAAGACCGACAACGGTCAATATAGAAGAAAATCTTCGTCCAGAGTTACGTGGGAGAGAAGTCGACAGTTCTTATAAGGGTGTTTCGTGATCGGCGTCCAGGGTGCCACACCCAAGATTATCCTCCGTGTATCTTGTTTTTTTTTGTGCCAACCCCGTATCCCGTCCACTCCTTAGCCGCCCTCCCCTCCCATGCGAACCATCCACTCCGCGTTCAGAAAGCCAGCTCGCAACGATTTGGTGGACGTCGCATAGCGACCTGACATGTCACGACAAGGGTCGCTGCTGCTGCTGTTCTCGTTCTCGTGCAGCCCTGTATTTCCCTCAGACAGGGGCAGGACAGGGGAGGGGTGGGGGGCGTGCCGTTCACACGGCATGTAGAGTTGCATCCAGGGGGACGCACTGCTCTCTGTGATCTTGGCTCCGGCGTCTCGGTTAGCATGGATTGCATCACCGTCAGTTCAGTTCACCATTGACATGCACAACAAACGTCATGTCTTGCTTGGCCGGCAAGCAAGCAGCGCGAAAAAAACAGGCTTTACGCTCACCAGTCCTTCCCTCACTCGATAGCGTGTTCCGCAGCTCGAGACAGGCTAAACTTTTAAAAGGGGAAAGAGGGCCGGGCAACGGGAGGAGAGAACAGGTTCAGATGGTTCGAATGATCTCTTTGCTGTCGGGATCTTGCTGGCCAATTGCTGGCAGTTCGAACCGGCAATCCAGTGCCAGGACAGTTTGTTATGCCACTGACTCTGCACGGTTAAGGAACAAGGAATCTATCGTTTTTCTCTTTTTCACCAATATTTTCTCTCATCCAAGAATTTGATCTCTCGATCAGCATTTTCCAGCGCATATTCTATCATCTCATGGAATGCTATCATGGTTGCCAGCAAATTAGCACTTGGGAGATCGTCATTCCAGAGACTCTGAAGCGCGGAGACCACGTCATTGTTCCATTCCGGTGATGGGAAAGCGCCCAAAACCAAACAGTGGGATCGCCAACCCGCCTGATGGCGCTGGGCTTGGCAGATCGAAAGGCAGGGACCATCTTGCTGCCATTGCCAAGCCTTGCCAAGACCGTGCATGGCGGGCCGCGAGTCGTCGCAAAAGCAGCGTTTCGAAACGGCTGTGTGGATACCCAAGACCAGGGGTCTTTTTCTGTTCTGCTGTCACTGCCACTCATCATGGAAACATTGCCTGGAGTCCTTGACATCTCGTACTGTTTTCGTATGCGCTGTGCGACTGTCACCGCCGAATGTTTGGCAGTGTTTCTGTTTTGGTGATGCGTGGTTGAAGTTGGCACCCGATGGATGTCTCGACGACGCTACGGATGCATGGTGGACCGACATCATGGATACGCGGTGGACACGCGCAGATGGGAAACTCGGGAACACCCCCACGGACCCCTCCTCAATTGCAGCCGCATTGCGGACGCTATGTACTCTGTGCGGCGCCAATGCAGGGTTCAGACAACACCACGTCTCACGGACCATATCATCCATCTCCAATTCGAGAAGCACAAAGGCTGGATGTTGCGTCCACGACAGTTTCCATAGAGAGCACACGTGGTGGTTTCGGACTCTGATTCTTTGATTGCTTACCAATGGTCTCCCCATTGAGGTTATCTAGACTCCGAGCCTTTGTCCGCAAGAATGGAGCATCCTCCATTAGTTTGAGATCGGCCATGGAGATAAGCAAAACATTATATCTGCTGACATTTACGTCAACGTTCCAAGGACAGCATTGTTTCAGGTAAATCAGCCGCCAAAATGAGGCTCAATATCGTCTTCCCAAGATTGAATTGTCTGCAGGGTAAGCTGTTCGGCGAACAGGATGATATTAACTCTTTCGCGTCATGGAACCCCAACCCGCCAATGCATATATAAATGGAGACAGATTACCCTCAAAATAACCTCGAAGAACAACACTTATGTGGATGTCCATGCCGAGAATCCATCCGGCCGCAATGTTCACAAAGCTGGAGAACAGAGATCCATACGCGTCATGGTACCCAACCACAATTAAGATACACAATCACATCTGTCTCTTGCCCTACTTGAACCGTGTAGGTGAACATCGTTTCACGAGGGAACCATATCACTTGCATAACATTATCTCCTGCTATGGCTCATGACCGGCATCAAGGCCGAAGTAAGATCGACGCGGGATGGGCACACAACGTGGGGTCAACCCCTTTTCTGGCCGCACGGGACATGGACTCGGCACGTCAACATCCATCCACCCGTGGAGACCAACAGAGCTGAGTCGGAGCACGACAGAGGGAGCACAAAACTCAAAGGACAGTTCCCTGGGCCAGAATGTTGTGCCTCTTTTCACAGAACGCAATACGAATTAGGATGCTACAATATCTCAGACAAGAAAGACATCTATCTACCCATCATCTTATTCCCGACATCCGCATTTCCTTTCCTTCCCTACCAGCCATGGGTTACCAGCTCTGTTCTAACATTGTGGGAACCGAACCGTCTCTTTCTTCCCGCCCACCATCCTCTCTGTCCAACTCCAGAACCCCATACAGATGCATGCAAACAGATTTTGCTCTAGACGCCCAAGGTAAAAATTTAGACAACATACAAAGAACAAGATTACCTTAAACAGATATATAAGGGAAAATGTCCGCTTTCGATGCAGTAAGATGCAAGGACACATGCAAGAATAAACAAGACCAAATCCAGACACGGCTGCCAGTCGGCCAGCGAGTGCAGAGCCATGTCTGCCCGCGCCCCCCCCCCTCTCTCAGTATCCTTTTTCCCAATTTCCCTTCCTCTCACATAAATTAAAGATTATCGTTGAAGTCTTATATGATTCGGCGCCCAAAAAAAGAGCGTAATTCCGCAAAAAAAAGAAGTAATACCTATCATCAGATGTACCCGGGCTGCTCATGCAGATTAGGCGAGCGGCGACAGCTCTCAAGCATCTCGATGCCCTTGATACCGGCACCAAAGTCGAGGATTAGAATCTTGGGATCCTGCCCGGAGCTAACAATTCTCCGATAGTCACTCTTCGCGCTCAACACCCAGCTAGAATGCCACTTCGGGAAATCCAACAACGGCTGGCCCGTCTCCATATCCCACACCTTAATATCCGAATCATAACTCGCGCTGACCAGCCGCCCACTGATAGAGTCAACATGTAGGCTACGCACGAGGTTCTCATGCGCCTTCATTTCGCGCACACACTCCCCAGTATTAGCGTCCCATATGCGAATCACGCGATCGTTGCCTGCGCTGGCAATGTACCGGCCATCCTCCGAGAACTGTGAGCACGCCAGTCCCTTCGTGTGGCCCAGGAACTCGCGGATGTTCTTGCCCGTGTCGACGTTCCACAGCTTGACACGGAAGTCGCCGCTGCACGAGACAATGGTGTTGCCACGCATCTGCACTGCGTTAACAGGGCCTGAGTGGCCGCGCAGTTGTCGAAGGAGGGCGCCCGTTGCCCGGTCCCAGACGCAAATGGAGATGTCCTTGGAGCAGGTCACGATGTGCTGCTCGTCGAAAACCAGGTCGAGGACGGCGGCCGTGTGGTGACGCAGGCGACGTAGAGGGCGGTATCCTGCGTTTGAGCCGGTGCCGGAAACGGTCCAGACGATGCATGTTGCGTCGGAGGAGCCGGTCACCAAGATGCGATCGTCGTACTGCAGGCAGAGGATAGAAGCATTGTGGTGCATCGGGGGAGAGTAAAGCGCAGGGATCGAATGGTAGGCTTGGATGGGGCCGCGAGGGCTGTCAGGATCATGGACCGTGGCATAGTGGACGGGTTGGCCGTGCTCGTCGTAGAGCAGGTTATAGGAGCAGTCGTTGACAATTTCGGGCGGGCCGATGATGAGCTTGCAGGCGAAGGTATGCAGGTCCCAGACGCGGATGGTGCGGTCGCGAGAGCCTGTAACGATTTTCTCCCTGTGAAGACAAGGTCAGAACACCGTAGGAGTAGCGGCGTAAGAGAGGATAAAACATACTCGTCGAACTGCAAGCAATAGATGCTATCGGTATGGCCGTTGAGATAAACCGGCCGGGCCTTGCCCTCCTTCCACCTCTTGTCGAGCTCGGTCTTGACCCTGTAAATTTCCTTCCAGTTGTTGCTAGGCTGAATCGGCGGGACGCCGAGGCCAGCGCCAGGCTTGACGGGCCCGCTCGTGGCATAGGTCTGTGTCTTCTCGCGAAGGAACGACTCACGCCAGATGTGCTGGTTCTGGATAACATAGTGCCAGCGGTGGCAGACTCTGCTGGCCGTAATTAAGGTTTGGGCATCTAGAAGTGCCAGAATCTGGATAGACAGCTCCAATGGCAGTTGGGAGATGAAGTCGACTTTGACAATAGAGTTTTCGTCGCGCGCTAAGCTGGCTTCCACGTCTACATCAGAGTCAATTCCGTCACAGGGGACGTAAGCCTCCATTTCAGAGCTCGTCAACGCGATGCCGATGCCACTCTCGTGGTCGTCGAACGTATCATCCGATAGCCAACCAGGACGGGGCATGGGCGGCACATTCATCACATCGTAGCCATGCATACCGCTGCAGGCAATAGCAGCAGCTTGTCTGGCAGCGGCACCAGTCTTTCTCGGGATAATGGGCGGGTGTTCGGCAGAACCAGGGATAGGCAGAGTCGGGGACTCAATCGTAGAGAGGTCGTCTTCGAACATGCGATCGCCGTAACCCGTATGCAGGACTCTCGAGTACCGGTGGTGGAAGCTGGCCGCATGGCGCAGGCGGTGCCAGGCCGACTGTGAGGTCGTTGGTCGGGCTGAGCTATTGCCATGAAGATTCAGATGAGGCCTGACGGCGTGTCCATCACCGTCGAACGTGGTGCCAGCAGGTACAGAAGTCCGCCGGTGCATTAGTCCCATGACACCCTCCTTCAGCGATGCCGACATCCTGCGCAGTGTCCGCTTAAGACCGAGATGGCTGTCGCGATGATGTGTGTGCTTCGAAGACGTCGGCGCGGGGTCATTTTGAGAGAGTGTGTGTTGTTGGTCGAACAAAGCGCCGAAGCCGTGGCTCTTGCTAGTCTCGAGAGGCAGGTTATGGGAGCTCGTAGAAGCATTGTTGTGGACGGAGCCGAAGAATGCAGATTTCGGGCGCTGACGCCACGGGAACGACACGCTCATACTGCGAAGTCGCGAATGATTTTGGGCTTGGTCGGGTGGCACGAGATGGCTGGGGGATGGGGAATGGGTCGGGAGCGAGGAAGAGACGGCGGGATACATAGCTTCGTGCGCGGGCGCCCAGTCGTGCATTTGGACAATTCTCCGGGAGTTCGAATCCATGGTTGCTGAGGATTCTAGATAGTCGTTGGCCAATTGCGCTTCCAGAAGCCAAAACTGGAAACCTGCAGGGCCGGAGGGCGCCTAGGTAGTTATTAAGACTCAAAATTCAACGCGATTCGTGGCAGCTCGAGGCGTTTCGTCGTCGCGGGAACCATGCGGTGACAGCCTCAGGGGCAGCAAGGCAAAAAGCCAAAAACCACCCAGAAACGCTGGCCAAGTCAGCAACCCCACACAGTTTTCTAGGATCCGTCTTGTTCGTCTGGTCTCGTCGTGTCCGGTTGCGCCCGCGCTGGCAGCGATTCGGTGGCGATAGGCTCGGGCGCACCCCGACAGTAGATTTCGGCCGATATCGAGACGTCAAAGGGGGAGCGCAGTAAAGGCAGCGACAGAGGTTTGCACCGAATCGCCTGAGGCAATGACAGCGGCAACAGGTAGCAGTGGGGATCGGGCTAGGCACTGTGTTGCTGCGGAGCCGCGGGGCGAAATCGATTAGGGACAGGGAGGTTGAAGTCAGGGACGAGATGGAACACAGAAACGTGGAAGGTCACTGGATGGACAAAGGAGCGTGGGCGCTGGGATGGGGTTGATGGGGTAGTGGAACGACCGATCAAGCATCACGATGGTCGAGAATCAGGTGAGAGCCCAGGAGAACACAAGACGATATAATTCTTAAGTGCGCTTGCGACAACAGCGTTTTGAAACACAGCGCCAGCTGCCTGTCTCAACCTCATCCCCAGGCACCAAGACGCAGGGAGGAGGAAAGGAGAAAAAAAGATGGCAGGCTTGTGCGGCGTTCGCAAAATTACTATTCCTCTCGCTCGGGTACTTGTTTTTAGGGGGGGGGGGGTGGCACAGTGTCACACTCCCAATCCCCCAAATCTTTCAAGGACATTGGATCTTGGCATCGTCACTTTTGGCCAACAACACCGCAAGCCTCGCCAACATCAGCCCAGCAGTCTCACCCAGGTGAGACCCTTGAAGCCTAGTATTGAACGGGCTATTTTTCATCCTGCAAATCGCACTCATCACCTTTCTTATCGCCAACATCTGGCAGTCTGCCTTTGGTCACTGCCCAGAGCCATTCATCTCATAGCGCACAGCGCTCATGGCTGCAGTGCTGCTCACTCCATGCCCTGCGCCACTGGCATGACTCGTCCTCACCCACGCTGCTGCGATTTGTGAACAAGCCCACAAATTGCGTTTTTCGACATTCCTTGACCCGGGTTTTTTTCTCAAAAGCCTGATGTGTTGATCATCTGTTCGTCCCTCACAGACACGGGAATGCCGAGGCAGCCCTTCCGCTCTGCAGCTGTTTTTCTGAAAAATTTTAAACTGGCCTTGAAATGCCACAAGTTCTTCAGCCGTTCTTGATGGAGACCCTGATCTCGATTTTCTTTGGTTGATCTCGTCTCGCACGTGTGCGTCGAAGCGAGTTGAGTCCCAGCCAATCCTGCTCAGAACAAGCCATTGAGCGACTCCACCAGGCTGCAGCCCAGGAACGGTTGATTCAGGGGTCTTGCGCCACCTCCCACGCCACGATCAGGGTTGTTCAGCTGGGAGCCAGCTTTTCACCGGTGCACTTGATATCTTCACCGATTCACGGGAACACCGTTCGTCCGGACTCGGCCAAACCAATGCAGGGTGATGATCGGCCCGGATGAATTCGGGAAAGCTGCTGGGCCTGAAAACAACTGACGGTTTGCTCTCTTGATCCGAAACGCAGCCCTTTCATCGGAATGCATAGCAAGGCCTAAACTGAAGCCCTTGAGTTCTGGGCTCAGGACGTCAGCAAGCTCCGGCACAGGGCATTGAGTTGTTGGTGGCCATGAACGCAGCTGACCTTGTGACTCGGTCGCCTTACCTTGCTATTCAAGTAACAACGCCTTTATTTATACACGGGCCAGTGATCCCTCTGTGATGTTTGCACAATGTCAACTTGCGCCTCTTCTCAATCAAAGGCAAGTGCTCGTGTCTGATATGTAACAACATGACCCAAAGGACTGTAATTCAGGAACTGAATTGCTGCTGGAAGAACTTTCCGTCCTTTTTCTTGAGCGTTGGTCAACCGGGTGTTGCGCAAACAAGGTGCTGACAGGACTTGCTGTTCCATTCTTGTCGTGAATGTAATCCAGAGAGAGAGAGAATTGGGATCCAAGAGATCAAAATTTTCCAAATGTTATGCTTAGCACTGATTCTCCAGTTTCTCAAAAGAATAAAGGCATAGACGCCAACTTTGAGTCTTTCATATGACAAAGGAGGATAACATCGCCGGATTCTAGAGTGAACAGGCGTGTTGGACATAATGTATACTCCGCGATTACTGACCAGAATAGTAGCTTGCTTGTTCAACCTGAGATTCATGCTTTCGCCAGTCAGAAGCCCTCTATCTTAGGTAATCAAAGTCCTTAATGGTCTCGTGGATTCCAAGTTCCTCTACTTCCGAAGCGATCGCCCAACGGTTGCAATTTCTACATCGCTGCCCACGTATCGGAACCTATCTCGGAGCCGAAACCCTATGGCTTTCCACTGCCTGTACAATGTGCAATCTGCTGTGGATGTAGACGAAAATCCTGCTTTCCTGGAAGAAAAAGAGGCCCTGCGCCATTCCATCGATTGACCCCCTTTCCCCGATGGATGACTATCTTCCTTGACGAGATACCAACGAGCTCGGTCTCCATGAGGCCATCACCTGCGATATTGGAGCTTGGGAATATTTGCTGGTCGCCGCTAGAAACGTACTCTGGCACTTGCTTCAAGGTTTGGCGTATGGGGTGAGGAAACTGGCACTCATGCCCTACGTATCTAGGTTCGGGTGAAGAACAGGGCGGTGGTGTCCTAACTGAGGAGTCTTCCCAGCAAGAAGTCACTGGTGCCTATCCATCGAATCTCCACCATGCCATTCACCGGAATGGCATCCCGTCGACAACGCCCCACGTTTTCAGAGGTTGAAAAGTCAGTGATTCTCTGGAAGAAAGGGGGCATCCTCTTTCAAGGAAATGGCATCACCAGCAATAGCACGACTGGAGCGGGGTCTTGGCCGTTTACCCAACAGATTTTGGCCCCAATGCTTCCTTCGCAGTCATTAGTCCACGCGCTAGGACATGTAGCAGCAACTGATGATGACGTGGTATTGCCATAGCCATCACAGTCGTCGTTGGCGCTTCCTACGACCCCGCCTTCACAAATCATTCAACAGCAAATGGAAGATGGGTTGCAATCGAAACCTTACGAATATGCTGGGCATAGCAAACCCTTCCTGTCGAGCAACTGCCTGGAAGTAAAGCGACTAAGAAGCACTTTTTAATTAATGTTTTGACGACCTTTTCCATTGACTCCTTGGACGCGGCTTCACGAAGACCTAGCGGCGGATACTCGGATTTGTATACACTCCGATGCTGCCTTCTCCTACCAAGGATACACCTTAGATCTGCTGTTTAGCATACCCGTTTGACGGACTCTTTTCTAGAAGCCCCTTGGAAATCACTGACCATGAAATCTCGGCAATAATACTACCGGAGATTTAGGTAGCTTCCGAGACTACATTGCTAGATGGCTCCTTATATGAACCTTCGCTCACTCCCGATACTGCAATGATTTCCAATAATGAGATCTTCATTAACCATTAACAGTGACCGTTACGTCCAATATCTGGGAACAGGCTGGTCAACCTAGTGGCTATGCGGTGGGTCAGGAATTCCGGGCTAGGTGAGTTGCCAAGTTGAGCACCTGCAGGTCTCTATAGTCTATCACATTATCAATATCAACTGCTGTAGCTCGTTGGCCCCATCACGCAACGCTGGTTGAGTTTCGTGTTTACTGGCAGCAAGTTTTATGAGTATCAATCCCCCGCAGATATGCACTGCCCCATCTTTGGACTGTGACCGAGACCATGTGACCATGAGCGATAGAGGTTCACACAGGAGTGAAAGACCGTCGATATTTACCTTAGACGTACGGCTACAGGTTCATGATACTGTGAAAGAAAGCTAGCTCCAAATTAGGCATCAGAAACCATCTACTTTACAGCTTCATGCAACTTCAAGACAAAGAGCCTAAATGCCTCGACTGCACGATGATACCTGAAACCTTCAACAACGACCCAACGACTCTTGTAACATCTTTGGTCACGTTTTCTATGCCGGCCTTTGTTCGGAGTTTTTGGGCTGTCAATGCTCAACTGGGATGGGCCCGGCCCTCCGGAAGATGTCTCCGAACCTAAATGGGAAGGCCAGCGTCTCAATGACTGAGAACCCGGGTCAACGGCTGCCGGCGTCACACAGCCGTACTACCTGACTCGAAGGCTCTTTTATGGTTCCATTTTCTTGGGCTGAACTTTTCTGGGGAATCAAATGTGGAGAGGCTTCGGCATGTAAACGCACCGAATGCACGTGGAATCCTTGGCAGAAACCGAAGGGGAGCATTGCATTCGGTAAACCCCGGATTTTCCAAACTCCCCCCTGTCTCATCCCCCGCAACATCAAGCCACTTGGAAGACAACACGGCCAAACATGAACCAGAAACACTCCTCAGTGTCCCCTCGAAGAGGACTCAGGAGGACGGTTAATGTGCCCATTGTAACTCTACTATTCAGCCGGAAGAAACATTATCCCCACCACACTTCATCTCCCACTGGTCTACAACATGGGGTTCCATCAGTGCTAACGCCTCTACTCTAGATATCTCAGGAGAAGAACAATAGCGCAGGGTATTGAAACCTCGAGCTACTAGCTCACCTGACTGTGCGCCAAACTACGGCAGGATTTGGCACCTAGAATATGTCGCCGTTGGGTTCAGCAAGCAAGATGGAAGTCGGACTTTGGACGAGTATAAAACAGTTAAAGGCGCCCAAGCACGCCACGAAGATGAGATCGCATTCTCGTCGCCGCCGAGCAAGCAAGAGAGCTACGGTGTAGATTCTGTAAAAAAGAAGTTGAGCTGAAGACGGTCTCACGAAAATGATGTTGAAGAGCCATGGCCTTCTGGCTGCAGCTCTGGCCCTCGCAGGCTCGCCAGGTGCTGAGGCCGTCCTGCGCTTCTCCTGCTCTCAACTCGTTGTTGAGCGCCTGGACCCGTGAGCATCCCTGAGATATGACAACAGACACTTCATAGGCGATCACTAACACAAGTTCAGCCTCGTCTTTCCGGGCGTGTTCCAGTCCCCTCATCTTCACCAGGTGGTCGGCGGCAACATGTTCAATGTGACCATGGACCCCAACCGCCACAATATTGGTGAAGAAGCTACCTGCACGACGTGCACCTTCTCAGAAGACTTCTCCAACTACTGGACGGCCACTTTGTTCTTCCGTGCTCGTAATGGCAGTTACATTCGGGTCCCTCAGCGGCCCAACATCGGCTTTGACGGTGCCCGTGGCGGCGGCATGACCGTCTACTACACGGCCAGCTTCATGCCTGGTCCCGTCAACAATGTCAAGGCCTTCGCCCCGGGCTTCCGCATGATCGTCGGCAACCCGATGTATCGTACCGCTCAGGAGGCAAGCAAGTACCGCCAGCTGACCTTCACTTGCCTTGACAACATGTTCACTCGCACTGGCGAGACCCCTACCATGCCTACCCGTCCTTGCGCGGAGGGCATCATGGCCAATATCCGGTTCCCGACCTGCTGGGACGGCAAGGTAAGTTGTTGTGTACTATTTGAAACCCAGTTCTTGTCTTCTAACGACCTTCCAGAATCTTGACAGCCCGGACCACGAGTCCCACGTGGCCTACCCGGAGTCTGGCATGTTCGAAACCGGTGGCCCCTGCCCTGCCTCTCACCCCGTCCGCCTGCCGCAGCTTTTTTACGAGGTCATCTGGGACACTCGCCAGTTCAACGACCTGTCCCTGTGGCCCGAGGACGGCTCTCAACCCTTCGTCTGGTCCTATGGCGACTTCACCGGCTACGGCACCCACGGCGATTACGTCTTCGGCTGGAAAGGTGATTCGCTGCAGCGCGCCATGAACGCTAACTGCGACGACTGCGTGGGCGTCCTCAAGACTCAGAGCATTCAGCAGGCCAACCAGTGCCGTCAGGAGCAGAAGGTTAAGGAGAACATTGATGGTTGGCTCTCTGAGCTGCCTGGTAAAGTGCAGGTTACTGGACCGCAGCCTGGTACCGGCCCTGGAGGTAAGCTCTAGTCCTGTTCAAGAGATGCTTGGATAGTGTGCTGACTTGGTTGACAGGCGGCAACAACGGCGGTGGTAATAACGGTGGTGGTAACTCTGGCGGCGGCAACAGTGGCTGCACTGTCCCTAAGTGGGGTCAGTGTGGTGGTCGCAGCTACACTGGCTGCACTACATGCGCTGCTGGCTCCACTTGCCGTTATCAGAATGACTGGTACAGCCAGTGTTTGTAAACCACAAACGCTGGTAATGGTTCTTGGCAAGATGCATCGCCAATTCAGAGGGTGCAGGAAGGTGTTGGTCAGCTGGTGGATTGGCTGGGGTGGGGATAAAAGGGATACCAACTTGACTGCATGATTGTATGACCATATAGGGGTAGCCATATACAGCTATACCTATCTAAAGTTTCTTATTAGCCATGATAAACCCGACTGTTTCTTTGGTTGGACTGCTGCACTTGTTATGGATCTCTATCCTGGTCATACTTTTCCGTAGGACCTACCATTCAACTGCCCGAACTCCTTCCCTTTGTCTCCCATGGACCTAGTCAACTGATGTTACATCGAGGATATAGCCAGGGCCTACTCTCTCTGATATCTTTCACATTTGACCACTTTTTTTTCGCCCATTTAAATACCCCTTTCAAGCATACTTCTTGCCTGAGTTGCATTGAATCTCTGAGATCAAGGTTGCAGCGACATCGCTGGTAAAGGTTTAGTAAGTGGCCAAGTTCTCTGAGCCCTTGGCAGTTTCCACAGAGCCTAATGTAGTTTCACAACACTCTTACGCTTCCTCTTGAATCACCGCAAAACAAAAATACCAGTGTGAACTACCATGATGACAAGCATCATTGTTAAAATACTTATCAGATTACAAAGACTCTCGATAATTGTTCAATCCCGGGCCCTGGGAGGGTTAAGCGTCAGCGGATAGTGCGCTGGAACGCTGAGAGACATCATTTGGTAGTTAAGGCTGCCAATTCAAGTAGTTTACAAAGTATTCACAAATAGATCGAGATTAGAGAGCAACTATTACGAGACTTCATATGGGAAAAAGCCAGAGGGAGGACTCTTTGGTCAGGACTGAGGGGTAGGCAGGGGAAATTGCATATCAGGGTTAGGGTTTGATGTTACACGTTGGGCGGGAGTTGTTGATGGACGACCTGTCAGAAAGGGCGGGGGCCTTGGGGAAGTCGCTTTTATAAACCACACACCCTAGAACCACTCAGCGAGTGTGAGGTCAGACGGGCAAACGCTTTGTTGGCTAGGTACGTGGATGTGTGGTGAGGAAAATGGCAAAGAATGGCCCCAGTTGGGCCGTGTGACAATGAACCCACCCCAAGGTGTGCATGGGCCACAAGCTGCCTTTCGGTGACAGCGAGATTCAGCTCATCAAGTCATCCCAGGATTATTAAAGTTTGATCCTCGTCTTCGTCCCTTGGTTTCACGTGCTTGGTCTAGGTAGCAATAAAACCGAAGGCCAAAAACCTTGCTGGGTGACGCAATGACCTCAGTATATGGTACATTTTGTTGTTGCCTAACACTCAGCTTGTCCACTTCTGGCGTGGAACGCGTCACGCCGCGCCAAAGTTGAAATCAAATAGCTATCTATCCAGATTCTTGCCAAAAAATGGTTTCGATATTTGAAACCGGTCGAAGGACTCGGGTCGGGTGATAAGTAGGTTATTTCCTGTCTATTCTCTTCAAACAAAATCTCCGTTGTGCCACCGCTTCATCAACACCCATCCATCTCTTGGACCACTTCAGCGCAGGGAACATTTCCATCATGGGATTGGAACCGGCTTGTCACATTGACCTTACTGATAACCAGCTCCCGCGAAACGAGTTTCGGCATTCCCAGGACAGTCCGCTTGCAATCATTGTTTGCGGATTGACAGTCTCGCCAGAAACGACTTTAGGGCTGTCGTGGGAGTCAGATAATAATGGTTTTGCCGCCGCCAGACTGATCTTCCCCGCACACACCGTCTCTTTCCTCCGATATAACTCCAAATTTCCGGACGGGTCGGTCATCAACGGCGATGACGACGAAAGAGAAAAAAGAGACTCAATTTCGCGGCGTAAGTCATGATCTCCTTAGAGAAAATGAAGCTATTCGCTGAGGAGCGGGTGTTGAAAAATCTTCTGATCATCACATAGTGCCCTTCATATCCCAAGAACTCTACAAGGCCCTTCATGCAAATGAGAGAAAGACCTTTCAGTCAGGGTTTATGTTTGTCATCAACCCCAATGACTCTGTTGAGGAAGTACTTCAATGTCTGCATCATCATTTCCAGCTATTGGAACAATTTGGTGGTGCAGGGGTTGTGGTTGTCGTGGATGTTCCATTTGGAACCAAGGACCGTGATCAATTTGCTCTAGCCGAGAATGCAGCAACTCAAGCAGAGGAAGCCGTACAAAAATACCACCCTGGGATAGGTCGCTGTGTTTTGTGGCTGGATGTGCGGACGCAAAAAGCAGCGGAGACTGTAACAAGCTGCTCAGCTATCCGCTATGGCAACCACGAGCTGACCTCAAGCCTGTCATCAAAAACACCCATTCACAAAACATGCAGACAGAAGAGTTCTGGAAGGCTTTTCTACATAGTCGCATCATCCCATTTTCTCATGAGGAGTATCTTCGCGCAGCCTATCTTACTCTTATCCGCTCGAAGAACCGTCGCCGTGGCTTGTTGGATATTGCCACCGAGTTTGCTGAAAACATTAATAACCTCAGAAAGAGGTCATCGCAGATCACCTTGCCCCCAGTGTCAAGGTACGCTACCAAAACATTGCATACTCTTGCAAGGTGGCTGTTGCCATTGAGATGCTAACTGATATCAACTTAAGGACATTGACAGTTTTCTGGCTCTATCACGTCAGACTGGCAATCCGGGCTATGGAGGAGCACGAAGAGAAGTACGACTATAAGGCCGATGGCTTTGGTCGTCTCAAAAACTACCTTCCAGCACTATTCAATCCCGAATTACACAAAAGTCTATTACAGTGAAGAGCTTCTCCGGGGAGAATACGCAGAAAAGTTGTGGATGTTACCCGATCTTCGCGAGTTGGTAGTGTCTGATATTTCTGGACATGTTTCTCCAGAGGTCCGTGAACAACTCTTCAAGGTTGCCAACAACAATGAACCTGGGCACGATCCTGAGCGTGTGCTGCGGTTTTCGTTTTACGTGGTGCGACGGTATCTGCGCCCCAGGGAATCACGAAGCCGCAACATTATTCTTAAATATGCGTTCGCCTCGTTGGAGAAATATCTCATACGCCTGCGGACAAAGCACAAGGCAGCCTCTCCATACTCGCTCACGCAAACGTACTTTTTCATCCAGCTTGTCCATGCAGCGCTTGCCCAACTTGCGAGCCATAGACATGCTAATTTTGTACAAGACCTGAGCTTCCCACTATTCAAACAAATTTCTGGAATTTCCTCAACGTCTTGGCAAGATTATTATAGCGAAAAGCTCTGGAACAGCTTTGAAGCCCGGGCGTCCTTTGTTTTCCCCGATCTTAAGCCACTCCCAGACACAGTCACCCCATTTGCTGATCTTTCGAGGAACGATTTCAAGAGCCGGTTAACTGACGAGTTCCTGGACGTCGGTCTCATTCCCGAGCTTCCTCCGCTGGAAGTTCTTCACTTTTACCAGGATCTTTTCATGGCTACAGTTCCATCTCTTCCTGAGAGAATGTCTCCCGCCGGTGTTACTTCCTACGAGACGTTATCAAGTACATCCACGAGAGCATCTTCAGTCCTTCTGACTCCGACACTCTTCTCCCGCTTGCACATCATAACCTGAATCTCCTCATCATATCATCCCCTCTCCCAGCACGCAAATTCACATTCTATCTTTCGCTCCTGCTTCCATTCCACAACAAACACCCTCTCAACCCTGCCACTTTTCTCGACGAGACCATTCACTCCAATAATACCTCTCTGTATTCGTCCAAAAGACCAGCGACTGGGCCGACGGCCGTCGTCCACCACCATAACTGTTCATGCCATGCTTCCCTGCGTCTGCTGCCCAATAGCGGACAAAATGCCGTCATTTACCCAGACCCGCCAAAATATCTGAAGCCGGACCAGCACCCACAGCTGTACCACACATGTTCCTGTCATCTATTTGAGCCGTTCACGGAGGAAGCACTGGCAACGATTGCAGCACGCACTACAGAGATTGAGTGGGCGTACGAAAGGTACAGGAAGGGCGATTCTTTCCGGAATCCGACGGTCAGCCCTCGGGTCAAGGGATCTACGTTTGAGCAGTGGCTGACACAGTGTGAGGGGCACCTGTTGATTGCGTATGATGAGAGTTGGAGGGCGTTTCTCATGCGGAAACAGTGGGAAGGGGAAGTGGAGTTGAAAAAGAGGGGGGCAGGACTGGGGATCAGAACCGATGGGTGGTTTGCGTGGCTCCAGACTGACGGTGAGGGTGAGGACAAGGAAGATGAGGGGCAGTCGGATGGAGAGAAGACGTTGGCATGTGAGGACGATCATGGACCGGCGGTGAAGGAGAAGGAAGAACAAGATGATGATTGGGAACATGTTGGCTAAGGGGCTGGTTCGTCTTCTGGTGATGTGTGGTGGGTCAATCTTGGGTTAGGGTTATGGCTGCTGCTGCGTTGTTGAGGCGCCGACTATGTCCTTTCACTAAGTGTTAGAAAATCTTAGTAAATATGTCATTTTCTTGTTCAGTGAAACTACAAAACCATCATCACTGCCTCTCTGACCTTTTGTTTTGCGGAGGTGGCTGTCGTCCAAAGTATAGGGGAGATCTTGCTCGCTACTGTGGAGCCCGTCTTCCATCTTTTCAGCGCAACCCCGGGGATTCATTCAACAGCCAACACATCGGGACAACGGAGGAGGTCTTGCAAACTTCGAAGTTATATCATGCAAAGCGTTCCGGATGCCCGTACGTCGTGGATCGAGATAGCGTTGCCGCGCAAATCGAGCCTTAACGAGGTCTTCATGTCCTTGATCCCACGTTGTACAACTACCACGAGGGACGAGTCAGAGTCAGGGTGCCAAGCCAGGTCCGTGAGGGGTCACCCCATGATCAAGTAAACAATGCTGACAGCTCATTCTGGATCAACATGGACCTGACTGGTCCTAACAACCAGTAAACTGGCATTCTCCCGTTTTCAATCAATGACCTTCTCTAAGACTTTGAACATGAAAATGCGGGGGTCACTTCCATAGCCCCGTAGGAACTACCGGTAGTTAATATCGGATCTGAGTGTTGACAAGGCAGAGCCTGCCAGTCTTATCGGTCACAGTGGGCGATACTGGCTTTTCATGGGGTAAACTGCGGGGGAATTTGCGGGGAAGTGTATGAGCAAGAAGAAGTGGAGAGAACCAAGAGATTCAATGACGCGCTGTCGCAACATGCGGACGTTGACGAAGAATGAAGGTCAGGAGCGACAGAGTTAGGGATCAGCATGTGTTGCAACAACTGTCATTTGTGTCCATCGTGGTAATGGCGGCTGAAATGGGTATATCAACGGCCAACTGCTCCCATTAGGAGCAATGAACAGCATCCTACTTCAACCGTTGAGTCCACCTTTTCGAACAACCTAGGACGGGCCTCCAGGTTTAGGCTGCAGAACAATGTCAACATCAAACGAAAAGCAAGAGGTCTGGGTCTCTCAGTCTGAAGACCGCATTGATGTTGAGGAGGCCGACAAAGTCGTTGGGACGGCGGTCACCTTTGCTGACCCATATTCACATCTGGATGAGAAGGCCATCTTACGAAAGGCACGACAATCCCATGTGTAAAGTTACTGGCTCTGGAACACAGACTAACAGAAGCACAGATGGATATGAAGCTTATTCCAATGCTCGCCCTTCTTTATCTCCTTTCATTCCTTGACCGTAGGTGTTCATTTCTATCACGTTTCAGTTTGCATAGATTCACGGACCCCAAATAGGTGGAAATATCGGGAATGCGAAGATTGAAGGACTCCAAGAGAACCTTGGTCTGACTAACGACCAGTACAACTGGTGTCTGACCGCTTTCTTCTTCCCTTACGCATTTTTCGAAGTCCCTAGCAACCTTGTACGTGTCTAAGGCAACTTGAGCCAGTGCTGCTCCTAACATCCTACTAGATGCTCAAGAAAGTCCGCCTTTCCATCTGGCTTCCCACCATCATGGTAGCCTGGGGCATCGTTATGACACTAATGGGCATTGTCCAAAACTACGCCGGTTTGCTGTCAGCCCGCATCTTCCTTGGTGTTACCGAGGCTGGTCTCTTTCCTGGTGTTGCATATTATTTGACAAACTGGTACCGACGTGACGAGATCCAGCTTCGCCAAGCCATGTTCTTCAGTGCTGCTTCAGTCGCCGGTGCTTTTAGTGGATTGCTAACATTTGGAATTGGAAAAATGGATGGAATTGCTGGTTTGCATGGTTGGCAGTGGATTTTCATCCTTGAGGGTGAGTCGAGCTTGCTGTTGTATGTTGTTTTGTTAGGAACCAAGGGTTAAGTTTGCCTTCTCTCAGGGGTTAAGGCATTCAAGAAGCTAGACATGGGGTGGCTATGACTCGCTGAAATAAAGTTACGAAGATTGCTAACACTGATGACTATCTAGGTGGTGCAACCGTTATTGTTGCCATTTTGGCCTTCTTCACACTCTACGACTTCCCTGAAACTGCGAGCTTTTTGACAGAAGAAGAACGAGTATTTGTCGTTCACCGCTTGAAGTATCAGGGGCAAAGCCACGATGCCGCCTACGCCCAGGTTGCCCAAGCTGAAGAGTTTAGGTGGAAGTATGTCTGGCAGGCCTTCACGGACTGGCAGGTTTGGCTCAGCATTATGGTCTTCTGGGGGGTAAGTTCACGAGATGTCCTCGCCTACCAAGTGAAGTTGATGCTGACGCGGCATTCTGCAGGTTGTTTGCCCGATATACGGCATCAGCCTGTTCCTTCCAACCATCATCCGGGAGCTGGGCTACCAAAGCAGTCAGGCACAGCTCATGACTGTTCCGATCTACATCACCGCCGCAATCCTTGCCGTGTTCATTGCCTACTGTTCGGATAAGTCTGGCAGGAGGAGCCCGTTCATCATCGGTCCGCTTCTGATTATGGCTGCAGGTTTCTCTGTGTGTCTTGCTACTGATCCAACAAAGCATCCAAAGGCTGTTTACGCAGGAGTGTATGTCGCTGTCTGCGCCACGTATCCGGCCTTCCCCGGTGTAGTCACTTGGCTATCCAACAACCTTTCTGGGTCACTAAAGCGCTCAGCTGGCATGGCATTGCAAATCGGTATTGGTAATCTTGGTGGCGTAAGTCTTTTCTCATTTTCCAAGACAAAGTTAGCTAGTACTGACTTTGAGACAAGGCTATGGCCTCAAACTTTTACCGCGCAAAAGATGCACCTCGTTTCATGCTCGGACACGGCTTGGAGCTTGCTTTCATCGGTCTTGGATTGTTGGCAAGTACTGCGCTTCTGGTTGGATACACGGTTGAAAACAAGAAGCGGGAGAAGAGGATTCAGCGAGGCGCCCTGGAAGCATATTCGCCTGAGGAGCTGTCGTCGATGGGTGATAGAGCTGTCACTTTCCGCTACAAGTATTAGGCGACAGTATGTCTCACGTGGCGTGAGATCAAGTATATTAACCCTGCTGGAACATTGGTAACGAATTGTATTTTAGATTTTGCTGCTATTCCTGTGATGAGTCAGAAAGGGTTACATTTGATCCCGCTCACGGATTCTCGAACCAGATTCCCGGGCAGACCAGGAACATGAGTACATCCCGTGGCTTACGACGATCCTCAATTTATGCCTTACAAAGTCCGATGACGGACCGTCACGAGGATGATGTCAAGCACAGCCTACCCTTCCCCTGAGCCACAAGCAGACGGGAGGAATATATAAATTGATAAGTTAGATACCAGTACAGAGACATCAAGAGGTATACCAAAAAGCGCATAAACGCATCTTTGGAGAATTGGTTCCAGAAAAGAACGAAACCGGTGGAAGTTGAATTTTTCTATATCCCCTTGAGCCAAGACTTTCTGGAAAATTATGAAGAGTTGAGATGGCTCCGAAAACGTCAAGATACGTAAGGCTGCAGTGAGCCGACAATTGTAGATATCAAGGTAAGCATACATGTATGCGCCCTGGAAAATATAGAAGCTTTGCCTCGGCACAAGCGCCGCATTAGCCACTGCTTCGACTCACCTGCGTCGTGTTACACATCAAGGACTTTTATGCTCAGCAGCCCATATCGAACTGGGAACAGGTCTTTACACTCATCAAGCCAGCCAAATATTGAAGGATTCGCGGCTCTGGCGAGTGCAGCTACTTCTCGGTCTTTTTCGATCCCGTGAGGACAACCCAGACACGCATGACCCTTCATAAGATCAAACCTGTTGTGTAGGTAAGCACTGCTCAGATATATGGCTGAAAATAAACAAGACTGCTCAGATAGACACTACTATCGAGTATAAAGCCTACCTGACCCCTCACTGTCTCGTCTCGTCCCAGTTTATTTAACATCAACAACACAGACAAGTTTCCAGGTTCAACTTTCAGCTATCTGTCAGAGACCAGACAAAACACTCGCTATTGTCTCCTAGACACCATGATGTTCAAGACTTCGACCATCGTCGCCATTGCAATGGCTCTGGCCTCAGTTGCCCAGGCCGCTGCCGTCCCCGCCTCTCCCGAAAAAAATCTGGATATCCGTGTGCCCAAGAAGTCCTGTCCTGTTGGCCAGTATATTGCCTGCGGTTGGTATCTTCTGAGCCCTGACAGCGGCCCCTGTACGTGATCGTTTCTGTCTGTTATTCGTGGACTTAACAATTTGTGATCTGTTTGCTGACCATGGTACTTGACATGCTTTAGGCGCCAAGGTTGAAGATCTTTTCCCTCTGGGCGGCTCCAGCCCCTGGGACTCCCTGTACTTCCTAAACCCCGCGACTGGCAAGCCGGTCGGACTCCTCCAGCAGTGCAAGACTGGCCACTGCAACCAGTTTGGTGTTGGCGGAACGGAAGGAACATACTGCCGGTTTTTCTAGAGTTGTCTGCATTGGGAAGTTGAAGAGATGGTTGGGAATACATTTCGGTAGAAGTGTTAGACATACTGGGAAGTAAACTCTGCTTTTGTTTTGTCTATTTTTTTATCTGCTGGCTAGTTGTTTCTGAACTTTCATGTTTGTTTCAACGTGCACTTAGATACTGTCGGGGAAGATAGTCTCACAACCATCTGCATTAGCTAGACCTCTACTCTTATCAAATAGACTGGAGTCATCCTCATTGTCCTAGTCTTAACCACAGTGAATCAATCATGGTCAAACACCCTTGTCTAATGGCAATAACGCATATCTTATACACTAACGGCTTTTGACCCAACTCTACCGCATTTCCAGGGCCTTCCACTTGCTCAGGCAAGAGCCAAACAAACCCCCCTATCGCTGTGTCACGCTCACTAATCCCCAGCCACAAATAGGAAGGCTCTGGGGGCGGAGATGCCCTCAAGCTAAGTTACTTCCTGCAATCGAAGCAGGGACGTGGAACTATGTATTGAGCTACGCGTATGGGCGGCCAGCATCGCCTGCCCGTTTCTAGCAGGTTAGGGCACTCAGGTTCATTTTCCCTGGGCTCACAGTAAACATCAGGGAAAAGTCCGTGTCCCGTTGCTGGATTGTAGCAAGAGTAAACAACGTTTCGAGCTCTGCACATAATGAAACTTGACTGTGATCTGTGGCTGACTCTGCAAGGCATAGGTGTTAGCTCTAGTCCAAAAATGAGGCTTTATTTAGGGCTGGGGACAGGCTCAATAGACTCATTTAATGCAAGGAATCGATGTCTGGGAGTAGAGAGCAACCTTGGTCTTGTAGATACGTCAAGTCGTGAATAGTATCGATACTGTATATGAATGTTTGGTTATTGACATGATAGGCGTATTTGTAGTTTATTGAGAGACTGTCGCAAAATGCGGCCCCGAAATTTTCTCACCATTTGCCCTTTACTGTAGGCTAGGCAGGCTAGGCAGTGTGACGCAGGTTTTGAAAGGCCTGCTTTCATATTCGATTCGTGGGCACCGAATCATTAACATAATGCCTGAAACTGATCTTTCGCCGGCATTGTTCACATGTATTCCTGAAAGAAGGAACTTCACTATTGTCAATGAAATGGCGTACAGGGTGGACTGTATCTACACAAAGAACTTTCATAGAAGGCCTAGCAACAGGCACAGTATGATAGAAAACTATCAAGCTGATATGCGGAGTGTTTCATATGTCATAAACCTCACTGAACCTCAATTGATGCCATACCCCAAGTATCTTAACATGAGTCGCCTCTTACCATTCCTTTGGTATTATCCGAATATTTCTCTATTACCATGTAATATTGATAGTCATGTGATATAAAAATGGCAAGTATCTATGTAAAATGGGAGCGAAGGTATGTTATCGCAAAAATTATCATGAGCCATCAATTCCCACAATGTTGGCTGCCCATTTCACTCTGCCATATCTGGCTGTTCAATGGAAAGTTGAAGTAAGTCATCGGCAGTACCATATAAGCAAATGATACTATTGCAAGGACTGCCTTCAAGGCGGTCAAGGACAATCCCATCATCAAAATTACAACAACAGGTTCAATTTGTATTCTGGGGTACAGCAGTCCTGCAACAGCTATCGCTAAGTCGCGCTGATACCAGCCAAACAAATTCTGACAAAATATCCATATGGAATAAAGGGCGAATGCAATAAGGACACAAACTATGGTTTGCCTTCAGGCCACGCCTAAGCTTTCTTTCCACTACTTTTCGCCCTGCATCATATCTTGCCATGAATAAAGGGGACAATCATGTAGCATACGCTTTAGCTTTGGTCCCAACGATCTCTCTTACTTGTTTCCGACAATGGGAACCTAACACGGCACAAAGAGTTATGATAGCCTGATATAGACTGCGAAATCCATATTTTCAAATGCAACGCAACCATTACTCTGAGCCGGCAGCTGTCAAGCGCCTTCTTATTATTTAGTGATACTTCCAAAAGAGAATAAGCATTTCCGAGCTTCAATTTCCCTAATCTTTGTTCTTACCCCCGCTGCAAATTTCCCATCAAACGTTAGACATCAAGCCTTAGGCTTCCAGGTTTAGCTTAATGACCAGAGATGGCATTGAAAACAAATCTTCTTCAACTATCCACCGCAATCATTACGTTGCAGTCTTCACTTTCACTGCACTGATGCTCTTTAACCAATTACCGATCGTTGTACCCGTGGGATTCTGGCTTTGCGTCGGGACTCCAATGTCACATGGACACGGCAGTCCAAGGAAAGGGATGTCTCCAACTGCCAACACAAGGGGCACCAGAGAGAGAATGATTGCGAGCAGCACAAAAACATGGTTGATCCCGGAAGATGTCTAGAGCCGGATGACCGAAGAGAATGAGCCATATGGCCGAGGCATAATGAGGATTCTATAAAGGAAGCTGCCCGGTCATGATAGGCTTCCCTTGGTTCCTCCTCTCCCTGACACAAGGACACTGAGAACCAAGGAAGATTATTACACGTAGTAATTGACTTCGCTGTGCACCCCACATCGTCAGTGGCCATCATCAAACCCATTTGACCTATTGTCGATCCCTGCCTGCACCACACCAAGTCACCCGTTACATCCAAAGAGTAGTGAGACATTTCTATAAACGTGTATTTTGTACTTAGTGTGGGAAACGTTAGCAAATTGTGAAAGGAAAACACTGACATGTTAGGAGGGAAGTAGACCATTCTGTTGCTTAGCTCGAAGTTGGTAATGGGCTGGGTAACCTTAAGACCCACGCTTGTCATCATGAGGTGACTGTGAACCTAAATAGCAATATTAAAGACGCAGTTGGAAAAGCAGGTATTGTTTGCCAATGAGCTGGGAGCCTGGGTTTCATTATCAGTGGGGCCGCGTAATCTGGTTCGTCTCGATCCACTAATAATATACTGCAGTTTTGGTTGATTTTAGGATGGGAAAGTGTCGGCTGTCTGTATGCTTGCTGTAAGACATACTATGGAAGTCTATCTGCTTTGTATGCTTTTCCAAGTCCGTAGCTGGATCAACTGAAGATGCTTGCTGTTGACATCGAGAATAAGAATATCGTAATATGTACGGTGCAACAAAGCGTGAATAGTTGGAGTATGAGTTACACTGGGTCTCTATAATAGAAGAACCGAAATAGCCGTGCCCTGATGGATCGTAAGGATTCCGGCTGGAATAGCAAACATTTTACCAGCAACACATGTCGGTGTTTGCCCAGTCAGGGGTTTTATAGAAGGCGGTGATGAACAGCACAAAACAAACATGGATAAGCCCAAGTTCAAACTTCTTGCTAAAGATCGAGGTTATAGCCACGGATAATGGAGTGATAAAGGCTAGCTGGCGGTTTATCGTTAGACTTCTGGAGATACCCAAGAGGGGGCAAGATCATGTAGGATGTATGGTAGCTATGGCTTTGGCATGCTTGGAATGTTCATGGGCATCACCTAAAATTGTCAAGCCAAACACTATACTGACGTATCATTGTTAGTTTGAGTTGTATGCAGGGCCATGGACACAAAGAGAAAAGCGGTTTTCCTTTCCTTTGGCAGTTTTTTTTGCCATCATGGCAGAGCCAGGGTGGAAGCAAATTACTGGCCTTATGCACATCATTCTCGTGACAACTGATAGATAATTGCCGGAAAAAGCTTGCAACCTCACCACAAATGCTTTTATCCTTATTAAAAGAAAAAAAATTGGCAACCAACATATGAAAAGACATGGTTCAGGTAATTGATTTGTCTACCAACATGATTCAACATCGTAGCCTTGTGTGCTCAATTGTCATGCATAAAAAGAGCACACAATATCCAGTTACGTAGATAAAAGCAAACATCCCAGAAAAAAAGAAATGATTAGACAGTCGAAGGCTGCGTTTAAAATCACTGTCATATGCCAAACTTTTCCTTGAGAAACTTTCTCACTTCCTCATCCCCTTTATTCCAGACCGTCAGCTTATGTGGATCTCCTTCTATCCTCAAACCTTCCAGACAGGTGGCGCGAGAAAGAGCGACATAAACTTGGCCTGCCTCAAACACCCGTGAAATATCGACAACGACACGCTCCAGTGTCATTCCCTGGGACTTGTGGATACTCAAAGCCCATGCAGGAGCAAGGGGTATCTGAGTCCGGCAGAGATGAGAGTAAGGAGGCCTGTCTCCCAGGTCATGGATATGACATTCGGGATAAATTGTCTGAGTAATGCCGTTATGAAAGCGCACAATTGGCCAACAAAGGATGCCGTTAAGCTCATGTTGGTTCTGTGACTTGGCAAATTGTTGGATGTGCGCCTTTTTGATATCTCTGTAACTGCCAAATCGGGACAAGACGTGATAATCAGAATCTCGAAGATCACCCCTGGATGGCAGCTTGTCGGGGTGATATTGCTCCCATCCAATGATCACACCTTGACTTCCGTTGTATAGACCGGCATCTAAGTCGAGGTTCACTAGTAGGACGACCTGCATGCCTTCTTTAAGTTCCAAATAAGCCTCGAAACGGTGGTCATTGAGTGCACGAAGTGATCCATCTGGGTTCTTCTCACTTCTTCCTGCTAATTCCGGATGTAGTTCTCGATGCCAAAGAAAGCGATCATAACACCGATAACCATGTGTTGGTGTCTTCAAACGAGCAAACTCTTTTTCATTGGTCCGGCGAACCTCCTCACGAGTCGAGAATAGCTTGACTGCATTTTCTGTCATGGAGGGATGGTTCAGGAGAATGTCGACTTCTTCTGGGGTAAACTGAACCCCAAGGCGGCACTTCTGAAGCATTGATATGAAATGCGGATCACGCTGGCGATGTGTTTTCTTGAGCTGGATATGGACAAAATTGGCTTCTTTCCAACTGTGACTTTTGAATGCCCATTTTTCAGTGTCGTGCCATGTCCGAAGACACGTAGGACAAGTGTAGATGATATCCTTTTCTCGTCGTCTTGCTTTGAGCTCACTTCCACAGTAGAGACAATGCTTGAAGGGTTTTACTGGAGGAAGCTGACAAAAGTCTCCAGTAACAATAACCTGAACGCCACCGAAAGGTTCATGGCAGAGGCGAGCAGACTTCAAAATCGCGTTCAACCTCTCTAGATGAAGATTCTCAACCATGCTGATCTCATCAATGATGATGACATCGGTTTCTCGGAAGCGACGACATATGCTAGTCAACAAAGCCTGTCCTTTTAGAAAGTCTAGCCCTCGCTTATGATGGTCTGGAGTCCAGCCGGCAAATGTCCATAGTGTTGTGCCGTTAATTGAAAGGGCAGCTTTGCCCGTTGGTGCTATGACATGAACCCTCTTGCCCATGGCCTCGAGCCTTCTTCGAAGTTCGCGAAGGACTGTACTCTTTCCACACCCCGCAGAGCCAGTACAGAAGATATTGTGGCCCTTAGTAGCGAGTTCGACAACCCTTATCTGCTCGTCACAGAGAATTGGTTCAGTCCGAGGGGAACCAAGCCCACTTCCTAGGTCAGAAGATGTTAGGAGAGCGGTAGAAGATGGTATATTCTTCTGGTCGATATTTGCGAAGACTTGAATACCAGAAAGAGGGGTATCAGAAGAAGAAAGAGTCTTAAAAGTACCGGAAGGTGAGAAGAGCTGAGAAACGACGTTCTCCACGTCATTGCCCGTCAACCGTGAATATAGATTTCGATAGTGAGCAAGATGTTTCACAATATCGTTCTCCTTAACTGTGCTGTTAATACCACCAACGGATGGGCATTCCTCAAGTTTGCACTTCCAAAACAGATATTGCTCAGCCGCATAGCGTGCGTCTTTTGACATCGAACTTCTCGAATGGTCATGTGTCTGGTGAGAAGCTGTGTTTGTTGGAGTAGTAAGCGTTGAACTGATAGCTTCGGGGTTTTTGAAAAAAGGGACAGCACCAACTGGTAGAAGTTTGGGCCTGGGAAGTCCGGTGGGAGGACGAGTTGTGAGAGCTTGTTTATTCGATTGACCTGTTATTCCCATCCGGTTGTTTGCGCCAAGCGACTTTTGCGGCGACTCCTGTGTTGATGCCTTCACATCATCACTAGCAGAAGGCCTGGTGATCTGCGATTGACCAGATTTAGACAAATCTGGCCCGAGGCGTCGGCTGATCTCGGAGGGTCTCAGAGTGTTATCACGATGCTGCCGAGAGAAGCCTGGGAGAAGTTTTGTGATAGCTGCCCAACTCCAGAATGTTCGGCGGGCTGAAAGGGAGGATTGTGAGAGAAGTGATGAGTAGGCCATGGATATCTGCTCTGCGTCTCAAGCGTTCTTATGCAACATCGATGAGATTGGACTCGGTGCGGATTGGAGTCCTAAACTCCTGAGTCTTGGGGATCTTGGTGGATGGCATGACATTAGCTTGGGAAATGCGCGAGATGTAAAAAAAGACATGTAATTTTTGTTTGCTTTTTGATAAAGAGCAGGAGGCCCTCTGGAACTTGTTTTTGTAGCATTGCGTTTTGCAGTTCTGCAAGCAAGCTGCAACCTTGGACTTTTTTCTCTTTCATTTCAGGATGTCAAAAGCACCACATCGGTCGCGTTCTTGTCGCGACACGAGGGCACGTGACCGGCTCCACACTAACCAAGATACCTGAGCCAACCGATGGTTAGTGAACCTTGACCTTTGTGACACCGCAAGGCTGGACTTTCTGTGTTGATTTCCGGATTCCCGATGAATGCACTCTGTATTCTGCAGCTATCTTCAATGAGATAAATGATGCATGCAACCACACTGATCTGCACAACGCAATGATGAGCCGAGGAAGTGGCATCAACTCTCGTTGTTCCCCAGGTGGCTGGCAATGTCGCATCTTGGCGGCATGGCCGAATCCACTTGACACCACACAATAAATCACGACCTGCCATTTCAGGTACTACCTGCCGTCCTTGGGGATAGGCAGTCGGTCATGTCGAAATGGGCAGGCGGCTCAGAACATAGAGTTCAAAAGTTTGGTCCTCCCTGCATTGTCTCACAAAGGACAGAGGCATCCCCATCAACCACCTATCACTTTCATTTAGAAATATCCCGGGGAGCTGGGTAAAAAGATGAGACAACTTCTTTCTCTTTGTGTCATTGGGATTGTTCTGGTCTCAGCCATTGAGCCGCCGCGCCAGCCTCACCAGCCTCTTGGAAATGGCACCAAGCTGCTCACGTACAACGTCACCACTGGCAGCCCCGGCGAACTCTCTTCATCAACTACCTATGTCACATGGGTAGACTCGGACAACGATGGTGACTTCATCACATTTGGAGCAGATGGGTCACTGATATTTGAAAACGTTGTTAGTGGAAACCGAACCACGTTCCTCAATGCTGATAAAATCCCAGAGAACTACTACGACTATTGGATTTCTGCCGATCGCAAGAAGATCCTCTGGGCTATCAACTATACCAAACAATATCGCTACTCATACTTCGCCGATTACCTGGTTCAGGATGTTGCAACTGGGCAGACACAGCCCCTGGTCTCAAGTTCAAAGAGTGACATTCAGTTTGCTACTTGGAATCCTGCCTCCTCTTCGCAGATTGCTTTCGTTCAAGGCAACAATTTATTCATCTGGGACGACGGGAAGGTAACTCAAATCACTAAGAATGGCGGACCGGATATGTTCAACGCCGTCCCCGACTGGGTGTATGAGGAGGAGATATTTGGCGGCAATTCCGCTCTGTGGTACTCTCCCGATGGCGAATACATTGCCTTCTTGAGTTTCAACGAGACTGGTGTGGAGACTTTCACTGTTCCGTACTACATGGACAACCAGGAAGTTCCCCCCTCGTATCCTCGTGAGCTCGAGTTGCGCTATCCTAAGGTTGGCACGACCAATCCTACTGTCTCTTTCAACCTCGTTGACACGAAGAAATTCTCTGTTTCTTCCATTCCGATCACTGCTTGGCCAGCCGACAATCTGATCATTGGCGAAGTCGCTTGGGTGACCGATGACCACGACAAGGTCCTTTATCGCGCATTCAACCGCGTCCAGGACCGTGAAAAGATCGTGGTGGTTGACGTTGCTACCAAGAAATCCACCATCACTCGTCAGCGTGATGGCTCTGATGGTTGGTTGGACAACAACCTCGCCATCACTTATATCGGCTCTATTACCGAGAAGAAGCCCAAGCAGAAGCCGAGCAAGGGCAAGAACAACAGCAAGCCTCCTAAGGACAGGGAGCGTTACTACCTGGATCTCTCCGATGAATCCGGCTGGAACCACATCTACCTTTTCTCGATCGATGGTCGCTCCAAGATTGCCCTTACCTCTGGCAACTGGGAGGTTGCTACCATTGTGAAGATTGACACATCCCGTGGCCTCATCTACTACACGTCGACTGAGCGCCACAGTACGGAGCGTCACCTCTTCTCTGTCTCGTACTTGACGAAGAAGAAAACGGCGCTCGTTGACACAACTGTTCCTGCTGTCTGGTCCGCTTCGTTCTCGACTGGTGGTGGCTACTACATCTTGCGCTATGGTGGCCCAGATGTGCCATACCAGGAGCTTTATTCTGTCGATGCGCCAGCCAAGCCGATCCGTACTATTAACGCCAACACCAGACTCATCAACAACCTGCAGAATTATCGTCTTCCGAACATCACCTACCTCGAGCTGGCTCATCCTTCCGGCGTCACCCTGAACGCTATGCTCCGGCTGCCTGCCAACTTTGACCCGTCCAAGAAGTACCCGGTTCTCTTGACCCCCTACGGTGGTCCTAGCTCTCAGCAGGTCACGAAGTCTATGCAAAGCTTTGGCTTCAACGCCTACATTGCTTCGGACCCTGAGCTTGAGTACATCACCTTCACTGTTGATAACCGCGGTACTGGGTTTAAGGGTCGCGCGTTTAGGAGTCTCGTTGCCAAGAACCTGGGCGAACTTGAAGCTCAGGATCAGGTTTGGTATGTTTTAATCAGCCATATATCCAAGGTGAAGAATGTGTGACAAATGCTAACAGTCCTGGAGGGCCGCGAAGGAGCTTGCCAAGAACCCCTGGGTCGACGCCGACCACATCGGTATCTGGGGCTGGTCTTACGGCGGGTACCTGACCGCCAAGGTTGTCGAGCTCGGCGATCCCATCATATCGTTCGGCATTTCAACCGCTCCGGTCTCAAGCTGGGCGCTCTACGATACCATGTACACCGAGCGCTACATGAAGACGCCCGAACTCAACCCCGACGGCTACGCCAAGTCGGCGGTGCATAATGTGGCCGGTTTTAAGAAGCTTGCTGGAACCTTCCTCGTTCAGCACGGCACCGGTGACGACAACGTGCACTTCCAGAATGCGGCTGCTCTGGGTGATCTGTTGATGGGTGGCGGCGTCAACCCGGAGAAGCTGGAGCTGACCTGGTTCACGGACTCGGATCATTCTATTCGCTACCACAACCAGGGTCAGTTCTTGTACAAGCAGCTGAGCAAGAAGCTTTATGAGGAGAAGAACAGGCAAACTACCAGCGGGGGGCACCAGTGGAGCAAGCGTGGTGAGAAGAGGGCCGTGGCGTGGAGCGCTTGAGGGTAGAGGATCAAAGGTCCAGCGTAAAAGTTTGATGCAAAAGCATCAACATTGCATATCTTCATGTACATATTTGCCATGAAAGAGTGTTTGCATATCCAGTAATGCTAAGAATAATGAAGGATTTGATCTTGTTCTGGTACAGCTTCTTCAATCTCAGGGTTGTAGATCTTACTGTCGAGCGGATGTTAATCCAAGATCGATTTCGCCATTCTTACTCCAGCGCCTGGCAGTCTTTGTAGAACTTTTGTGATATTGTAACTGAACTGACTTTGTAACTTCCCGATAATAAACTATTCAGGAAAGTGGGGTTAGCTCATACTGCCGTTTTATTGGATGTCGCTGACTCGTCACTTCTGCGGACTTCCCTGTTGGTGTAAGTTATCGTAAGGAATCGAGTAAATTACCACCCACTGAGCGCTGCTGCAGCGTGCTGGAGCAATCTGCTAGTTGCCTGATGACGCTGGTTACTCCTGCTCCAATATACAGGATCGCAATTTCCTAGAGCATGGCTCTCGCTTTAGATCCCCATCTTCTTCTGTGTTTCCTAATAATTGACTGGAACTAGCAAGCAAGCAATGTTAGGCGAAGAGTAAGCAAACCATCATTCGCAGCCGAAACTTGGTAGTTGACGACAAATCGAATTACTAACAATTAGCACTTCAACAGCTCATTAGCTACATCACTGCGAGCATCATCAAGCTATTTTGTTTAGCAACATACAAACTCACAATGTGTGTCTGGGTCTACGTCACCTACGCCTGCTTCGACGAAAAAACCGGCCACGGTGAAGTCGGCCTCGTCCGCCACAGGACATGCAAAGACTTTAACCGCACGCTACAGCCCTGCGGCGTCCCGATAATTCCTCCAATTCCGTGCATCAAGCTCTGGTACGCCTGCTACTATTGCCGCAAACGAAACGGTCAATTGGGCATGCTGCCTTTGGCCAGGGTTCTTCACGAAACAGTCTCAACTCCTGAGCCGACTCACCTTGATGAAGCCGAGATGGAGCTGGTCAAACCACGATACGAATGGAGAAAAACGAAGCCAGGGCGGGGATCATTCTCCGATTATGCACCGTGGTTTGGAGATAAAGCTGGGGAACAGACCACTAGTACGGAAAAAGAGGTGGAAAGGGACGCGAAGGGGCGATGAAGAGTTTCCATTCGTCAAGAAAGACTGGCGAAAAGGATAGAAACAAGACTCATGAGCTTCAGTAGCAAAGATGGAGACTAGCATCGATGTTATTTATGCACGTGAAGTGTGTATGGCAGGGGTTTTGGAAGACGAAATAGCTGCTTAACCCGTTTTTCTTGGGGCTCGTCAGCCTTAGCACAACATTGACTCAGAGATTAGAAGTTTGAAAGGCTCAAGATTTGGTCCAGCAGTACAAAATTGCAACTTAGTTTCTCGTGCAATGGTACCGAAATTGATCGTGGATCAAAACCAAACCCCTGGCTTTTTCTAGACCTGTACCAAGCAGCTGGAGTCGCAACCGCTAAATGCTGCCTCATTATTGGCAATGTTGCAGCTCAAATGCGACTTTGAGTTGGATGGAGAGAACAAAAGGCTTCTGCAGTCAGCAATAACCGAGCGGTTTGCATGTGTGGAACTTGTGTCCCGGGACGGAACTCCGGCAAATTTCTTCGCTACAGGGCCATGCAGATTCAGCCGTACTGCTTAGTACACAAACACGATCGTCTATAACTTGAGGCAGCTTGCATCTTCCGTTTATCCATCTTGATCCGGTTAACTTCAGTTATTTATGGTCTGTATCAGTATCAACAATGCGTTATTTGTTTTTTATTTTGTCTAGTGTTACCGGCATCATAGCTGGTAACACAGTAAAAGATGCCCCAGCTGCTCCGATCTTACAGCGTGGTCCAGCACAAAACAACACACCAAACTGTGTCGACCCCAAGCGCTTTATTACTGTATCGACCTTAACTGGACCGATCATTGGTCATGTTGCTCCCAACACATCATGTGTTGTCGAGTATCTGGGCATTCCCTATGCCAAGCCCCCGGTTGGCCAGTTAAGATTTGCTCCTCCTGTGCCTCTTCATCACAGGAAAATCGCATATGTCGCGTCCAATTTCGGATATGACTGTCCCCTTACTCCTTCTAGTCCAGTTGACTATCCGGGGTATACTCCTCAAGCCCCGCGCATCATCCGTTACTATACCTCGGGGGCAGGAAACCCTCAGAGTGAGGACTGCCTGACGCTGAATATCTGGTCCAAGTCTACCCCAAAGAGCGTAGCGAAGAAAAAACCGGTAATTGTCTTCTTTTATGGAGGCCGTAAGTCAGCTCCCTTCAGCACTAAATTTGATCCGGACTAACATGAATCTAGGCTTCACAACCGGCAATACCAACACGCCGATGTATAATGGCAAACACCTTGCAGATGCTGAGGACGTAATTGTGGTGACTGTCAATTACCGAATCAATATTTTTGGTTTTCCTGGTGCCCCTGGAACGCTGCCAAATCTCGGCCTTCGCGACCAACGTGCTGCTGTTGAATGGCTTCGCCAGAATATTGCCAACTTTGGCGGCGATATCAACCGCATCATCCTCACCGGACAATCCGCTGGCGGTGTGGCCGTTGACTACTGGGCCTATACATACAAGAATAGCCCCATTGCTGCGGGTTTGATCATGTCCTCTGGAAATTCATGGAGCTTCCCAGTCATTTCCAAGGAAACAGCTACAAACAACTGGAACGCTGTCGTCAACGCTCTGGGATGCAATTCGACTGACACCGAGCAAACCCTGACTTGCATGCGCTCCCAGCCCTGGACAGCCATCAAAGACGCCGCAGCAACAATCAGACCGCGCCCAAGCAGCAGTGTTCTCCGCTCAGTTCCTCCCTTCTACCCAACACCCGATGGCGAAATTGTCTTTGCCAACTACACGTCCCTCACGGAACGCTGCGAGTTTGCCAGGCTCCCTATCCTGATTGGTTCCAACGCCAACGAAGCTGGATTCTACCGCATCTCCCTCTACGGTAACACTGGAACACAGCCGACTCAAGAGCAAGTCAATTCGTTTCACCTGGAGTCCTTCACCTGTCCTGCTGCCTACCAAGCCTCCGCTCGACGTGGCTGCGGGGTGCCAGCTTGGGTGTACCGCTACAATGCAGACTGGCCAAACACAAGGTTGTACGAGGGATCGGGGGCTTATCACGGCGTGGACCTGCACATGATCTTCGGAGCTTCGGAAGATACCAGTGGGCTGCCAACGACGAGAGAGCAAAGGGAATTGACGAAGTTGATGCAGCGGGCATGGGCTACGTTTGCGGCGGATCCGTGGGAGGGGTTGAGGAGAGAGTTTCGGTGGCCGAAGTGGGAAGGCAGAGGAGAAACGAATGTGGTGATTGAGCTGGGTAAGGGGAATCAGCCCAGGGTTGAGTACGGAGGGGGGGATCAATACGGGGTGTCATGCGAAAATGTCACGCTGGGAGCGTTGGGAACATCTGCGTGAATAAAGCTACTCCCTGGTTCATCACTAACTGGGCCTTGTAAGCTGTACCTGCTGGTTACGCATACATGACCCTTGTTAGAAGCAAGCAATCCAAGATAATTGCAGGTCAGAAATTAAAGATCATGTTTACACCTCACTCATTTGTCATTTCACACACTGCCAAGCTCCTCTTCCATGTCCTCAATCGCGTTGGTGATGCTCTCCGCATATTTGGAAGAGATCTTCAGCCTCACATACCCCTCCTCAGAGATCGCCACCAAGTCGACAACAAAAACTTTGGAGTGACGATCTTTCCTGGGTACAGGTAGTTGACCCCAGTACCCTTGATAACCCGGGCAACATCAGCAGTGACTGGAACAAGTGTTGCTATCCGAAGGCGTGGGAACTTGCACATTCTTTATTGCCCGAGAAAATGACAGAAACTCATGCAGCAGGCAGTCAAATTTTGTGATACTGACCCATTGGAGGTTATGAGAGCGGCTCGCAAGATCTTCAATCTTTATTTCTGCCTGAGTTAGAGATTCATAACTTACTGCCATGATGATAAAAGAGGGGAAATTCAAGACATTGTATGTTTGATACCATCGATCTCTTTTGATCAGATCATTTAAAAATAGAACAATCCATGCCTTCTTTTTTTTAAAAAAAGAGCATCATTGCAACTTCTCTCATTCAGAGGCGAGAAATCAACTTCTAGGATCCTCATCAAGGAGCCTGGGCCTGTTCTGGATTCTAGTACAGCCAGCTTGGACCCCAAGCCTCCGTTATTCTTTTCTCTCAATTCCAGACAGAAATCTGACACTGCAATTTTAGCAAGAGTGTGGCATGTTAAATTTAGTCAAATCTGATGGTTTGCCGCTCTGACGCAGCTGTTGCTCAGTTCACTTTAGACTTCGCCGGTAGTTTAGTGAGAACGCATGTATCGGGAGGGATGAATGGAAGAGATTTGAGAAAACTGTTGATTATACGAGGAGACAAGAATAGGATCAGACTAATTTCCAATCGGCACCATTGATTGAACACAGTGGACAGGATCAGTCATTGCTCGCATGGCTTCCTCACAGATATCAAGGCCATTCCAAGAAAAGGGACACCTTTCCTGCCAATTGAATGGCTCCATGGACTCCGCATTGGTTGTTTTTGACTTCTTTAAAGCAAATGAGTTGACACTTGATGCAAGGCCTTGCTTAATTTTGACAGGCGCAGGGGAGATCGTCCAATAAATTGAGAATTCCTGAGAGGGAAACGACAACATGAGGCTCCATGATCGCTATGCCCAGCTGATACAAAGATCTTAAAATACTGGAAGAAAGGCGTAGAATTACTGAAAAAAAAACAGCAACTGCACCTGGTGTTTGGAATCATTGTTGAAAGACAAGAGTCAAGTGTTTGGTACCTTAAAGATGGTAGCAGCTAGCAAAAGACATGGAGAAGTACTCCATACGAGCATTTTTTTCAGATATCCCAGTCTAAAGATATGCATTTAGTGTTTCACATTTCAATGTAAATTCTGTAATGCTAAAACAAGATTTGCAAGTCGTCTTCGAGGTCTATTCTCCCTTTGAAGCAGAACGGTTCAGGGGAGTTGACAATTAGGAATAAAGTAAACAATGACACCATTGCCACGGGCAACCGCTTACGAGTCACGTGATTTTCAATGAATAGGATAAATGCTATAGCTCTCATTGATCTTTATACAAGTAGTATTGTTGATTAGACCAAGGACTCGTTTCTAGAAAGCTGGATGGAGCTGATATACTTGCTAGGTGTTCGTGCTTTGTTTGTCAAGAGAAGGATTTATGATCTCCAGACCCTCCAAAAGGTTTGAATCCCAACACAGTTCGCAAATGGTAAGGGAGTTTGACTGCCTGTCTGATGCAGAGAACTTGTTAAGTCGTTGACTTGTGTGCTCACATCATTATCTCAGTGGGACTCAGAGCAAAGTGATAGAATGCTTGTGATTCTCACCCCCACCTCTCCTACATGCAAAGATTGTCCTGGAGGGGAAAGTGTGATGTTAGGGCTTTGAATTGATTGCGAACAGGGGAACTATTTATATTGATCACCCATGTCTTGTGGTCTATCAGTCAGCATAATAAAGATGTCTTGTTGAAGGTGGAATCAAGTATCTCAAAGGGTCTCTCACATCACCACGTGCTAACAGATCTGAACGCTAAGCCGATTGTTTTGAAGACAACGCTTCGATAGAGAAAAGAAAGCTATGTACTTTTCTTAACTTATATACAGAGAACAAAACAGTTGAGAATCTGTCTTTTAACCCCTAAGATGATACCTGTGTCGAACAGCTTGGCCGGTAGGTGTAGGTGTCACCTCTGCAGTCCACAGTACGGTCTCTGTACTCCTCGTCACAACAACGGGAGTTCCCTCTGATCTCAGTAACATCGAGGTCTGCTGCGCATACGGGACTGGCATAGCCCAGCTGGCTATCGTTGGCCCCGGAATGATGTAACTCGCCAGCGCTGGAGCTGTGACATTTACCCACACGCCAATATGATCATCCCGATAAAACTCCCTAGCATCATACCCATCTAGCGTCACGCTCCCCTCTTTCTCTCCCTCAATCCACAGATTAAAGCACACAGGGTAATTTTGCGCCCCTCCCCTCTTCGCCGCAAAATGCAATGCAATAATCTCATGTCTCATCACATACGCCCCGCGCGCCAAACCCCTTGGCACCTCTACCTGCCAGCTGTTGTTGGCAGCAACCATCACATCTGTGGCCCACCTCTTTCCTACTATGCCAGCCCGGCCGTGTTCCACATCCCAGCGATTCTCATTGTTCGGGAGAATCTCTAGTACGGGACGAGACTCATCAATTTTTGTCCATCTCAGGGTCGTCTTATCCACACCTGCACACCCGGACTGGCTTTTGCAGGGAGCGATGTATGTCAGGATAGGACCGACGTGCCCCACAGGCCAACCGTTCCATTGAATGTGGATTAGATCGCCTGGGCGAACGGGAGCATGGGCTTTGGGGCTGGTAGCACCGATGTGACAAATTATATCCGGATGTGAGTAATTTTCTGGGGCGACGAAGCCATCGTCGAAAGCGGCATATGACCAAGCAACACTACCAGGATGGTTGGGTCTGGGATTGTTGTATGTTTTGTTGCTATCAGGGTTCTTAACGGGGCTTCGCGGGTCATAGCCGTGGTAGAGAGCCCCGTTGACGACGATGTGGGAGAGATGAGAGTGGGCGAATACCGGGTCAGGGATGAGTGTGGAGCTGAGAGTAAGCAGGATTGAAAGAAGTGAACTCGTTGAAGGAGGCATTTTGGAAGTTTTTTTTCTGGGGGGGTCACTCCAGGATATACTGTGAGGAAAGCAAGGCTTTTGGAGTTGCTCAGCTGGGAGAACAGTGCGTGCTTAAGTCTTGAGACAATGCGGACTCTCGCTCAGAAACTGCCACATAAGGAGCACGTTTGGGGTGTACGAAAGACGGAACAAGGCTGGGGTGCAGACGGGAAGTGATGAAAGTTCATTTATCCTTATTATTCTTTACAAGACTTGTGGCTAATGCCAATCCTGCGAGAGCCTGGTTCAGCAGTGTGGAGTTTGTCAAGACGGGATAATGGGCTAACTGTCCGTCTGTTAGATCCATACTGCGGCGAAGACTTGTCCGCTCTATAAGGGCAAATGCGAAATTCCGTCTTAATGCATGCAGGCTCGGCATATTAAGCCGGCTTAGAAGATGCTGATTCTTCCAACGAAATTGTATAAGGTTACAAAGCACATCAATTTGGGACAACCTGGGAGTTGAAGGGACCGGTCCTGCCTACAGTTGTTGAGTAGTATCTCGATACTTTCAGTGGCAGTTCTCAGTTAGGTATCATCACTCCCAGACCTACGGTACGGAGATCTTCCACCTGGCGAACACGTTGGAGGGGGTCAGATATCTCGGGACCATCCGTGCGGCATACTGCCAAGCCTCGCTACTGGTAGTCGGCGCCGGCCCTTTTTTATGTGATCCGGTTAAAACATGGTTACTCGGCCGATCGATATTATGCTGGTAGGGTGTCTGCCGAAGATGTGGGGAGCGTTTCATCCATCTGATGTAAAGTGGACTTCGTCATTCTCTCCGGAGAGGATGGCAGCATTGTCCGGAGGAGCCCATATGATTGGCATATATGCAAATCTGGACATCGGTAACCAGTCCCGGGATGGGCTTGGCATGAAGCGCAGCCGTGAAACCGATAGAACAGAGATCTGGAGCGTGCAAGTATGTCTGCTGTGAACAAGGACCTTAAGAGCCAAACCTAGAAAAACGGGGTATATGGCAGGGCCGGGATTAAGTCGGAACCGTCTGTGTCAAGTATAGAGCAATGCAAATCTCCACCGAAATCTTGGCCTTTGGGTCTTTCGTATCGGAGCAACTGAGGAGGACAAAGCGCGGCAGAGGGATAGCGACAACGGAAGGGCAGGCGAAGGGGAAAGAGGGCATTGCTAACCCTAACCCTTACACCTACATAAGCCCCAACACAGCCGCAATTCACCCCGCCGACTGTTGCCTAGAGCAAGGCGCGATGGCGCGTCAGGTGTTTCTAATAACTTTGGCAAAACCGTCTTGGCGACGCCCAAAAGACTCTTTTCAACATCAGAATACAACATGCCAGAGAGAATACGACAGACAGCGAGAAGTAAGCGCGATGGCAAGCCGGCAGCTACCCCTTGGGGCTCGGCGACGATTCCAACCAAGCACTTTGAAGATGCAGCGGCATGGGAAGCATGGCTGGAACAGAATTATGGAGACCCTGACGGCATCTGGATGAAGATCAGCAGGAGAGGCAGCGGCATCCCCTCCGTCACGTACGACCAAGCGCTGGATATTGCCCTTTGCTTTGGGTGGATCGACGGGCAGAGAAAGAGTCTCGATGCGCAGTTCTTCCTACAGCGATTTGCCCCGAGACGCAAGAACAGCAACTGGTCGAAACGAAATGTTGAGAAAGTAACTGCACTGATCGAGGCAGGGAGAATGCGACCTCCCGGACAGGCCGAGATTGATGCGGCAAAGGCAGACGGACGGTGGGAGAAGGCGTACGCGTCGCCAAGCGTGATTGAAGTCCCCGACGATTTCCAAAGGGCCCTTAACAAGAATCCAAAGGCCAAGGCGTTCTTCGAGAGTCTCAGCAAGATGAAACGATATCCTTTTCTTTATCGCCTTGAGATTGTCAAGAGGGAGGAGACACGTAAGAGGAAGATCGAACAGTTTGTTGAGCTATTGTCAGCGGGAAAAACATTGTAGTCGATTTTTAGTCAGTCTCAATGACAAGGCCTATGTGTACTTTCTAATATCCTATATGGTAGATGCCACGACGGAAGCTGATGAGCTTGAATGCTGACCTGCTGCTCTTAACGTTTGTGGGGGATGCTTTAATTCCGGGGAGGATTCCAAGTTCGCAGGAACAGTAGGGAATCGCACCGTGGTCAATGGGAAGGTGGACCAAAACGTCGCGTTCCCCACTGTGGGGAGCTTGGCCCCTCCTTTCAAGGAGCCGAACAGTCAAAAAGCCGTTAGATGGGGGTCGCAACCATCCCATCCTTCAGCTTCTGGCTCCTGCGCTTGCATCAATGATATTAGGATCTGGAGTGGTTGGTCCTAATTAAGGCACGCACCTCTCCACGATTTGACATCTTGTGTTGGTCGGCACTGCGGAATCCAAAGCTTGCTATGCTCGACCGTTACTCAAAGCATTTATTTCCTCTTGTGTATTACCCCGAAGCCTTCGACAATTTATTACTCGTTTTGGAGCATCAGAAAACCTTCAATTTGAGGATGTCCTCTCTCTTGATGACCCTCGCTTTCTTCTGAGGCCAGCACTTTCTGCCATCTTGATCTTTCCCACCACACTCCGCTATGAAGAACGACAGAAAGCCTCAGAATCGGAGAGACCAGAATACAATTGAAGCGGTTCTGGGGAACCGGTGCTTTGGTTCAAAACATTAACATTGCTTGATTTTGTATGCCTTGAGCAATGCACCATGTCGTTTCTTGATCAGTGAGATAGGTGTCGTGCCTTCTCGCTGCTAGCTTCCCCTAACCTGGCGTGATGTGTTCTCAGAACTGGATTCGCTCCTCTCTCGACTTGTCGATTTCTGCATTCTGCTCTCTCTCTTAGAACGAGCTGAAGTCCTCAAGAACTTCGCTGAACTTGAGTAAGCATACGCCAGCGACAGTAACTTGCAGTGGAAAGGGGCTTTTATTTTTCGCAAGAACCACAATCTCTGTGGAAGGTGCAGCAATGAACACATCAACAATACTTAGAGTCGTTGCTGAAACCAGCTAACAATCGCAGACTCTGTCTGACGCGTCTCGAATGCACCACCTGCCCCGCAGGAAAGGCAGAAGCGATGGGAGAAGACCAGTTTGCTCGACCTGCACAGCTCGGCACTGGGAGGATTAATGCAGCTCTGAGAACAGTGTCGTGCAGCAATCAGCAGCATTGTGCGCAGCATCCATACTAACTAACTTTTGGGTTACGTGGTGGTCGCTCTTCCAATGGGCACATTCCCTCAGTACCCTCGTCAACATACACATGCGTCTCTAACGGCTTTGGGAACGATGTTTCATCTGATCCTTAGGCTGTCCATGGGGCTGCCATAGCTGTGCCACTGTTTGCAGGTAATCATCATCCTCCGTTTTCATAATAGCTTTCAGCTATTCAGTTGTATGAAAGGCAGTGATTCTCCCTCTGCGGTAACTCCTCTGCCTGTTGAGGGACATGGGCCGGGCATTACTCTCGAGGATGATGAAGACAATGCCGTCATCAATGAAGCCAGAGTTAATTCGGTCTTTATGCACGAAGGCCTGCATGCGGCGGCCCTCAATTCTCCTTTGCCTCTGGAATCCCCAGCGATTCCAGATCCCGTCGGCTTTGCCATTGATCGACTCTCTCAGCTCTTAAGTTGATTTTGAGGCTTCAGCAAAAATGATACAGCTCCTCCTACTTCGGACAGCGTATCGTTACTTCGACAGCAGGGCGAGCAGATGCTGGCTGATGATAGGGCTGCCATTTGCATGTCTGTTGGTCTCAGCCAGCTCCACCGAGAGATTCGTCTAAGAATCTGGTATGCTGGGTGTAATACTCATGAACTATAACTGTCGTTGACTTGTGTTTACCTCCTCGGACCTTCCCTCCTCGCGGAGTCCAATCACTGAGCATTTTCTAGCCTCTAGAACAGACTCAAACAGCTTTGCTGACGTCCTGAGAAAGATTGATCACGAACTTTGCGTTCTCTACCCGCGAATAGTCTATGGAATGCTTGAAAACATATCCAGAAGTGTTAGGTCAAGGCAACAACCTCCATCCTGGTTTGCTCTGCAAAGTGAGTGATCCCACTCTTTGCTCCCCTCCTTCGGAAAAAGTATTTATGGGCGTTGTCTGGAGTGGCCTTTACCTTTGGCGCTGCCCTTTTAGTGGTCACATTATCCCCGACGCTAGAAGTCAGTCTATCCGTTGATCTAGCTCAGAGATCATGGAAGCATGTGATGGCCATATTTGTCCACCGTCAGTACCATGTTCTCTCAGCAATCAAGGCAAGAGAAACACTCGACAGTTTCGATCTTCAATTTCTATGCGGCATGTTAAAGGTTAGGTATATATCTTTTGTAGTCTTCAGGTGAATGGGAGTGTACTGCAATCAGGAACCACGACAGCACTGACCCAAGGCATCTCCCATATCATGATCCTACCGGCATACCAACAGTGGGAAAAAATGAAAAAGCTCCCGCTCTTCTTCAAGTTTATCCCAATTCTCACAGCAAAGCTACGGCCAATCGCCACATCCTAAACTACAAGATTTCGGCATTGGCTTCATAACCACTTCTGTCACCGCTAGGCCCTTCAGCATGAATCTCCCCTCCTCTTGGGAATGAAATCCTCCTCCACAAACAATCTCGGTCTCTTCCATGCCTTATTTCCCGACTACTATGGCAACATTGGGTGCTGGCGTCGGACTTAGCATTGCAATGAGCGCGATGCAATGCTTCAGTCAAGGTCTGGCACAAGAGTCACTTAGTGGGGAGTGGTTTGATACATTAAAATGGGCGGGGGACTTGGATGATGCGATAATAAAGTGTACGATGGAGTGGCGTTCATAATACCCAGATTTCTAATCTAGCAGTTACACTTACTAGTTAGAGGCTTGCTTTGGGTATATTTTGTTGAACGTCATTTGGCATTATAGTCCAAAAGAACAACTCAAATATGTATAAAACTTACAAGTTCTTGCGTACATGATTTGTCCTCACAACAAGCGGAATTCACACTATTTTGCGAAGTGATCGTGCCACCTGCGCGATTCTTCATAGGAAGCAGCAATAGGGGTGAGAAACTGGCATATTCGTCGCCCTTCCACCCACACATTCGCAGTGCCGACTGGACACCCATGCGTGATCGAAGACACCGGCGGGAATGTCAATTTCTTACCGGTCTACTTCAGCGGCGTTCACATCTCCATCCATGACGCTGGGGACAAACTCGCAAGGACATTTTCTCAGAATGAAGTGGCATCATTCAACATCAAGGGGTAAACCACATCCAGCGATGATAACTCTGGATGGGACATGGTCTAAGCGATGCTGAAGTCATGGAGCTTCGGCAGGAGCTAGTGAAAGTGCAGGCCGCACACCAAGATGTCCAGATATTGAAGGGCCTTCAGATCCTTCCACAAAGACATGATCTCGCCGGTTGTGAAGAGCTCATCATTTTTTTCTATGAGCTTCTTCGCAATAGCTCGCATAGGCAACTGGCAGTGCTCTTCGTACCACGCCCACAAATTGTCCCCGTCGAGGAACCCGGGATCGTTTTGTAGCCCAGCCCGCTGTAAGTCCCTGCTGCAGACATAGGCGACGGAGGAGACCATTGCCTCGTGCGCCGGCGTGAGGAACAGGTAGCCATAGACTTGTTGGGCTAAGTCCTCGTGCCGTTCTTGCTACAGCCGGCCGTATGCGCGGCATCTGCAGTAGAATGGGTTAAATACTCGAGAATTTCTGGGTTGGTTAAAGTGTCCTTGCCCTTGACGGCCCAGTTCTGGAGCTCATAGGCAGTGTGGAACGTGAACTAGTTCAGACAAAGCGCTTGCTCAGTCTTGGGATTTAAGTTAGAGAACAGTCAACTGCGAAATATCTGGACTAAACAAGTTCTGAGGTAGTAACTTAAGATATCTAGAGTGTAGAACTTAGCTTCACTCCCCCGCACCGTATTTCTCACCAAGATGTAATAGTCCATATCATATTTGTTGATGAGGTCAATGAACTCGATTTACGCTTTGCCTGTGACGGTGAAAGGGGGAGTTGGGCCCTCAACCTCCCTGGGAACAGGCTGACCCCCTAACCACTATGTCACCCAGTCATCGAATATTCATGGTGAATCAGTGTTAATGACATCATGTGCAACGACCTGGTCGAAAATCGTTTAGTGTAGATGCCAAGCAGCATGGCCCTGGTCAGGCTCAGGGAGTATCATGCGGCAAAAAATGGAAAACGGGGAAGAAAAAGTCGGCTACGCCGATGATTTGTAAACCTATTTGACCAACATTTTGTGCTTGTCGAAAGAGACCTGACAGAAGGAAAAGGGAGAGATAAAAGGGTTACTTGAAGGGAGGTTCATGTTTATAAGCAGTCCATCCCACATCCCATTGTTTTTTCGCACGAGTTGGAGGCTAAGTAGGGATTCCAGTTTTATAAGAGCTATCATGCTTAAACCTTCCCGTGTCAGTAAGTAAAAGCCTAGGACAGAATGGAATATACTTCGACATTTCCAGATTATAGCCTGGATATGACATGGAGTTAGGAGGATCACATTCCAACTGAACAGTGAGGTCATTGAAGTCGCGTCCGACTCTAACATCGGCCCGCTGCGGGTCGGTTAGGCAGCCCCATCTCCCCCTCGCAGCGGCGCCGGCTTACAATAACCCCACTCTTGCGATCCTTCCCCACCTGAGCCGCCATCTGACTAATGGTGATCACCAAATCAGCGAACAGCGAAAGAACGGCCCAGAGAGATAAGCTTATCAAGCAGCCGCCGAGATGCAGGCCAAAAGATCGACTGAAGCTCCAATGCGGGGTTTAAGCACAAGTGTGCTTGGCGATGAGGGCACATCCCACATCTCAAAAATGCTGGCCGCCCTTGGGCTAGCAGGACTCGGTTATTGTTCCTTTGGAATCCCGAGGCTTCGGGAGATTCTGCCCAAGGACGCGGTCTTGAACGTTGGATCAAGTGTTGGCGGGTCATTTTGGGGGCTGTTGGAGATTCACTAGAAAGCTCTTGGACCACGCTAACGCCGACATGCCCCTCCCCCGCATCTGGTCCCCTCGCTGGAGGACATGGCGGTTACCACCTCCTCTTTCATATATTCCACGGTCAGCGCTACGTCTTATTGGCTTGCTAATGGTCATAAATGGCATCGTCTGGGCTGCTGCTGGTGTTCTCCTTCGTAAGTTAACCCTAGAAGTCTCCAGGGACGGAAATACTGAGATTTGTCAGACTACTACCCCCGCCTAACCCCTCCGGCTGTCCTCTCCTACACCTTCGGCCTACGCCATGCCCTCGATGCAGATCACATCGCCGCCATTGATCTGACGACCCGTCGGCTCATCGCCGCGGGCCAGCGTCCCGTCGCCGTTGGAACCTTCTTCAGTCTGGGACACTCGACGATCGTAATTATCACGTGTATCGTTGTGGCCGCAACGGCAGGAGCCTTGCGCCAACGGTTCGACGATTTCAAGCGTGTAGGGGGGATTATCGGCACGAGTGTTTCTGCTGCGTTTTTGTTGCTGCTGTGCATTGGCAATGGATGGGTGCTATGGAGGTTGGTGAGGAAAGTCAGGCAGGAAGTTACGGAGCAGACGTTGAGGGATGAGGAGGAGGCTGAGGAAGCGGCTGATGAGGCTGCCAGACGGGCGCTGCATTTTGATGGAGTTGGGTTTATGTCGAGGGTGTTTGGGAAGGCATTTAGGCTGATTGATCGGCCTTGGAAGATGCTTCCTCTAGGGATGTTGTTTGGCTTGGGGTTTGACACGAGCTCTGAGATTGCGATCTTGGGCATTGCGAGTGTACAAGCTGCACAAGGGACGAGCATGTGGGTGATTTTGATCTTTCCTGCTTTGTTTACCGGTACGGATCTTGTTTCCTTTTCTCTATCTCACCCGCGGGCTAACTAGGATGTCTTCTAGCCGGCATGTGTATGCTCGACACCACCGACGGTGCCCTAATGATGGCCCTGTACACATCCAAGGCCTTCTCCAGGGATATGATCGCCATCCTCTACTACTCTATCGTTCTCACTGGCATTACAGTCGTTGTCTCGGCCTTCATTGGCATCATCCAGGTCTTGTCCCTTATCGAGCACGTTGCTGAACCGGAGGGCAAGTTCTGGAAAGGGGTTGGTGCGATTGGAGATCATTACGATATCATCGGTGGATGCATCTGCGGGCTTTTTGTCTTGGTCGGCTTGGGCTCCATTCTTGTGTATCGTCCTTGGAGGAGACGGATGGAGCGGCGAGTCCAAGAAGCTATTCCGGCGATCGATGCTGTTGTACCACAGCCACAGCAGCAAAGCTCTAGGAAAGCTCAATCCCCTGGCTTGCCTTGATGCTGGCTCGTCGTCCGCACATATGATAATGTTTTGATCATATCGTTAGATCCTTGGGCTCGAAATTGGATACCACCACCATCAGAGCAACCGGCCGCCGAGTTTGGATTGCACAGCACTTCAACTCGAAGCCCACGACAATATCGATGATCTCAATGAAACGGAGGACGAGACCCCTGTTGATCAGGAAAAATGCGGGTATGACAGCTGTTGTATCACCTCTTACGCTTGCTCGGCGTGGGGTCTGCGGCGTTGGTCTTAGACATCGGGTGTACCGCCCCCGAAAGTGCTATCGAACTAGGTGTCATAGCACAGGCAGTCGGAAATAACAACATTAGTTTGTTGATTGACAGACTTTGTTTCGGATGCTCAAGAGACCCTTAACTCAGAGAGAGGCCTGAGATACCGTCGTGTCAAGAGATCAAAAAAAGAATAAACCGGAAGTAAACAGACAGTAGACAATATTTCTTTTTCTGTTACAGTATTTGCAATGATGATGTGATGGGCTGTGAACCACCAAATAACCAAATCAATCAAGTTAAAGAGGAAACGATCATTATTTATCTTATTATTACCACTTCCAAGAGGCAAACATGAAGTAGTGGCTTATGTACAAGTTGTATGCACTGAGAACGAGCAGCGGCACGGTGTGGTACCACGGAAAGCCCGTAAGGAGCCTGTAGGTCACCGACGCAACGACTGCTCCTACCCAAGTCAGTGTCCACAGCCAACAGAGTATCCTCATGTTGCGATACTTGTTCGACTTGTGCGCTTTTTTGTCCCCGGATGCAGCCCAGAGAAGCTCGATGCCGAAAAGACGATCCTTGATAGCCGTTAGATAAGCATAGGACTGGATGACCATGATGTGTTGCACGTTCAGGCCGTAGCTTGCCTTGGCCCAAAAACGGAACAGGATGAGACCGTAGAAGATGGATGGAATGGCGAAGGCCAAGTTGTAGTATTTGAACCATTCGGGTCGAAAGAACAAAAGAAGAGGCCCAGGCATGGGCGAGATGAAGATGCCAAGGGCGACAGCAGAGTAGTAAAGCAGGCCTTAGGGTCCAATCAGTACTGGAAGAGCTTGTCAACAAGGGAGAAGCAGATTCATACCACAGAGATAGCACATCTTTTGCATGGTAGTCAAGTTGGAAACCCAGAAATGCTTGGTTGTCAGGAGCGTGGTGCTTCCGCGCGCCCAGCGCATCTGCTGTGAGAAAAAGGAGCGTGGGGTGTTCGGGCAGATGCCCGTCGCTAGACAGAGAGGGACGTATTTGACCTTCCAACCTCGATCAACAGCGCCAAACCTAGCAGAGTTAGCACTCAAACTCCGTACCTTTATGTTACAGTGCTAGCAACTCACCCAGTATGGACATCCTCAGAAAACCCGATCTCCGCCGTCCCACCAACCTCGACCAACGACGCCCGTCTGTACACGGCATTACTCCCTACACAGATCGATGCCCCCCACCGGTTCCTATTAACCTGCACCACACGATAGAACAGCTCTTGCGTTGCGCCCGCACCCTGTTCGATCCACGTCTGGTCATCCGTGACACGAAAGTACTGAGGGCTCTGCACGATCGCCGTCTTTTCGTCCGCGAGATGCTCGACCATCAGCTCCCTGAGAAAATCGGGCCGAGGACAGAAGTCTGCGTCAAAGATTGCAAAGAAGTCGCTCTCTGTGCGGGCGAATGCCCAGCGAAGGTTGCCTGCCTTGCGCAGGCGTGGCCGGTCGTCGCGGACGATATAGTTGAAGCCGAAGCGGGCGGCAAGATCGCGCACTGCAGGCTGGTCGCCGTCGTCAAGAACGTAGACTTTGAGCTTGTGGGCAGGCCAGTCGAGACGAATGATGTGGCTCCAGGTGTTTTCTAAGATCTCGAGGGGCTCGGAGCAGCAGGGCAGATAGATGTCCACTGTTGGGGCAGTTTCGTCGGTGATTGGGTGCTGCTCCCGTATTCGCAGATGGGATTCGTAATCCCAATCTCGTCCAATCAAGCCAACGAAGTACGAGATCATGAGATAGATGTTGAGGAAAGTGACGAAGATGCCGTACCAGGAGAAGATTGGGTCGCATATGGCGAAGAGCCACATGCCGGCTGATAGGGACAAGAAAGAGAAGACGCCGAAGATGTAGAGTGGAATGCGGTTTGTCTCGATGTACTTGAGTTTCTCCTCGTCAGTCGGTGCTGAAGGAAGTACTAGCGGAGGTTCCCCTCCCGGACAATATGTCCTCCGGAAGGCTTTATAGGCACGCTTGAGGATGCTGGCCTTGGTTGAAGCCTGTTCAATAGAAGACGGGTGATCCTGTCTAATTCCGGATTGAAAGACTCCATCGTCAGAAGAGAATGCTGATTTCTCATTAAGCTCCCCATGAAGCTGGTCCTGGGCCTGTCGAAATGTTAGACCAGTTTACAGATCGAGGCGATGCAAGCTTAGTCCCGACTTACCGTTGCACTGGTGGCTTGTCTAGGCGTCCGGCCTGGAACATGAGGAAGAGGTCTGAAGGGAGCAGGAAAGACTGGCGGTAGCTGGAGGTCCTGACTTCATGTCAATAACCTTCTGTTGAACATCCAGATAAGCATACTTACGAATGTATGTACGCTATATGTGCTAGAGGACTCATCCCTTGGTAGTGAGCAGTTGGAGGGATCACGGAAAGGATCTCGACAAATATGAGAAGAAGGAATGCTCCGCTGTGTCCCGGCTGTTCCAGGCCGCGGAGGGTAAGTATACGACGCCATCCAGAAAGATTTCCTGAGGGACTAGCAGAAAAGAATGAAGTAGTTGGCTACAAGTGAGTGCATTTTTGACATTAGTGAGATGGAAAAAGCGTACAAATGCCCCTAGCACATACGGCCGTATATAATTTGAAGGATGGATATCATCAACCCCTCCCACCATCCGGCTGTCATGGAGACAACACCGGAGTAGCCTTGAGCTCGTGTCATCCAGTGATCATCCCGAGGAAAGGATCCATCAATGTGACTTAGGGAGCAGTGGCTAACTTTAGATCAGGTTGTTAAAGAGACTCGGGAGCAATACCCTTGAGATCAAGGTGCCACCCTTGACTAAGATGTTGAAACAACGTCCGAGCGCTGCCGATCGAACCTAGTAGGCCCGGTCAGATCCCGGTCAATGAAAGAAACAGAGACATAAAAAAACATTGGGCAATATGTCCCAATAGCAGACCCAAAAAGTACTTTCCACGAAGAATGCTGAATAGAACCCGAGCCGGAAACGTGGATAACATCAACGAAGGTAGTGTACAAAGCAAACAGTTCCAGCGACTATGGCAAACAGTTTCCGCGAAGTGATGTAAGCAGCAGCAATGACGCCGGAACTGGTGAGGCAGTCCGGGGCGGGGGGGAGATCGAGGACCGGCGGAGGGCCGACGAGTACGTCAAGGCCATATTTTCGTGCCGAGAATGTCACATTCCCCTTGGAGTGCCAGGTCTCGGTACCAAAGCCAACCAGCCCCAAATATGCGCGCCGAGACACAAGATCGTTCATCCAAAGGAACTGCAGTAGGGGAGACACATCCCCCGCGAAGCTCGTCTCGGGGACCTCCGTGAGCCAGGTAAACACATGAGTTCCTCTCTGGTTTTTGCCATAGTAAAGTGTACTATGTGACCGAGGTTAGCAACACATTAACAGAGCAGCTAGCCGCCAGGGATGGCCAACGTACAACTCAACATGTCCTATGGTCATTGTTACACGACACTTTGCGGGGCGTTTGTATCCAAGAGGATATGCATAACCAAACATTCCGAGCCAGATCATGACTTCCGTCTCAGCTGAGGTTTCCCCTTGAGACTCCGGCGGATTGTGATCGACAAAAAGGTCAAAAGCAACGTTGGCGAACACGTCTTCTTGAGATAGCGCTATAGAATCAAGGCTTGGAATTGGCTTTGGCGTCGATCCCAGTCCCATGGACCACTGGGCCGTAAGAACAAGCGCCGATATGTTAGTCAAGGGAACTGGGAAAGTGGAGTCTGTCAACTTGACGTGGGGATAAGAGTGAACTGTGCCAGCCTCGGCCGACCAATTCCAAGTGGCGTCAAAAGATGGAGGTTTATCCTTGATCTGAGGAAGGCAAGATGTTAACACCGCATTCCGGTAGCTGTTGCGAAGATGGGGGTTGTCACGAACCATGATACATTGGAACCCTGGGGCATCCGGGTTCCAGGCGTTCGGAACATCTGGCGTAGTATGAGTAAGTGGTTTTCAGGAAGCATGATGTGGAATATATCTTACATGTCAAGTTGGTATTAGGAGTAGTGTAACTGCCCTCTCCACATAACCTAGCATCATAACTGGAACTCGCCCCAGGCTTGCCTAATATGGCAACAGAAATAACAAGTTGCATAGTCCTCGACAACCACATGTTTGGTAATAAGCCTCAATAGTAAGTCGATGGCGGCAGTGAAAATGAATGAGGAATTCGATGCCGGGCGAGAGTCGCGACACAGCTAATCTAGTTCATAAACTAGTCTGCTAACCTTAGAAGATGTCTCTATCGTTGGTAAAAAAAAAAAAAAGAAAAAGAAAAACATTGTGAAAGGCGGGAGTAGGTTCCGGACAATAGGATACGTCAAGGGGTTCTCCTTGTTTCTCAAAGGTGAAACTCGATGAAAGTTGAACTGCATGAGCTTGACACAAACATCCAAACACAAGTGTCTTGTCCTACGTTGGCGAAGCGGAGTGTCAATGTCCGATAGAAGGCCGAAATCCTGATAAGGGATCCGGATCTTTTGAGGCTTACCGCAATGAAAAAAGGGGTCGAAGCGTGTTGCACAAAAGCTCGGTGAATCCAAGATAGGAAAGACATTGTTGCCATGACACTCATGAAGCAGGAGAGTGTGAACAGGTTGTCATTACAGTCGATGATCTTCGGTATTAAAGCATTTGCGTAACGTTTGAGGTTAGCTGAGGTACTGTCGAGATGAGAGAAGAGAAATTTTGAAAGTCGCAAGAGCGTTTGTTGATCGTCATGTTGAGCTAGTAATTCTCTTATCTAGGACCGAATTTTGGTTGAATCGGGGCCCCTCAGTAGAAAGCTAGACATGGAGGATCCAGGCCCAAGAACGTCGTTAGTTGTGATGCCATTGTCTATCTCTGGAGCAAACAGAGTTCGCAGCCCAGAATAAAAAAATCCGATCTTTCCTCTCTGAGCAAATTATGTAGGAAAGGAGTACTGAGCTCGCGTCGAAGAAAGAAGTACAGGAGAGGAGAGTTCGATATTGAAGAGCAAAAGACCGGCAGACACGTAAGCCTCTCAGAGGGGATCACCGATGAAAAGCTGCCAAGAATTCAGCTTGTCTGGAAGCGGAGCGATAAGCAAATGTTTAGCACGAACCGATCACATCACAGGGGATAGACAGAGGATTGACGACGCACAACTTAGTAAGGGTTAGAATTGGGGATGTAGCTCGTAGAGGGGAGCGGAAGGTAGCATATATGATCATCGCAAGGAGACGTCCGTTCACCTGTGATAGCCGTCTTTGTAAGAATCGTCATCCCGTCCTCGATTCCCTTAGCCTGGCTTGTCAGCATCAGTGCTGGGAGCTCGAGGAAACACCATGGATATCTCTCGACAACCTAACCTCCATGCGATGGATACCTCGATGACTCACAGCAAGTTAGCCAGGTCCTTTCCCAGCTCACAGTCAATAGCGTCGACCATCAGCGCCAGGGGATCAGTTCAGGACTCATGGCCAGCGACTGGATGGCTCCGAGAAACGCCCAACACATCCCCGGCTGGATCTCAGGCGGGATCACCGGCACTCAAACCAGCATCTCTTCAGGAACACAGAAGCACTTCGACAACAGAGGAATCCGTTGAGAATGCTTCGGTTTCAGAAGTCAAGAATATCTGCTTCATAGGGGCCGGATTTGTTGGTATGGTGCCTCCTCAGCCAGATGAAGGAAAAGGTCAAATTGGACTGACCAGAGATCAGGTGGGCCTACAGCTGCAGTAATCGCATACCACAACCCGCATATTCAGGTCAATGTTGTAGACCTGAATGAGCAACGAATTTCGGCATGGAACTCGGTGCATCTCCCGATTCACGAGGAGGGCCTGTTGAAGGTTGTTCGTATTGCCAGAGATGGGACGCTTGAAAGGACAGTATCACTGGCGGGAATGCCTTACCCTGTTCAGCTTAAGGCACGACAGCCTAACCTTTTTTTTTCCACACACATTGAGCAAGCTATCACCGAAGCAGATATGATCTTCATCTGCGTCAACACACCCACCAAAACACACGGAATCGGAGCTGGGTTCATGGCCGACGTCAGCGCAGTTGAGACCGCGACCCGGACGGTAGCGAAACATGCAAAGTCTGGTGCCATTATTGTTGAGAAGAGCACTGTTCCATGCGGTACAGCTCGGATGATTCACGACATTGTGAGTTGCCGCTAGATCTTAAAATTTGAAGGTGTTCTGACTGTTCCCAGCTGAGGTACTTTCGCCCCGAAGACAAGTTTGAGGTCCTGTCGAATCCAGAATTCCTCGCAGAGGGAACAGCGATCGAAAATCTGATGCACCCGGATCGGATCTTGATCGGCAGTTCCCCGACTCTGTCGGGCCTCCAGGCCGCGGCGGCGTTGAAGAAAGTGTATGCTGCGTGGGTACCTATCCCACAGATTTTAACCATCAATACCTTCAGCAGTGAGCTCGCAAAACTCGTGGCGAACACCATGCTTGCGCAGCGCATCAGCAGCATCAACGCGGTCAGTGCAATGTGCGAGGCGATCGGGCTGGGCGCAGACGTGGAGGACATCAGCTTGGCGATCGGCAAGGACGTAAGACTGGGCCCAAAGTTCCTACGAGCAGGCGTCGGGTTCGGCGGATCGTGCTTTGAAAAGGATATCCTCAGCTTAGCATACCTAGCAAGGGAACTTCACTTGGATGTAGTTGCCGACTACTGGCTGGCGGTTCTGCGGGTCAATGAGGACCAACGCCGTCGCTTTACTCGCAATGTGGTTCGAGAGTTGAACGGCTCTCTCCGGGGCAAGAAGATTGCCATTCTTGGTTTCACGTTCAAAGAAGGAACAAACGACACCCGGAACAGTATTGCAGTGCACATTATCAAGGAACTCGCGTCAGAGATGCCGCGCGAGATCGCCGTATTTGACCCTGGATGTGCGCCACACGAGATCCTTGAGGAGATCCAGCGGATTGGCCTAAACAAAGATGAGATGGAGAGGGTCCGAGTCTGCTATGGATGGAGAGAGTGTGTCCAGCAGGCCAGCGCCGTTTGCATTCTCACGCAGTGGAGGCAGTTCCGTGGCCAGCATCTAGGAGCCACTGCAGGATCCTCAAGAAACATGGCGATGCTGACAGATGATGGGCTTGCTACTGACACCCAGGAAGCTTGCATCAGCGAGATGGCTATCAGGGATTTGGAGCGGCTCTCACGACAACAGGTAGAAGCCCCATCAGACGACCCCCTCGGGAGGTTGAAACCACTTCCACCTTGTCCGAAGGACTGCAGCCAGTGTGGACGCGGTGGAAGGGAGCAGGCTCAGGAAATGGTGAACTGGGTCGAAGCTGCGGATATGATGCAAGAGCCGCGTTGGGTTTTTGATGGGCGGAACATCGTGAACCACCTTGAGCTTCAAAGACTGGGCTTCAGGGTTAGGGGCATTGGAAAGGGACAAATCTTGGAGAACACGAGGGAGAATCGGGGGAGTTCTAGAAAGCTTCCAAAAGAACTGGAAACTTGAACACAACGCATTATAGGGATTGTTCTGTATACCTTTCCACAGATTTGCACTTTCTGTCACGGCCATACAGCCATCATGATAGATCGGTACTTCATTCGTAATTCGAGCTCATGTTGAACAGCCTGGAAATGTCGGATTGGAATTTGGAGGTTTTGGAAACTGGTGGCAGAGATCGCAAAGCATCGCGGCACAAGACTGCATTTCAGAGTTCCGTTGGTGGTTAGGGTCGCTTGACTCACCCGGGACCCCACAAGCAAACTCACGCGGTATGCCTGGCTTTGCGCCCCCCCCCCCCAAAGTGGGCTATGCTTTTCTGCTGAGTCAGCATATTGGGCCTGGGCGGACTTGTTGAAAAATCGGCCTCTGGCAGAAGGCCAGATCAGCGGCTTGTTTTCCGGCATCGATTTGACGACGCTCTTGATCTTGCTATGGAAGCCCAGACATAACACTTCTCCCCTGCAGGCCAAATATACTTGTTAGCCGCCTGAAACTGCACATCGTAGTTACCCCTTACAGCGATTACGATGTATATCCATAGGTGGCACAGCAAGTTTGGTCAAGGCTTTCAGGCCTGTCAGCTGTCATCTTCAGCAATTCCGGTGGGCAGGTTTGCTTTGTTTCAAGCCCCGAATCGTTTTATCTCAGGCCAGCTGACGGCCTTCGACCAACACGAAGTCACGTGGCAGTTGTACTTTGAAGTCCGGCTGAGTTCATAGCTTATTTGTCGAATTTGCCTTCGCCGATGATGATTGCTCAACAGAGTCTCATGATTTTTGATACAGAATGACGTAATTTACGTAACCAAAGGGTGTAATGATACACATCACCTACTACGAGAATACCGGTTGTGTTTTGGGCTTCAGGGGCCAATGTGAAGAGTAAGAACTTCCCCTTGAAGGAATCTAGAGGCCATTCTCTACAGATCGTAAAAGAGAAGTTCATTCTGGTAAGTATGTAGATAGCGACAAAGGAAAATATTCCAAGGAATGAGGGACGACAAAAGGGAAACATGACTGATAGGCGCCGGGGCAACCTGCACGTTGCTCCTCTAGTACCAATAGTTCTCATCCCACCGCCCTCTCTTCCTCCTCTTCTCTCCATAATCGTCATCAAAATGACTAAACCCTCCCCAATCCTCTCCCAAAACCTTACTCTTCCTGTCCCGCCCTCTAGACAGTTCCATCCTCTCCACAGCCCCCCTCAATTCCGCAATGTCATCCCAGTCCCTATCCTTTCCCTTCGACGACGTCCTGTACGAGTCGCTGTTGCTCCTCTTCAAGATACCCTTCAACGGCTCTCCACTGCTAGACACTAGCGCAGGGCGGCTGGCAATCTCAGCATTCTGCTTCGCCCGCTTGGCACGCACCTCGTCCTCCCAACGCAGCTGTTTAGGCTTAGACAAGGAACCATCGCTATGGTGAATAACAGTTGACGACCGGCGCAGCGGTTCGGTATATGCGTACGCGTTCAGGCCCGTCCGGCTGCGGGAACCGGTCGGCTCAGGGTAGCTGGACATGGACATGCGCCTGCGCTCGCGGGGACGGGAGCTCTCCTCCACAAACACATAGTCGGGTATATCCACACTGTTGCGGCGCCGGTGGCGGGAGTCGCTGCCGTCGCGCGAATCATCGCGGGAACGGCGACGGTCGTAGTCGTCTGCTAGGCCGATGGAGATATCGTCGGAGTATTCACGGCCTTTAGAGCGTGACCGAGAGTCGCGGTCCTTGTAGACAATAAGCGGTGTGCTGGAGGAATGCTTGGACTTGGAGGATTCCTTCTCGTAGCGGTCGCGCTCGCGACGAGAGGAACGTTGATAGTCGTAGGGGTCAAGGAGGATATACGGGTCGTCGTAGTCGTAGTGCTTATTCGACTTGACTCCTTTCGAGTACACTTCTGAGTTCCGCCGGCGAGAAGATGAAGACTTTGAGCTGGAAACATAGTCTGGGAAGTAAGGAGTTGGAATGCGTTCTGAAAGGCTTCGGTGGGACTCAGAACCCAGATTGCTTAGCCTAGAGAATGGAAATTTGCGGTTGTAGGTGCGGACATCAGGCCGAGAACATCGGTGTCCATCCCGACAAGGGTACATCTTCTCGGTAACAACCTCATCCCCATCCGCGTAAGTGTTGAAGTAGATCTCTTTGCGGCACATGGTTGCTTTTTTGTAGCAGAGCCCTTGTATTCCAACAGTTGTTAACTTTGGATGCAATCGCAATGGCTACTCCCTGACATCAGGTGGAGAAGGGAGGAGAAACCCTTAGCACACGTCTCCGATGGGAGAGACAGAGCGCTAAAATGGAGAGAAAAGGATGAAGAAGAAAGGAAGTTGAAATGGTCTTCGAACTTTTCTGGGATTATGTTGGCTTCAGTCGGCGGTATCTGGGACAAAACAGCTATTTGTTCGGAATATTTGTCTCAAAGGCATGAGCACATGGGAAGAGCTGAGGGGTGTGTAGTCATCAGACAACACACTTTCTGATACTGTGATTTAGTTTTGTGAGGAGAAAATGAGACGAGAGTACTGTAGACCGTGTTTGAGGGCGAGCTAAGAGGCTGAAAATGTATAGGTATCCGGTCACAAGAGTGGGCCGAAAAGGAGCTGGCTTGCTGGTCACCAGCCAAGGTCGATCACCCAAGGGCGGGCGGCGACCAGCAGTTATATACGACGATCTCCAACATCAGCTGTCCAGTCATGGCACAGCAAAAGGAAGCTCCATTTTGAGAAGGGCATCGCTGCTAGGCGTACAGGTTCATTTGGTATTCGGTGTAGGTTTGCCGGGCAACGGGGCACCAGCTTACGACGCATAAAGAGAGAAAGCTTCCCCTACCTCTTCGACTCTCTTTTGTGGTTAGCCTAGAGAAATATGAGAGACACCTGAACAGTGTTCCATTGTCATTCCCAGATCCAACGAGGCGTAAGTCATGAACAGGCTTGGTCGGGCTGGTGACACCCAACAGTCACAAGGCAAAGAAAGAGGGCCAGAAAGCCAAGGGGTCTTGTGATGCTAAAACTACTCCCGCTGACCAAAAATTACTCATACCTCACTGATATCGAGTTTGTGGAATGAATTACTGCTGTTGTCACGGATTCCGGCTGTTGGCGGGTGATGTGAAACACAGCTGGGGTCGAGAGTGAGATGAGGATCGAACAATCTGGAGCCAAAACACCGTGGCCAAGGCCAATGACCAAACGAGCCTCACTTGTGGCAGCAGGACATGGACAAAATGATTTTGAGGGCTTTCCCAGCGATTCCGTAGCCTTCGGTGTCCCGGAGCTGCTCTTGTACACCATTAAGCATGTGTGATGTAACAGAAGCTGATATGTTAAGGCTTGTTCAGTTGAATGAAGTGATAACGAGAGGAAACACAGTATTACACAGGACAAATCTAGAACTAAGCAACCCAAATCAAGCTTACCGAGTTCCTTAGATGAGAGGGAAGATAGAGGGAGAAACAAGGCCATGGTTCCTGCAGAGGTGTGTGTGGTGTGTGCATGGACCATGTGCTATTGGTGTCAGTGTTGCTGTTGGTGGTCGTGCCGTGAATGACCAGGATGGTGGGGTGGGTGGGGTGGTGGGGCCACGCGCAGCAGCGGCCCCACTTCCACGTGAGACGGCCCCAAGATGGTCCCAGGTGCCGCCAATCAGGGCTGGGGGCTTAGATCTCGCCAACAGCTACCAGTGGGTAACATGCTTTCAAGCGAAGCCTGACCATAAACCTTGTCTTGTAGTGGTTGTTTTCCAGACTGCAAGTCGGCCAGCGGCAGCGGCCCGCGTTCCCACTCCGGGCAGCTACCGATTCAAATGTCCAAAGAGCCGAAGATTCGTATCCACCAATACATTTTGTGAAAAGCCAAGGCATATCAGCCTGACTAGATCCCTAACTCAAGACGGACAATAACGCCAAGTGGCAACAAGGTACTAAGACATCTTATTGCGCTGCCAAGGTGTGAGAATCTCGCATTCCAGAAACTAGACACGACCAGCTGATCTTGCACTGCCACTTGCACTCAACTTCTCAGCCTACCTTCTCACAGTTCATTCCAATGTTGCATCAAGTGAGCTGGGTCTGTTCCATGCGCAAATCTCCCACGTTGTTATCATTAAGTGCCCGCTTCTGTCTAATGTATCTTGACACGCCTAAGTTTAAGCGACTCCTAAGCGATATCCTTATGTGTCTGAGGAGTGTTCACCACTGAATTACGTCATGAGGGGTTGAAGAACTCCTGGGCATTATTCACATCTTCGTAAACCAACATTAGAAGGCCTTCCTAACCACATTTTGTCTTCTCTATACATAATTCATATCTGCTTATCAACTAGTTGGCATGCTGTTGGAACACCAAGCGGAAGTCATGAGACTTATTTAGCGGGCTTTTGTCACCTGGAGCGCCAGCAGTGAAATTCTTCAACACTACCTGCGCACACCTGTGTTGCTCACCGCTTTCCTTGTCTAGAATCCACTTCTGCTTCTTCCCGTTTCGTTGTTGTTGAATACGTTGTTCTAGCGCGTGGATATGTTCAAAAGCTGACGAACGTTGTCGACGTCGCCTTTGTTTTCGTAGATTTCCGCTAGATGTCCCTGAGCCTCAAGGATGGCCTCATGCTCCTCAGTTCCCAGATACTGCCTCAGCTTATGAATGACCACATTCATGAAAGCTTTAGCTTAGTTTATCTAGCCAGCTTTCAGGTAGGCATCTGTCATATTGCTCCGAAGCAAGATATTATTCTGATGAACAGGACCCAGCTCTTTTCTGACCGTTCAATATCTCCTTCCGAAACCTGTATCATCTCGTCATATTGGTCATTTTGGGCAAGTAATTCTGCTAAAAACTCTAGATAAATACAATACATCAAGTTTCCTTGCCAGGAAAGCGTTTCCGCAATTTTCACTAACTTCTTCTCTGTTGCGATTACCCCTCCCATCTTTCCTAACTCATATACTGCATGTACGAGTATATAACCGGTATGAAGAAGCCGAATAGCCCCATCACTGTCGTTTTCTTGCATGCGGATGATGGCACATTTGGAGTGCCTTTTGACAATCGTGGGACTGAAATATGCTTTCACCTAACGTCCAGAGTCCACTAGAACCCTTCACTCATCCTGTGAGCCGCGTTCCAGAACGTCATGTACATGGGTAATAAGCTCCATCGCTTCTGAACCCCAGCCAAGTTCCCGATACGTTTGAGATAAACGCGACTTGAAACACCAGAATGATAGGGTCATGAGCGCCCTATGTCCTAAGGGGTCTGCACTCTCTAGAGAGGGATTATCATTGTCCTCCTCAGAACCAGTTGTGCATGGGGTAGAATTTCCCACTACAACCGAGGACCGCGATAGTTTGACAGTGACATCTGCTTGAATACGGAGTAGACATACGGAATTGCACCCATCCAGACGGCTGCTGTTATATCCTCTTTATGAAGCCAAATGCGGTTGGCAAGTTGAGCTAGCCGGTGCATGTCAAAAGTGCCATTCCCTCCACATCTAGCGAAGCGATAAGTACATAGTGTTCTAATTGAATTGGCAACTTGCAGTGCCGAATCTTCAGAACATGACGGCAGAGCTAAGAGCGATTGGGGTATTTTCTATGCTTAATACAGGAAATGAATTCCAGAAATTTTGCAGCCCGAAAGTCTGTTTCGAGGATTTGCTCGAGAGATACCAACCATGTTGTAGCAATAGATATGTGCCATTTTGTGTAACCCGGGCGTATGATTGACAAATTCCTCACCCATCAGTGATATCAGACTTCCAGTGCTGGCTCTCAGGAGAGTAGGATATTTAGAAAGCGTCGGTTCTAGTTTATTGATATATGTCGCTGCTTGGGCAATTGCTAGAGGAAGAGAGGTCAGTTCATCCAGTAGTTTCTGGAATGAGTCGCGGTCTTGAAAATAGTCGTTGTGAATGATCAAGCGCTCAAACAATATGACCGCTTCCTCTTTGCTCACTTGTTCAACATCAATAGCCCTATTTCCGGCTGCGTCAACGGCCACCTTTCGGGAGCGGGTAGCAAATAAGATGGACATTCTGGTCATATTCAAGGGTAGATCCCAAAAATCCTCTTTTGTCTGCAGCCGCCACCGTGCCAAACAGTAGCTCAAAATCATCAGCATCATCGACGATTAAGAACTACGGTTGTGTGGTTGTGGCAAGGTGATGCCAAACTGCCACTTTGTAATTTGGAACAGTGCCGCTGGGACCCTTGGGAAGCGGCAACATCTGAGCAATTCTCAAAAGTCTGAGAAACTGTCTCGTAATCAAAGCACATATCAACAGATCGAATATCAGATGTGGAAAGCTCCAGGAGAGCATCTGCATCGCTAGCCACAGCCATTAGGTAGGTTTGGCTACGTTGTTTCTCAGATTTTGTTGCCAGAAATTAATCATTCTGAAGAGGACTATGAAGCCAATCAGGTACATCCCATTTCTTGAAAACACCGACCTCATTGGTCGGGACGGCATTGTCAGTCAACTTAAGTTATTTCCCTTCAGACAAAAGATGCATCGATATGCTGGCCTTTTCGGGCTGAGGGGTTGGTAAAAAGTCAAATAGCTTTGCATCTAGCGCCGTGGGTAAAACGATGGCTACCAGAGTATCTGTGTGTGTCGCGAAACACTCCCACAATTGCCTTCTATTGAAAATCATCTCGGCTTGAACATCGTACCATCCTCCTGTGATCTGCGTCAAGAGTTCTCGACCTGTTCGTACGGCTTACTCAGGTCAAGCTTTGAGGAGATATTATCAACAACCTTCCCATGGGTATCGTTAGAAACATACTTCAGAATAGGTATCAAATGTATAACGCGCTTTTCAGCTAAACCTTTAATTTCTGTAAGGGTATGACTCTCTTGGAATAAATGGATGCGGATGTTATTCCAGAGGACAATTTTAACAAAATATTTTTGTGGGTGATATTCAACAATTCGCTGTTTGGCTTCGAGTTCTTGACAACGGTCGTATTGGAAGCATAACGGGCTAAGTTCGAAACCTCCCTGCAATGACTCCCCAGTCTGCCAACCCAGGCACTTTGGGAGGAGTCCTTAGGAAAATCCCGATTTGTGTTTGTTCTCGACACAACTGTGAGCGGGAGACGGCCTGCAGATGCCATTAGACTTGGTTGAAAATCTTGGGGATAACAAGAGGGACAAATCAGTATATATTTCACACGAATACCTCCGAGACCATATGCCACAAATATCATGGGATACTGCCGGCGCACTACAATTAATATGTATTATAAACAGCAATGATTTAGTCAAGCTTACGGATCTGTACTTACCTATTTCGGAATATCCTTCCCCAGTTCAAACTGTATCCTCCCCATTCTGGGTGATTGTATCTTTGTTTCCAGTTTGATGTAATATAGTGAAGGGCAGGCATTATGCTCATTTGTCCAGACCTCTGCTTCGGGTATATCGGTGGTTAGGTAGTCTCAAGGCCAGAATATCCTGTCGACATTACCACTCCTATTAGCAATTTTGCTAGCACGATAGTGACATTGCGCTTGGTTCACCGAAAGAGACCTCTGTGAACATACCAAGATTCATCCATTTTTTGAGGATGTAAACAGACTTTAACCCTAAATATATTCTTCTTACTACTTCTGCCTCATCTTTTATGGGCAAGACTGTTTCCTTCCGTTGTCCATGTGCTCGCTAACCCATGGACGAAATGAAGCTGTTTCATGTAAGTCTCAGCACTATATACAATGCATAGGGTCGCTGATAGTGTGAACGGCATCCTTGATCCAATGTTGGCCATCAACACGTCCTTGATGGTCACAAAGCTTCGTGAAATCTACACATTCACTCGTATGATGCTTGTGCTTGTGCATTGTGAACACTCTGCTTTGTGGAGACAAGACAATTTGGCATCTGGTAATGTTTAATAAGAAGGCATTTTGCTGAGAACTTCAGCACATAAAGATGAAGAATGAAGCATTGGCGGGGGAGTTGAGCAGTTGATCTAGTTGGGATATAATGGAATGAGCGTAGTATGACCAGCCTTTGAAAATAACAAAGTGCATCTGTGCCATCGTCACCTAACTTTCAATCAAGAAAACGTCAACTGGTGTAACATAGATGTATGCATGAATTTGTAATGTTGGATTTCGCGGCCCTTCGTGTGTGACACGGACATGGCAGTCCAAGGGAAATGGGTATCTCTGACTGCCAAGCACAAGGGACACCGGAGATAGAATAGTTGTGAGTGGCACGAACCCATGGTGGATCCCAGAAGATATCTGGAAGCCGCATGACCGAAAAGAATGAACCGGATGGCCGAGAAGATTCTATAAAGGAAGGTAGTCGGACATGATGGACTTCTCTTGGTTTTCCTCCCCCTAACACAAGGACATTGAGGACCAAGAACGATTATCACAGGTATCAATTAACTTCTTTGTGCACCGTCAATGGCCATCATCAAACCCATTCGACCCATGGTCGATCCCTACCTGCACCAGACCAAATCACTCGTTACACTTCGAAGCAATCACTTGGGTCCTGACAATATAGCTACCGGACATGGAGCACAAGGACAGCCTGGAAGCATTAGCCATAGATGCTGCGTATGGCTTGGCCCGTATCTGGACTCTGGGCAATGAGTCCCCATAGCAGGTGTTACACAGGCCGGATCCTTCGTCCTCAGTGACATGAATAGGGCCCACTGAGAGAGCTTCTATGATCTTCATACAACCGGTTTCCACTGTTTCGCTCTCTGGCTATCTTCTAGGGGAGGTGATTTTGAGGGAAAGATTGGGTCATCTTTGTGACGACAGGATAGAGAGGCGGTGCCTGGTAGAATGCGAAGAATTCAGTGGCTATGTTGGGTTCGACCTACGGGGTAAGACTTTGTTTCTAAGGTCTACAGATTATTACCTCTTGCCTAGTACTTGGGACTAATTGCACGAGGTAGATACCCCCCGTCGCCATTGCTGCAATAGGGGTGCGCTCTATGACATACGTTGCCATCCTTTGTTTGGACTTTGCGGTTCGGTTCGATGCCGAAGCCGCCAATCCCTAGCATTTGCGGCTTGAACCCTAACCCCTGGGATTCACCAAGTCTTGTTCAAGTCACGTGCACTCAAGATCTGAGAGTAGGCTTGGGCTTTAGTGGTGCCTTGAGCTTCATTTACCAGCTCTCGGTTCGAAGGCAGCAGCAAAGGCTAGAAATTCTCACCACTACCATCCATTGTAATCTCCAGGTTGCGAATCAATTTTCCAGTGGACACAACTATCTCTTTGCAACCTATCCCCTCCATTGCAACGCAATTACTGAAAGATTACCGAAAGATACTCAGCTCACAGTGTCGGTTTCTCACTCTGAACTGCTGTAATATTCCCCAAGCCCTTTGCCTGATTGCGGCTTCGATTGATCCGCTTGTCAACAGTCAGGCTTGTCGCTGGCCACCACACTAGTCTCGTTAGTCCACTCGCTTGCAGCCGCCATCCTCCCTCGTCCCCCCTATCTTATCATCCAGCATTGTTTGCTTTTTTTCAGGCCCATATAATTCATCAAGATGAATTCGAACGGGTATGACGGTTATGACAGACAATATAGCGAGCTGGAAGGGCTCGATCCAAGTTATATCACCACATACCAAGCATGGGGCAAAGCAGCCACAGAGCTATACCGCTTAGAGAACGAGATGGCACAGAAGTACGAAGAGTTGGTCCGCAAATATTCTGAGAAATGCGCCGAATGTGAGCGAGAGAAGCGTACAGCAATGGTGTGGGAAAAAGAGCAGCGTATGACGTTGAAAGAGCTACAGACTCTTAAAGCTTCTATTGTATGTCCGAAGAAACCCGTTTGACGCGTTGCCGATTCTGGCTGACTTGCAGCAAGGAATCCACATCCTTTGCATTTGTCGTTATTGATGGAGATGGCGCCGTCTTCCGTGAGGACCTTATCGCTAAGGGCGAAGAAGGAGGTGGAGAGGCTGCTCACATCCTCAATAAGCAGCTTAAGGAGTATTTCCAACAGCACCCCCAATTCTCAGGAATCGACACCATTTTTGTTCAGGTTGTCCTTAGCGTTGAAGGCCTGTCGCGGGCCCTTCATGCTTCGGGTACTTTACCCATCAGCGACTATGCCGCTTTGACCAAATTTGGTCGTGGCTTCTGCCGAGCCCAACCGTTATTCTCCTTTATTGATGTCGGGTACGGCAAAGAACAGGCCGACCATAAGGTTCGAAAGGTTTTTGAGGTCATGGAAAAGAATGTCCAATGCAAGTGTCTTATTTTGGGAGGTTGCCACGATAATGGCTATGCCACTTTTCTGGAGTCATTTCGCGGCAATGACAAGATCTGCCTGCTTGAAACAACCCCTCCCGCCTCAGACTTTTGGAAGTTTACTTTCAACCGCGTATATTTCCCTGAAGTTTTTCGTTCTGAGCCCCTTCCGTCCAAGCAGACCATCCCTTCTGGCTTCTCCTCCACTGCTTCATTGGCACCACATCATAGCAGCTCTACAAGTTCGTCGTCGTCGCTCAACAGCCCGGCACTCACCGGTTCTCCAAAGCCTTCTGTGGCGACTCAGGTCGTTTCCGCAAGCAAGTCCGAGGCGCAGCCCAGCAGTTGGGCTGCTGTGACTGTAAGCAGGACCCCTACTACGGGACCGCTTACTATCAATATCGCAACACAGAAGAGAACTTCCGCACAGCGTGCTTTCATGCAGCTCAACAAAGATGATCAGCGTGTCGATGTTCCCCTGCCCAAGGCCGACTACAATGCTGTCAAGTCTTTAGACGAGCGAAGCAAGATTAATGGCGCTAACTTTTGCAATCGTTTTCATCTTTCAAACAGTTGCAAAAACGGCGCCAATTGCAATTTTATTCACGGGGAGCGACTTAACCTAGCCGAGTTATTGGCGCTTCGCCATAAAACCCGCAATCTAGTTTGCAGCACTGGACATCAGTGTCGCGAGATTTCATGTAACTTGGGCCATCATTGCGCCAACCCAAATAACTGCCCATATGGTAACAATTGTCGATTTGTGGAAATGCACCACATGAACATTGTGAGTACATCTTGATGTTGTCATTTGAGACACTGACGCTAACCCATCTTCCAGACACCTACCATTAGAATCTATGAGGACGGTACTCGAGAGGTTATCAGGACCGGATCGACATACTGATCGACTAAGTTCATCGCATGTCAAGATGCTACTGTCTAGCTTTATAGGTATATGTTAGCTTTGAAGTCCACCCATCCTTGCCTATGATTCCGGTCACCGGAGACATTGTCGAGGTGCCAGGGTTTTCCGAGGAAGCTTATTATGTAGTGAGCGCAGAAAGGAGGAACAGACGAAATGTTCACTGTTTTTTTATAAAAATTTGAGAGCAAAGTGGCAACGACCCATGTAATTTAGCGACGTAAAACTTGTGCGTTGAGATTGATTTCTGGAGAATGTACGTATGGGAGTGGTGGAGAGGTCTGCCAGCCGTAGCACCTTTGGGGTTTTGGGAAATCTGTCACCAGTGCGTTCTTAGTTTCTTGTTGTTGAGTTAAGTTTCACTTTCAATCGGGGCGGTGTCGAAAACCAATAATAGATGCGGAGCAAGCTTCAGCGAGGAGACGCACATACGGCATCAGCAAATCAGCCAAATGAAGCCTTTGCTGCTGAAGACGAGGGACATGACCAGAGTCAGCCATACAGGTTTTCACATGTCAGGGAAAAAAAAGCATATCAACCTCAGAATTGGTAACCGTCTTGATCATCTTCCGTCCCAACTTTTTTTTCGCTCGTTGCCCCTAGTGATGGAGGTTTTGGCAGACTCAGGGGTCAACCTGATGCTGCTATGGGTCCATGACACTCAGCCACAGGTTGCCAACGTGAGCGAAAATAGGTATACAATGCAAGGTAGGATCTCCGATTGCGCCATGGACTACTTACAGGCAAGATCAGTGCAATTGGTAAGCCACGATTGATGTTCGCAAGGAATGTGAGATTGGAGCCCCTGATTCACCTCCCTGGTTTCGCAGGGGTTCCCTTAAACATGCTCAATGCGTTAAGCTATGGAAACTTGGAACTCTGAAAGACATTGAAGGTGTGAAACATTTCTAATTTCCATAAAACTATCTAGGCCATTTGATCTTTGCCATGGGAAGGGTTCGAAGGAAGATGATGGCAGAAAGGATGTTCAATGAAACCGCACTGCCCTTCTTTTTTTTTTTTGAAAAAAAAATCAAAAGGTCGCCTACAATCTTGGTCAATGTGATTTCAGGTAAATATGACATGGATGCAGAGGACCGTGACAAAATGCCTGCAGTTTTATTTGGTTATTATAGGGAAAATTGCGCGATTGATTCATTCATGATGCAGAGTACCCTGATCGTCTGAACTCGCTTTACAATAGTCAAATTCAGGCGCCCTTGGATTATCTAAAAATGCAGGATTAATGATCCTATAGAATGTTTCTGTCCAAAAAGACGACCGTCTCCCCTAACGGTTGTAAACAAGGCGTTGCCAGGACGACGCAGGGTGATTAAAGTTAAGGGCGCAGGAGACGAACAGGGTCATAAGTAGAGATTCTCTTCGGCATTCGTTCCTGGTCTATCTTTCAAGCATATGGTTACGAGAGCTCTCAAGCAAATCTCCAAAGTGCTTATACAAACTTTCTGTGCACACTAAATGGCCACCCTCAGTTTCACTCTTTCTATCGTCCACGTCTTCACGGCCTGGACAATCGGCGAGAACCGCCAGATAACCTGCGGTCGGGGCAACCAGGTCGAGAAGCCCGCGCTGCCAACTCTTTATCGCCGGGCCAGTCCCCTGAAGGGGCTGGCCGCCGTCATTCTGGCGGCGGCCTGCGCGGCCTCCTTCACCCAGGCAGAGGCCGCGCCCGTCCCCGCCAAAACTTCGGCTGTCTTTGACGGCCCGCCTTTCGCTCCGGACACACTTGGCCTGGAGCCGCGCGGTCCCGCCGCCTGGGACCGCGCGCTTTGGACGCAAACGGCTCCCGTCGGCGACCCGTCCAAGGGTCAGCCGTTCACCATCGTCGGCAGACCCGGGGCGACAGTTCGCCACCTCCGCGTTTTCCGAGACGCGAAGGACAAATACCTTCGCGGAATTCGCGTCACCTTTACCGACGACACCGAAATGGTCGCCGGCGTCGAACTTTCACAGTCTAACGACTTCGACTTCGGCGACGAGGACGCCGTCAGGCGCATGACGCTTTGGGCCTGGACCAACAAGAAGGGGGATCGGGGTCGGGTAGGCCACATTCGGTTCGAGACCGACAAAGCATCCTTCGATTACGGCATGGGTAACCTCGACTCCAAGAGAAGTTACCCTGTCAACGTCGGTTCCGGCAAACTCATCGGCTTCATTGGCCGTGCCAGTGATGGTCTTGACCTTCTCATCCCGGTCTTCCTCAAACCTATCTCCCGATCAGTCATCGACCAAGTCGAACTCGAACCATACAGCCCAACCCAGGGTCTCAAACTCTCGACCCTCGACACTGGCATGGCTCGGTGGAGCGGTTCTCCGTACACCGCCCACCTCTCCGGATCGACCTCACAAACCGACTCCGTCTCCTGGACTCTCGGCTACACTCGCTCCGTCTCCGTCGGCGCCTCGATCAAATGGAAATTCATGGATATCTTCGAAGCAGAGGCTCATGCTGAGTGGGGACGCTCCGAAACGCGCTCCTCCAGCCTGTCAGAATCCACGACGCGCTCACTCACATGGGCCATAGATCACCCAGTCAACGGCCCAGATGACGAAGCTATCTGCTTTGCCCAAGTCTGGGTTGGTGATCTTGACCTCCACTGGACTGGCATCCAAACCATCGAAACCAAAGATGGCACTGTCGGGTCCTTCCCAGTGTCTGGGACCATGCGCCGAGTCGCACGTGGTCACGTCATCAAGAGCTGCTCGCCTGTCAAGTCAATCTCCTCAGGCCAGCTTGCCACCCTTAAGGACTCGGCGCGTGTCATGACCGCCTAAACAACCCAGCCAAACATAACAACTCAAACCAAACACACCGCTACGCCTAGTACTTTTGTTTGGTTCGCGCCTAGGGTCGAGAATTGTTCTTGATTTCGTGCATTGGGTGTATGTTGCTGCTGCATTCGTACTGGCTTGGTGCATTTAGAGCACGGCTTTCTCAACTACACAGCCGAACAACATTTCAAACACTCAATAGAACACCTCGATAGCAACCTCAAACGCACACACACTCAAATACATACCCAACTCAATGCAACACTTATTCAACCCTCCTGACTCTTCAGACTCTTTACTCTGCGCCTGGTTATGATCAATATATAGTGTATGCCTCTATCCAAGGAAACCCAAGAAGTTGTTTGTTTACATCGATCACTCAGGGCAACATGTACTTCGATAACAGCATGTCGAGAACCCTGGTCAGCCTAACCACTGTTCAAACAACACACGCCTTTCCATGCTTTGACAATCTCATCCATCTCCCTTCCATTTCACGACGTCCACACGCCCCCGACCGGCCCCATTTACTTCCTCCCCACAACAAACCGATCAAACCACCTAACCGCCTGCAAAAATGCCTCTTCCTTCCCATACTTCTCCTCCTCCACACTGACGTTCGCCCTCACTGCGAACCCATGTACCGTGCCCGAGTACACCACCGTCTGATAACTCTGTCCCGTCTGCAGCAACAACGCCTCAATTTCGTGCCTTCTCTCGGGCAGCAACAGCTCATCATACTCCGCGGTGGCCACCGAAACGGGACCTTCGATCGCGAGGATTTCGTCGTCACCTAAGAGAGAGGGATGCGCCGCGTATGCGACATCTGCGATCTTCGTGCCGTTGAATGTCGGTGTGGAGAGGACTCGGAAAGCATACCGGCCGCCGAAGCAGTAACCTGTGGCGGCGATGCGGGGAATTTTCAGTTTAGTCCGGATGTAGGACGCGGTTTTGGCGATGATGGGGTCCGTGGCGAAGGGCTCGTGGCGGGCGAGGAACTCGGGGATGTCGAACCCTGGAACGAACCCGTTGATGTCGTAGGGCGCGGGTTTCCCATCGAAGAGGTCGGGGACGACGGTTACTGGAGGGGGGTTAGTTTGGTCTGTTGTGAGCATACTAATAATAAAGGACGAGGGGGAACGTACCGTAGCCGGCATTGGCAAAACTATCGGCTAGGCTAAATAGGGGTCATTGTTTAGCATGTAGTGGAGACTTCCAGCGCGCAAGTCGGCAACTCACAGCTTGTTCTCGACATGATCGAGGCCAAAGACATCACTCAGGTACAGGACGGCAGTGTCCTTGCGCGCCTTGGCTCGCGGGTTATGTTTCTCAGGCTCAGAGATGTAGATGGTGACTGGAGTCGAGCTCAGTCAATTTTCAAATGTCCAGTGCAGGTTATACCTTTCCTAAGGACACTTACTCCCTTCATGCTTGACCTCCTTCCCCTTCGGCTTCCCCGAATGAACGACGAATGACCCGTCAGCAGGGCAGCCGGCAGAACCTTGTCCATGAAGAGCACTTGCGACTGCCCCTCCAAGGAGAAACAGGCAGGCAGAGAAGACCGACGAAGTCAAGCGCATCGTATCAGACAAATTTGCGTTGCTTTTCCCGCTGGCTAATGGCTACTAACACCACGGAAGCCACCCAAAGTCGAAAAGAGGTTGACGAGCAAGATCCCAGGCTACCGTGAGAGGATGTCGAACGCTCTACCATTATATACCTCTCCTCAATGGCCTCCCAACCTCGCATCGTCGCCAACGTAACCCTCCCGTCGGTCAACATCCCGTATCTTCCACCTCCCCGCCTGCAGGTCCCATGGTTCCCGTCCCTTGGCATTCATATCGAAAAGCTTGGCAATAATTATGCTTGCGTCGGGCCGGCGGCGGCAAGCGAGGGAGGAAGAACAGGTGGAAGGGAATGTCACCGTTCGCGGATGAGGTTCCGATCAAAAGCTTTCATCAAGCAGGATTCGTTGAAGCTCTCTCATCGAACTTCGAACACATCGAGCCCGGCTAACGTGGACGGCACTCGCACAAAATACGTGCGGGGCTCCAAAAATATGGATGATTGAGCACCTGCAGCCGGGCTCGGCTAAATCTCCCAGAATCTGGGGTTCTGATGCGATGTTGCTTGACAATTAATACAGCCATGGCAACATAGAGAACCACATACTGCTATGCTACAGGGGGTGTTGCTGACGTGAGCGCCAGCTCTGGGCAGCACCCAGGGCGTTGCGTGCAGGCAGACAATCTTTTGCTGTTAAGGGCCGAGAAACAGACAGGACCAATCACATCAAGAGCCAGCCGAAACCTAAACCGAACATCGACTTCATGATCATCGTCATCATTATTAAACCCCGGTACGTATCATATCTCGCGCATGTACTCTAGGTAGTTGAAGAACAAAATCCCTTCCCATCAAAACGTACCGCCCACCGAAAACTACTAGGTAACACCCCAAACACAATCAAACCTCTTCTTGCACAGGAACCCTCTCATAACCCCCTCTTTCCCTCGTCCGCCCCCTCAACACCTCCGTCACAACAGGGGCCTCATATATTTCGGTATAATTCACCGGCTCCCCGCCCAATACCGCAGCACCGTTCTCCCTCCTCCCAAAGATCGGCGCCGGGTCACACCAAAAGTCTTTACAATTTTGAACGCACCCCCTGTTGTAAGGGTTCTTGCGCCTCTTATTCTTCGCGCGAAGCGAGCCTGCTGCGCTGCGGCCTGTTGCTGTCTCGATGAAGGTGTCAATTCCTAATAGACGGGACCAGTGTTTGAGGAAACCGCCGTGGCGGTGGCCGTGGCGGTGGCCGTGGCGGTGGCCGTGGCGATGGCCGTGCGGGCCGGTGAGGGCGCTGGGGCCAGCTTCGGATTCGGAAGAAGAAGAGGCTTGCTGGGACGGGTCGAGCGGGATACCGGTTGAGGTGAAGGCCGAGGAGAAATAAGTTGGGGAGCGATGGCCACCGATGCCGTACATGTTTTCGTAGGTTGTCATGGCGCGGGAGACTTGTATGAATTGTACGAAGAGGAGCATCGAGACCCAGGTAAGTTGGATAGAAGCCCAGATGGCGAGGAGGAGGGTGTAGGCGTCGGCATTGACGATGCGGCAGAGGAAGGGGGAGAGGAGGTTGCAATCTTCGGAGGCATTAGGAATAACACTAGAGAAGTCTGAGATGGGCTGTTAGCAGGTGAGAGCAGATAGGTTTGATAGTAGACATACATATATAGACAAGGTAGTCAAAGCAAAGGACACCGAGGGTAAGACTAATTAGGTAAATGAAGAAGTGGCGATGGTTGTTGACACCGATGCAATTGTAGACCCATGGACAATGGCTGCAAGAAAAAAAAATATGTTAGCATGATGATGCCTAAGGAATTTTCAAGGGAGACGACATACTGATCATGCTTTGCGACGCAACGCTGACACCTACGGCAGTGCTTGCTTCGCAGAGGAGTCCTGATCATGCAGTGCACGCAAAAGTTCGCCTCGTCGTACTTCCACTGACTGATCAGCTCGTCGATGACGGCCTTCTGCTCAGCAATGCCATTCAGCTTGGGTACGAAGCCAGGATCATCAACCATCGATCTGACATAGAAAAAGGCTGTGGAGCCAAACAAGGTAGCGAAAACGAAGTTCCAAAGCCAAGTGCCGTCTGGAGTTTCAGTCAGCTTTTAGGACAATGCTGGCAAATCAAATTAAACGTGCTTACCCTCTCCAGAGGAGGTAGTTGGCAGCAGGGTGAAGAACCAGTTCAAGCCAACCAGAGTGAAAGACCCAGCGAAGATGCCAGTCATCCATGGCTACAGACGAGTCAGTATAGGCAAGAGCCTTGAAGAGGACGCGGAGCATACCGTCTTCTCAAATTGTCTCATATCCGGCGGCGCATACGCCAGCATCTGCTGGCCTACCCATATGATAGTGTACGCGGCTATCAACCCAATGGGTATCCCCGCGTACACTGGCATCCCCGCAAAGATGACCAACACCATCCACACCAGCACAAACGGCCACAGGAAGAAGAACTTCGTCGTAAACGCCCTCCTGTCCTTCAAGAGGTAACTCGCCCCAGGCCAGCTGGGAACCATCGGATTCCCATCCTCATCATACCCGCACTCGAAGAGCGCTTTATGCCAGGCCGCAACAGTGTTCAGCTCCCTCGCCGTAATAGCTGGCGTCTTCCCCGTGCTTGTCTTCGCGAACCGGTCCGCGCCATACTCAATCAGCTTCTGGATACACCCCGCATTGCCCTTGACTAGCGCCCAGTGTAGTGCGGTAAACCCTTGCTCGTCGGTGTGATGCACGCTGGCGCCCCAACGCAAGAAGACGTCCACACAGGCGGGGTAGCCCTTGTAGGCGGCCCACATCAAGCTGGTGTGGCCGTAAGCGTCGACCACGTCCACGGGGATGCCTTGGTGCAGCAGGAGGATGATCAGGAGCAGGTTGCCATTGAAGGTGCTGATGTGTAGGGTGTTGTAGCCTTGGCCGTCGGTGATGAGTGGGTCGGCGCCGTGCTGGAGGAGAAGGTGAACGGTGTAGTAGTGGCAGCGCTGCGCAGCCCATTGGAGGGGAGTGGCCTTGCTCTCGCCACCCTTCTTGTTTACTGGAGCGCCGCGCTCGATTAGGAACTTGCACATCGCATATTGGTTGTTGATGGCAGCCCACTTTCAAAGAGTCAGAGTCAGCTGGCTGTTTCCCTACTCAATATTAAAAGTCCAACATACATGTAGAGGGGTGATCCCCTCGTCGTCGTGGTAGGTCGCATCATAATCGCCCGTCGCAAACAATTTCTCCATGCCAGCTATGTCGCCCACACGGGCCATGTGCATGATGTCGTTCTGCGGCGGGTCATTGGGCAAGTTCCCGAGCTCGACCTCATTGTTCAGCTTCGGCGTCGCGGTATCCGACTTCGAGGGCGGCTGCGTGGGAGCGCCGTTGGCGCGGGGTGACCCTGGTGAGTCGTGCTGTTGGGGCATGACGACGTCGTAGACAGAAGGCGAGAGAGTAGCTCTAGAATCTCGCGTTGCACGACTGTATTTTCTGGACGGTGGTTCGAAGGATTGTACTGCTTAAGACGTGGAAAAAGACGGGAGAATCAGCAGATCTATTCTTGAAAAACCGCTTGTACCATGGCGCAAGGTACGGTACGTCCTCGAAGGCGAAGAGCACGCTCGACAGCACAAGCGGAGCAAAAAGAAGTGGAACGAACTGGCTGATTGTAAATTGAATGCTGCAAACTATCGGCCTTTGCTGGCGCCAGACGGGTCGGGTTCTGGCTGCGAGGCTCCAGGACAGAGGGCCAGACAGCCAGGCTTCCGCAGCGGCCAGTTTTTCAGGGAAGAGGCCGGTGAGATTTCTTGGGTCATCCACATCTAAATCCACCGCGGTCAACCGCCAAGCGAGGTGGTACGAAGCGAGGCTGAGCCGATGCATGCAGCATCTGATTCGTCAGTTAGGCTGCCCCACGCTGCGGCCGAGGCGGTACTAGAGACACGGCGTAATACACAACCTCTCGACTCTCTCAGGTCGAATATGCATCTCTTTCTCAACCTTTAACTTGATTCTTTAACATATAAAATATATATACGGACTGCAAAAAAAAAACCGAAAATACCCAGTCATTTTGTCCTTTTACTGGCTTTCGTTCCTGACAGGTACTTGTGGCGCAGTTTTTTGTAACGGTACGGTATAGAGGTCAGTTCATTTGCAGTATCACAGTTTCCAACTTCGAGAAGCAACATAAGCTACCATCGTCCAAAAACTCTCGAGGTCAGAGTTCAGTCATGGGGTTCAGAAGATTCCGATATGTTATTTAAGTTTTCTCAAGAAGGACTAGTAGCTGTATTTTCCTGTTTATTTCATAACTTCCATGACTCTACCGACCAGACTTGCAGCTCCATCTTTCAACGGACTTCATGGTAGTAGTGATGATTTCCTGGCTAGCGAGCAGTTGGAAGAACTGCCATTTGTCTTCATGTGCAAACTTAACAACAGATGTGATATTCCCTTAGTGTCAGATCTGGAAACAATATTCATTTCCTTCTTTTAAAGGGCAATGTGTCATAAAAATACGACATGCAGGCTGCATCTCATGCTGTTCATCCAGTAGGACCAGAGCGAGAGCACTAGTCCATTGGGAGCGTTGCGACGAACTGCTAGAAAGTAAGAAGAGACTCGGCATAATGTTCATATGCCAACATTCCAACAATTTGGATCAAGTAAGGGACGTCGGACAACGGCACTGAAGAACCTTGGGCTCGGGTGCCCCCACCACTTTTTGGTGGGCCCTCGGGAGCTCTGTCTTCCGGTCAGCAACACCTCCACCAACATCGTGCTTTTCTTCCACAGTCATGCGGGCTTATGAGAAACGACCCTAGATACTGTGTCATCACGAGTCTTGCTTGTAGAGTTTATGATAGAATTAATATTGAATTTTTTCGGAAGATGATATGAGGACCAACCACTTGCAATAAAATGATTCGCTTCCTGCGCCGTTCTGCAGGGTTGTCGTGCGTTGCATCCTGCAAGGAGCTTCTGCCGCTGCAAGGCTGAGGGCGGTGCCCACTCTCCCACAACAAAAGCCTGGCTCAGACCTGTCGCAACGTGTCCACCGCCAACCCTCCGCTCGACCAAGACGTCGGTCGACAATGACCCCATAGAGCCACGGCCCGGATCTTCTGCTATCCGACGACCGAGCGTCCAGCCCAACGAAACTGAGTACAAGAATGTCGCGTTGACCTACGACGCGACGTGAGAAAAAAGAATTCAAGCAGCGCAGGCAGCCCCTCCTGTCTCCCACAGCTCCTCCTCTCCCCTTCCCGGCTAGCAGGATACCATCAACGGCCAGCACAGCCAAAATGATTACCCTCGAAGACCTCAAAAACTTCTTCGAGATGGCGCTGAAGCCATCGCCCCTCGTCTTCAAGATTGGCTTCGCCATCGTCCTGCTGGTGCCTTTCATCCTGCACCTCATCTTCTCCGCAACCACCCAGTACACGACACTCCCGTCCGTCCTGCTCATCGGCCCGTCCGGCGCCGGCAAGACAGCGCTCCTCACCCTCTTCGAGCGCGGTCCCCTCCTCAACCCTGACGGAACCTCCGTCGGCGCAGCAGACCTCAAGAATCCCTACCGCAAGCCTATCGTCACGTCACCCGTTGCCCAGACGCACACCTCGCAAGTCCCTACCTCCGTCGAGCTCGCCGTTGGCGCCAATGAGGATGGCACTCCCACATCTTACAAAGTGGACCTCGATGCAGCGGGCGCAACAGCCCGCAAGTTCCTGCTGATCGACACACCGGGGCATCCCAAACTCCGCGGGACGACCCTTCAGCACCTGCTCAACCCTTCCCCCTCGCTAACCATCATCCCGACCAACGCCCCCAACAAAAAGACCTCGACCGACTCACACTCCGACCCGTACAAGTCCAAGCTCAAGGCCGTCATATTCCTGCTCGACGCAGCCGCCCTCGCTGACAGCGACGGCGACTACCTGTCGCAAACAGCGTCTTACCTCTATGATGTCCTCCTCTCCCTGCAGAAGCGCTTCCATTCCCGAAAGAACAGCCGCGCGCCGTCATCAATCCCCGTCCTTATTGCGGCTAATAAGCAGGATTTGTTCACTGCGGTACCTGCGTCGCTGGTGAAGAGCCGGTTGGAGCATGAGCTGGGCCGGATCAGGAAGACTAGGCAGAAGGGCTTGCTTGAGGCGAGCGTCACGAGTGAGGATGAGATTCGAGCGGATGACGAGGAGGGATGGCTTGGGGCTGTGGGAAGCAAAGAGTTCAAGTTTGAGGAGATGATGGAGTTTGATATGGAGGTTGAGGTCATGGGGGGCAATGTGATCGGGGATGGACCGGGAGCTGAGAGGTGGTGGAGGTGGATTGGGGAGAGGATTTAGGAGAGGGAGATTACAAACACGGGAGGGATTAGAAATGGGAAATTAGTAATGAAGATATACTTTGATAATGATATTTCATTTGAATATATGTCTAGCAGTGAAGGGTATAAAAATTTGATACAGGACGCCTTCTCACTGACGCCCATTATCACGGGTTGAGCCCGATCTATGTCGCTATCCAATGCACGTTGAGCCTCCCAATGCAACCATAGATGTTGAGTCTCGGTTTTTCCCACGCCATTTAGGTAGTTAGTCGATCAAACAAAGAAAAATCTACAAACTCCCAAAATCCTTTCCCTCCCCCCCCCCTCTCCCCCGCCGCCCTTTTACCCCCAACCCTCTCTTACTCGGACTTCTGCCTGACCATCCAAGTCAACAAATCCACCTTCGTCACAACCGCCACCGGCTTCAGCCCCGTCCCATCCTCTTTCTTCTCCGTCACCACAGCCGCACTGTTCCACTCTAAGAACCTGCTCAGCGCTGAAAGCGGAGTATCCATCGTGATCTCCACAAACTTCCTCTTCTGCGCCTTGCCGCCCTTCGCCTTGGGCTTCAGCTCCGACCCGAAATCTCTCGGGTCGGTGACGACCTCATCAATCCGGCTGAAATCGAACATTACCTCGCTGACTGGGCTCTTGGGGGTTGCCCTGCCGCGAGAGATGTAGCTCAGCAGGTTGCCGAGTGTCACCAGGCCCGCGAGCTTGCCGCCGCCTGGGGTGGGGTGCAAGACGGGAAGTTGGTCGAAGCCCTTGTCACGCATGGTCTCGATTGCCTCGGCGCAGGTGCTAGTTGTGAGGACCGAAGTGACCGGCTTGAGGCGGAGGGAACGAATCGTGGCGCCGCCGTAGGGGTCGTCGGTGGCTGTCGGGGTCGGAACAGAAGAGGAAGTATTCTCGGCGTCGTTGGGGAGCAGACCGTTGGCGGCCAGCCAGTCGTCATCGGCGAACTTGGAGAGGTACGAGCGGATGCTGTCGGGGAGCACGACGACCACGATGTCTCCTTTCTTAAAACCGTAGTCTTTGACTGCGCGGAGCATGGCTGCCATGGCACTGCCCGAGCTACCGCCAACGAGGAGGCCTTCTTCGGCAATGAGACGGCGTGCGAGGGCAAAGGATTCCCGGTCGTCGGTTTTGTACCATTTATCGACGATTTCGCGGTCAAGAACGTCGGGGACAAAGTCGTACCCGATGCCTTCGACCTTGTACGGCTCGTTGGCGTGCTCTTCGTTCAGAGACTCCGGGAGAGCGAGGATCGAGCCCTGAGGGTCAGCCGCGATGATCTTGATGTCCTTGTTGTGCTTCTTCAGGCCGCGCGCGATGCCAGTAATGGTACCGCCTGTACCGGCACCCGCGACGACGGCAGTCACCTTGCCGCCGGTCTGCCGCCAGATCTCCTCGGCAGTGCCGAACTCGTGGGCGAGCGGGTTGTTCGGGTTGGAGTACTGGTCGAGGATGTGGGAATTGGGAATTTCCTTGAGCAGGCGCTTTGCGACACCGATGTGGCTTTCAGGAGAGTCCCAGGCTGCCTGAGTCGGCGTGCGGATGATGGTTGCGCCCAGGGCTCGCAGGACGGAGACTTTCTCGGCGGACATCTTCTCCGGGAGGGTAATGATCGTCTTATAGCCCTTGATAGCGCCGACCAGGGCGAGGCCAATGCCGCTGGAGATGGTCAGTCCGGTCAAACTCTGGGTGTTCAGAACGGAAACACCTACGTGTTGCCGCTGGTAGGCTCAATGAGGGTGTCTCCAGGCTTGATGCGCCCCTCCTTCTCGGCCTCCTCGATCATGCGCAGCGCTATCCTGTCCTTGACGCTGCCGCCGGCGTTAAATAACTCAACCTTGGCGTAGACATCGGCCTCAATGCCAAAGGACTGCGGGATGCGATTAAGCCGCACCAGCGGCGTGTTGCCGATGAGCTCGGTCGCCGACAGCTTGACATCCATCTTCAGCGGCTGGGCTTCGCCGTTTGTTGTGACCTGGCTGTTGAAGGCAGACATGGTGATTGTTGGTAGGGGTGTGTGGCGTGGTATTGGGAAGGGAGATTTGTAATATTTTTTTTCCTAGTGCCTTTGTTTGCCAATGGCGCGGGAGGGGTCAATAGCGGGGCCTGGGCAGTGGACAAGGAGGTCGGTGATAATTGAGCGCAACGGTCACCGGGAAAGGGATGGGGACAAAGTTCAAAACTGGCTCCCGAGGGCCTCCTCGGTCTGTATATGCCCCAATGGCGTGTCTGCCGAGCCAGATGGCGGAATCGCTCACAAGGTGTGACAGATTGGTGGAGACGAAAGCGGCGTGGGATGGAGTGAGATCGACGCCAACGCCAACGCTCGGATGATGCGCCCCACAAGCCGACGGTATGCGCCTGGCCCCACCATCAGGCCCGGGACGCCGGATCCGACCGTTTTTCACGGGGTCCGGCCAGGAAGTGTTGGCGGTGGGATTTGGAGTCCTCGACCATTATTTGCGTCTCTACCAAATCGTACTTTTCTGATTGGGAAAAAGAATGCGCTATCGATTCACGATATACACGATCGCATTCATTAGTCGAATCAACTCTGTAACCCAGATCCAACATCAACCCCGCGTATACATGTCAGATCAGCGTTCTTCCCAAATTTCTGATGCCTCGCCCACTCCAGGTGTCTCTATTTTGCTCGGCGGCACGAGGTTGCGCCACCACCCCACGATGTTGCACATCCCCCATCGGCCACGTGCGGCCATGTTGAGAAACAAAAACTGAAGAGCCTCTCCCATTGGGCAGCAGGATTTAAACTCCCGCATTCCCAGAGCGCAGCCCTTGCCATGACCACTCCACCCAGCGCTAACACCACACAGATCAGTTTTTCAGCCTTGTAAACACACATACGGGAGAGATCACGCACACTACCCATCACCTATTCCCATGAGGGACTGTATGCTCTGACTCGCAGTCATCATGCACTACTGCGGTAAGGTTCCTGTGCATGCGTATGAAGTGTGGTTGTCGTGGAAACTTTGTTTACTTGTATTGACCCCAAAGCCATGATCCGGGCCCCTGATCCTGCGAGCCGTAGAGAACAGACAACAAGTTCTTGATATAAAGTTAACTATTGCCAATTTATCTAAATAACATTTAAGGACTAACGTCTTCAAAAACTTGTTATGGCATCCCGTTTACTTAACCTTCCATTCGGGGGCAAAAGTAAACAAGCTACACTCAGGGTCTCGACGAAATAAAGTACCCGGTAAGATGCAGAGAGTTCTCGATTGGATGCCAAATCATGAATTGAGAGACCCACATCAATGGTGATTATGTTCAGATATCAATGTCCAGATTTACTGTCCTTTGGGGTGCGCACCGGTCGAGTGATATGGCAGTTCAGTTCTACGCTTGGGGGTCATTGGCTCCGGCTGGAATGACAAACTAACCTGAAATGTTCGCTACCCTAGAAGACCATTAAGTTTGATATATCTTGCTCGGTGCTAGTCACTCAGCAATGCCTGATTGATGTGGTGTTCTGGTGTCGGAGTGGTAGCAGTATTCCTTCTGACAGTCGCACTTAGTGATGCCTTCATTTTGCTCCCCCCATCCTGCGGGCGACGGGTAGGGCAGGATGACACGCAAATGAAGATCAATTGACGAGAAAGAGTGAACAAAATGGGCCCAACATCATCAAGAAAAAAAATCCCCGACCTTAGGTTCTATTGGCAACGCGAGGTCGGACCGTACAATAGCAATAACTCCTCACGATGTGGCCTGTGTACGTCTGCATATTGCACATTAATTCCTGATGACCGCAGGTGCTCCCTCCTCTCTTCCAAAATTATACATACCTTCAGTCTTCCACGTTCAGCCAACTTTTCGCCCTACATCCTACAGTCAGCACCACAACAGAAAAGTCCTCACCACTCTTCCTCCGACCTCAACATTTTTGATAGAATCCTCAATCTCTGTTCATCAATTACCTCGATACAAATGGCTTGAGTCCTCAACTTCTCACCAGTTACCAACTACCAACTCGACTGACTCCAACTCTCTCTCTCTCACCTCACCATATCAGGAGCATTATCAATGATAGCTTCTCTCTTCAGCAACATATATACTAATCTTTGACAGGCGTTCTGAGCCAGATTGCATCCACTACGCGTTTCAATCGTCTCTCTCAGGCCTATTATTTTTGGATAACTGCACCTGGGCCTGGGGGAAGACACTCACACCGACCCCGACGCCAACGACCTGATGACAGATCCAAACCGCCGAACGAACTGAAACGACACGACGCGACGACGATGACGACGACTGCATATGACGAGTATTTGGAAGAGGAATTGGGCTGATAGCAAATAGAGGTATGGGAGGACTGTGCTGGACTGAGAGTAGGAGGAAGTTAGGGACAACGAACGACGGCTCGACAATCTACATACGATGACGGCTCGACTGGCCTCCTGATGTGGCACTCGTAGTGGATTGGGTTAGTGGGGAGGGCTAGCCTGGATACACACACTAGGGTGGATTGGGCAGGATAAATTCCTTTCCACTTTGTCTTAGTTGCTCTGTGTGAGAAGTGTGAGATGTTGGACTCCATGTCGACAACACATCTCGCCTTCATGATAAAAAAGGTATGTCATTCATTCCCCTTGTGTCTGCACCTTGCCTAGCTTTATGATGTCTTATTATTGGTATGGACATGGCATAGGGGAAGAGGATTTGCGTCAGGGGTGGTTTTGTTTATGGATCAAACATTTCAATACATCATTCTTGTTATCTTATCAAATCATTTCCCATATATGCGTGCATTTCATGATCATTTATGTTTTTTGTTACTAAGTGTAACCCTTGATGTGTTAAGATGTTTTTGATCGTGGATGTCAATAGTGAAGGTTGTCCTTTGAGATAATGCCCGCTCATGGTGCCAAGAGGATGACGTCACTGCCCCTCCATTTGTGCTCCCTCCCCACAAGTCCAGCTCCTCTCGCTATTCACCTTCTCACCGCAAACCATTCCCTACCAATCTTCCGGCATGAAATATTTATCAGAGAATAGAGTACTGAGATGGTAAAGCCATTGTTAATGACAGTCATTCGATGAGTCGCCAACGGAGAATCGCCCGTTCCATTGTTCGAGCAGTCCTCGACGGATGCGGGGTCGAGCGACGAGGGAAAAGTGTGGTGGGGCTTATCTTGGCCCTTTTCTCATCCCTCTTTGCTCTCTTCCAGCTGCATCTGCGCAAAGTTCGCCCTGCAGACTTTGCAAACCTGCGTCGCAATTACTGGGATATCAGCGATGATTCTTATGCTTCTTCATTTGATCCCGCTGAACGGCCTGCAGACGCTGCGACTCCACTGAAACCCATTGGGGACATGGGTTTCTCTGGTTCGGTGAGCTCCCTTTTCCGACATGGGCAGCTGCTTTGTGGTAGACGCTAAGAACATCCCAGACCTTTTACTCCACGATTGACGAAAAGTACCTCGTCAAGTCTGTCCCACGCTACTCGGAGCACTCCTTCTTTTCCCAAGATCTGTTGACTCCCTATGTGCTGTACATGTCTAGCCATCCCGGCTCCTTACTTGTTCGTATATGCGATTTCCTCACCGCATCGAGCCCTTCCTTAGGTCGTTTGTTTGGTTGTGCACCATCTCATCACATTGTTATGGATAACATCTTGTATGGACGAAGTCAAGCCAGGGAACGAAGAGATCCAGACTGGGAAACTTGGGATCTGAAGCCTACATCGTACTTCTACCCTGAGAGGGACATTGCTGGAGGAGCATTAACCAGTGAAGCTACAAAGGCCCAGTTGGCCGATGATTTTCATGACAAGATTATCCTCAGTCAAGAGCAAGCAGACGACCTTTTCAGGATATTGGAGGAAGACACACAGTTTCTTGCTGAGCATAATGCTGTCGACTATTCCTTATTTTTGGTTCGCAGGGAAGCTTTCAGACAATCTTCGCAGGACATCGCCCAAGTCCAAGGTACCAGCGCTGTGCCAGCGACATGGAGAACAGGTATCCTCTCAGCGGATGGAAGGCACATGTTCCGCGCATCTATCCTGGACTTCTTTTGGGCAAAGCACAAACTACAGCCACAAGCCATGACGCTCTTGATCGAGCTTTGGAACTTGTTAATCAGAAGGAGTGGGCCCATGAGCATTACTACTAGCCCGAGCGAGTATCGCGAGCGGTTTTTAAAGATGTGCAGAGCAATCGTCGAGATTAGGCAGCAGGATAATTGATCCCTAATGATGGTGGAACGATCTATCACAAACCCCGTCGCGAACTGTACGTCTACGCCACGCACCTCCCGTATTGAGCTTTTTATGCAGGTTGCCAACTGCATTCACCATTGGGTAAGACGAAGCCCCCAAAGCTGTGTCGATGATGGCGCAGTTCGTAATATTGATCCCGCTGACCCAGATAAAGCTGCAGTGTTTGGAGAAACGACGTCTTTCACCCTTGATCAAGGTTAGCCATCACCAAAGGCTCCTCCCTTCGTCCACAAGTCATATCCGATCGATAACCGGTGTATCAGGAAAGACAGTCTTCTTGCATCTGATCATTCATTAGTTCCTATGGAGGTTCTCGGTTCTGTCGCTGCAGCAGCTCAACTCGCTGAACTTGGCTGCAGGAGCCTAATTTTCCATATACCGTTTTATCAAGGACCTCCAGGATGTGCCCTCCGCATCTTGCAAGATCTCGGCCGTTTTTGTTGAGCTGATGGCAGATCTTGCCCCGATGACAGCTCGATCGATCGAGCCCTCCGAACCTTTCTGAAGTCCCAGCTTGATCGTATTACACGCATCCTCAACAGCATTGGAGATCTTTGCACAGAGCTGGAGGAGCTTCTTGCGCCTTCTCTTCCTACAGCGAGCCGTTTAATCGTGAAAAAAGTGTGTAGGGCTCTGATCTCTGTCAATAACGAGTCAGCTATTGTAAAAAAAATGCGACCATTTGGAGAGACTCAAGGCAGGACTTGAGCTGCAAACTGCAACTAACCCTCAAGTACCTCAAGTACGTAAAGATTGGCGATCACGTCAATCTCTCTGTATGCCGAGATCTAAGTTTATAGATCCAACCTTGCATCCGTTTCTTGGTCCCTGCAACAAACGAACATGGCCCTCACTTCAATCCGGAAGCATCTCGAATTGGTTGACTGTTATCTTCAGAGTCTACGTTGCTATTTCAGAAGTCGGAATTCTGTTGCTTGTAGTGATACAGGACCCGGCCAGCCACTTTCGATGGAGTAAATGATTACCGACATTCAGAGATATCTTGACCCTGGGAATGCTGCTCCTTCCACAGTCGACTCTGGTTGGCAATTTAACGTTACCAACAGAAGAGACCACAGTTGTTTGTTACCACTCTTGCACTGGTTACAGCGAACCAAAGCCATTGTTTTAATCTCTCCTTCTATCGGCACTTGATATCACAAGTTGGAGGATTCTTTAGCCCTTCGAAATTTTTCAGATATGGTTTATTGTGATGTTGGACAGCTTCGTTACAAGTCTGTTTGTTTGGATTTGCTACTTCAGTCGGACGCACCCGATAACATCAATAACACCCACTTGTTGCATCTCATTGAAGGCTAACTATTTGTCTCCAAAAGCCACTACCGATCTGGAGTTTGTTGTTTTTACGAAAGAGCTGGCGCTAAAAAGACGCTACGGCTGAGTTTCATCTCAGCTTTTTCCGCGCCATGATTTCAGATACTGGCATAGTTATTAGCACAGAAAGGAGTTCTGCTATGTTGGCTTGCATAGCGGAGTGTCTTCGTTATCTTTCTGCAACACTCGAATTCCTGTTGAGTTCTGATGCTAGTGATGTTGGTACGTTTATACAGCATCTTGCACAACCATATCCGAGCAGATATTGAGTTAGCACCTCTGTATATTACAACTCTTGCACTCTCTGCACCAAGAGTCGAGAAGTGGCTGGGTAAAGCCCAAGATTCCAAGCGAGAATCTACTTCAGAAGCAACTTCTCAACTCATTTTCATGTGCTCTAGGATGTTCAGAATGCTTGAAGCTACTTTTCAGAGCTCCTACTTCACCCAAGAACTCTCTCGAGGCATTTTAGTTAGCCCTGATTCGGCATAATCTTGAATCCGCGGCCCAAATCCTACTGAGTGACGCTTCTCTGTTTTTCGCGAACCCCCTAACAACACCAAACCTTATCTTGCTTACCATTCTTTACCCCGGATTGGCTGTGTACGAAGAGTAAGAAGAACATGCTGAGAGCAATCCTGCCATTGGTGTTAGGAGTATGTTGGAGATATCAAGGTCGTAGCGACACTGAAAGCTTCAACACAACGGTCTCTACGGCAGTTTGGAAGAGGCTTATCATTACTTTGACATCGTTTTCTCAAATGTTGCTCGGCTGTGACAAAAATGGATCAAAATATGGTGAAACCAACAAGAAAGCTCTCTCAAGAGTGAGAGATGATTGCCGATTAGGCTTGAACCGACACCCGAACTTGACACATACATATGAGACAATACTTATTCAAACCTCAGTTTCTGCATGCCTAGCTCTTTGGTAGATGAATTAGGCTGTTTTGTTGAGCCAACTCCTGAAACTTTATCTTCTTGTGAGCCAGTGAAGTCCTTGCATGGTGGGGTGTTGATGGTGTAATTTCAACAGCTAGTGACGAGACCAGAAAAAGCCACCACAAAGCACCGTGATTTGTTACAACAACTTCCCACATACATAATCGCCATGGCTTCAGCCTTGAGCGTCAGATACTAGCCGGGCATAACAATAGTCGTCTATGGGGTCCCCAACTGGTCTTAAGCTGTCCTTATCAATTAACCGTGAGTGCCACTCTTTCTACGAAAAACTGTGTGTAACTTAGCTCCTCAACGGTGCCCTGCCCTCTCTTGTAGTACGAGCAAATCACCTCATTTTCCTGGAAATTGCGACAGGGAACTCGTATTTCGGTCCCGTCCCAGGGTTTCCTGTCAGTAGCGCCCTTGTCACGTTCGCCTTTCTAATTCCAATTACATCTCTAAACTTCAACGTTTACATGGGACTTCTGATATGGTTTATAGGTACTATCAACATTTCGCGAGAATCTATCTGCTTTTTATCTCATCTTGGCAGCGGTCACTTTACCTGGTGATACAATCTCGCGACATAGCATGGTGTTCTTTAGGTTTCTCAGACGACCACTCCCCGACTGTAAGCTTCACTTGTGACAAACTGACTGAAGCAGGTCATCCTATGACGCCATAACCTCAAAATCTTCCGAATGGCCCTCCTGCATCAGGCCGGGTTTGGGCCGTTTGGCTTTGACCTATCCCTTAACAACTACTGGGCTCCTGACAGGAATGCAAAGATGCCCTCTCTTTCTATTGTCACATCATTAAAGCTGTTCCCCCGTCATTCTCAACGTTTGCATCAACTTGAAAGGACGGCGTGTTCATGGCGAAGCGTGAAGGAGGAAGTTCTACGCACCTTCTCCAAGCATACGATGACAAACAGTATGCTACAATCCAACCAAAGACGAGGAGGTCGTCAGACTCGACGTCAATAAACGAAGAGATCGATCTGCTCGAAGAACAGTCCGAATATATCTCCAAAAACCCTTTCCTGGACCCGGATGTCGCAGCACACTGGAGGAAAGTCTATGAAGAGGCCGATTATGAGTGCAGACATGCCTTTGACCCGACATTAACATGGACCAAAGAAGAGGAGAAGGCAATTGTGAGGAAGTTGGACTGGAGGATATGTACTTGGGCGGTACGTGAGAGTCGATGGTCAGTTATCAGGGACAGCTTGAATGCTGACTTCCATCGTCCGGGCTAGTGTATCATGTTCTTCGCGTTGCAAGTGGACAGAGGCAACCTTTCTCAAGCCTTGTCGGACGATATGTTGAACGACCTGGGGATGAACACAGATGGTTAGTAGAACACTCTTCTGTCTACTGCATTGAGGAACTATCACTGACGTGTTCCTCTCCTCATGGCAGACTACAACCTCGGGACCGTAGTTTTTGTCGTCTCTTTCCTCTTAGCTGAGCTACCATCTCAGCTGGTGTCTAAGAAACTTGGGCCTGATCGATGGATCCCAATTCAAATCGTTCTCTGGTCGCTAGTGGCCATCTCGCAGTGTGCCATAACGACGAGAGCTGGCTTTCTGTTCACTCGATCGCTACTTGGGCTCCTTGAAGGAGGCTTCATCCCCGATATTGTGCTTTGGCTCTCTTACTTTTACACTTCCCATGAGCTTCCTATCCGGCTGAGGTACGAACTCTTGATAGTCTTGTTCCCTCTAGTTTTGTCTGTTGTTGACATCCACAGCTACTTTTGGACCACTTTGTCCATCACAAGCATCATAACATCACTTCTCGCTTTCGCTCTCCTTCACCTACGCGGTGTGTATGACTGGGCTGGCTGGAGATGGCTTTTCTTCGTCGAAGGGCTTATTACCCTGAGCGTGGGCCTTGCCTCATTCTTCAACATGCCCGCTTCCGCTACGCAGACCAAGACATGGTTCCGACCTAAGGGAATGTTCACTGATAGGGAGGTGGGCATTATCGTTAATCGTGTCTTAAGAGATGACCCTTCGAAGGGTGACATGAACAACCGGGAAGGGATCACCCTCCAACGACTGTGGGAGGTTTTTAAGGAGTATGATCTCTGGCCGATGTACATCTTGGGAATTGTGGGGTTTATTCCACAGGGCCCAGTCAGCGCATACTGGACCTTGACGTTAAGGTCACTGGGGTTCAATCCTTTCGTGACCAACCTACTAACCATTCCTTCGGTGTGTTGCTGATGGTATCCAACATTCCAGTTCGAAACTGACTCTATCTCCCAGACCATCTTCCACATCCTCAACCTGATCTTCATCACTCACCTCTCGGAACGCCTGGATGAGAGAACGCTCGTGTCCATGCTGATGCCATTATGGACTCTTCCTTGCATGATTGCTCTCCGGTTTTGGCCTAGATTGATTGACGATGCATGGGGTACATACGCGCTGATCACGGTGCTACTGTCGTATCCCTACTGCCGTAAGAGCCAGGATTTTTGAGTACGGCGTGGACATCACCTAACTAAAGGACAGATGCGATCCTAGCCGCTTGGACGTCCAAGAACGCCAACAACGTCGGGACCCGAACGGTTGCATCAGCTCTGTACAATGTGAATTGCCCTTGCTTGCGTCGTAACTCACCGTGTTGCTGCTAACAATCCTCCGTTATCGCACAGATCTCGGTCCAACTGGGCCACGTTTGCTACAGCTTCGCCTACCAAGACTACGACAAGCCATATTACCGGCATGGTAACACCAAACTTCTGGCCGTCAACATCTTGTCGATTGCTCTTTTCCTCGCAACAAAGGCATATTACATTTGGCGTAACAAGCAGAAAGACAAAATCTGGGATTCCATGACTGAAGACGAGAAAAGCGAGTATATCAGGTGCAGCACGGACAAGGGGTGCAAACGGTTAGACTTCCGGTTTGCGCACTGAGGAATATTTCCGCGTTTTGTGGTATCTGAGGTCCCTAATGACGGCAGGGATGTTACATACTGGAAATGAGGATAGAGCTCGCCTGTAAACAGACCAGTAGAAGACCAGTAGAAGATCAAAATGCTTGATGGTTTGATGGAGACTTCGGAGCATTGACCCCTTTTCCCCCCTGAATCAAAACACTGGCTCCCTGACAACGAGACTGGTCTGTGGAGAACGCTAATACTGTGGAAAGATGGCGGTGCCTTGGCGTCAACTGTATTTGACTTCACAAGCCCTCTCTTATAGAACAACAGTTGCCTCCTCCGTCATGGTTTGGCAGTTCAGCCTTCCCTTAGAACAACTGCAGTATTGGAAACAAAGCACCCCTTTCACGTATCTTTCCAAACCATACAAGCATCATTCACGATACGATTATTCGAAAATATGTTGATTTGCTTGGCAATAAGTATGATCTTTGAGTCCGCTGGCTGACTGTATCGTACCCTCTCTCCCACAACATCCTTACCAAGGCACGTGAATTCTCCAAACGATGGGCCAGGCAAGCAGCACTGCCAGGTCACTTTGGCGGAGTGGTTAACGCGCTGCCCTGCTATTGACCATCCTATAGCATAGGCAGTTCCTTCGGGAGCGTAGGTTCGAATCCTACAGGTGACGCGTATTTTTTGCAAATTACCCCTTTCAAACCCTTGCCGATCATCATGGGTTTCGCAAAGCCAAGTCAAATTTTTTTTTTTTTTTTCGCTGATCATGATTCCGCTACAGTCGTAGCCCTGTTTTCTTCATTTACATTGTACAAAAACATCGCTCATTCCCCACGCTCCTTCAAAATTGTGTTTGGTTGTCCCTGTCCAACTTGCATTGCTTGCACCTCCTGCTCCTTTCCAACTCTAGCCAGGTCAGCGACCTTAACATCTGGAGATCACGCTCTCTCCTCATTCTCTTCTCCGCCGGTGTCGGCCTGGTAACTTCACTCATCGCCAGTTTACGCATCCAGTTCCCATCCAAACCATTCCCTGCATACCCCAACCCACAGGCGAGCTGGGCCATGGGGTTTCCCATCTCACTCCAATGCAATCGGAAGTCGAGCGGCACCCAGAGCGTGATCTTGCGCTTGTGTACCCGGGGAAATGACTGGCCCTTCGCGGGCCGCAGCATGCAGTAAATCTTTTGCCCAGCTAGGTCGACAGTGCCTACTGCACAGAAGCCAAACTTGGTGAACAGAGGAAGCCCGCTTTTAAGGGTCACAGCAAAGCCCCAAGCCTCCTTTTTGTCGATTTCATTGCAAGTAAACTTGAGCATTAGTGAGCCAACGCCGTGGCCCCAGCGATCAGGATTGACGAAGAGCTGATGGATGCCTGTGAGCGCTACTGTTAATGACCATACTCTTTTTCATGGGGTTATGAGGATAAACTTACGGCAGACCTGTGCATTCCGGGGTAGTTTGCACATTACCCTCATTCGGATCTTGTTCAATGCGCGTTGGAGCCGTAACCACAACTCTAGGTTCAGAGTTGGAGGGATTTTAAGGCCGTCCGGATTGTCAAACAATCCTTGCCTGAAGGCCCTTATACCTCCGACGGCATCTTCCAAATCTTCAATGGCTTGCTCGGGGCTCTCGAACCTGTAGGCGATGTATGCAACTGGCCTGCACCCTTCCACTTCACCTTCAAGCTTAGACCATTTTCCGTGCTCAAGTATTTGCTTCACTGTTGTTTCTCCTTCTGCAATCATATGCCTCAGCCCTGCACAAAAGAAGGCCATAAGACGTGTTATCAAGCCATCAGCCCATGTGAGTTTCAATCCTCCGTAAGTGTCTTTCTCCAAAGGTTGGAACAGGTAGTAAAATGCCAGGGTGAGTACAAGAGTGGGCATGAGAATGTGTATAACTAATAGGTACACATCATCAACGTCCACTGCTACGTTAACTATGTGGTCCTCATTGTTGCTAGTTGATGAGTCTGAAGATGCAAGAATCGAAGAAGGATGCCATTTATCGTCGTAATCGCAAATACCCACTGTATTCTTAGAGTAGGTGTCGTCGACCTGAGCTTGCAGCACCCATGTAGTAGGGCCGGCCATGTCTTGACAAAACTGAGTTTTGTAAAGCGGCTTATTCCATTCCAAGCATGCCCTCTGCTTCTCGCTCAGCCCTTCCTGGTTCAGCCGTTGTTGAAGCCCGCGAAGGTATTGGTAGAAACAGATTCTGGTCTCTACAAATGTGCTAACAGCTGGTGCCGTCGATTCTGGATCTCGCTCCTGTAGCAAGGTGGCGAAAATCCCGTGCACGACGGCCTTGCAGAAGGCCCTGTGGTTTTGATTCGGAATCATGGCATGAGGCGTCGCATTGCTCAAGGAATCATCGCTATCTCTGCAAGTGCAAAAGCCTCGGTCGGGTACCGCGGTTACCGACTCCTGGGCGTCCCCAGCCTCGTCCGTAGACGTGGATATTTGTGAAGATGTCGTGGTAGTCTCCCAGTCAGACTCATTACCTTGCCCATCTGTGTTGATGTTTCCGCCGGAAGTGTTCCACTCGTCAATTTCTGGCAGATTTGACTCTGTCGACAGAGTTGAGTCATCCACAGTATAGTTGGCCTCGTTAGAAACATGATTGGTAAAGCTCAATCCCAATCTCAGCAGTGCCGTGCGAAATAGAGGCCTTGGTAATGGTTGATGTAGGGGGTTGGAGCGCGGAGTAGGGCTAGTAGCTTCAGGAGGGGAGGTGGCACGCAAGGGGTCAGTGATCTCGTCAGGGGTCGGAGAGTGTGGCTCGATATCAGACGAGTAGCCCATCATGAAGAGCTTTAATCCTATAGAAAATGGTAAAACAATAAGATCAAACACAAAATACTATTCTGGACGTTTAACCTGGTTATCAGAGTGTCGATTTCGTAGGAAGGGCAAGGGTTTGGACTGTTTAGGTAGCTGTAGTGTCTGGAATAGATAGAGAAACGACATGTCCACGAGATCACTCTCCCTCGTTGGTATGACCACAGGATGGCAGGAGCAAAGCCTTACCCAACCCAAAGAGCCGTTTCCCCTAGATACTTTGTCTGGAGCTTGTGAGACACCGCATCTTCCAAACTGCAGGAACTCTGTACCTGACTACTTTCCAATCGCTACCCGCCCATAACCGGCGAGCACACATTATGATCTTAACTTGACGAACATTGTCAGGCATAAGTTAGGTACGTCGGTTATAAGGAAGATCAAATTCTTCTAATAAGCGGCTATGCCCTTCAGTTCCCATGATCATCCCCCTAATACTCTTTTCCATTCTCTTCAATTCAGCAAAGCCCCCAACACCAACTTCCGACTGCTCTTCCCAAGAAACACCATCTTTGTATGGTCCCTAATCACCCAATCCTGCAGCGTAACATCCCAGGTACTTAAGTCTCTCCTTGTCAGCTTCCCTTCAAACTTGACTGTCTCACCAGGCTTGATGTGCAACCGGGCGAAGTCCCTAAGCATAACCTTTGGGTCATCAGGCCCGCCGAGCGATACGTACAGCTGCACGACTTCATCACCCTCGAGGGCGCCTGTGTTGGTAATATCTGCCGTGACTGTGTAGAGCACATCATACAGCTGAGGGTTACCACCCGGCGAGTTCTTTCCTGAAGAGCGCAACAGTGGCTGCGGGTCGGAAGAGGTCGCGTTAGGGGGCAGGAACTGGTCTGCTGTCTGGCCGTAGTAAGGGTCTCCGGAGGCGAGCTCAAGATCGGTGCTGTTCACGTAGGGGTAGATGTAACGATTGACACGGTGGAAGCCTTCTGGGTAGAGATAATCAGAGTAATTCGTCGAGTGTTCACCGAACGTCGGTGCTGGTTCCGTAAGCCCGGTAGTTGGTATGTATGCGGACACATTGTGCTTCTGAATTTGCAGATTCCTATACTCAAAGGTTGTGTAACTCAGTCCGTGGCCGAATTCGTAGATGACACGAGTATTGTGTTTGTCAAAGTAGCGATAGTCGATGAAAACACCCTCCGTGAAGTTTTGCTGCGGCACTCTTGCATCATCGGGATCGTACAGGACATCAGCTCCATAACCCTCACGTGTAGCACCCCAAGTAAATGGCGAGCGGCCAGCAGGGTTCACTTTGCCGTACAGGACATCAGTGATGGCATTGCCAGACTCCTGCCCAGGAAGACCGGCCCATAGAATTGCAGTGATGTTCGGATGGTCGTACCAGTCAGTAAGCAGAACGGGACCAACTGAATGAATGACAACGATAGTGTTGGAGCACCAGCTGGCCACGTTCTTGATTAGTTCATCCCCACCGTTCCACAAGGTCAGGTTGTTGCGGTCTCCCCTATTGCCATCAACGGTGATGTACCCTTCTCCTGAGTTGGCATTGACAAACACAACTGCCGTCACATTGTCCTGAGAGACAACCTTCCTGATCGTCTCCATAGCATGGTTCGACAGCACGCTTTCGTACCGGGAGCCATCCTTAATGGCCTGGGCTTGGAGTGCTGCATCCGGTGTAACCAGGTATGGGAAATTGGCAGTACCAGAGCCCCATCCCATAGCAAGAGTCCCCCCAACACAACCACGGTCATCACAGGAGTTGGGTCCATTAGGATTTGGACCAGCATCCTCGCCAATGACAGCCAAGAACTTGGGTTTGTCCAGGGGCAAGGCACCCTCGTTCTTCAACAGCACCGTTCCTTTCGCAGCAATCTCGCGGATCAGACGACTGTGATCTTCCCGAACATCAACGTGGAAGTTGATCTGTTGGTGACCTTCCTTCGCGCCCCAATGAATCGGCCCGTAAGTGTCCAGGGTCCAGAACGAGAAGTTGATAGGGTCAAGGTCAACGTCCTGGGTCCCGCGAACCTTGAAGAAGGCGGCCATAATTCGCATCGCCATATCATCCAGCCGATATGCAGGAAGCGTACCATTGAGGACAGCAACAGTGAGGTTTGCTCCCCAAAAACTGAGACCCGAATTGAACACAGTATCTCCTGGCATGGTCATGTCCAAGCCTGCCACAGCACTTGCAACACCAGTGTGCTGCGCCTGCCAGTCGCTCATAACGAAACCCTGGAAGCCAAGTTCGTTCTTGAGAAGGCCGTTCAATAGTTTGGAGTTGTGGCAGGAGTACGAGTTGTTGACCTGGTTGTAGGCGCACATGACGGAACCAACTCCGGCACGAACTGCGTCGGCAAATGGCCAGAGGTAGAGCTCGTGCATTGTCCTGTCATCGATGTTTGAGGATAGACTCTCATCGATGTCGAAGCCATCGCCAACCTGTCTGAAGTGTTCTGTGGATGGTTCAGTATGTACTCTGCTGGGAGCACGAGTGAATGGATATAAACTGACCTTGCTCGTTGCCAATAAGATGCTTAGCACAGGCAATAACACCGGCATCCTGAATCCCCTTGACAGTCTCAGCCATAGCAATACCTGTGAGAACCGGATCGGGGGAGAAGCCTTCCCAATTCCGACCACCAGCAGGCATCCTGCCAAGTGGGCCAGCTACGGGGCCCAGGAGAACGTTGATACCCTTCCCTCTGGCTTCCTTTCCCATTGCATATCCACGCTTATAGAAAAGAGTCCGGTCCCACGTAGCAGCTGTCGTCTGTCCTGAAGGGAAGGCCGAGTTGTAGTCCGTCCCACGAATACCAAGCGGTGAGTCGTGTAGACACAGGCTTCGGAGACCCAGCCGAGGGATGGCCCCTGTTTGGCCAACACACTGTTCTCCCTCCCAGCTGTCTACGACGTTAGCCAACCTGGAAAAGACATAAAAAGCTTGGGCATCGGGTCCTCGATGCTTTTCTTTCAGACTTACCCAACACCTGTCGTGAGGTTAACCTTTTCCAGCAAGGTCATTTGAGAGACAAAGTCCTTAGCCCATTGGTAAGCCTGCTCCCAGCCAGCGGCGTTCGGATTCATCCATGGTGATGGGTAGGAAGGCTCCGAGGTTGCCCAGGCACGTTTTTCTAGCTTGTGGAAGTTGTTAGCTGATGGGTGGCCTATGCCCAGATAATGAAGCAATTGTGTTGTATGAGCAAAGCGCATTCTCTGTGACGGAAGTCCAGTTTTCAGGGAAGAAAACGAGCATGAGGTTATTGGCACGATGGATGAGGAGAAAGGTTTATTATGTTTGATAAAAGTCCCTGAGTGATACCAAGTAAATTCAAGTCCCCGCTGTGCGCAACGTCTGGACGTTCTTGGCCCTTCCCGGAAGAGAGGAACACCAAAAGGCAAAGGGGAAGAGTTCGGGGGAAAGCTTTGGAGAGAGATTTCGAAGCCTCCATTTTCATACCTTAGCCTTAGATTTCAGGGAGCCTGTAGCAGCCAGATGGCTACCAACTAAACAGGCGAGACCAACAGCGAGTTTCATACTGACGCGTCTCAAGACGGCCGTCTGGCCGCGTTCACCTTAAGTTGGGTGACTGCGAAGATCCGAGAGCGGTGACACAGCGTGTGATATGAGGCGCACCTTCACTTAAAAAGTGATCCGGAGTAAGACATCTACCGGAAAGCCAGGTCTGTAAATCGAGACGTCTCGCAATGGTTGAGAAATGGGAGAAATGTCAACCTATTTGAAAATTGAGATGGTGAGATCCCATGGAAGAGGATAGGAAATTCCAGTCAGAAACACAGCCCAAGATATCCAAAATGGCCTCGTTGAGCCAAAATTCGGGTTTCTTTGGTCTGGAATCGTGCCTGAACTCGTAAGCAGAGGTTGTGGGAGGATGAATGCCTATTGGTCTAACGCTCCTGCTGCCCCCAATGAGCAGTCCTTCCGTCTTGATTTAACTCCCGATCAAACATGACTCCTGTTGCCCGGCGCAAAGGCAGCTTGCCGTATATATGCACAGTTCCATGGCATCGGATTTGTTCTCACAAAATCAGATCCTGATGTTGAGAGGGTGTAAAACGAATGATTTACATGGCCAAGGATGGAACAGGGCTGATCCACTGGCGTCGGTCACGGCGAGATCGTCTGAACCCGCTTGGGAGGGGCTGAACACAGTGCGCCGTACGGAGCGGCGCTGTTAAGGAAGGGCATTGGACCAGTGGACAGCATCATCATCTGTACTGGTTTGCGGCTTTAACAACGCATAACTTGTCAGTAACCATTTATAATGACTGATCTCGAAATTTTCGTTGCAATATTTGCGATCTTGTTGGCCATATTCTCCTGGAAGGCCTCAGAGCGGCCCATTGCTATGACAGAAAGTCCTGGTAAGCCCCTGGAGATTCGAACGATCTTGGCATTTTGACCTGAGGTCTCCCATCATCGCGTCTTGCTGAGCGCCAGTCCGAAATCCCAAGCAAAAACAACATCGTACGTAGTGAGCTGTCGACACCATGGTTAAGTCACGTTAGGGATTAGCCAGATCGGAGTGCTGGATCGTCGAAAATAAACATTGTGATCGCCGGGTTGTTGCCTCCAGTTGTCCTTGGCCAAGTGCGCACCAGTCTACAATAACGTCAAAGCGATCTCGTGTACGGTACCATTTTTGTTGTCCCGAGCTAGCACTTGCCCCTTCCATGGCGACCATGATATTTCAGCTTTATGCCATGGCCAACTTGATGGCATGGCCTTTTTCCATGTCCCAACACGAACCTCGCGGTCGTTGTACAGCATCTACTGTGACAGGTAACTAGCTCACTGTGCGGCGCGCATATGCACGGCGACCGCTGGGTGAGCCCGGTTTCTGCCGGCACTAGATCACTGTGGACAGTGAAAAGTACAGTCAACCTTAAAAGGAAGGTAAGCAAACGTAAGACCGAGGAGCAGTTTCTTTGCAAACATGAGTCCCAAGAACGAGATCGGGGTTACAGTCCCTGACTGTCCCCGTTGCCAATGCGTTGCTCTCTCTTGACCATGGAGAGAATGAGACCGATATTTTGTGCAGAGGCAGGCCTAAACTCTTAGATGGATTATGTACCCAAAAACAATATTCTCGTGACCCGATGATGATAACACAGATTAGCTGAACCTCAACGCCCGGCAAATTATCCCTGACCTTCTTTTGTTGTCCTTGTCACTTTAGAACGATCCCCTGAATCCCATGGGGACATGTGCTCATATTATTGTCGAACTTAGAAGGCGCGATAGCTCCTCCCCGTAAGGAGCTTTGCTTCTCTTAAGCCACTGACACATCCATTTGACCGCCTCCTCATTTAGACGCAGGAAGAGAAGGGCGTTCAGCTCAGGAGAACAATGACGACACTATCGCCACGCAGGAACCTAGAATGACACGTTAGTTGGCTGAGCGGAATGGAGTGCGGAGACCAACGAACATCTTGCTAATGAAGCGGTCCTTGTTCACTGGCCGGCCCTTCTTGCCGTTGGTCACGGGAGTTTCAGTCCACATTTCCTTCTGTTGAATTGGAAGGCCGAATTAGTATTTACGCAGATCTCTTGCAAGGCCTAGGAAAGCCAGAACGCGGATAAAGTACACACCACGTTCTCAAGGATCCTATGCCATGGTCAGTGCCCCTCTCAAAGCATAAGGGGAAAAAGGTTGGACCCACATGTTGCAGTGGCGATCGAAAGCCTTGACACGAGCAAGCCTACAACAGGCCGTCAGCCTTTGAAACTCAGGATAGTTTTCGTCGAAACTGAACTCACAGCTTGCGACCGGAGCGAACACTAATAAGGACCTGAGTGTGACTCCTCACAGCTGTCTGCAGGAGAGACAGAGGGCCATTGGCCATCTCCCATTCTTCCTGTAAAAAGCACGTCAGCTAAAACGTCCGATGGTTTCACAGGTGCCTTCACCCCTCAATGATCACTGAAGGTTCAAAGCGGATGGGAAGAACGTACAATTTGAGCAATTTCCCATTCCCTTCAACCAAAAAGCCAAGAAAGTCAGATAATCTCATTTCCGAGCCGGAGTACCCCCGACAGAAGCTGGAATACTCACGTGCACTCGCTGCGAGGCTTCTGCAGCAGCGCCCTAAAAGCGTGTCGTGTCAGCGAACTGAACGGCCAATGGTCAAAATGAGAAGGACAACTTACTGAATATCAACGTTTGACGACATTTCGGATTCTTTGAAATGGCTTCAAGACGGTGTGAGGGGAGATATCGATGAAGAAAGTTGAAGACACGGTCCCGACTTTCGATGGCTGAATGATGAACGAACATGAGGACGCCAGGCAAGAACCGCGCGACCCACACTGAGGAACGGAGTCACGTGATCAGATATAGCGGCACACCGCCCGGCAGAATTCAAAACCCAAAGAGCAGGGGATGGGACTACAGACCAGAAATAACTTGGTAAAAGTGACAGATGTGTTAAGAATCAAGATTAGCCCTATTTGGTTTGTATTACTACTTTAAAGACAAAATTCTTTATCTACGCCGACCCTCCTGGACAGCGTCCCCAGATGTTACTATAACCCCTGCATTAACCACCCCATCACCCCACAACTTTGAGGACAGCCTTACGTGCTGCCTTTAATAGACATACGGAATGATCCTCCACCTCACGATCTCCTTATACTTTTCCCAGTCCTCTCCATACTTCTTCGAACACTTTTCATCATCCCTGCGATCGCGGTGGAGCAGCAGCGTAGCAAAGTACACGACGTAGAAGTAGGTGAAGATGGTCCCCCAGCCCCTAGCCTCGCCAGGAACAACGATGCGACCATCCAGCATCTTAACCGCGCCCTCGGCCAGCTCGCTGCCTGCGGTAAGGATTTGATACCCGGCCAGACCAGTCGGCAGGCAGTATGGCCAAGCCTGAAGCCAATCACCAAGGTAGTTAATGTGGCGAGCAATGCCCCACCAGCCAGAGATGAGCAGGCGCGTGCCAGCTTTGGTCTCGATGTATTTGAGGTGCTTGACGCTGGGATCGTTGGGGTTGGTACGGAACGCGTTCTTCTGGCTGTTTGAGAGACGGAAGATAGCGAATCCGGCAACGAGCAGCACAGTGACGCCCACCAAGCCAAGGTAACCAAGCTTCTGGGGATGAACAGCAAGGTAGCGTGTCGACTGCGTGTAGATGAATGGCACCCAAACAATGTCGCCAAAAGAGAGCATCAGGCCGAAGCCGTCGGTGGTGATGTCGATCGTGGTCAGGACAGCAGGCTCGAAGTAGTGGCTATCAAGGACATAAAGCGCCTGGACTGCGGTGACGAAAACAATGCTGTCAGTGACATAGCCATACAGGCGGTACTGCTTGGCGACGAAGGCACAGTTCATCAGGGTCCAGCCGAGCAGGCCCGGACGAAGCTCCATCCACTGCTTGATGTCGATCTCGCCAATGATTGGGAGCGTGACGCGTGGGTTGAGCTCGCGTCCAATGAACCAGTCATACAGGATGTTACCAGTCACACCGCCGACCGCAAGCTCGCGCAGCTGCGGGTTACCCGGCTTAACGCTGAAGCTGCGGATGTAGACGAAAGTAGCAAGGGTGTAGGCGATGATGACATTCGCGGTCAGGATCTGGACGTAGTTGTCGGCAATGAAAGTCCACAAGGGGAAATCGGCGCCTTGGGCGATAGTGCCGGCGGCGCAGATAACGAGGGTGAACATGCTAGAGGCGAAGGCTAGAGGATATTAGCGTAGGTGCCAGAAGCTACCGATATGGGGCAACAGTCTTACCATTAAGTTTGTACTTTAACCGTCCGCCATTGCGAAGCTGCGTTCCCTCAACTACGTCTCCAGGCAGAATCCTGTAAAGGAGAGCCAGCCAGAGATAGTAGGCCAGTGTCCAGCCGGTTACGCGCCAGCTAGCCAAACCCCAGATGCCATTCTTCGGCCAACCGACCTCTTGTTTTAGGACATCGAGCTTCAGCGACTTCGGATGGAGCAGGCTAGGCGCAGGGCATCCGGTGATATCGTTACAGGCGAACGCGAATGCGTAGACAAGTAGTGGCAGGCCAAAGCTAATGGCAGCAGCGCCAGGTCTGGATTGTGTTAGATGTACTTGCAAACCCCGGACGACATACCAATTCTACTTGGCGGGATTACTTACGGGCCAAAGAACTCGTAATGCTGTGTGCGAGACACAGCCTGCTTCTTCGTCTTCGGCGCCATGTTTCCCAGCTTCGCGACGAGCTATCGGTGAACGTGCCCGGAGCTCTGCTGTTTGCAAGGCCAGAGTAATTCGATCTTATATATCATCAATGGCCTTAACAACCGACAATTCTCTTGCGCCGTATCCCGTGCGTTCCGGTGCGGCTCAGAGCGCGATGCTGACAGCCCCCGTTCGGAAAGAAGCTTTCCGGATGGTCTGATGGCCCAAAGCTCCAATGACGACACGGCAAAGCTCGCAGCTCTCCGCTGGCGCGTTACCTTGTGTGGAGCAGGAAACTTGGCATTCAGGCCTGTGCTGGAGACGTGGACTGCCGCGGTACCCCAAAGTACAAAGGCCCTGTTCATGAGTACAGTGAAGTGCTTCTGGCCAATGTCGTAGACTTCGTCAAAAAGTATAATGTACAAACACATTAATAAATATGAAATGGCTACAATATACCATTTTATTGCTTGTCCTCTTCTTCAATAAGCCATTTAGACTCGTTTAACTATTGTTACTGCTTCGTATCGACTCAAATACATCGAAACACCTAGCATTCAAAGAGATTTACCTTCCCCACAAACCCCTCCGTCCCTGGCGCTTGCCCAACCTCTAGCCAATCACAGGCAACATTTCGTGCCACGCAAAACACGGTCAGGAGGTACTTTTCTGGAAACGGGGCCAAGGTTGGCGATGGTTGCGGTCGCAAAAGGGCCTCCAGTGTCGAGACCCTGCAGCCGTCGTCCCTCACTAACGTCATCGTGTTTCTCTGGTAAAATTGACAATCGTTTTGATTTCTCCCTTATTCTCTGCACCATCGCTTTGAATGAGAGATCACACAGCGTCCCAGGCATCGCTCAGCGCGAGGCTGCGCGCCCCCCGAGGCATACAGGTTTCTATACGGATATCGTCCCTCATTTCGAGCTTCTGAATCGAAAGTACAGCCCCGCGCCTACGCTACAATTATGTATCGACCTACGTCGCCGCGAGGCCTTCTCCTCTTCGCACTGGCGGCGCTCTTGAGCCTAGCGCTCGCTGATAATCCAACAAAGACCACGACTTCAACCACGTCCGTCGTTACTCCTTGCGTTGCGACGTCGACCAATGGCGCTTTCTTCGATCTCCGCCCCGACCAGGCCATTGTGGTCGCTGAGGGGGAGAAGCCGCCGAAGGGCGTACCCACCGAGGACTACACTGCCAGAGGTTGGGACTATGGGACCAACTTCACTCTGAACATCTGCGGGGCCGTTGTTGGTGAGGTCACCGACGTCGTCGGCGTTGAAGAAAAGTATTGGCGCAACGTCAGTGCCTATTACACAAAGGATGGGAAGATCTACTCCCTGGGGTATGTTGGCACGACCTCAACCCGATCAGCCCTCGATCGTTGATGCTTACAACCCGGCAGTCTACAATCAGGAGACTTGATCCCTCGCGGGCGCAAGCTTGTACTTCAGTACACCGGCGGGTCGCCATGTGGTGCTCCTGAGAACAAGCGCAGACGTAAGCGCCAATATCTTGAGGACGATCCGGAAGGAATGCATAGCAGGTACGACGACGAATGGCGCCGATACGACGAGGGCAACGAGAACTGGAGCGACGAGGACCGCGACCGGAACAATGAAGGGTCCAGGGAAAATCACGAGGAGGACAGGGAAGACAAGCCTCCGACCACCCGTCGCAAGTCGGCCCTCATCTCCTTCCTCTGTGACCGCGACCCCGACACGCCCACCGCGGCCTCCTTCGTCGGCACAGATCCTGACGAGTGTGCTTACTTTTTCGAAGTGCGCTCAAAGCACGCCTGCGCGGCCGCCGAGCCTCACAAGCCCGGCAGTGTTGGTCCTGGCGGCGTCTTCGCCATCATTTTCTTCATCACGGTCTTGGTCTACGTCATCGGAGGCGTTTTCTACCAGCGTACCGTTGCGCATGCCCGTGGCTGGCGACAGCTGCCGAACTACAGTCTCTGGGCGGGCATCTGGAGCTTTGTCAAGGTACGGAGGGGGGATGAGCAGCGGAAGAGCCCGGTGTATTCGGCGCTCTGACATCGATTGCCCGCCTGCTAACTTCTGTCTCCTTTCTACTTCTAGGACTTTTTCACCATATTCACGTCGTCTTGTGCCAGGATGTTTCCCCAGCAGAGAGGCTATCATACCCTGTCTGGTTCTCCAAGCGGACGGCGGAGCAGGGATGATGAGAACCGGCTTATCGACCAACTTGACGAGGAGTGGGATGACTGATGGCTTGGGAGCTTCCTTTTTGGGTCACATTTTCTGTACGTGTTCCTGTTCACTAAGGGGCTTAGAGTTCGTTTTTTTTTCTTTGTCTGAGGCTGGTCTCGTGGATATAAAAGGGAGGCGTTCTTTGTTCAGCTACTTAATACAAGCAGCATCACCTACCATCTCTGCGGCTTGACGTTGCAATAAGCATCTAGTGGCTATCTAAGGTTCATGCCCATAAAACCCGTCAGCCATGACCATTACTATAAATGGGCTATCATGGTCGTCTGTCCTTTTGGCTGCCTCGCCAATGTCTTCGAATCACTCGCCAGCTACTCTGTCCCAGAGGGCCGTACACATCGACTAGTGTCTAGGATTACGTTTCTTCCGAATCGTTTGGCAAAACAAATTGTGGGACATGGTTCTTAGCCATGTCACGCTGCACGGCTTCGGGTACCACAGCCCTGATCCGATTGCTTGCGTTTTCTCCCAGCCACTTGAAGCATTAATTTCTACGGCTACAAGAAGCAAAACGCATGGTCTCCAGACGAGAAAGGAATACTTTGTCTCTTATGAGGCTTGATATGCCAGTTACGTGGCAGAGACCAAAGTCCCGGAGTGTTAGCCGTCGCAACTTCGGCACGTTGGTCAGTTTGCTGCTTCCGGTGTAGGTAGCAAACGTTACTGATGCAACGTATTTCAAAGGGCGGAGCCAGCCATGGCCGGGTCATCATGAGATACCACATTCATGAGAGTTGGGCCTGGAGCCAGTTGCGTGTTCGTTCTTTCAGCCTCCGGGAACACAGCAACAGTTGCAACAGTTGCAAGTGGAGTCGTGGCACTTCCTCGGGCCAACAGCTTCATCACATTCGTCGGTTTTGTCAAAACCTGAAGGTGACTGCAACAAGAGCATAAGAGCACAAAAGTGCTAGGAAACCTTGAAAGCAAAAAGGGGCCTTGAAGTTAAATGAATTGTTCCGACTAGCAGTTCTTGCAATTCATACCTAACAAGAGAACAAATGATTGTCTTATGACTTGACACTAACTTGTAGCAGTCTCAACCCTTCGCACTTTCACACATTTATACCTGACTTCATCCCTTTAGAACCCCACCCGCACCAGCGCAGCCACTTTTACAACAACCGCTGAACCCTCTACCTTTCAACACCAAAACAACCCCAACAACAACCACCCCCCAAGATCTGCAGAAATGGGTCGCTGGTCGTATCTCGACTCCGATGAAGAGCGCCTGCCGGTCGGTATGGTGCGCGTTGGCTACGACGCCGACACTCAAACTTACACCTACCGCGACCTAAACGGTACCTACTGGACAGGTGCGCCCGGTGCTCGCTACGGCGAGCTACATCGTATCCCCTCGCGGAAGACCCGGCCTTCCCAAAGCAACAGAACCTCCCCGGTGTCTAACACCAATATATGGGTTGACACGGCTCGCGATCGCGATGACAGGTCCCCAACCAACAAAGACTCTACTATCGCCACAACGAATGCTCTCTCAACCGACTACACCTACGACTACACCGAGAAATGGACCCAATCTCTATCCCCGGTCTCACCAAGCCACTCCCCCCAAGTCCCCACAATGACGCAAACACCCAGCACCCTCAGCCCCACCGTCGCCGCAACGCCGGCCCCTCCTCCCCACAGCGGCGCCGATTACCCGCTCCCTGCATCCCCGACCACCCACCGACCTCTATTTAAGGCGCCTAGCCCCGAGTTACACCACCCACGGCCGATAAAGCGCACGGGCAGCACGCTGGCACGTCTGGCGCGCTTCCTTTCCACTGCCTCTAACGCCTCGTCCAGTCCTGGGTCAAGGACAGGCTCGCTACGTCGGCGTGCAACAGTTGCGGAAAAGTGTATTTCGAGAAGTGGGAACGCAACCACTTCACCGATTCCGACTCCAAATTTAGCGGCTGCTGTGAGTGAGAAGCCTCCTCAGGAGCTGCACACGCCTGCCTATGGGTATGGACATGCGCAAGGGTATGGGCACGGATATTTTGATACGAAGCAGGGTTTGGCTAGGAGCCAGACGCTGCGCGTTCCGCTGCAGCTGAAGGAGACTGGGCCTGGGCCTGGGCCGGGACCTGGACCTGAAACGGGAACAGGGAACGTAAGTCCTGCTGTGACGAGAGCGACGACGTTTGATGAGATCCTCGCGGGTATTGAGAAGGATAAGCTGGAAGCTCAGAAAAAGGAGAAGAAAAGAAAGTGAGCAGTTATGGGTTCCCTAGGAGCTGGATGGGGAGGTTGTTTTGAAGATGATTCTAACAGCGGACTGCTTCAATCAGCGGTTTTTGTAAGAAAACCAGTTGTTCGGGTGATGTTGATGTCCCGTCGAGTGACGGTATGTGGGCTATTCTCATTGCTCTTGCATCATGATGCGTCTGCTGCTTGCCTATGTATGCTTCGCTGATGTCGTGCGTTGATTAAAGCAAGCAATGACTTTTTGCTCACGGCCAACCACAGTAATGTGGGAGCAGCCTCTGAATGACAAAGCCGACTGCGACCGGGCATGTTTTGTCACGATGCATTTGATGACTCAATATAATATCCGATTAGTGATGTATATGTATAAGTTCCCTTTGGAAATTCTACAGCTACCCATGGAAACTTGCTGCTTGACGATTGCGCCATTGAACCGATTACCTCGATGATACAAACCAGAATGCAGCCAAAAAGAGCACCAAAATAACTGGATTCGGAACGTGGCCAGTGTCGCCAAAATGGCAAAATTAAAGGGGCTCAATCGGGGATCGAACCCGAGACCTCGCACATCACTTGTTAACAAGTTGAGGGCTGTAAGAACCCGAAGCGCGAATCATACCACTAGACCATTGAGCCGCCAAATTGTTATTGGTTGGTGCAGATTCCGGACTAATAGGATGCCAGCCTGCGCAGCGGCGATCCTTCTACCCAGGGATGACAACCGTGACAAGTGGTGACAGCCTGGAAGACGGCAGTCAGGCGGCGACTCGAACAAGCCCTCCTTCTCTGCTCAACTCCAAGCTCCCGCTTCTGTACAGCTGGCCTGCATTCGCGATCCCTGCCTAGGAGTAAGAGGATACGAAACAAAAACTCTGATCGAGTGTACTATCCTTCTAGCCTACCATCCAAGCTCATCCAAACTCCATTGCCGGTTACTTTGTTAACTTTACCGACCCGTCCAGCCGTTGTTTTGGACTTCCTGCATAGCTGGCAATCTTTCCGCCATTTTTGGCGCAGCTAGTCGCGCCTTGCCGCTGTGATTCGGTATAATCATGAAGAGACTTGGTCGACGGCGACAAAAAGCTCTAAGACCAAGGAACAGGTCCGCCCTCTCAAGCCCCCACAAGACGTTGAGGAACCCGCAAGCTCGTCTAACCACAAGGATGGCGTCGACGTCACTACATCTACTTTACACTTAGGGTTAGAGGTTTGGGAAGAAGAAGTCGATGATCCACTAGGGATACCTGTCCTGCATACCCCTGAACTAGGCGATCACGTCGTTGACATTCTCTTCATCCACGGATTAGGTGACACGAGTCTGAAAACTTGGTGTTATGCGGAGAAAAACAGGAGAACCTCTGGCCAAAGTATTGGCCCCCTAGTGAAGTGCCTAGAGCTCGGATTTCAGTCTTCGGCTACAATGCCTGCTTTTCCTCACACGAAGGTCTAGTGACATGCAAGATCGTCGACTTTGCCACAGGTCTCCTCAATGACATGAAGTATGCTAGCGACGGTCTTGGGAAGTTCCGATTATCATCATTGCAGATTTAATGGGCGGTCTTGTCTTCAAATGAGCATTCACCCAAGGCCTGAGAAGCCATCGTTCCCGTGATATCGTCTCTAAAATTACAACCGTGAACTGTTGATTTGGCTAGGCTGCCAGTAGTGTTTTCTCGCTATCTCCTTCATTGTGCAGGCCGAATATAAACGTGCATTCCCGCTATATGCCCAATCTCATCAGCAATATACCGCCTGTTTGCTAGAAACCTTGCTGCTGCCTTATCAGTGAGGACTACGGGGGTAGCAAATAATGCCTGGAAGGACTCGAATCAACTGGGATCTAGGACAAAAACTTCGTGGGCTTGCTGTGTCATGGAGCTACCTAGCAACAGCATTGACCAAGACAGAGTCCAGGCCGTCCGACTCGATGAAAGGTGAAAGTCAGGAAATGGAGTGTACGGAAAGTGAAGGTGTGGAAAAGCGCGGCTTCTCCCTCCACCACAAGGTTGGAAATAGTAATATAAGATACAAAGTCATTTCAGCCTCGTCATGTATTGGACGTGGGCGCGAATGACTTCATGTTTAGGAAAGCATTAGCCGTTGCGTTCAACGAATCTAGGTCGATCTTTTCATGCGTTACAGATTCAACAACTTATGTCTGGAAGGTGGCGGACTGCACCCTACAACTTACAACAGCGACGCCTGAGAATTCCATGCCAAAAACGTTCAATAAGTTTCAAGTCTCAACTCAATTCGACAAGTCGAAAAACCTTTACCTGCTTTCAGCGATCAAGTGTCGAAATTCTTCTCAAGCCCCTGCAATATCTGCGGACGCCCATCACCTCTGTCCACATTTCGCATGCTGCCGGGTTCGGACTCTTGCCTGAATCAACCGACCACATATGCCTTTCCCCAGCCAGGCAATTCTTCTCCTTCTCATGTTCTTTTTTCTCATCAATAAAGCATGACTCTCAGGATCAGTTTTCTCCTCTCCCGAGAAACTGGAGAGCTACCACATACAGCTCTACAAGTTGAACATGCACCAGACATCCGATAGAGCAGCGAATGGCAATTTATCCACTTTCGGGATGATGACAGTGTCTTGAAAGCGAATCCGCGTGGTCACACCTTCCCAACACTGAAGTTAGACCCTGATTGTAGACATATCATCTATACTATTTATGACGTCCGCAAATCATCAAGTCCGTCACACCCATGGCTCCTTCATCCAGACAAAATTGCCGCATGCAGCTTGCGGATATATGCCATATACGACAATCCTTCGAGGCTGGAGCGCCGCTACAGCTTTGAGCTAGATGTCTGTCAAGATTTCGGAATTGGGAGCTTGGATTGGCATCGCTCCGGTGCGATCTTTGCATGCAATAAGCCGCCGTCTGTGATATTCAAGTGGGATCCTGAACGCGATACACAAATAACTGCTAGGTTGGCTAAAGAGGACCTTAGCTACTTCGCAGACCCTGGGATATGGTGCAACCCAAATGGCAAACATGTCTTCTTCGGACAGTGAGCGACACCCTCAACATCTATGATACCTCAGCTTTTCTGTTCCTTCGCAGGATCGAGCTGAAGAAGTTCATGGACCGCCTGTATTTCTCTCCGGATGGCAACTGAATTTACGTAGTCGCTGTTGAAGAATCTCGCGATATATGGGAGACCCCTGACCTGAGCGGACTCCAAAAAACCGGGTCGCATCATCCACTGGCGCGTGTGCTTTATAAGTCTTCCCCTAGTATCACCTCTCAATCGTATTTTCTCGCACAACAATATGTGGTCCCGTGCCAGCGTGAGGATTATTTTAACATGTTTTCTAGCCAAGTTTCCAACTTCAACAGACGTGAGCATTTGGTTGACTCAAAAGGAGAGAAGGCATTGACCAAACAAGAACTTGATGCTGTTCTATTCTCAGTTGGAGATGGAAATATCAATGCTTTCTTTCAAGTGGGTGGTGAGGAGAGCCTCATTTTCCAGGGGAAATCCGTTCCTGTTGTATGCTGGGAGAAGCATCTGTTGAACCCATCTTATCTGATCCGCATCTCTGGAGTGTCTATAAAAGTCTTGGGACTCTCTCCAATAAATTTCCTCTCTCCCACTCAATTTTCTTGTTACCTTCACGGCTCTCTCACTGGCGAAAGATTGGAGATGTTTCAAGAGAAGGAGTTCGACAACATCGGTTCAAGTTTGGATGGTGACAATTACTGCCCCAACATTGCCCTTGCTAAAAATTTTCATCCATTCCTTGTCCGTATTGCAGCAGTTCTTTCTTCTCCGCCCTATCTACGATCTCTCAGAGACTGGGCCGAGTGCCATATAAGATCATCCACGAGCGATAGCGATCTCTCACGTGTTCCAGTCCGAACGAAGGAGGTTGTTCGAGATTCTTCAAGATGGACGTCTTTTATTCCTCGAAATGAGTCCTGAAAGTACGGAATACTGGGTATGTACGGTGCCTCTTCTACCTATACCCCTGGGCTGCACGGAGCTGCCACTGGAGGATGCAAAGATACAGCGGCAGTTCTTCCTCCCGGCTGAGTGGATGAAAGGTTGATATCGATTTGACCAGTTTGTATGTCAACGGGCACTATGGAGAAATGGCGATTACTATCTGATGGGAAGTTCTTGATCATGGTTGATGGCCATCCTATGTTAGTCGGTAGAATTGAACGACAGAACGGTCAAGGGCAGGATCTTCTTTATGAGGAGGGTAGTGCTAATCGAAATGTCAGGATGTATTGAGCCTGGATTAACACAACGTCATATCGGAGAACCAGCCTAGCGTTGGTCACACGAGGGGATTTTTATCGCTGGATTTATGTTTTCAAGTGGATTCGCAAATATTCGCTATGACTTGCGCTGTCAGCTTTACAAGTAGCTGGGCTCCCCTGTCTTCGTGTATATGCATTTCACTTGATGTTTTTACTCGCCCGGCGTCGTGGGCACGACCGAGCATCCTCATGAGTGATACGGGTCGCAAATGCAATTCAATTCAATTCAATCCAATTCACTTCATTTCTCTTGATGGTATACGTTTCTCGCTCTTGTCTTTCTGAGAACTTCGATTTCACTGCTGCGAACTACAGCTCTGTTCACCATATTTGTGTTATTAGGCGTAAGGGCGGGCGTCTAGTTTGTTCAGGCGATTTTAACCCACCTGGCAGAAAGCCGAAGGAGTGCTTAATGTGCCACATGTTGCTCCAGTCCTCGATAAATGTTGTTTAGGGGCTTTTGAGGGGGATATCCATATTTCGTCTCATTCGTTTGCTTAGTTGCTTTGGCTTGCCTTGGCCGCTATCTTAGGTTCACATGTCCAACAGCTGGAGTTCCAGGAATATGGAGACTGCGGGTATGAATACTTGACAAATGCCAACTATATACATATACCTCCACCATTCCTCATTCCCCTTCTCCCTTGGATCTAACACCATAATTCATTCTCAGGAAAATGGTCATAAACCTTTCTTCCTAACCAGTCAGACTTTTAGACGCACTGCGAGTAATAAGGAGGTGAGATCGCCTGGCAAGTCGAGCCCGGCTGCATTGTACACTTTGTCAGCATCCATTTCACAAACAAACATCAAACTCGCTCAATACTTACCACGCACTGTGTGCAACCAGTATACCCTTGCCCGCCGCATTGCTGATACTTCTGGGCATAGCAACCGCCACCACCATTGGGAGCCCCCGTCCCAACAGGAATAGCCGACACCGTCCCGGAGGGACTTGACCCAACCTTGCAAGTCTGCTCACAACCGGTGCACCCACTCCCCGCACGCTTCGTCGTCCCACCCGAATACACCGGCGGGCCAGGCACAACATAGTTGTTCATCGCCGAGTGGATGTTAACCAAGATACCCGGATCCGTAGCCGAGTACGCGCCAGGGAACTTAACAGTCGCCGGATTGGCATTGCCCCCTCCCTCAACAGTAAGCTGATAACACGTCATATACAGCTGCGCACCGCCAGGCTGGCCGCCGACGTGCAGGGCGATAGCCTCGGCGCGAAGGAGGTAGTCGCCAGAGGGGATGTCTTCTGGGATCTTGACGTCCATCTTGCCGCAGCAGGTGTTGAGGTCCTTGGTGCCCCAGAAGTCGTCGTCGCCGACTTTGCCGGAGGGGTTCTTGGCCCAGCCGTCCTCGAAGATCTTGAACCAGCCTGTGGAGCCGTCGGCGGTGGCGGCGTCGCTGACCTTGGTCATGTAGACGAGCACGGGGCCGTGGTGCGCGCCGCCCATGGCTTCTTTGCTGCAGTCGCGGTCGCCGGGTTGCTGGGGCGTTTGTTAGAGGTTGTAGTGTGGATGAGATGGGGGGAAGGTCATACCGCATGCATCTCGATCGTGACAATTGAGCCCGCCTTGACAGGGCACTTGCCCTTTGCTGGTGAAGGGTAAGCATTGCAGCGGATCTCGGGAGAGTTTACGTTGGTAACGGGCGAGTTCGAGCCTGGCACACGAGCACATTGTGTGCCGTAGTCAACGCCGTCAACCCATAGTTGTTGGAACATAGCATGGGCGGCAGCCTTCTGAGCCCAGAGGGCTGCCAAGGCGGCAAGAGATAATGTCTTCATGGTTGGTAACCTCGGCCTTAGAGATAGGGATGTCTTGGGAATGAGATACTGATGATCAGAGCTATTATAGCACGGCACTAGCATGCGGCCATTATGGGATAGATTTATACCAACGGCATCCGGACCCAGAGCCATGGCTCTCACGTCTTCCTCGACCCGAGCTCCCAATCCAAACTGCTTAGAGCAAGACCACGTAATACCATGTTAATACCCACTCCGTGCCCTGCTTGAAGCAGTCCATGAGCCTGAGTTTGTCCGTGACAAACGGGATTCCCATCCCCGCGTTCACACTCCGTACCATTCCCGCCGGCAGACAGCACTAGGCGAAAAGCTCGGCGATACCCAAGAAACCCAACGGTAACCGCGTGGACAGGTTCCCCGCATAAATACTACGCCGGGCGTGATCCGGGGTAATGCAACGGCCTTCCGAAACAGGGCAGAGCAGTATGGAACGATTGGAGGGATTGTGCTCGCGTCGGTTAATATATAGCGCCTGGCTGATTAACAATCGGTGCGGCAAACACGGCAGTCCTATTCCGTGTGTGCCACAGATACCGAGAACTGGGGCTTCAACCAACCACATGGAATCGGCGGATGAATATCCATTTCATTTCTGGCTGTGTCGCTCATATAGAGCATAAAAAGCCGGGAACGCCTCTCCCTCATTCCAGAGCAGCCCGTGTACGTCAGTTGGGCGCCTGACATCCTACACAATATATGAAGATGGGGGGCTAGGAGCCCGTAAACCTGCTCACTGATTGCACGAAGCACTATGCAGACACTATATGGGATAATGACTGACCCGGTTTACTGCTTCGCGTGTTCCTGGGAATCTGGAATTTTCGCAAAGATCTCCCGGATGATAGTTGCAAGCTCCCGTCTAGCCGCTGTCGATCCTCTCTGTCATTGGCGCGGGTTGAGGGAAGTGACTGGCGGGCGTTTGTGAGGTAATATGAAGTCCTCGGCGGACGATCACTGGTTGTTAAGATGTGAAGAGGGAAGGGGATTTTGGTCGCGTCTCCCTCAAGTCAAAAAAAAAAAAAATCGGAGGACATCGAGGTTGCAGGGCTAACGTCCGTTGTCGTGGCATCGATCGAGCATAGGACTGGGCGTTGACGGGAGCGGTTCGATGCTAGTGAGATGAAAAGGGACTTTTCCTGGCTCGAAGTCAACTCGAAGAGCAAAGTTAGTTTGTGGTGGAATGCTGTGAAGCCCCGCGAAGTCGTGATTGGTCTTCGTGGCGTTGAGCTCAGACAACGGAGCCCGGAAGTCCGTTCCTTCCTTCCTGAAAGGGTGAAACGGTGGTTACCTGGGCTCCCAACTGACGGGCGAGATCCACAGAGACCTGGAACTCGATCATTTCGAGTTTTGAACCGCCTTGAGTGGGGGACAAACCATGCGGAAGTGCCGTCATGGCTTTCTTCTGTGCGGCGGATGCGAAGATTGAGGACAAAACTTAGAGACATCTCTTTTCTATTCTATCGCAGACTTAGTCCTCAATTATAACACGTTATCCATACCGCAAATATTTACACAAATCGTACAAACACCCTCTTCCCTGACTGGGCATAAAAATGGATCATACTCACCATTTTCTCAACCTCTCTTAACCCAATACCCCCCCGTCCCCAACAACCGATCCCTTTCCGCCCCATCATCGTCTCTAACCCCTACCTTATGCAGCGGCACCGTGGGAATGGGTATCTTCCTGCCAATCTTATCCATCTTCCTCTCTGCTCGATCGACGTACCCCATCTCCCTCTTCAGCTCTTGCAGCCGCCACATCGCCGCCTCTGCTGTCCAGCCCCGTTGTCGGCCTGGCCCGCCTAGGCTAATGAGCGTTAGACAGACGTCTTGTGATGCCTGGTCGAGCTTTTGTTCGCGCGTTTGGTGAAGGGCTTCGGCTGGTGAAGGGGCGGGGCGGAGGACGCCCATTAGGATCGTGGTCAATGTTGTGCCGACCAAGCTGTCCCCTTTTGGAATTGGGGGTTGGATGATGTGCACTGCGACGAGGGGCTTGGGGAGGACAGATGGTTTAGCGTGTGGGCAAGGGGTGACGGTGATGATGGCTTCGTGCCAGACTTGATGTTGAGGATTGCTGTAGCCTTCGATCTTTACCCAGCCAAAGTAGATCCCCCTCAGTCGGTATTGGATTTCTTCGGGGATGTTGGACAGGTTGGCGGTCGGGATCCCCAGCTCGGCTGTGCTCCGTCCTGTTCCCCGGACGACCTTACCGTGGAACTTGATCGGGAAAGGGTATTCCGGTCCTGTGTCTGGGCCGATGGGCTCGACAGATTGAGGATCGCGCTCGAGTGATCGGTTGATGTGTTCTTGATGCGCCGTCTGCCAGGTCATGTACTCCTCTATTTCTTTCTCCTCTTTCATGTCGCTCAGCTCATCGCGCACCAGCCCTCCAACAGTTTCTGCCACGAACCCAGGCCTCACTCGGTCAATCACTGCCTGCACGGGTTCTTTAACAGGGGATGTGAACCTGTCAATCGTCGAGCTGGCGACCATAGACGCCGCAAACACGCCAACTTCAAGCGGCAGAGCCTTCAAAGGCGCCCCACGAAAAACACTCGAGTCCATCGACGTACTCGCAATGCGAAACACCGGACTTGTGCACAACACCTTCCCCTTCTTCGCTCCCTCCGGATCATAAGGATTATCCCCCTTCGTGCAAAGAACAACCCTGAAATACCCATCCTCCGCGGCCTCTGGGATCCTGATCATGTGTGTCTCCCTGGGCACATGCGCCTTCTTCTTCCCTTTCTCCTTCAATAACTTGTGCGCTGCCTTCTCGATATCCCTATTCCATGCCCTCTCCGTCTCCGCAGGGACCTGGTTTACCGCGATCTGCGTCGAAGGTGTAACGTGGAGCCAGTCATCTGTCAAGTTAAACCACGATTTTACCTTCATCCCGCTATCTCCCGTGAAACCCCTCTGCTGAAGCCAGAGCTTGCGGTCTGCGGGAAGGGGATGGTCCGGCGAGCTAAAGATAGTGATCGCCACGGAGGTCTTCGGGCCGCGATACATGATAAGGGGAGGAGAATGTCGTAGGATGGTGTAGTGCTTGGTTGACTCCATGGGATGGGGGATGAGCCCGCCGGCGAAGTGCTTTGCTTCGGAGAGGGCATTTTGGAGGAAGCCTTTCCCGTTGCCAGTGTTGGTGTTGCTGTTTGGCGCAGGAGTGACGCCTGGTCCGAAGGTAGCTGCTGAAGCTACTGGCGGTCGATGGAATTGTCCTTGAGGGCAGTTCGCTGCTTGGCTAAGGTTAGGGAGGCTCTGCTGTGGTCGGAGTTGATGGTTTGGGCTTGGAGGTGGCGGGGGGATATGAAACTGCTGCTGCTGGAGATAGCCTTCGCCCCTGGAGCTGGGCCTCATCGAGGGCGTCATGCTATGGGCAGTTCCCGGTCTCATTGTATGTACAGCGCCTTGAGCTATGCTCGGCCTTAAAGAACTGGTCGTGCTATGGGCGGTGCCCGGTCGGAGGCTATCTCCAGCAACCCGGGGCCGGGTCGGGAGTGGGGGCGGCTTCTCATCGGGCCCGTAGGCGCCGTGGGAGGTTTGCGGTCGGTAAGACGGAGAAGCATTCTGATAGCTCTGGATCGGGAATTGCTCATATGGAGGTGGTTGTTCTGAGACGCCGTAACTGATGTAGTGACCTATTGGGATGCTCTGTCCTGATGGTTGGCAATTCCAGTTATTGGCGTTGCTGGTGTTACTACTCCCAACTGGTTTGCGCCCAATCCGCAAAGCAGAAGGAGCATCGTTCATGGCCACCATTCTGACAGGAATTCGTTTCTCATTTCATCCAATGGCATCCGCTGCTGTCGTGATCACTTGTCCACGAGACGCGGCCATTTCGGAAACTTTTTATGATGAAGGGAAAAAGGTGAGGCAGCTCGTTTGATGTTCACTTCATTTCATGACCCGAGTTTCCCGAGATGTTCGGTGTGGGGCAGCGAGATAATCGTGGATACCCCTAACCCTGAAAAGGCAAACCAAGAAATGCCCAGACAATTGGGGGGGGTGGGGGGAAGGGGGAGACAAAGAAAAGAGACGATGACATCAACAGTGTCCATTCTTCACTCTTGAAATAGAACGTGGAGAAACTAAGGTGACAGAGGTGACAGAGGTGACAGATTTCCTTTCTTTATGGGACTCTTCACTGTGTGCTCAAGGTCATTTACGCGGGCTTACTGAACCATCGGATGAACCGCAGTTTCAGTTTGAAGATGTTTTACGCCCTTTTCAAGGGTAGCCCGAGTAACCACCCAAAGACTGACTCGACCTACCCTTCGTACATAAATAGGAAATGTCTTTACCTAGGGTTCGAAGCCAGCTTAAGAACATAGCTCACTCACTTACCTTCAGTTTGAATAACTGCTTTAAGTCCTGACATAACCTCTGTAAATAGATATTTTCTGTGCTTGTAGGTTAGCTTAATACCACAGAGACATGACTTACCTGTAGCCCACGATAATCGCTGCGCCCAGCACCTATGGCTAATTGAGCTCAGCCAACCTTATGATGATGTCGTAGCCTAAGACACAAGGTTATCTCAACGAACAATGGGGCAACTGGCTTACAGACCTACCCTTCCTGAACCCCCTTACTCCCCTCCACCTTCTTCTCCTAATGCCCTGCAACACACTCAACACACTCCCACTTCTCCACAACCTCCTTTTCCTCCCACTCCTTTAACAGCCCATTCTTCATCCTCAGCGACGGACACTCCCGCTCAAATCCTCCCACCACCTTTTTCCCGCCCGTCCCAGGACGCCCGTACTTGACTTTGTACGCCGCGCAGTGCTGCCACATGCTTTTGTATCGTCGCCAGGCAATGTTTTCTTGACCGGATTCGGGCAGCCGCAGGATCCAGCCGTCAGGATGGATATATGTCGATGTGATGACCAAGTCTTGAGGGCGAGAGCAGACGTAGATGTGGTGGGGGCAGGTTGGGGCGTTGCGATGGGGGCAGGTGCAGATGAAGGTGTGGAGTAGGCGGATGCACATCGCTGGGGGTTGAGTTTGGATGAGGGTTTAGCTGCTGTGATGGCGAGGCTGGTGATCGGGATGGGTTGGTCATTGGGCTAGGTCGGGTGGGCGTGCTCGACAGCGAGGATGGGGAACTAAGGGAGAGGGTTCGAGAACGGATGCCGGGCTTAAAGCATCCACCTTGTCTTTGTTCGTCATGGTCAAAAAGTGGACAGTTTAGCTGCCGGGATTGTTGTACTGGATGGTCAGGACAATGTCATTGAGTGAAAGATAAAAGGCTAAAGGACCGTCCGCTTTGCTGTTCGAAAGCTACGATCCAGGGGACTTGAACGTAGAACAGATAGTTTGTCTTGATTTACCTCGTTTCAGCCTTGGCTAGCAGCACAAGAAAGGTCGTCTACGGATGGTAGACAAGCCGGACGATGCTCTCCATTCTTATTGTAGTTGTAATCCTTAACACAGGGTGACCTTCATTCAGAGAGCAGGTAGAGAACAACTCTTGTCGCAAAGTATTGACCACCTGCCGTCCCCCAGCGCCTTCCTCCTCAACTCAGTTCCTCCCTAAACTATACATATTACTTTCGCGGCGCCCAAAATGGTCAAGTGAGAGGGTCGCGGCCACCTGTAATGACAGTCTGAAATCCCCGGCCCCGAGGTCGGGGGTTCAACTCGACCAGGAGGCAACAAGTCTACCCATCCCAAAAAGGGGGGCCGAGATGGGTAGAAGTTGGTTCACCCGCCGCCGCCGTGCGACGAAGTAAACCTCCCACGGGGGCTTTCGTAGCCGGCCTCACCTCCCGGTGGCGGTGAGCTTGCCGGTGAGCTTTTTTTGCCATATTATTTCCCGGAACATCTTTGAGGTATTAGCTTCAATCAAATCAGAAACAGTTTCCCAACGTCCATAGAAACAGGGATAGAAATGAAGTGCGACCCCTCGTGAGGTTCAGTGACGTAAGAGAGGAATTAAGCCTGGCAGCAGTTAGTCGATACCAGACAGTTTCGGATGCTCGGCATAAAACAATCTGCCACCGTTTGACAATATCACAATCGTATTCAAGGTTATCGTGGGTTCCTGGATCCCGGTTTAGCCTCTTGAAAATCGGGATTGAAGACCAAACTTTTGGCAGTGGAAAACAAGTTCCTGTTAACCTGGAGTTGCTCCATTTCAATCAGTTCATCGTTTTTCGAGCAGAGACAAGAGGGCTAGGTATTCCACTTTTTGAGCTCCCGTTCACCGGACTTTGACGTCAAATTGTGAAATAAATGGTTGAAAAGCTTCTTCGATGGGGCTGCCAGCCTGCCTGCGTCTCGAGGCCTTCTTCGAGCCAACCCTAACCCGTGGAGAGCTGCCTACGACGGTGCGGCTCACCGATCGGCAACCCTTGTGCAACCCCCGGTGCGCACGGACCAATTGCTAAGCGCAAACACGCCTAAGACCCCACCATGGTTGATTGGCGGGCGCCTGATTTGGGGGGCATTGATTTCGAGATCATCAACTGGCAGCAACTGGAAAAGAAAAGCTTCCCGACTTTTCTTGTCCCTTCATTGTTGGCCGCGTGCGTTGCTGCCTTTCCCTCGGACGTGTTGCTTTCTGTCTACATCCCCCCGTTGCTGGGCCGATTTGCAGCGACACCCTCGCGACGAAATACGCCTTTTCTCAACCCAGGCAATCAGGCTAATCAGACCGTTCGTTGGTCATCAATCAGTCCGTCAAGATGGGCGAATCTCGGTTCGTGCGATCGGGCTCTCCTGTCAAGATCGCGCGCTCGTCGCGATGGCCATGCTCCTGAGACGCGAACTGACAGACCATCTCGTCCAGGCAAGAGCTTCTAGCATGGGTGAACAACCTTTTGCAGCTCAATCTCACCAAGGTTGAGCAGTGCGGCACTGGGTAAGATTGCGCGACCCCCTCCCCCGCAGTTGACATGATCATAGACCATGCCAACATTTCAGAGACGAAGTGCTGACTGTCCGACCCCAACAACAGCGCCGCCTTCTGCCAGATCTATGACAGTATCTTCCTTGATGTGCCCATGTCCCGCGTCAAATTTAACGTCAACACGGAGTATGCGTACATCCAGAACTTCAAGATCCTTCAGAGTACGCGCAGCTCAACCAACCCCTCAGTCAATAGTTGCCTTAGGAAGCTAATAACATATCCCCGACAGACACCTTCACCAAGCACAACATTGACCGCCAGATCCCCGTTGAGCAGCTCGTCAAGTGCAAGATGCAGGACAACCTCGAATTCCTGCAGTGGACCAAGCGCTTCTGGGACCAGTACTACCCGGGTGGAGAGTACGACGCTGTGGGTCGGCGGAAAGGAGCTGCGCTGCCGCCCAGCACGGGTCCGGCGCCGCGGTCGTCCAGTAGTGCGGCGTCCCGTCGTCCTGCGGGTGGCTCGACGCCTACAACCGGCCCTCGTCTCGGCGTTAACAGGTCTGCGGGCGCTGGGGCTGCGAGCGCGTCGGCGGTTGCGGCCGCCAAGGCTCAGCTGGAGCAGGAGAATGCTACTCTCAAGGAGACTGTCGTCGGCCTGGAGCGCGAGCGTGATTTCTACTTCAGCAAGCTCCGCGATATCGAGCTGCTGATCCAGCAGGCTATTGAGGAGGATCCAGAGCTCGAGAAGCAGGAGGATGGCCTGGTCAAGCAGATCCAGACGATCTTGTACTCCACCGAGGAGGGCTTCGAGATCCCCAACGAGCAGGACCAGCTCGACGACCAGGAGACGTTCTAAACAGGGGGATGGGGGCTCTGTTCGCGGAATGGTTTGTTGGGAGGGGGTGGAAGGGTGGGGGAGGTGTGAGGTTCGGGGCGTGGCTCAGCGGTTCCTGGGACAGCATGACATGTGTTCCTGGAGCATTGAGGCTGTGGATGTAAGGGGAGGTAATACGATGTCCGTCTGGAGACCGAAAATTTCGGCGCTGACCGGATGATGTATGACGCGACATGACACGGAGCGCGGTTGGGAAAGGTGGAAAGCTGCTTGTGCTTGCTTGGTATGGAGGGAGGAGTTCTCTATACCCCCTGCACTGTTCTTTGCTGCTCCGGTGTTCATTCCTTTGGCTGTTTTAGCGTGCTGCATAACCGCACTGAATCTACGGCATGTGATAGAAGGCGGATGTTGTCGCCGTGACGGGCTCTGCTACCGAAAGGGCCCTTGATTTGTGTGTCGTTGTCAAACGTGCCGTGACGGGACGAGTCTTGGTTCCCGCTATCCCTCGAGCGGCTGCACTCCACCGTTCCACAGCGGCGGCTGGCCCCACTTTCCAAGACTTAACCAGTGACGCTGTTCGCCCATGACGGCCAGGGCTGGTTCCGACCAATCCGAGCCGGGCTGCTATGACACCAACACTGATCGTGACCAGCTCCCGGAGCCCAGGCACCAAACTCTCCCCTTTCCCTCTCCCTCATCTCTTGTCCATTTCCTGTGTAGACCTTGAGATACCCATCGTCGCATTGATTTTTTTGGGTTATTTTGTCTTCTTTTCATTTTTTCCCCCCCTACCAGACGAATCCCATTCACCTGCAGATTCGATAGCCCACTTCCTTAATCGACCGGGTCGCTTCAAGGCCGTCACATGAAACCCTCGTGCTAAGCGCTGGGCCTGCCTGCAAAGAGATTCCTTCCGACGCCCTAGGCAAACCCAGCGACATCTGACATCTGTAATTGAGTCTTCTCCCGCATATAACATCCAAGTCCTTTTCCCTTTTCCGCAAAATCCAAAACTACGCAAGGACCCAACTAGACACCGACCAACTACCCTGTCGGAGCCCACTGCCCCTAAACATCAACCATGATGCAGGAGCCCCCGCCCGAGATCTCCATCCCTTCTACGTCAGTCGTCACCGACCCAGCGAACCCAAACAAGCCCTACACCCTCTACAATATCACCCTTGCTCTCCCGATGCGCACTTACGTTATCCAGAAGCGCTACTCCGAGTTCGCAACGCTGCATCAACAGCTGACCGCGCTGGTTGGTACTCCTCCGCCGGCGCCGTTGCCTGCGAAATCGTGGTTCCGGTCGACAGTGAACTCACCCGAGTTGACCGAGCAGCGGCGACAGGGACTGGAGAAGTACCTTCGGGCGATTGCCGAGCCACCGGATAGACGATGGAGAGATACGGCGGTGTGGAGGGCATTTCTGAATCTGCCTGCTGCGCCGTCGTCGATGTCGGTCAGGAGTTTGGATGGGGGCGCTAGGGGGTTTGGTTCGATGAGGGGAATAAGCGGGGAAGAAGACTTCCTGATGGCGTCCAGGGACCCGGGTTCCTGGCAGGATGTGATGGAGAGGATGAAGAAGGCGTTGAGGGATGCTAGGGCTGCGGTAGATAGGAGGGACAATCTGACGGATAATACGGAGAGGATTCGGGCGACGAATGAGGCTGTTGAGGCGCTTAGTAAGGCAGGGAAGTTGGCTGAGGCTTTGGGGGAGGGTTTGAAGACTCTCAAGGAGGAGGGCAGGATTGGGCCTGGTGAATGGAGGACACGGCTGGATGAGCTTAACAACGCCAAGCATCGGCGTGATGAACTCAATCAACTTGTCTCCCGCGCGGGCAGGTCAGGTCATCCGACTGATAAGCAGCGTACAGCGATCTTCGACAACATCCCAGCGCCGGCTCCACGCAAACAGGGCCGTGTTCTCGGTGCCCCGCGCCAGGAGACCGACGAGACCCGCGAGCGGGACAATCGCGGCGTGCTGCAACTCAACCAGCAGAAGCTGGATGAGCAAGAAGAGTATGTCAAGGACATCGGCGTGCACGTTCGTCGACTTCGACACCTGGGGACAGAGATCTACAACGCAATCGAGCAAAGCAAGGACGATCTGGACACCCTCGACCAGGGCCTCACGAGGCTCGGGAATGGGCTGGACAAGGCCAAGGCTCTGGAAAAGAAAGTTAGTGGCAGATGACGGGGCGCGCCGTCTTTTGGGGGCGTTGCCGGGGTGGTTGCTTCTGGATCTAGGTCTGCTTCTGCTTCTAGGTGTGCTTCTTTTGGGACATCTAATGCCGCAGCTATGGGATGGAGCTCGGCTGTGGAGAGTGGGAGCTCGAAGTACGCTTCCGGTCCAAGCAGTGTGAGATCTGTCTCTGCGAGCTACACGCCAGCCGGTTATGATGGCTCGGCCGCTGAAATTCCGTCATACGATCATCCGCCAGATCAACTACCAGATAGCCTAGAACAACGACAGCAGCAGGAGCACACACAGCAACAGGAGCAACCGCAACAGATACAACAACCTCCGCAGCAACTTCAAGTACAGCAATGTGACCGGCAACAGCAACAACGACAACCGCAACCCCCAGAAGGCGGCGTGTTTGGGGCCGTAGTGCTCGTCCTGGTGCGGCTGGTCTTGGCTGGTGTCAACGGGGCTGTTGTGCTGCAATGGGGCTTGGGCAAGCTGCACCAGGCGCTGGTCTGGCTTGTGGAATGTGGTATTGATTATGTGGCGCCGGATGAGCATCAGCATGGGTATCGAAGGCATTCGGAGTGAGATGTTTGTTGAAAGGGTAGGATGGATGGGATTGAAGTGATATGGCTTGTATGGCTGTTTGGTTTCGGAATGTATGGCACCAGGACTTGGAGGGACTGTTGGGTTTAGGTCTATTCGTGTTGGATTCGGATTTGGACTATCTGTGCTCTGTATGACATTAAAGGGGATTCCCCTGAGTTGTGCTTTTGGTATAGGATGGTTTGCTTCTACGGTCGTTTGCTTTGTGTTTGGCTCTGGAGTTGACTACTGGATGGATACCACGGCATCTATCTGGTTTCCTTACTCCTCTGTTTTGAGCATTTCCTTGTCTACATGTTAAACGGTGTCGTCCAACTACATGGTGTAAGCATTATAAGGCACAGCAAGACTATAGCCCATATTTTTCTTCAATTAATTGTCGTCATCCTCCAACTCATCTATAGGATCATAACAAGGGCCAAAGATTGCGACACCCGGATTAAATGTCAATATCCTTGGGCGTTGTGTTACCATGGGCCTAAATTAACCCTGCACGGCAAGAATGCAACTATGCAAATGTACACGCAAGTAGCCAATGCCCAGACGTCAGTGACGACACCGGTGTGATGGTGATGGTGAGCCTAGCGGTGGTACGGCAGACCGGAGTCCACTCATCACAAGTAACAGAAAGGAGAGAGGGTGGGGGGGAGGGCAATCATTGTCACCCTGCGTTCTGGCGTCGTTGGCATCGAATTGCTGGACAGCCCCGACGAAATTGTATGATCAACCACAGTTTGGTACGAATATTGGCTTTGGAAAGTTGACAAGGCCGTGTTTTCTCCGTCATGGTTCGATATCAATACTGGAACCTCATCTCTTCATTCTTATTGACTCCCAACACAACGACTACCTCGTAGGTAGGTACCTAAGTAACTCAATCATGCATGAAACCACATGAACAAACGCGTTGAAAACTCAAGTGGCTGGTCAGTGTTTCGCCCCATGGTCGGTCGGCTATGGTGGTCTTGTGGAGGTGTGTGGCTCGGCCATCCATGGAGGGCGTGTCCTGGCGCCGGGCCGTGCGGCCCACCCACACCCAGACCACAGCAACCCCACACGAAGTACCGGCGTCGTGGATTCGCTGGGTGCGCATGCGGACAAGGGGTCGTGATTCGCTGGCGAAGATGGTGGAGTTGTTTTTCTTGGATGGTTTTGAAGGGGGCTGGGAAAGGCAGATGTGAAAAAAGTGAAGCAAAGAAGTTGTCTCATGGCAAAACTTGCAGCATGTCATCGGGATTTGTGTGAAGAGGGACGAATGAAAGCAGTGGGTTTTTTTTCTCTTTTGTAACGAGGGGATAAGGTTGGGGATATGTTAACATCAGAGTGGCCAGCGACGAGGGATAGATAATTGACGAAGTGGGGAGAGAAGGCCCCGAACGCATCTGCGGACATCACTTGCTTTTGTGACCTGGGGATCGCCCCTTGCTTGAGACTAAGGTCTTATTTGCATGTTCTTCAGGCTTTCTTCTGTACTGACAACAAAAATGTGGGTATACACTGTATGTAAGGTATTTTTGTGTCTTAAGAGACACCTCTAAGACATAAGAGAATTCGCAAGGCTGAGCTGTGGCTGCATCTGCCACACCATTGGGATCCTGGAGTTTGCAACGCGGGAGCATCCGTGGAGAGTTTGAGCGTGCGTCCAAAATCTCCGCCTCAAAAAGAAAAAAAAAACGGACGCGCAGTAACGGAACGGATCACTGCATGTACCGCTGCCTGCCCTTCCTGCCGGTCGCCGCCCTTTCTCTGGGCTGTTCTTTCCTCCAGCCTTTTGAGCAGTGTGTCAATGTGATGCATTCGGGGGGGCTGATTGGCCTGGACCTGCATGTGGTCTGTGCGCCTCCTGGTTTTTCATTGGCGGAACCCATTGCAAGCTCAAGAATTGGTGCCAAAAGCCGCCAAAAGTAAACAAGGGCCCCAACCCCCCCCCTGTTCATGTCACTGCGTCCCACCCTGTCACCCTGGGTTTGTTGCCGCATCACTTCCTTCCCCCCAGACCTGTACAGAGGACACCTTTGCTTGTGTGGGAGTGCAAAATTCTTTGATTAACAATGCTCCAGGACGGTGTTTTATCCAAGCGCTAATAGCTTAAGATCATCATTAGCACCGACGGCGGCTACAACGACTGAGAAACCAAGAGTCCAGGACCCCAGCGATTCATTCAGTGACTTAGCGAAGCTCGAGTTGCAACGGCCCGCTTAAAGGTCATTAAAGGTCGAATAATCGCGGGGCTGGGAACGACTCTTTGCTGCCGACAAGGTCGCAACTCGTTCGACTTGACTTCCAAGTAGTCTTTTCGGTTACCTGCTTTGTTTTGACATATTTTTGTGTTTTGCGATCAAATTCAATTGTTTGCTGTCCCGCAAGTGCAATTGTCTTTTCGGTAACTTGAGTTCTGGATAGTGGTGAGTACCCTGCCGATCAGCTCACATTAATTCCTGAGAGCTGCGTCATCTCATCCCAATCTCCATGCCACGACATCTGCTCCAGCGAGCCGTATAACTTTCTGAACGGGGAGATATCTCCCAGGCTGTCGGCGACACAAGCTAACGGTCTGCCAGCACACAGTGTCATGGCCCTGGGTAGTGCCTGGAAAGTGTCCCTGAAAGACCACTAGTCCTCGTTTCGTGTCAGCTCGGCCGATCATCGACTGTCTTGACGACGTGAGATAGCAAGACCGATTGTTGGGAGTTTCTCGGGCCAGCTGGCCCCTCCTGCGCCATGAGCAAGCCACCGCCCCCTCCTCGGCATGGGGAGAACCCCAGAACCACGGCCGGCGGCACTCTGCCCACAGGCCGCTACGACATCTTCATCATACCTGAACACTCTGCCGGAGCCGGCTTTTTGTACCTGCCCTCGCTCAAGCCACAATGGAACAGCTTCTTCGCGGGCGTGGTTACCACTCTGGCTCTGATTGCCATGTCGAATATGCTGAGCCCTGCGATTATGGTCTTTTTCTACGGGCCTGCTGCTTCTGGTAACTGGCCGGTGATCATAACCACAATTCTCGTGTGTGTGGCTGCTGGCGCCTACTTCCTCGGTCGTCATCACAGCGCGCCCGTGGCACGAGATGGTTGGGATCGCGACGACCCGGGCCATCGGAAGGGCGGAAAGTACGCCCATGACTGGTATACCCCGCCCCCCCCTCCTCCGCCTCCGAAGCACGAGCAACCTTCGAAACATTCTCCTCCGCCGCGTCCTCCTCCAACTCCCCCTGCTGAGGATAGCCCAAGGGGTAGCAGACGGCCACAACCATCTTGGGAGGAAGAGTCATGCGAAGAGTCACCCAAGCCTGAAACCGAGACAGAACCGGAACCAGAGCCGGAACCAAAGCGTGAGCCTGAACCTGAGCCCGAACCCGAGCCTAAGCCTGAGCATAAACCTAAGCGCAAGAAGAGGTCTGAGTCGAAGACCGAACCGAAGCCTGAACCAAAACCCGAGCCGAAGATCGACCCAGTTCTGGAGCCAGAGCCAGAGCCAGAGCCAGAGCCAGAGTCAGAAGCAAAGTCTGAGCCTGAGCCCTCTCCTGGACCTAAGCCAGAGCTTAAGGTCGAGACAAAGCCTCAGAAATCTCAGCGCAAGCAGAAATCTAAGTCGAAGGCTGCGCCGCCGCCGCCTCCTCCTCCTCCAGAAGTTGAGACTGAGCCGGAATCAAAGCCTGAGCCTGAGTCCAAACTGAAACCACGGTCTAAATCTAAATCCCAGCCTAAGCAGCCCAAGCCTGAACCTCAACCTCAGTCTCAGCCCACGCCGGAGCCTCTGTCTCAACCCCAACAACAACCTCTGACACAACCACAGCCAGTATTTGAATCACAGCCACAGGTTCAATCCGAATCAGAGCCTCTATCTCAACCGCAACAACAACCACCTACGTCACAACCACAACTTCAGGCTCAGCCTCAACCCCAACCCCAACCCCAATTCTATCCCCAACACCCTCAACCCCCTCAACCCCAGCCACAACCTCAATTTTACCCTCAACCTCCACTTCACCCTCAATATCAGCCTCAGCCGCAGTATCAACCACAGGCGATACCCCAACCGCAGCATCAGTATCAGCCAGTACCTCCCCAACCTCAGTATCCACCACCTCCTCAACCCCAACCACACTATCAGTCACAACCGCAAGCTCAGACCTACTATCCACCTCAACCACATCTTCAGCCTGAGCCACAAGCCCAAGCCTTTGTTCCTCCCCCTATCCCTCCGCAGCCTGAACCCCAGGCGATTCCCCAGCCGAAGCCACAGGAGTTGGCGCATGAGGTCCCTGAGGCAGAGCCTCAATTACAACCTACACCACAATCGAAGGCTCAACCTGCCGCTGAGCCAGAGCCTCAGCCTCAAGCGCAACAACAGCCTAAGCCAACCCCTCCTCCGCAACCCCAACAGCAGGCTAAGCCATCCACTCCAACCAGCCCGATCGCTTCCAAGCTCGAGCAGGCGAAGGGTGCCTGGGAAAAGGCCCGTGAAGAGATGCGCCGCAGGGAAGAAGAGCGCAAAGCCCGCGAGGCCGAGGCCAAGAAGAAGGAAGAGGCTGCCCGTCGGCTGCGCGAACTCCGTGAGCGCGAAGCTAAGGAGCGCGAGAGACGCGAGAAGGAAGCGCGTGAGCGTGAGCTGCGTGAACGCCTTCGCCAAGAGCAGGAGCAGAGGGAGAAGGAGCGGCTGGAGAGAGAGATTCGTGAACGGATTGAGCGGGAGCTGAGGGAGAAGGCTGAGAAGGAGGCTCGGGAGCGCGAGGCGCGCGAGAGGGAAGCGAGGGAGAGGGAGGCTAGGTTAAGAGAGGAGTTGAGGAAACAGGAAGAGGAGAGGGAGAGGTTGGAAAGGGAGCGGCAGGCGCTGAAGGAGAGGGAAGAGAGGGAGAGGATATTGCGCGAGGCAAGGGAACGGGAATTGAAGGAGGCTATGGAGAGGGAGAGGAAAGAGAGAGAGGCTAGGGAGAGGGCCGAGAGGGAGAGGTTGTTGAGGGAGGCTAGGGAACGGGAGAGGAGGGAGCGTGAGGAGAGGGAGCGTAGGGAGCGGGAGATCAAGGAACGAAAGGAGAGGGAAGAGAGGGAACGGAGTGAAAGGGAAGAACGGGAGAGGAAAGAACGTGAAGAGAAAGAGCGTTGCGAACGTGAAGAGCGCGAGCGGCGTGAGAGGGAAGAGAGGGAACGTAAAGAGCGGGAGGAGAGGTTACGGAGAGAACTAGAGAGGCAACGAAGGGAACGCGAGGAGAGGGAACGTCGCGAACGCGAAGAACGGTTACGAAAGGAAGCTGAAGAACGGTTGCTGAAAGAGGCTGAAGAGAGGGAAAGGATGCGGAAGGAAAATCTCGAAAGGTTGCGCAAGGAGCAAGAGGAGAAGGAGAGGTTACGCAAAGAACAAGAAGAGAAGGAGAGGTTGCGCAAAGAACAAGAAGAGAGGGAGAGGTTACGGAAAGAACAAGAAGAAAAGGAACGGGAGCAAAGCACGCGGAAGGGCACCCCATATGCGTACAAGGTCCACGAAAAGACCAGCATGTACCCGGATGGCATCAACCCCAACGCCTCGACCGTTTCCTCTGCCGGTTCAGCTTCTTCGACGCCTAGGCCTGCCACTGCTGCGGCTCCGGGATCTCCCACCAAAGGGTCCCCAACCAAGCCAGCCCCGTCCACGACTGGGTCCTCCATCCCCAGACCGACCGCCTCGGCAACCTCCACAGCGTCTTCCATCCCCAAACCAACCGCCTCAACAACATCAACGGCGTCCTCCTCTATCCCCAAGCCTACCCCATCCCAAACCGGCACAGCCGACCAATACTCCTACCGCCCCTACGACAAGCCCAAACCAACCCGCAAGCCCTCCTTCTCCGATTACTCCGAAGCCTCCTACGCCCCATCAGCCTCCACAGCCCGCACAACCCCCCCGCCCTCCATGCGCGGCGGCTACACGACTTCCGACCCGCAAAAGATTGTCATCAAAGCCGTCTACGCCTACCTCAACCAGTTCTCTAAGACCCCCTGCTCCCAGCTCGTCTCGGGCGTCGGCCCCGTCACGGAGGGTCTCATCCTGCGGATTACTAGCGCCGGCTTGTTTGTCGATGACGACGTCCGTGGTGTCGCGCAGCGCGAATGGGATATCAAGGCCTGGACCCTCAAACTAATCGAAGTCTGGTGCCCCGTGCACGCGACCAAGGAAACCACCTCGCAGGCGAGCCAGATCCCGACCAACCATCCCTACTTCAAGACTATGCCTACGTCGATGCGGCGCTCGGCAGAGAGGTCGGGTGCCACGAAGACGCTTATGGGCGAGGAGGCGGGCGAGTGGGTGTCCCAGCTAGGTACGACCTGTGATGAAGTTTGTAAGAAGGGAGAGGGCGCTGGGTATAGTGATGTTGCGGGGGAGGAGTGGAAGGGCATGGGGCTGCATTTGATTCGGGCTACGCTAAGGGATCAGGAAGGGAAAAGGTTTTTGTTTGTGATTCCCGAGGAGGAGGCGTGGAAAATTGCAGCCGGGTTGGCGGCGCTCAGGACGAGTAGTCAGATTAGGGCGTTGGGGTTCTGTGGATTTGCGGGGGCGGAAGCGAAGGGGTGCTTGGAGACGCTGGGGTGGTGGCGGAAGTGAGCGTAGTGTCTGGAAGAGAAGAGTCTTCGGTAAACCCTACTCACTCAGGGGCCATGGATTTATTTCGTGCTCTTTATCGTCGTTGGACATGTCGGCATTTACCCCCATCACACAATCACACAAGCACACATAACACACACACACACAGACACACACACACACACACACACACACATACACACACACACACACACACACACGTACGCACGCACGCATGCACACATCATCAATTATCTTCCGACCTGACACAATCTCTTGACGACTCCATCCACGACGCGAGATGGGTGTATGATGAGATGAGAATATATGATGTCAGTTTTTCTTCAGAGACGCAGAATGAAGTTAATGAGGAAGATAAGACGAAGAAGGTACCAGTCCACAAAGCAAGAAAACGGGAGGTGATATCCATGTTTGTTTTCAATTGTTCTCTTTGTTTTCTACCTTCTGTCAATATAGTTGCTTGTCTGTAGCTAGCATTTAGTGCCCCATACCTATCCTTTAGTTGTTGATTTATCTAACCCTTACCCCATCCTCCTCTCATGTGTTGTTCATCTTGTCATCCTGTCACATAGTACCTGCACGCGGATAAACACCCTGTGCATTACTGAAGGCATATCACACTGAAGCATATCACAACTGATAAGATCTGATGTTTGTAATATATCATCATAGCTACCATTCGTATCCAATCCAAACCGCATCAATTATGTTACCGACACCACAGTCTCTCAAACACCCTCTATTGCCCAACCTAAACCCTTTTATGCTAGTACACTATCCGATAAGAATCAAAAGGAACTACAACACCTACACATGCCCATGCCCCTGCTCCACCATATCACCCAACAAATGCTGCTCCCATCTTCCCGAATCCGCCTGCCGTTTCCTCCTCCGCATCCGAAACACCCCTCCAAACACTCTCCCCAACCATCCCGCTATCCCGCCCCGCCGTCTAGGTAGATGCCATCTACCCGAACCACCGCTCCCATCCCATGACTCCCTCTTCCGATCTTTGAACGCATCCCCGTCAAATGATTGTAAATATTTGTCGAAAAGTCGGGGGACAACCACCCAAGGGATCAACAACCTCGCCCCCAGATCCACGCTATGTCCTAGCAAAGCCCACACGATAAAAGCCCATTCTACCACATCCACCTTCTCCGTACCCGCTGTTGTCACCCGAGTAGATGTGTACAGAGCCATCAGCGATATATGAACCGCGTCCCAGACCAATCGGACCTCTACACCCGGGTAGACGAAGAGTTGGATCAGAAACAGAGAATGGAGGACTAGTTTGGTGATTAGGCATGCCTTGGCGAGAGAGTTGAGCGTGTAGAAGAGGGTTGCGCAGATGGCGATGGCCAGGCCGACGGAGCCCGAGGCGACGAGCCCGTCGATAGCGGTTATGGTTAGGATGGCGGTGATCGGGGTTATGGCGTCGGCGAGAGAGGGACGTGTTGAGAGGGGATAGGGGTACGCGGCGGGTTCTATTCAAGCGTGTTAGTACCAAGGGGTGAGAGGAGAGAGGGAGGGAAAAGGGGAGTCGGCTTACCTCGCTCGATGACGATCTGCCATGTCGGTGGGAGCGGTTGGGCCGTGAGGATCGGGCCCGGTCTTTCCAGCGGCGTGGAGCACACCGAGCTTAAGGGGTCGCCGGCACCGCCGCCGGGCAACCGAGTGACTGTCATCGGACAGTCGTAGATTGTCCTCAGCAAGCCGCATTCATACCGCCCAAATGCCGCAGAGATGTCCCCGCTGAGATAATCCGTCGACCTCTTGCTCGAAATCTCATCGCTCAACGCGTTCCCCTCCTCATCCTCAACCAGCTCAAACGAGTCATCGTACCCCTCGTCCAGGTTATGGTTATACACTTTCTTCACCCTTGTCACGACCCTCCGCACGCGGAATAATGCCCCCGCATAAACCCTCGGTATCGCATCCAACCCTTCAATAAAGAGGCCCTCAGGTCGGGCATTAAGTTCCGGATCGAGCTGAATAGCGATAATATACGGCCCAATCTCCGGCGTGGCAAATTCATCCCCCTCGCTCCGATGCAGCTCGATCGCGTAGCGTTCCCCCGTCGAGACATCCCTGACCGTGAACGTCGAACTGGAAAATGGATCCGGCGGCCCGGTGCAAACCAACACCGCCACTTTCTTGCGACTGACACAATTATTCGGCATGTACATATCATCGCCAACGACCCTAAGATTGGTAAATGTCGACCCGAACGCTAGCCTGTCCCTCGAAGGATACACCGGCAGCCACCGGTCGCGATGATTCCTCCCCGGCTCATGCCGCAGCCCAAACAAGTTGAATAAAAGAGACACGGGAATGCCGTCCATGCTCCTCAGAATACACGCCATCCGATCCGACGATTTCGGTAGCCTCATAATCGGCTCGGAGTTGAACCCCAACAGATTAGCCATGATAATCGGCATATCTCCCGGCATGGACGTAGACCTTTTGCTGAGCTCGTTCCAAACTTGCACAAACAACGTGCAGAAGTCGGGTGCGAGGGCACCCTCTCCAAAAACAGTTTTTTCGGGCTTGATGCCGTTGGAGAAAGCTGAACGAAACTCCTGGTTCAGGGAGCGCGTCATGCTGGCCATGAGGGCGGTGTTAGCGTCGAAGTCGATGATGGGGGCTCTGCCGTCCAGTGGTTGGAAGGAGCCTGCGCCGGAGGATTTGCGCGACAGGAGTATCTTGATTTGGCCGATGGGATGGGTGAGAGCCGTTAGGAGGGGGGTTTGTCGGCGCCGGGGAGGGAGAGGGCCTGAGGTTAAAGCCTTGGGGATCTGGGGGAAGAAGGCGTCGAAGGTGCCGTCGGCACCCTGGACCTCACAGGCTGAGGCTAGAGCTGCTTCTTGGAAGGTCCAACACCGCCCGAACCAGGGGCTCACGGCGAACCTGGAGAATTGCTCGAGGATATCGGACTCATGTACCGAAAGCGTCTCTAGCTTCGAATCCAGCACCAGAATCCTATCAGCAGCCTGATACACCGCAGGGAGCTTGTTGATGGCTTGTATTCTCAGAAACGCAGTCGGTCCCTCTTTCGGCGGCATGCACAGGACATCAATCCAGAGATACTTCGGCCGTCGGGGAGTGGCCGTCTGGAATCCCATATCAAGCGAGTTGAGCAGGTTAAAGTCCGAGTCACGAGCCCCGTGCCTCGACAGTGGTTTGAGGTTGCTTAAATGCGCATACAGTCGTCGTAACTGACATTCCGGCAAGGCATTCGCATACTTGTTGCCAATCCCAGCCGACCACACATGCGACACCACGACGAACCGCGTGCGAGCAGTCATCCTCACCACCTCGATCCGAACACCCGTTTTGGTCGGGCGAAGCCGAATGAGCGGAATACCGCCGGCCTCGATGATGGCGCGAATCTGGTCCATCGGCGCGACCTTTGGCTGGCAAATACAGCCGAAGTGGACATGTCGCGGAACGTACTCGAACAAGTCTGCATTCGTCGCGATGCATTCCCCGTCGGTACAGTTGTCATGGTTCACTTCCTTCGAAAAGACTCGATACAGTCGAGTAAAGTAGTAAGCATTGGCGTAATTAAAGGACGTGAGGACCTTTCGCGCCAGATAGGGACACCAGCCGCGCAGAAACATTGCCTCGAGCAAGACTTGCGTGCTGGGACTGTAGTTCGGTTTCCCTTGGGTGTCAGTCGCAGGTAGAAACTCCCGACGCATGCGGTCGGTCGGCGAAGGCCATGGTTTCGAATAGTCATCTGCGTCATAGTCGGCCAGATCGTAGAGAAGACCTCTCAGGGCGGTACACAGAACCTTGACAGATAGTATGATGGAAGGTATAGGCTTGATATGGCTCTGCGAGACCTTATCAAAATCTTCCGCGAAGCGCAAGACAGACTCGAGGAATCTCGCATGTTGAAAGAGCACCATGCGCCAGCGCTGATACCCAGCAGCTTCGCCGTCCACAGCGGCACGGCTCGCCACCTCAGCAACATGCGCAGCAACCCATTCATTCAGTAACGGGATCAGCGGCTTCGCCGTGACGGTGCACTCGTCGCTGTTATCATGGAACTGCTCGTAATCGATCGGCCTGCCGAGGAACTCGGATATCGTCCCAAAGTAGAGCCACGACTGAACGAGCGCGGCGAGACGCGGGGCGGGTAAGCTAGCCCATTGATCGCCAAAGCCGTGGACCTTGGGGAAGTCCCAGAAGTAGGAGCCAAACTGGTAAGGGGCGTCAGCAACGAAGGGGATGTCAAGAGGCCCAACGCCAGACGATGGGTGAGGGAGAAAGTCCATGATCAATTGGACTTGTTATGAGTAAGGAAAGCCGTTGGCGACGTCAGTGGCTGCGGGGCGCAAACGACGCTCCATGGCTTGGGTACGCCGCTACCTCATCGAAGCATGCGATGAGAGCTCCAGCTAGCTCCCAGTCCACAGCCAGCTCGACGGAAGTCCGAGTGGCTACCGTCAAGGGCTTGCGGATGGATGCTGGCCAGTGAGAAGGGAGAGATAATTGTCACAGAGGTTCAAGTGTAGATAGTGAGCGACAAAGAGATAGGTGTACGGAGCCAGTCACACCAGGACACCAGGTTCTGGGATAGAGGCTTGTTTCTCAAAAAAAAAAGCAAAAAAAAAAAAAAAACAAGCGAGTATAGATAGGTGATAGAGAGCCGTTGGGCTGGAAACGGTTGGCGACAAAGAATGGAGACGGGGAAAAAGCAAGCAGCAAACGCAAAGGCGGCAGGCCGGTAGCAGACGCGGGGCACCAACACAACAAGCCGAGAGCGAGAGAGACGCAACGTAGGGGCCGAACCCGGACGGCGGAGTACGGAAGCCAGGGGTGTGGGCAATAGGCATACACCTGCAGACATGCAGTCAGCAGGCTCACGAGTCTGGGGAATTGGGGAAAACAAGCGACTCTAGCGAGGAGATTACGACTATGTTGCAGGGTGTTGGATGCTTTGGCGCCTTGTAGGTGGCGAGGACGGCGTGGTTTTGGAAGCGAGTCCTCAACTACCCCAAATTACATGGCCTTGCGCAGGCACTTGTACCATGCAGGACAAAGATCACGTAGGCAATGGTTGGTCCTTAGAGACCTGTTCCTGCGCGCCGGCGCGTCTGCGTTACCTTTTTCGTTGGATAGATGAGGAGGGGCTGAGTTTCTCGAGGAAGATGGATGAGAAGGTTCTAGGAACCTAAACTGAATGTCGACAGACCTTGGGCTTGGGGCTGTGAGACAGCACTGTCAGAGTTGTTCGCGATGGAGCGCTGCTAATGAGATATTGCAGATTGCAGTCAGCAAACGATGATACATTGGCCCCCAGGTTGAATTACACCCGCTTCTCAACATCCGCAGCCCTCTTGTCCTCACCGTTTGCACACCAAGAAAATATAGGGAGCTCGAGGGTTGAGCGGCTACTGCTAGGCGTGTATAGATGCGCGAACCAACTGGGAGTTCCACATAACCTTCACGCCTACTGCTTTCCAGTTCCCGTTTCCGGCTGTGCCACAAGTATACAGGCGCTTAAGTGCAGGATCCCACGATGTGACACTAAATCCTTATGTTTCTGGAGGAGACGCGACTAAAAAGGATAAGCGTCACCGGCCGAAAACGGATCCCTTTCGTTCCCGCTGTTAGAGATACCGTTTACAAACGGAGTCAAACGGAATAAATCAACAGATGGTACTTCACAGCAACGACCGTGTCGTAGGGCGTACGGCAACGCCGTTGTGACCGAGAATGTGTGTTAAATGTTTGCTGCAATAAGGCGTATGATAAGGTCGCCTTGAAAGCTTTTCTGAGACACTGCATCAGAACTTCTGGTAAAGTCGGCTTAGAACAGGAGAAATGGTGATGGAAATGAGACCCAGGCATGTCAAGGGATCGGGCCTGAGGCTGATATCACTAACGTAAGTGTAACGGCAATGGCCCTATTCTTACCCTTAACGTTCATTCACTGGCTGCAGCTTTGTAGTATCTTGCAAGCAAACCTCGGAGTTCGAGCTTGATCCAACCTTAACCGTCGATAAGATTGAAGTGACAGCTGAGGACCACCTTATGCTTCTGGACTTGCTATGTAGAGGAGTGTTGAGAAGATATCCCTGCAACCCAAAAGGCCCAGATCAATCTTTCCACGCAACCACTGATTCTAGCGGGATCTGGGTTCAGGCTGAATTCTCTGATGGGCCTCCGTTAGGATCAAGTTCACATCCAACTCCCTCGGCGCCCTGATAATCCGAAACAAGTATGTCTTGCTGCCACAATCACAGTAGAACGAGAAGAGTGATAAAAACCGACCCTCATGACTGGCCGTTGGGAGTGAGGGAGCCATGGTATGTTAGCCCCATTTCATTATGTATGTGGCCGCTAACGTTTGAGTTTATGGTCTTGGTTTTACTGTCTTTCCTGTCCCATACCAGATGCCCTACGATTCTAAGATTTCCCTAGCAAAATGCACCACGTTCTTGCAAAAGCAAAATCTTCCGTATACATAACCCGAAAATACTTCTCTTCACTTAACTCTCTATTTTGCTGCAATTTAACATGGTACAGTCGGAACTGCCTCGCGCATGAGAGCTCGCTTGAAAACCTAGACCTAGAAGAGGGATGACGTTTGATCTTTCCTGGCTGTCTACTAGCCCTTTTGTGTTGTTGTTATGTTATGAACAACACAAGGCATAAAAAAAAGGAAAGGCCTAACTTGTAAGGAAAAACAAGGTTGGAAGCAAACCGGCCATCCAGGAAACAGTCACTCAAATCCCAGTGATGGTCAACTTGCCAAGATTGATAATAGACTGTGCAGACATGAGAATCACCTTCTGAAACAGTGATAGTCACTACGGGAAAATGATCAGCATCATATATGTAAGGAAGTAGCTAGTCATCTGCTAGAGGACGTCTACGAGGACTCCTAGTTAGCAATACAAACAGCTGCTTACCCAAATCGAAGACCACAGTGTTGAATATCCTGTGTGAGAACTTCTGTCTCTCAGATTCCATAGCCTAGTCACTACCTTCGCGCCCACCTCAGTAGGCATGGAATCGTCACAACTGGCATTCTCTTTAATGGAGATCTCAGCCTAGCTCATTTGGAACTTGCCCCTCACTTACGCTTCGCTCAGAGCCAACTTCGCTTAGAAAAATAACACAATATCCTTCAACTGCTAAGTAAAAATAAGGCAATCTCTACCTCCAAACGATGTAGCTTACAAACTTATTCATGAGGATGAATGTAACGCATACGATAGGATTTTTCCTTCAGAGGATCAAAGATATCATGTAACTTCCGAACATCTTAGAATCTTAACAGGAGCGAGACAGTCTAGAGTCTGGAAAGAAAAAGCAGGGCAACACCATCCATGTGTATATGAAAGAAATGAGACTGTTATAGATTAGCCAACCAAGAAATATCCGAAGGAATGACATTAGTCTAAGATTGGTAGTGACTATCCCATTGACCTAACTCGGCCATCAGATAAGAGAGTTTTGAACAACCTTCGTATCACCATTCTCTGCAGCGTGACTGAGCGGCGTTTAACCATACTTGCCTTGTCGGTCTGGACCAACCTCCGCTATTGGATAACAGAGCTTTAACAATCTCTGTATGACCCATCCCCTGCAGCCCAACTCAGCGGCATTTGGCCTCTCTCGTCTTGTCGCTCTCTTTATGTAAGCAGTGTGGACCTTGCATCTCCGTCCATCGAAACGTTCGACGCCCGAGTTCTCTGCAGGCCGTCGGATTTGGGACTAACGGTGTCGCCACGTGCTATTGCCTGAAATATGAGTATAGCCGATCTCAAACATCGTTCGGTCCGAACGGTACATACTGTGTCGCAAACTGCCGTTAAGTGCCAGGGGGCGGCGTGGGGGCCGAGTGATGAAGACAACCACACTAAATACAATCACGATATACAGCTGAGCCAGTAGGGAGACTGACGATGCTATTCTGGACATTCTGTGACTCGTAATCTGTAAAGATACACAATATTCCGTTCATCATATCCAATACGAGTTAAGTATACTATGAAAAAAAAAATCGTTCCAAGAGTTTTACACCTACATTCATCGATGAACCAAGGGGAATCACAAAACTCCAAGTCTATCCAATCGTCGCCGAAACAATACCAAGCCATGCATAACCAAAGACAGATGAGCGAAACCAAACACCGACCCCGCTAAGTAACCAAGCAGCAAAACCGAGCGAAACATGAAGGGACACCCTGACGCCGGCCACCTCACTCTCACCGAGAGAGAACTAAGACACCCTACTTAAGTACTTACAAAGGCCACTCACTTCCCCGAAAGCGTCCCCGCCAAATTCATACTCGCATACGTGTCCTTCAACCAGTCCTCACTAAGACTCTCCCGTCCATCAACCCCCGGCAGCCTTATCTGCGGCGGCAGCTGCTGCTGCGGTTGCGACGAGGCAGGTCTCTGTTGCTCTTGATATCCTTGGCCCTGGCCTTGGTCCGCAGACGACTCCATTGGTGGTGGTGGTTGTGGTGATGATGATGATAATGATATCCGCCGCCGGTTCTGTTCATCAGGCAGCTCGTAAGCATTTGTTGGAAGGGTGGGCGATGAGCCCATGTCATCACCATTCCCACTGCCACTACTGGTCTGGTTATTGGTATTGGTAGTAGTACTGACCTCACTGATTTGTGGCAAAGTAGGGACGCGATCGTCAGCAGGCATCTCGACTGGTCCAGAGGACGGGGGAAAGTCGAACTGGAAGTCTAGCTCGCGATGTTCAGGGATTTGAGGGGCGTGCTCGACATTTCGTAGCGAGCTGCTCTGTCCATGAGGGACGCCTGCACTCGAGCTGCGGAAGCTAGTCAGGCTACTGCGATGGTGGTGATCACTATCAGCCCCTCCTCCCATGCCATGGGTCGACGAGGACTGGTCGCCTGAGCTAGTACCCGGCGGATGCCCGACACTGACGCTGCCAGTGGCATGGTGGCTGTGGCTCGAACCAAGTATGTCGCGGTCCATATCCTTGATGGCGAACTGGGCGATGGTGCGCAGCTTACGGGTGACCCAGCCGGCGAGGATCTTGCCGCGCTGTTTCTCGCCGAGACGGCTGCGCGGGAAGTCGCCTCGGCTGACGAAGGCGACGATGTCGACGACGATTTGGTGCTCGTTGAGGATGGCGTTGACGATGACGGGGACGAGCGAGGCGAGGTAGGCTTTGCGGGCTACCTCGACCAGGACGACGACCAGGCCGCCTGCTTGGAAGACCGCGCTGTGGCAGGTTAGTCAACCGTCAACCGAGCCAAGGAGAATTTTGAACCTACCATCCACCCGGAACAATATGTCGATGACATCTCTCCACGGAAGCCTCGATATCCATCGGGAAATGATTCAACCCATTCACCTCAAACGTTTCCCCAATACTCCCTAGCACAAACAGCACTTGCATATCCACCAACGCCCCTCCCGGCCCAATAGGCCTCCTTACACTATGCAAGAACCCCAAATCCCCCGTCCTCACATACCTTATACTCGGATCCTCCACCGTCCGTCCCTCAAACCTCTCCACATCAAACGGATCCTTCGACCCATAAAATGCTTTCACACACGCCTCGGAATCAACCCAAATTTCTCCGTACTCCCCCTCACTGCACAGCATCCGACTCTCCGGATTCACGATCGCAATCTGCGTCGACACAGGCACCATCCCTGAGTCCTGCACCAACAGCGCCTTGGGATCGCGCTCCGGATCCGTCAAGTACACCAATCCCCTCCGCAACGCCTTCGGATCGAGCCAGAGCTCGATCGGCTCGATACACATATACGACCGCGACGCAATCATCGGGTTGAGCACATGGGAATAGACCGTATTAATCGCCGTGCGATCCAACCCCGTCGCCGCAAAATGCATTCGCACTTTCTGGAAAACATCCACGCGGGGCCGGCCATCCGCAGTAATCATCATATTCTTCAGCTCGTGCAGCGTAAACCCCTTCCCGGGCATCATGTTCATAGCATGATCCAGCATCTGGGGCGTAGCATACGTGTCTTTGATCTTGTACCTCGACAAGATAAGGAACAAGCTCGCCGGGTTCTGTGCGAACTCGACCGGCGACAAGAGGTAGGTCGGCGTGCCGATGTAGATGCCCATCAGGCAGGTGTGGATGAAGCCTAGGCCGGTCGTGCTCCGCACGCAACCTAGCACCGGCCGCGAGCTGGTCATTTGGCAGGTTTCCTTTTGGACTTTGCACATGCCGAGGATGGTGTCGTGCCCCAGTTGGACGGCGATGCGCCTCTGGTCGGGCGTCCAGTAGGTCCAGATTACGACGGGGTAGCCCGGCTGTGTCCATGCTGGGTCCATGGTGATGTTGTTGTCGCGGCAGCCTGCGTTCTGCTTGGGCGGCTTGCTCGTGTTGTACATGTTCGGGAGTTGGACCTTGAGGACTTGTGCTGTTTGCTTGATGTGCTGGGCGATGGGTTTCTGCTTGAGGAGGTGGTCTACGTCTTGGTTGACTAGGATGGCCTTGACCTTGTAGTCAGCGATGAGATGCAGGAAGGCCGGGACGTCTTCGTGTAGACGGTTGGAGTCCATGGGCGCCACGGGTATGACAACCAGGCCCAGGCTGATGCAGGCGTGCACAGCGAAGACAAACTCCTCGGAGTGCGTATACATGAGAACTACATGATCTCCTGCGCGCAGCTTGGCCTTGTTCTTCAGGTAAACCGCCACCGCAGCGATCTTGAGATCAAGCTTCTTCCACGTCACGCCTTTGCCTTCCTTGCCGCGGCCATCGATGGTGCAGTAGGAGAGCTCATCAGGCTGCCTCGCAACGCGCCACTGAATCAGATCAGTAATGCTGGTGAAATTGTTAAGCGGTGTCGACGTCCGGTCATCGATGACAACCTCTCTCCGGTCAATACCCGAGTACTGCTTATCCGCGCCAGCAAGCAGCTCAGTACGCGAGTTGGACGCCAGAGGCGACCAGATGCCGCCCACAGGGTCGATGCCAACCGGCAGGTTGAGCACCGCGTGCTCAACGGCAAACTTGACGTGCACGCACTGGAGGTTACCCAAATCAAACTCTCTCCGGCACAGCATGTTACCGATCTCCCTTCTGCCGTTCTTCAACACCCTCGGCAGAGCATTGGGGGCGGTGATCATGACGCAGTAAACCCTCAAATTATGTTCCTGCATCAACACGTCCATACACCTCTCAGCCAGGGAGTCAAGCAACGCGGTATCCAGCTGCCTAGGAGGACCGCCGTTGGTGACCGGCGCCGTCGACGCGGCCGGGGACTCGAGCACCACAACCGGAAGATGTTCGTCATTGACAAACACGTCAAAGGCCGAGCAGTCAAAGATCTTGGGCACATTGCGCATGATGCTGACAACAAGATGCTGCACGAAGTAGTAGCGGTACTCGGCGTTTTCGGTGCCGTTCTCAACCCACTCGACCTTTTGCCGGATGCGGTCCTCGTACAGGCCGAGGACGTACACCTTGCCTTCGATGACGGTGCCGAGGAGACCAGTACGCAGGAATTCTGGCTCGACAGGAGTAGGCGTCGGATTGCCTGGCTCGAATTTGTAGGGTCGGGCATGGAAAATCTGCTCGGTGTGTTTGGGCAGGACCCAGAAACCTCCTGATAATGAAGGCGAATCGACCCAGATCTCGCCGATGGTGTTGGGAGAGGAGAGCAGACAAGTCTCGGGGTCGACGACGGCCAGCGTGGCGTCGGGAATGGGATAGCCAAAAGCGCCGACGCGAATCGTGGATGGGTCATTGGCGCGCTTGTTAACCTCGTCGCCAATGGCAACTACCATGACCTCATTCTGCTTGAGGGCTTCTCTATCCAGTAGAACCTCCCCCAAGTCATTCTTGGTAGGCTCCTCGGTAGTGGCTGTCGTACCCTGTCCGAGGAGCGTCGAAGGACCCGTGGAGGCCGTCTTCTCCTTCTTATGCTTCTCCTTCTCTTTCTCGTCCTCTTTGTTCTCCTCCGAGGGTCTGTTCAGCTTCAGAAGACAGCCCATGCGTTCCTCACCGCCCAGCCAATCGCGCACGCTGATTACCATGCCGCCATGCTCAGGGAGACAGAGCATCGGGGCAATGACTTCGCGCGGGCGTGCATTCCTGAGAGGTCGGAACCAGCGGTCGGCGAGGAGCTCGTTAAACTCGCAGTCAACGGTGAGAGTGTCAATCAGACAGAGCTTGACGCTGGAGAAGCTGGGCTCCATGCCCTTCTTGAAGTTCCTGGTCGCCATAGGGTCGGTCTGGTAGTTGTAGGCAGTCCACTTGAGGCCGGGATAGTCAGCAACCAGAATGGTCGGCTTGTACTTGGTGATCAGATGGGCATAGAGGCCGGGCGTCTCGACAACCGTATTCTCGACCCAGACCGTGGTATGGCCGCCATAAACAGTCAGCAGAACGCCAAGGATCATGCCAATGCCCTGACGAGCATCCAGGTAGGAGAGGAAGGTCTCAGAGCCTGGACTGTTCCTAATCAGCTGGCCGTTCTTGTCGCGAAGAGTCTTGCTGAAGGTATCCGGGGGACCGTTTCCGGGAGCCGAAGAGATGATGGCGCTGAGACAAGCCATCTGGTGCATGATGGTCCGATGGCTAAGCACAACACCCCTCAGATCTCCAGTAGGGGCGCGCGAGAACTCGATGTAAGCCAGGTCTGGTGGCGCCAGCGGGGGCATGTCCTCCTTCTTCTTGGGATGATAGCTGCCAAACTCGTTCGTCTTCCACCATTCGACTCCCTTGGGCCAGTTTAGCTTCTGAGCAGTGATGTCGCGCTGGAAGGTCTTGAGGTTGTTATCCGTCGTCAGGGCCAGGTGGGCCTGGGTAGTGGTCAGGATGAAGTTGAGTTTTGCATAGTCCTGGAACTCGTTGACGGGCACTGCGACGACACCGGCAATGAAGCATCCAAACAGCGCGATTGCAAAGTCGATGATTTCCGAGTCGCGGTAAACCAGGGCGACGCGATCGCCGCGATAGAGCGAACTTTTATCTCGGATCACCTGGGCGACCTTTTCGGCCCTCGATGCGAGTTTGTCCCATGTGATGGAAGCAATCTCCTTACCCTTATTGTCCAGAACCCAATAAGCCGGCGACTTCTCGTTGGTGCGACCGCGATGTCTCAGAACGGCCGCGATGTTGTCGAAAGTGGACATCGGAGTGTTGGCATCGTGGGGATCGTGGATCGCAAAGGGGATGTCGCGGGGCTCGAGAGGCATCTGATACTGAAGGGCGTCCGGAGGAGGGGGGAGCTCACTGGTGTTGATCATCGGGGGAGCCATAGCCGCTGTGGGAGAGAAGGCCTCTCCCGACGAATACCGATGAGGACCACCGTACTCTCCAGGGGCGCCCGAGTCGTAACCTTGCTGCTGCCCGGCAAAGTCTGAGAAGTAGCCCTGGGAATCCAGGAGAGTGCCGTGTCTGCTGTCATAGTGCTGCGTAGGAGTTGGCTCGCCGTAAGCAACATGCTGGTCGGGATTAAAGGCGTAGTTTTGCGACGCCATGGTCGCAGTCCGGCCCTGGTCTTCTTGGAAGGGCCCGGTTTCTAGGAAGAGGGAGCTGTGTTGTCTCAAGTTGGGACGTTCCTCTGCGGCATGCCCACCGGGGGCCAAGAGGTTCGCAGGATGCTGATCAGGGTTGGCAACATACAATGATTGCGGACGGTAATCTATCGATGAGGAGATAGAGACGGGTCGGGCATCGGCAGGGGGTTGGTTCGCATTGAGAGCGGCGAGAGAAGTGGCACGAGGATCTTGATTGGGAGCAGAGGAGGGTTCGTCTGGGTTATGGATGCGAAGCTCACCCAGCTTCTGCTGCAAGGCAGCATCAGTGAGGCCATACTGAGATAATAACTGCGTACGTCTCTTCTGGTATCCTTTCTGAGTGATATCTCCTTCCTGGTCACCCAAAATGTCAGCCAAAGGACCTAGCGGCATGGCACGAGCGGAACTGCGGAAGACGGTAGAGCGAACAGAAGGCTGACCGCAGACCACACGCACCAACACTACGCATGAAAAAAAAAAAAAAAACCACGGACAATAGAACGGGAAGGGTGCCCGATTTGGGGTTCGGGTCACATCAACGCACCTCGAGCTCCTTCTCCAGCTCATCCAGCTTTTCGCGCAGTTCTGGGTTGAGTTCGGCCATGGTGACCGTGTCTGGCGTAGCGCCGGTTTGTTATTTCTTTTCTTTCAAACGTACTACACACGAGGGTTCGCGTTTGAGGGATCGGGGTCAACGAAGGGCGCACAGGTGAAGCGGCGCAACGCTTAATGGATGTAGTAGACAGCGATAGGGCAGTGGTAGGGCTAGACGAGGGACCAGCACAGCCAACGAGTCAATGACGACGAAGGAATATTCCTGAACCCAAAAACAAATTTCGCGATTTCGCGCTCGATCAACGATAGGATGTCATAAAAGCGATCGGCTCGGGAAGCGCCCCCGGTCACGATGGCCTATCAGGCTGACAGGCAGTCACAAACACAACAGTCTTCAACAAGCCGAGCAGCTTGTGACGTAGGATGGGACGATGGAGTCAGTTGAGTCCAGGGGCTTGGTCGAGGAGTCGCAGCAAGCAAGGATGTCGACCGATCCTTGGATGGGCCACTTTGGTGGGGCACGGTGGAATGTTGAAAGCCAATCAGCATCGCGGGAAGACGCAGTCCCTGTTCTGTCGTGGACCGTGACCCCTCTAAGACGCATTTCGCGTGTCCGTTTGATGAGTGTGAGAGAGAAACGTGTTTTGGTGAGATGAGATGGATTGTGACAAACACTTCCCTGGGAAGCAAATGCTTTTGTGCTTTCGCTGATTATCTTACACAGTTCTGATATCATACAACTATCTGTATCTTGACATCTGACAGACTGCATCTGGTTTGTGCGAGGGGAACTCGGTTGGGCGTGGAGCATTCCCCTCTCCAATGAGAGGAGGATTTTTTGGCTGTCTTTGAAACGGGCGCCCTGGTGCCGCGGCCATTCCCCTCATGTGTCGGACTATGGAGGCCCGGTTTCTTTGCTTTGTTCTGACCTCGGGGATCAAAGAATCCGATCCGAAGTCCCAAGGATTCGGATCTGAGCTGTGGATCGGTGGAGTCGAAAACCCGTGCACTTCCGAAATTTGAGAGCAATTCTCAAAAACTCAAACTCACTACGTACACTTTTCTCCGACATCATCAACTGTGAGCATGTTGAGATAATTTCGGGGTCGTTGCGACGCTCGTCTCAGCATTCTCTATGCTCCTACAACTTTAGTAATATGAAAAATTCCCGGCCCGCTAGGTAATACAAAGTCCGCGGGCCTTGCGCCTCATTCCCGTAAGAATCTTCATTCCCAGCAGTCATTGTCCCTCCTTCCATCCTCTTTTTGCCCATATGATGAAAGCAACGCATTTCACAGACCTGTTCTGAACACCCGTGAGGAGAAACTGCTTTGAGCTCAACTGATTTCGGGCTATCTTGCCATCTTGTCTTGCTGGAAACTTGGGTAAAATCTTGCTGACCCTTCGACAGAAACCTCCCTCACCTACCTTTAATCCTCCCTCGGCGTCTCTCCTCTTTCTCGCGTCGCCCCCGACACGGACTCTTTGTCGGACGTCTTATTAAGCATAGCGGTAAAGTTTTTTTTTTTTTTTTTTTTTTTTGGACGGGAGGGGGGGTGTTCCCGAATACTGCTTTATCTATCTGGACGTCTTGGCTTTGTCCCAAGTCCAAAAATACTCCGGTCTTGTGTTATGTGTAGCTGTGACAATGGTCTTGTCACCATTGTGTAGAGTCTTTGTTCAAACAATAAACAGGTTGTATCATACATATAATTTAGGAGTTGTCTCCGCTGGAGACCGAGACTGTTCACTACTGTTCCTGTTCCGTCCTCTTTATTTTAAATGGTACACTTCTGGAGTAGTCCAGCTGGACTGCTACTCGTGGACTCGAACACAAGCCTCCATCCGCTATTGTCTTCCGTCCAAATCATGAGCAAAATTGACGGTAGCGAGTCCTTTGATCCATTCCTGGGGTCAGGTGAAGTAGACAACCTCTTTGGCGAGCCTGACCCATTTGGTCTGGACGAAATCCCATCCCTCCAGTCTCCGTCCAAGCTACCTGATGTCTTCTTCAAGTTCGGAGAAAAACGAGAGCACAAGGATGACACAAAAGCTTCGAAGTCTAGTCCTACAGAGACCACTCCTACAAAAGCTTCGAAACCTGCCGCCGCGAGTCTGACGTTTCCCACTCCCACTCCTAAGTCTACTATCAGTTCGAACATCCGCGATGTTGGTTTCAATCCCCCAACACCCGATATTCTTACACCATCGCTTGATCCAAGTTTGCTTACTCTTTTTCCCTTGCAGAGTCAATATTCCCGCCTTCCTTTGAAGGGACAAGTCAATGCCACAAGGATAAACACGGTCTCACAGTATGGCAATCCCACCCTCCCTGCCAGCAAGACTCAACTGTCACTTCTTGCATATGGACATTCTCAACAGCAACCACAACAGACAGCAGCAGTAGGTAAGGGGCGAGGTTGTGGGATGCCAGCTGTGAGCGTCCAGGCAAGCCCCTATGGGAACCTCGACGTCCCCATGTCCATGCCTGCTCAGACATACCCCTTAAACCCCTACGAAGCTCAACCCCAACCCCAACTACGACAGGACACTCACCCTCACGCTCTCAAACAGTTCGTGACCATGCGCCAAGGTAAGAGACTCACCTACAACAGGAGACTCAAAGGTGATCCGAAAAACGACCCCCGCCAGATCTACGAACCACCCATCGGCCTAGCCCCCTGGGGCCCGATGGTGGGAACGAAACAAAAGCATCACCTCTTTGAATACTTCCGAGCCACCGCCGAGCTCAAGCCCATGGTAGTCTGGAACAAAGCGCAGCTAATCACCTTCCTCAGGGGACGGGGGCACCCGAACCCGACGCGCAAGCTAACCCTCTGGATTCAGAACACCCCGGCACAAGTCAACGACCGGTACCCCTGTGGCACGAGCTCATCCAAATGTCGCTGGGAAGGATGCCCGGCTAGGTCAAGGACGATTCTGAAGGGCTTCTTCCGCGTCGCGTTCGACGAGTACTCCGATCAGTCCGGTATCGTGACCGACCCGATGCATAACGCAGGTTACATGCATCTGCACTGTTTCGAGACGCTCTTTGATCTTGGCTACCTGATTCATCATGGCGCTGCGCGCAACGGATTCCAGATCCTACCCGATACCAGGGAGTTCATGTTCGAGAGTCGGAACCCGGCCTCGCTGACCCGCGACCATCCCGAGATGCTCGACGCATATAACGAGTGGGTAGCCGAGCAGAAAACCAGGGCAGACATGCTCGAGGCACAGAACCAGGGTAATCCGGTCGGACAGATGTACACGGGGTTCGATCTGCCGCGGGTACCACCGCATTCCCGGCGTCTTGGGTGCGTCTTGACCGAGAGGCATCTCAGTCTCGAAGTCAAGGGCAGAGCCCAAACCCGGGAACAGCGCGGTGGTGTACACATCGGTCTACACAAGGGCGACCTGGACCTGTATAACAAACTGCGCCGGCGCATGATCGAGAGAAAGCGGCGGGAGCTGGATCAGGCATTGCCCGAGGAAGAAGAGGACCAAGAACAGGACCAAGTCCAAAGTCAAAGTCAAAGTCAAAGCCAAGGCCGGCCCGGGGGGACAAAGAGAAGGCGAGACGAGGACTCCTTCGAGTCCTTCCCTCAAAATCCTAACCTCAAGCGGGTGAAACAATACCGCCCCGCCGCCGCCGGTCCCTCCGCATCCACATCATCTGCCTACGGCATCCCCAATCCCACAACACCACTTCCCACATCCCATCCCAACAATCCCGCCTGGCTTTACAACCCACAGCCCGCTATCCTTACTCCTAACCGTCCCCCACCCCTCCTCTTGCACCAGCCCCTCCAGCCCGCTCCCACAGCCCTCTCCCCCACAACTCTTATCTCCCTACAATCCCCCGGCCCTTTGACCCGGCATCGCACGCGCGAGCTAGCCAATTCCATCACCGCCGACGTGCTGGCTACCACAACGCCCTATCTTACACGCAAATCGGCCCACGCCGCGCAGGCAATGCTCCAGGACGCACAGGCCTTGCTTCCGGCACCGATTTTGGAAGAACAAGTCTTCAGAGCGATGCCGGAGTATGCGGCGATGGTGCTTCAACCTTGTTTGCAGCAGAACCAGAACCAGAACCAGAACCAGAACCAGGACCAGAACCAGAACCAGAACCAGAACCAGAACCAAGACCAGAACCAGGATCAGGACCTGGGGCTGGGGCTGGGGTTGGGGTTGGGGTTGGGTCTGGGTTTGGGTCTGACCCTGAGCGAGGTTGGGAATGGGAATGGGAACGGATTGGCTGTATCGGCGGTTCCGAGGGTGCAACAGCAGCAGCAGCAGCAGCAGCAGCAGGGATGAGCGGGCTGGGGAAGTTGAACACGAGGCAAAGGAGGGAAGTGGAGAGGTTTGTGCAGAAGCAGGAGCAAAGCAAGGATGGAAGGAGGAATCAGTCTTTTTGATCTTTCGAGTTTTTCATTTTTTTAGAGACCCGGGGGGGGGTGTTAGGGGAAATAGTGTGTAGATAGCGGAATGAAAAGATACCCTATATATAGGTAGCGAAGTGTATAATATCTTGACTCGAAGATTATATGTATGGCTGTATTTTGGTGGAATGTAGGGAATTATTCTCTCTCTTATTTCTCGAAAGCAGATTCTGAGAACTCTCGTCCACGGATAATGATTCGTAAAATCATGCTTCCATCAGACGATCTGGCCGCAAGTCCAGTGCGTTGCTGCCTGCGCACTGGATGTGGGATATCTCTGCGTCATCACAGTTCTGAAATCAAGTTCCTCTTCAAAGTTTCTGGTGCTGCCTGCAAGACCTCTTGCTTTTGGCTGCACCCGAAAAAAAAAAAAAAAAAAAACGGACGTCCCCGGAAGACCCTACCTAGACTTGTGAATGCAAGCCTTGATAACAGCCCTAACGTCACCACGCGATGCCAGTGGGGAACACAAGAGAGTGAACAAGATGTGCCGAAATGGATAAATATCCTGAATACCCCGTAGTGCAGAATATCTCCGTATTGCCCCAAACTGTGTTTGCCCGCAACAATAATCCCGAGCAACGACGTTGTGGAATCCCTCTCGTCACCGTCGTCGCAGGGTCCAGGCTTGAATGTTTTCTCCCAGCTCCACGTCGAACAGGCCCCGCACCACCGCGGATGGAGCCGGCGGGTTCTCGAGAGACTGTGGGGAAAAGTCCCCAATGAGGGGCACGGCGAGGCCGAAAGTGGGACCCTTCCACAGCAACACTCCGCCCCGAGCGGTTGGGCGGGCAGCCACCGTTTACCGTGGCTGTCCCGCCGATCAACCCTGATGAGGAGGAGATCTACGCGGCTAGATGTCGAAGACAGCGAGACGGGTCAGGGGATCGATCTTTGCTTTGTCGGAAGTCGACCTTCCACACCTCGACCTCGTAACTCGATCAGAGAGGGCAAGTCTGCGTCTGTGTAACTGTGATGTGGCGAGGTTGGCGAACGGCGAGGAATGTCAGAAGCTGATTCGAGAAGCTCAGTCGTCTTTCGATACCTTCTCGGCGTCGCTTCACACCACATCAGGGACAACATCCTGCAGCGGCAAGTCCCGTAACCGTCCCCCGAGAAGGGATTTGGCCCTGCAGGAACGGGCTCGCCGGGTCAATGTCTCTACCTAGCGGGTGGGCAAGCACTGCAACTGCAGCTGGGCATGGGATGACAGGGTGAGCTGAAAATGGATGGCTTACTGGCCGGGCCGGCGACAGGATGGATGCAACGTCGCGCTGCTGAACTGTTGTTGCACGTCGCCGCGGCGTGGCCAGCGCAGAATGTTTGAAGGCGCCAGCCAGGCAAAAAGGGCATTGGCGCTGTCGTGGAGTGACCAGGGGGTGCGAAGTTTTAAAGATGGCGTTGACCTCAATTGCTCTGGATCGGTGGGTTGTGCTTGTTGACAAGCAACCAAAGGCATTTTGGTCGCCAAGTTTTCCAATCCTTTTGGGTTGGGATTGAAACGGCATCGCAAATCGCAAATCTGCATTAAAAGAAGCATACCAACTTAAAAAGACCGACCCCAACTCAAAACCCCAAACCCCAATTATCCAACCCGGACCCTGAAAGGCCCAAACTGCAAGCCTTCGGTCTCAGAAGGTGCACTTCTCGACGTGATTGCCATCTGCCAGCGCGTAGGCCTCCTCCCATGCGCCAGCTGTAAGCAAGCGGCAAAGGAACCCAAATCATCGGGAAGGCGAGGGACCAAGCGCCTGCAAGCTCTGAACCCTTAAAGGTTTAAACCGCGACCCAGCACCTTCCATCCCAGCGCGACCGATTTTTTTTCGGTCCCAAATCGCGGCGAGTTACTCCTATATCGCCTTCCGCTCGCTGTCTTATTCATCACAGTTACCTATGTATATGGGTTGAACACCACTTATTTCTCTATGCCCTAATTTTTATTGCGATTGTGAGATATCGCCTCAACCTTGCGCGGCGATCTACTCCAGGTCGACCATCGCGATTTACTTATCGGCAACAATATCGACTCTTCAAACCATCTTAAAACAATATCTCGGCTCCCTGCAGACGCACAACCTTTTACATTCCCGATCGCTCTTCATAAAGCACCGGAGCGACACGTCCAGCTTCAACCAACCTACAGTCTATCAGTCCCAATCCCGGACTCGCCACGACAGCCATCTGACTGAGGTTCCGTCCTACGCACGCACAAGTCGTACAACAGCATCATCTGCGTTGCTGCGATTCCTTCCCTCCCCCCCCCCTTCGCCGAGCAGCTGCAGTAACACTCACTCCGTCAGCCCCGCGATTCGTCTGATCTGATTCGATATCTCTTTCTCTCGGTCTCTCCCGTCTGTTCCTCCAAAATACTAGCATCGTGACCAAGAGGTGTGTACTGGTGCAAGAGTTGAAGGGAGTTGATCGTGTCGTGCAACGGAGGCAGAGGGTCTTAGAGAAGGGAGGACACATGGGACTGGACACTGCTGGTAGTAGCAGCGGCGCAGCTGCCGATGCGCCGCCGACTGCCGGCCATGTGATTGCTCTGACGGGCGCCTCGTTGGCAACGGCGCCTGCGTTGCAGGTTATTGTTCTGGTGAGTCGCCGTGTGCGCTGTTTTACCTGGGGTGTTTATTGTAATTCCGACATCATCAGAATGCGACAAGACAGGCTGGCTCCAAGTGAAGCCATCCTTGTCTTTTGGATACAATGACCGGCACAGAGCGGCCAGTCGTAGAAGGATGCGTTATTAGGGTTGAGACTGCAGTGGGAGATGTCTTGATCGCACGGGACGTTCCGTCTTACAAAATGGCTTTGTTGCAAGCGACATTGTTCGATCAACTCGGTCTTTGTTGGTCGCATCGTCTTCGGACCAACCTTTTTTTTTTTTTTTGGATGCGTTGACAGACGACTAACTCATCCCCAGGGCTCAGGAGGCGGCCCTCTAGAAAGCAACGTCACCGCGTTCCTCGTCCGTTCCCTCGCCTCCGGCTGGAGCAAAGGCTCCGTGGTTGCCGTCGACGCAGGCGTCCATCTCAGCGCCATCACCCGCATCCTTGAACAGTCTACCCCCGCCGACCTAGGCAAGCCCGACGGCACCCCCCTACCCTACACCATCCCTAAAGGCCCCTTCGCCGGCCTTCAAGTACCCCACGCAAGACCCGACGCCAACGCCGCTCACATCTTCAAAAACCTCATCGAGACCTTCCTCATTACCCACCCTCACCTCGACCACATTTCCGGATTTGTGATTAACACCGCCGGCCCGCCGGGCGCCCGTCCCAAACGCATCGCTGGGTTGCCTTGCACCATCAATGCTCTGAAAACGCATGTCTTTAATAACGTCATTTGGCCTAACCTCAGCGACGAGAACAATGGTGCCGGACTGGTAACCTACATGCGCCTCGTCGAAGGCGGCTCCCCCGCCCTAGGCGAGGGCGAAGGGAAGGGGTACGTTGAGGTGTGTGATGGGCTGGCTGTGAAAGTCTGGTCCGTCAGTCACGGACATTGTATCGAGCGACACAGTCATCGGGGAAGTATCAGCACAAGACATAACAGTTTTGATGCCGCTGCCTCGGTGGGGCCGTCTACAGGGAGTTTGGCTGCTCCCAGCGGGGCAGCGAGCATCAGCATGCTCAGCCCGGCGAGGAATCCCCAGCTATACACCTCCGCACCACCATCCACACTAAGTGCGTTCCTACAACAGCAGGAAAGGATGCAATCCTCCGGCCGGCGGGGCAGCCCTTTCTCTAGCGTCCCGCCCGCAGACGAGTCGATTTGCGTCTACGACAGCTCGGCGTACTTCCTGCGAGACGTCGCCACGGGCCGCGAGATCCTCATCTTTGGCGACGTCGAGCCTGACAGCATAAGCCTGTCGCCAAGGAACAGGCAGATCTGGCAGGAGGCGGCGCCGAAAGTAGTCAGCGGCAAGCTGGTGGCGATTTTTATTGAGTGCAGTTTTGACGACTCGCAGACGACGGATCGCTTGTTTGGGCATTTGACGCCGCGGTTTATTTTCGAGGAGATGAGTGCTCTTGCGGAGGAGGTACTTGCGCTCAGGAGGGCGGAGATGGTGGTGAGAGACGGGAGCTGCGCTGGATGTGTCAACACAGACAAGAAGCGGAAACGGGGTGTGGAGGATGAGGATGATGGAGCTGTTGCTGCCAAGCGCAGATCAACGCCGACTCCCCAACAACCGCGTGAGATGAACCACCACCATCTTGATGTCCCTGTCTCTCCTAAGACCCGTCACGCTTTTGGCTTGGGCGCCGCAGATACACTACCTAAGTGCCATCCCCCGATTGTTGCAGCCGCGACAGGCCGCAACCCGCGAAGTGTGCCCTCCCCATCATCACCAAAATTGGATGGCATTGATGGCGATGTTGATGTTGATCTGCCTGATAATGATGGGGCTGATATGGATGTGTTGCAAACAGAAAACGGCCACGACCACGACCACGACCACGATCATGACCATGACGAGAGCGAGGAGGGCGTCTCTTCGCTCTATGATGGCGCGCTGAGTTCCGTTGCAGATACCACTGCCGCCAGCACGGCTGTGTCCACACCGTTGACGGGGACGTCGCTTGCGCCGGCGCCGGCGCCGGCGCAGGGGGGGGGGTATCACCTCCCATCCGCGTTCTTCTTGTCCACAACAGCAGCGGCCGCAGCAGGAGAACATGTCCATTTCCCAGCCACAACCCTCACAACCCTCACAACCCCAGGGTCAAACCTTCCACCCCACTGCCGATCTTCATACAACACAGCCATACTCGTTGGAGGGTGCGCTACGCGGGCTGAAGGTGGTGATTATCCATGTTAAGGGCAAGATGTGTGATGGACTGCAAGCGGAGGAGGTGATATCGGAGGAGTTAATGGCGCATGAGAGGGAGAAGAGGTTGGGGTGTGAGTTTGTAGTGAGTCGGTTTGGGCAGGAGTTTCTTTTGTGATTTATTTGCCTTGGGAGGATACGCGTGGGAGTTATTATGTGGGTTTGGAAGGATATATCCGAATTTTGATATGGCTTGAGTACGGTATGGAAGGGGTATATGAAACGGGGTTCTACATTGGAAGTTCTTTTCGGCTATTGGCTTGCATGACATGGCTTGGTATGGCTGGTACGGTATATCCCTGGATGATTTGAGAACTGGTTGATCGTATTGATCTTTGTGCTCCTGAGGTGAAGTTCATGATGCTAGAATTGAGGGGGAATATGTCTGCTGTTGCAAAACAGTCTATCGAAATGTTCATAAAGACAAATACAATGTGATGATATAAACATCAAAAAAACAAAGACAAAAAAAAAACAATAAAAGCTCCCCCTGCTTTTAAGTACAACACGATGATGCAGTATTTCACTTTTGGCTCTCTTGTTCCTGTGTCTCGGCGGTTTCTTTACCCGATCCCCAGCGGATGCCGGGGCTATCCGGGAGATGCCGAGCGGCAGTTGGGGGGGGGGGGGGGGAAGGCCTCGGCTGCCGATCTCAGTGGCCCTCAGGGTTCCAGCACCACCTGTGGACAACCCCCCATGCTACCTGCATCTGTGTGTACCAACCACAGGAAACGATGACGACATAAAAGACATAACATGGGGAACTGCCATAACTCAAATCCCGATATCTCATTCTCGCGTTATGAGCGACAAAACTGCCATAGAGGAGAGCTCGGGTGAAGAAGCCCCACCACGCCCCCGGCGTTTGCGGGCGCCGTTCCGCGATCCGTTATCCGACGACAAGCGCGGCCCGCTCACTGCCCCTCCCCCACACCCAGGTTGATCACCGGGGCCAAGTAAGCCCCTTGTTCTGTTGATGTCGGGTGTCTCCTACATACATTAATCAAGCTTGCGCCCTACCCGCGTTATCGATGTATATTTAAATGTCCCAGGGCCCCATCTATTATAATCTATGCGCTTCCTCTGGTTTGCCCTGTCGACAGCAACGGCGGTTAAAGCTGGGTTTAGGAATACCGCGACTAAAGGCCGAATCCAAACCACCAGGGCTTATACCAGGACAGTGTCTACGTCTACTAGGATTGTCAGCAATATGGCGGCCGAACGAACCGCCAATTGGGAAAAACAGCTCCAGCGGAATCCGCACCCCGACTTCAAAAAAGTCGAGGCCTCGCGCCCGCCCTACAACAGCTCTGACTTCCGCTACACCAAGACGCCCGATCCAAACTGGAAGTTTGGCGACGGCGCGAACCACCTATACTGTACCTCTTCGACAAACAGCACATCCGAGTCTAACAACACCAACGGCCACAAGTGTGTCCCGCCCTCTGAGATAAAGCACATCCCCATCAACCCCTACGCCCCCAACCGCCCCTCGACACTCAACTACAAACTCCTCATCTCCGCCGTCGTCCCCCGTCCCATCGCCTTCCTCTCGACCCGCTCCGCCGACGGCAAGACAACCAACCTCGCCCCCTTCAGCTACTTCTCTGTCATCGGCCACGACCCACCTCTCTTCACGATCGGCTTTGCTTGTCCTATAGAGAGCACAAAGGCCAAGGACTCGCTGCGTAATTTGGTTGAGACGAAAGAATGCGTGATTAATATCATAAGTGAGCACTGGATCGAGGCGGCTAACAGCGCGGCGGTCAATGCCCCGTATGGGGTGAGCGAGTGGGATGTTGCCGGGGTGACGCCTGTTTATGATTGTGAGACGGTGAAAGTGGCAAGGGTGAAGGAGGCGGTTTTTGCGATTGAGGGGAGGCTGGAGAGCGTGAGGGAGTTTCAGAGTCGAAGTGTACCCGGGAAGGTGACGAGTACGTTGGCGATTGTGGAGGGGACGAGGTTTTGGGTTAGGGAGGATGCGGTTAATGAGGAGAAGAGTTTGGTTGACTTTAATGTAAGTGTCCTTGCCCTGTTGTCGGGGAGAGGTGTTGATGAGATTCTGACGTCGAATAGGTGCTGCGCCCGATTGCGAGACTGGGTGGTATAACGTATGGCCGGGTCAGCGAAGGGTTTGAGTTGCCGAGGGCCGACTTTGAGAAGGACGTAGGGGGCTATGAGGGAGTGGCGAAGCTACCGAGCAAGCATCCGCGGGCAGAGTAATGAAACATGAAAGAGGGGAAAAAAAAAAAGGGGGGGGGAGGGAGGGGGGGGTAAGGGGGGAACATCATGATGAAGGGGAATAGACATGCGATAACTTAAGCGTTGGCTTCATAGACGTTAGCTGATAGACCTAAGTTTCTCATTGTAACTTAAGTTGCCTCTCCTGAGCAAGGTTAATAAGGTTTGGCATGAGCGCTGAAAGCGACGTCTGATTGTAGGGGCAAGGCAGAACCGAGTCGAATCATTCTTCGCTGGGATGCTACTGCTACCTAAGCTCCTGTTCGTGGGGCTAATGGGCATTGGGTCAACTCGCACTTCATTCCTGATTCCGGACTGATCCTAAAATGGCACCTGAGAGAGGTCAATTGAGAGTTTGGGGCCCAAAACCTGCATAGCATAGCGTCGGCAGGGGGGCGGATCCGTAGCCCTCATCAAGGAAATATTCTCAATGCTAAGCTAGGGTCGAAAAGTGGTGGACAAACCGGCGAAGCCACAAGGCCGGGAACAGAAAGATGGCTCACAACGCCGAGAGACTTCAGCCAATCAAATGCCCAGAATCTAACCACAAGCGCTCTGAAAGTGGAGTGAGCTAGAGGGGCTAAGTTGGAGGAGTTGTGCTTCATTCAGAAACATCTCTCAGCTTGATATCCAAAACTCATGATATCGAGCTTCCAATATCTGTCCAATCCCGGTACCTGAGCTGGACGAGATCATCACTTCGCGGAACGTTCGTTTTGACGAAGACCTCTTTTACGACCCTGGCGAGCAGAAGGCTAGATATCAAGGCTGCTGAACGAATGAGTGGAGGAGATTGAAACTCCTGAACCAACTATCTATCCTACTATGCTCGACTTGATCCAGAAAATTGATGCTCCTGTTGAGGACTCCATTATTGTCGCTTGGAGTTCCCGTGAAACAGCTGAGCCGGATGCTCCAGGCGACCTCACGAGCACAGCACCTTCAGAGACAACCCGAGCAGTGGAGGTGACCGAGCATCGGGGTGGTAAGCTCGCGTGGCACAAGCGGTTTACCGCAAAGCTCCCTAGAGGGTCAATCGCCAACCGGACTCCTTAGGAGCCCCCAAAGAACACCCGAGTCAGAGCCCGAGCAGTCTGGCGTGGAAGAGTATGGCTCCTGATTTCCTAGCGAGCACTAAGAAGCGACGCCATGTCGAGGCTTAGCTCGCGTGGACGAGTTTCTTTAAGAGGACGAGGGCGTGGCAGTGGCCAAGGGAGAACTCCTCAAGATGAGCCAGCAACGCTTGAAACGCAGTTGGAACGCTCATCGCGTGGGTGAGGACGCAGAGGTCGCCCTTCCGAGGGATCCCACACAGCTACCTCGCTGGAGCAAACGCATTGCTGACAGCTCAAGGAGCAGAGGAACTGTAATGTTTGTCATCAGCCCATTTGATCAACGAGCAGACCATACATTCTCTGACAGCGTCCCTCCAGTCTCTCCCTGCTCCCCCGGCCAGTTTCCCAGATAGGAAAATGCTCGAGCAATATGCTTGGACTCTCTTTGATGTGCTTGCTGGGGTTGCCGGGCGTTTCTCGGTCCTCCCCGACAAACATACTAAGAGCGCTCCATGGTGGTCTAATGTACTGGCAATAGCCAAGGAAACGGACCCAATCGTGTACCGCAAGCTCTTTTGGGAGGCCAGATGAATTGCTACAGAGAAAAGGTAGCCAAAGAAATGCCAGGTGCCCTCCCGGACATGAGGAGCTGATGGCGAGCTAACAGGCTCTCCTCAGCCCGCTGGGACGGACATACAGCTAAACCCTTTCTCGAGAGGTTCTCCCGACAATGCCTCGCCCGCTGGCTCGCGGAGGCCTCAAGATATGGTGATTCCCTGGAGTACCACGTACGGTTAACCACCCCCCGGAAGTGATCAAGGGGTGCCCTTATGGCCGAGTGGTATCTAGAGGTCACTTCTCTTCTAGCGCCCTTACCACCTTCCAACAACCCGCTCGTGGGGAGGCTGGACCCGAGAGCCTTCTGGTCCTCTTTCCAACAATTCAGATCTAGGGCCTCCCAGAGCGAGCTCCTAGGCCAAGCCTTCGACGCTGCCACAGGGCAACCCATACCGATGCTGCGACCCCCCCCCCACCCCCTCCTCCGTGCTCGAGCCCAACCCTACAGAGATGGAGAGCTTGGCATCGACTCCTCCGAGTCAGTGTTTGAGTTGGAGATCCAGATCCCCTAAGCCGCATGGGGGTAGCCCCATCCCGACCTTGGCACAACCCTCACCCCTCCTTCCCCTTTGCTAGCACTAGTTTTTCCCTCGACGCAGATTTTTTTTTTTCGTGCAACATGTACATAGTCCAGTAATGTAGCTTTTTGCTCGCAATCACCATGAGCACGATCTAGGACCCTCAGGAGTGGATCCGGTCGAAAAATAATATCCAAATTCATATCCAATTTATACCCTTTCCCCCAACCCAAACACCCAACTAGTGATTTCAGGGAACCAGCCCTCCCAATCCCCCCAACCTTTAACTTTTGACCCCTCCTTGTTCCACAGAGGATGGTGATGGTATATATTATAGTTTATAGTGCTGGCAAAAGTTAAGAATGCTCCACACACTTAACAGGATCATAAACCTTGCTGTCCATACAATCCTCCGAGATCACGAACTCGGGACACTAGATCCCCATGAGCTTGGCCCACTCGCAGAGGCACAGGGTAGAAAGGTTGGCTTGCGGCAGCCGCAAGCGAAGGTGTTGAAGGCGGTGATGCACATTTTTCTTGCTTGTGTGTTTTTTTTTTTTTTGGTTAAGTTTTGGAAGCTGAGAGTTTTTCTGAGGTTGTTGTTAGGAAAGTTTGTCGGACTGACTCACTGCAAGAGACATTACCTAACCTTGATGATGGGTTCATTTCGCGTTTTGCTGTGATTTGTTGTATTGTGAGTTAGAAATTCACATTTAATGAGACTTACCCGGTCTGACCCTTCTAGTTAGAGGAGTTGAAGCAAGCTAATGGATGATTGGGATATGTTTGAGTTGGGTGCTGTACGCGTGGATGAGACATTGAAGTGTGTTGTTGGCTGGTTTCAAAAGGTGATTATATTCTCGGGCCTTGTCTTGAGTCATCAGAAAAGGAGCCGATTGGCTCTGCTAGGCTGATAAGATTTTGGGTGGATAACGACAATGTGTTGGACAATGGCACACGATCCCGATGTAAGGGGCTTCACGTCTTTTGAACTGTCTAAAGCCCAAGTCTTTAAGCTTCAAAACCACGAGAAGGAAGTTGCATACAAAAGTCTTCTCCTTTGTCTAAGAATATCTTCCTGCAGGATTGCTTTTGGAATCGCATAACATCCTTCGATTAATACTCTTCCAGAGAGAGCCCTTGTTGCTCGTGACACAGATCGAGTAACAAACTACCCTAAGTCGCTAGGAGAGTAACAGTTTAATCCTACACAAGTGTTTATATCTCCTACTAACCTACTGCTTTGCACTTATCTTAAGCCACTCTAAAGTTTATTAGAGGTTGCTGCTTCCTTTTTTACTCTAGAGCAATTTCCATACCGACAATATGTCAAAAAAATTTACTACTTCCAACACCATAACAACCCAGAAGCTTGCTGAGATGATTCAGCAGCTGCAAAGAATGAGAAGTTCAATGCAGACAAGATGAAGCTCTACATGTCAGCAGTTTTAGCACAACAAAAAGATTTGCCTAAGCTAGAATCGGCAGAGGCAAGTCAGCCAGCAAATTCACCCACGATGACAACATTGAAACTGCCAAATCAATGTCAGAAGTAGCTTTCTCAAAACTACGCACAAAGTTGAAGTCGTCAAGTGTAACGGGGGACTTGATCTGGTGCAGACAGGGATCGACCATGAGTCGAATGGGTTAGATGATAGCCACTTACAACGAAATCAATCGATATGTGTAATAAAACTTTCTTGGCCCTTGACGTTCTTTTATTGGTAGGAACTAAATTGAATTGCATTTTCGACCCGTCTTACCCGTGAAGGTGCTTGGTCGTGCCCACGACAGCGGTGGGCAAGAGGTGATTATGAGCTGCCTAGACTACGCTAAAAACATGCGGGGAAAACCCAAAAGGAGAGAAAACCGGTGTGTTTCCGTGAAGAGATATCATGAAGGAGAATGGGGGAAATGGTTAAGTGAGGAAAATACCAGAAATTCAAATATCCAAATTATGCAGTTCTGAAACTGATTGTGAGTCGCTGGGGGGGGTGAAGGGTTTGAGGGTGTTGTACTAAGCGAGGGGAAGAAACAGGACGGTGTAGGTCGGTAATAGTTCGCCCCGCTTGTTAATCTCAGGCGGAGACGTGAAGCTCGAGCTGTAATTTCCCGACTTCAAAAAAGTTGGTGCGAGTGCCAAAAGGCTTTGGGGTCCAGATGCCCTTCCATAGGGTTATTGGAGGATGAAAGCGAGCATCTCAGTAAATGGCCCCTGGAGGCCACTGAACCACAAAGGCAACTTTTGATCGCACTTGGAGGGTGGTTGAACCTGAGATGGTACTCCAGGAAGTCCCCGTGTCCAGATGTCTCCGTGATTCATCTCGCCAGACACTTTCTGTCGAGGAGAGCGGGGAAAGGGTTTGACTGAGGGGCTATCCTTACAGGCTGGACTGAGGCTTGTTCGACCGCCACCATGATGTTATGTCAGGGGGTGGGATCTTCCGTGGTCTAAGGGAACTTGGGGGTAGCCTCAGCCAAGCCCAAGGCCCGGGTCGCCAGGGCTCCCAGACAGGGCCTGACTGGGCGTCAGCGGCTAACTGGCATAGGCGAGACTAGCCTTTGTATGGTGGTGACTGGAGTCTCCTCCAGAGGAAGTGGTCGGGCGGTAAGGTCCGAACTCGGGCTTTCCATTTCTCTCTTTCTCACCCTAGCAAATACTGGGGATAGAGCCCGGATAGCCACCACAGCCATGAAGTTGGGATAGTACATCACACCGGGAAGATAGCCCTCAGAGCAGCATGTGCAATTCTAGCCAGGGCTGCCCAGATTGCTAGTAGATTTAATGGGATTAGTCGTCCCCTGGTTGAGAACCTGGGGAAGAAAAGAGGGAAAGTTTACGTCAAATGGCATAAATCAACGGGAGGAACCTAACAGCGACGACCGTGCCATAAAGGAGCGCGGCTTAAGCATTGTGCTGAGGCGTCTACCACGAATCAGATCACCTTTTTTGGGTCACACGACTGTACAAGAACTCTGCCATGGGCATTGGCTGCCTTGAGCTTGCGATTCAGCCTGACCCTGCATTTGTAATGTGGGTCAGACACACTAGTCACAATTTCTGAACCTCTCTGGCTATTTCGTCCCAAAAAGGCCTCTAGAGTCTACAAAAAAAAACCTTAAAAAATACTCTTTGATTAACAAATCTGCAAGGACAATTTGCACTATCTGGCTGTCTTGGTTCGTACGATCGCATCGTTGCCCCCTGGCTAAGGACACTTTTTGCTTAGTCCCTTCACAGCATTTGCTCTCTTTTGCATTATTTTTTCTCCTTGTAAACATCCGTCGCCATCCCACTCTCTCAAATACTGCCCTGCTACACTTTGCTATGCTCTCACGCTCACCAGAGCATCACTGGTATTATCAAGGTTGATCCTACTGGTATCGTTGGAGTCATCGGAGCAGCCGGCCAATTCTTGGAGTATGCCTTCAAGTTTTATAACTATTGGGAAGATGCTGAAGATGAGGCAAAAAAATTTCATTCTCGAAGTAGAGGCCCTCAAACCACCCTACTGCATGTCCATAATCTCCTCTCAGACCCGATATTTGTGAACGCCTTTGAACACGATTCTTCCGCATTGCTTTCTGAGCTTGATCCCCTGCACGATATGGACACCACTGTCCTATTATCTACCTGTAAAGATGAGCTGCAACGTTTGCTTTCCACAATGAAAAAGAGGGCAGATGGTCATAGGTTTGGATGGGAGTGCCTCAAAGCTGCACTTGGTGGCAGGAAAGCGCGCGAAGCTGTCGAAAACCTCCATCGGCGATATCAAGCCCTGCACTTGCTTTTAGAATCAAGAATTTACAACAGGTAATTTAGGGCCAGAGAAGATCAGAACCGAAACCATGAGACCCAAGTTGAGAACCTTCAGTCTATCGAACAGCAGAGGGGTGGGATCGAAGCGGGCGTCAACATTGTGGTATCCGATGTGACTTTCATGATTCAACGGACACAGACCGCTGAAGCTCGACGAAAACATGGAGGAATGCTTGACTGGCTCTCTTCGTACCTGGGTCTCCAACATGAGATAATCAGTTGCATTGCCAGTGTAGCAGATGGCATGTAAGCTTTAATGTTCTATGAATCATGAGTTATTGATTCAATTGAACATATACTTACTTACAAAGTTAGGTTCCTCCTCGCTTGCCTCTTGTGATCAGCCGGCAGCCCATTGATTCGTTCCATTGTTTCGTCATATGCCTGGCGTAATAAGGCAATCTTTAGCTCGTTTTTTTGAGAGTTTTTTTTTTTTTTTCAAATCTTGTTCAATGTTTCACGGATACGCTTTGCGCTAAGTTTCATGGACTCGAAGAAGGAGCTTGCCAATCATGTACTATCGTGGATTATCTGCACCAAGTGTCCTTTGAAACCGATAGAGGTTCAGTATGCATGGGCTGTCAAGGATAGTAAGAATGGGATTGATGAAGCTGCGATTCCCAGTGCCGAAGACATGCTTTCGACATGTTGCTGGCTCGTTGTCATCGACAAAAAAAGTGAAATCATTCGACTTGTCCACCATACGGTTCAGGAATAATTCCAGAATACTTTGACTCAATGATTTCCGACCGTCCATCTCGATATCGCAAAAACCTGTATATCATACCTTTCGCTTAAGAACTTTACAGGTGGCCCTATCAGGACGTATGAGGAGGGGTGTGAATGACGTAAAAACCTCTTTTTCCTATGCGGTTGACTACTGGAGACATCATGTATCTGCGTGTTCCTTCTGCACTCTTCAGCTGCTTAAATTGTTGACAAACTCCGAACGGGTCAGCATGGTGGTACAACATCGTGACATATTTTCCGAGATCAGAAAGCGGTTTTAGCTTTCTTTAGAGAATTTGAGGCCATTTCAGAATGCGTTTCACATGGTTGGGGTCTATGGGCTCAATAATTTAGTCAAGGCATTCCCTGAGCGTGCTCGGGATATTGATCCAGACCTACTAGACAAGAAAAGGCCGAATGCCGCTGAGTTGGGCTGCAGAGTATGGCCATACAGAGGTTGTTAAAGCTGTGTTATGTGATGGCCTAGTTGATCCAGACTAACAAGACGAGCGAGGCCGAACGCCGCTGAGTTATGCTGCAGAGTATGGCTTTACTGAGGTTGTTAGAGCTCTATTGTCTGATTGTCGAATTAGCTCAATGAGATAGTCAGGGCTAATCCTAGACTGGTGTCATTCCTTCGGTCATTACTTAGTCGGCTAATTTATAAAAGCCGCGTTACTCTCATATATACATAGATGATATTCCGTTGCTCTTCATTTCCGAACCGTAGACTTCATTGCTTCCTTTCAAGTTTCTAAGATGATCGGAGAGCAGATAATATATTAATTCTCTATCTGGAGGGAAAATCATATATCGCAAACGTTGCGCTCATTCTCATAACCCTAATCTTTACTTATAGTATTTCAGGATATTGTGTCATCACCTTAAACGAAGCTGGCCCTGAGCGAAGCGTAAACGGAGAGCAAAGTTCCCAGTGAGCTAGGCTGAGATCTCGATAAGTTAGAATGCTAGCTGTGGCGATTCCACGGCCTCCTGAGATGAGCTTGAAGGTAGTGACCAGGCTACGAAACCTGAGGGACAAAAGTTCTCACACAGAACGTTCAACACTGTGGTCATAAGTTGGCAAGTAGCTGTTTGTATTGCTGACCGTAAGACAGTATTGTCAGTCTCCACTACAAGGTTTTTTTTTTTTTTTCCAGACTTCAACTATATACCGGGTAGTTGCCCGAGTTCGGATGATTGCAACTTCTTGCGGTCCGAGTACTGGGCAGTCTCTACCAGAAGTTCTGCTATAATGTCTCTAAAAGGTTTTCAAGAAGGCCTTAGCATACTCCCTTACCACATCAAAGATCCAACACATATCTCGGTCGCAACCGCATTGCCCCGTATCCTTACGACACGGTTGTTGCTGTCAAGCGCCTTCCGTTAATCTATTCCGTTTTACTCCGTTTGTAAACGGTATCGCTACAGTGGCAATAGGAGGATCCGTTTTTTTGGCCGCCAACGCTTAACCTTTTTAGTCGCGTCTGTTCCAGAAACATGAGGGTTAGTGCCGCGTTCTTATCAGAAACCATTTTTGACCCCACGAGAGACTGCCACAGTTGCTTGGCTGCTGGTCTAATCCTAGCCCGCCTGGCGCTCAGCCTAACCTCAGCTCATCACTGTGCCGCAGCCTCTTCTCCCCTGGCCTTGGGTGACATGCGTGTAATCGTTTCGTGTCCCTATCCTCCATATCGTTTGCAGACTGAGCTTCCTGATTAGCGTCAGAACACCATTGTGCCTCGGTAATACTGAATGTGCTTTTGCAGGCTCAGCAGCAGAACCCGCAGTGTGAGGGCGAGTCTCTGAGTTACGCAACAACTTCCAGCCTTCCAGGGGCTTGGGCTCATCCGTGTACGCGCATCTTCCCATGGCTTGCTTGGCCCGCCGCACTTGGCTCTGGCTGACCGTTGCATTGAGTGCAAGCAAAGCCAAGCACATCGCCGCATTACGAAGTCGATTCCATCATTTCAACACCCTTTCTTTGATTTTCATTCTTCGAAACAGCATTACGATATCTTAAACCGTAATCTTTTTTCTGTCTTTGAAGAGCTCGGAGTGAGTGATACTGCCCCTTTCAACTCGATGCGATGAGTCTGGGTCGCCGCCAAGTCTCACTCTGAGCCTTCATTCACATTGTCAAACCAATAATTTTGCTTTCCTCTCACACTTCACACTTCACATTTCTCTGACAATGGCTTCTTCTCTTCGCCGCTGATTACAGTTTTGTGTCGCATTGCATCGATTATTACCAACAGGCTATCTCACAAGCCCGACTAATAGTTTAGTACAGAGGGGACTCAAGGAGGTCTGAGGAGTTGCGTTTGCGCTCGATTATCAACGGGATTGCTGAGTCCTGTCGGGTTTATGCATACTGGGCTAGATGATCCTGTGAACTCAATCTGAGCTTGAGCCATTGTTACTGGATCATCTCCAACCCATAGTACATCACCTCTCGCGACTATTGGGATTTACACGGAACTCGTGCAGTGGCTACCGAAGTTCCTCAGCGCATCACAAATTCTTATCGGCGTTGACAACTCGCTATTACTCCCAGCCATTTTTGAGAACTCTCATTTTGCTCCACAGCTTATACTACCAACAACGATGGGATCCTTTCTCCCCTTCCGGCGGCGTCGCCGGGAGCAGGGCGCAGAACACAGGTCTGATGGACCGCCATCACTTCCATCATCGAGGACCTATACTGTCCCGTCACCGGCACCAACACACCATACTTACGCATATCCAAACTCCCTAGGATACGCCGATACAGCTTCTCTCCACTCAACCTACTCCCTCCCCTGGTCACCCATCAGCAGCACCCCTTCTCCGACCCCCATCCCTTGCGATCATCCCAACAAAAGCACTCCAGGCCTCTGGATCTACGACTCCGACCGCAGCAACGCCCGCGAAGAGCTCGAAGCAGCCCGCCAACGCTCAAGGCTTAACGCTTACCAAAATCCAATTGTCTCCTACGGCCCAAACCCCGTCACCCCAACCCCAGCTCGCATCTCAACACCATCACCAAGCTACCTCAATGGGTCTTCACGTCCAGACCCGCAGCCGACTCCCCCACCTCCGCAAAGATCCCCTGGACCAACAATCATCTCTTATGGACCAAATAGAATTACGCCTACCCCGCCTATTGCAAACGTAACTGTCCCCCCAGAAGACGCAATCATTAACCGCCAACGAGCAGCCTGCTCGAACGCAAACTCGAACTCGAACTCAACCGCAAGCCTCACTCCCAACCCCAACCGGGACCCTTCCCCCTCCCCATCCTTCCTCTCTCACCCCCAAGACGGCCACCTCTCCTTCGATCGCCGACAAAGCATATCTCCATCCCAGGAAGCAGAATCCCCCACCCTCCCCTCCTTTCCCCCTCCGTCCGTCCCAATGGGCCCAGAACCATCATCATTATCATCATCAAGATCCTGCCGACCCAGCGTTAGTGCCAGCGCCCGCGCCCATTCTGTCTCCCGGGAGCCAGACCAAACCAAAAAAGAAGAACCCGAGCCAATAATCGCCCCCCTACCGCCGTATGCCTCGCCAGAAGAGTACGAAGCCATGTCGCGCGGGGCGGTACGCACGCTGGAACTGCCGCGGGAAGTCCAGGCTGAGTTGCCGCCTACTAAGGATGGGTATTATCATTTCCTTGCGCCTGTGGCGTTGCAACAAACGGGAACAGGGCAGGAGGAGGAGTTTGAGTTGGAAGGAGGATGGGGGCCGGGGAAAGAACCTTTGTTTCCCTTTAGACCTTGGGAAGCGGGGAGGAGGGGTCGGATGGGTATGGGGAGTGAAGATGTGTGGATGGAAGAGCAGAAGGTTTTGTTGGATGATGTTGGGAGAGCGTTGAAGGAGGGGATTGTCAAGAGGGTTGAGGGGAAGGGGGTAGAAGAGGAAGAAGAGAAGGAGAGGGAGCCGCCTTGGGAGTTGATGGAGCCGAGTTTTGTGGTTCTGATGAGTTAATGGTAATGTGGGAGATTTGATGAAGAGCGAAGCCAGGAGCAATCGGGTATTTATATATCACTGATTTTAATGGCTTAAGGCGCGGACATATTACATGGTTTGAACCTCGAGGTCAGGTGTAATGGGAGAACAGTGCAACAACAGGCCTTAAAGTGTTGGGAGAGACAGCATGATACCATTAGTAAGGCGTCTGGAGCTTGCTTGTATCTAGTTAGAGATATAACTGGTCTAATCTTCATCATCGCATGAAACACATCAGCACAGTTGAGGAGATGGATAACTCTTCCGTGCTGGCCAGCCCATACGCAGTTTATCTAAGCCTAGTCCCTACGCCAAAGGCACCAATGGTAGTGCTTCGCCGACCCTCATGGCTCAGTAAGACATTCCTCCTTCATCTCATCACTCCCTCCTCTCTCTCTAACCTCCCCCCTCCCCCCAACCTGGGGCGCATCCGCAATCGCCTTGAACACCATCTCCCAACACCTCCGCGGATCTCTCTCCATCGGATCCCACCCCAACCCAGTCATCCTCCTATACACTCCATTCCCGAGGCTCTGCTCCAAAAACTCAAACACTTCCCCACTCTCAAACTCCCACACATCCCACTCCCTCGAGTCCTTCTCCCCGGGTTCCTCAACGCCGGGATCTATGTACTCCAATAGCCCTCGCTTCTGCAATGCCCCGCGAACGCGGGCCTCCCATACCGGAAAATCGTCATTATTGACGAAGGGTGGGATGGGGTGAAGCCGAGAGGAGAACATGTTTACTATGCGGTTCACGAGGATGGTCATGTCTATAAGTGTTTGTTGGTGTTCGTGGATCAGTTTTCGGAGTTTGGTGAGTTGGTGTAGATGGAGCTCCAGACATTCGCTGACGCGGGCGAATGTGGATAGGAGTGCTTTGTGAAAGTCGTCCATTTGGGAGGATTGAGTCGGGAATTAGAGAGAGGGTGTGAAGGAAGACTAAAATGAGGGGGGGGGTTGAGTTGAAAATGAGCTTTGATGGGGCCGTTCAGTTGGCTTTAATTGAGCTTGATAGACACATCGACCTGGGACAACCAAAAGAGGCTTTGAAGAGACACTAATCGCCTCGCGAATAAAGAGAAATATTATTGATTACGATCACTTTCGCTGAGTGAGTCAACGGTCCTGGTTGGAGGGGACTTGGGGTCTCCAGGGTGACTTGACGGTTACCAGAGTCGTTGAAAAAGAGATTCCGGCAGCAATTCAAATTGGATATTCACTACAATTCCAATTTAACCAGAAACATGTAAGAAAACTGAAGGAAGGAACGCAGAAATTACCTTTATCAGGAGGAGGAAGAAAGAGCTCAGGAGAAGGGGTGCTTCACTTACACAGTCCAACCCTTACCCTGGATCTTTCATTTCTAATGCAGGACCCCACGCCAAGACCGTCCCACCGCCATTCTCACCGCCCGGCAGAAAAAGTTCCAGAGCACCTCTACTTCCCAAATTTTCTGCCGCTCATCACTTCGTCGAAAAGAACATTTGTTTCAATTGAGGGGTCTGCCAACCGCGACCCGCCATTTTGTTGCATCGACACTCTCCCACAGCCGTTGGCATTTGTCAAGGAGAAACTGTCTCATTCCTATCCTAATTAAATACGCCTTCTTAACGAAGACTCGACCATGGCGCCCTCCAAGCGCAAGATCCCTGCCGACGACGACGGCTTTATCCACACCATCTCCGACGACGAAGACGTCCCCGAGCTCGACAACATTGTTGCCGAAGACGATGACGACGTGAACGGTGCTGGCGCGGGCGGCAGGCCGAAGAAGAAGGCCAAGACTTCCATCGATAAAGAGTCTAAGAAGGATAAGAAGAAGAAGGGCAAGAAGGCCAAGAATGGTGAGGCTGACGCCGAAGAGGAGGAGGATGCGGGTATTTGGGGGAAGAAAGATGATGACGATGGGGCGATGGACTCGGAGTTCGAGTTTGCGCTGGACCCGGCGACGGATTTGATTGGGGATGGGGAGTGGGAAGGCTGGGGGTTTGAAGGCGCGAAGAAGGCGACGGAGTCGGGGAAGGTGAATGTGGATATTGACGAGATTATTCGGAGGAGGAGGGAGAAAAAGGAGAAGCAGCAGAAGAAGCAGAAAGGGGAGGAGGATAGTGAGGAAAAGGATGATGAGGATGTCGAGATGGAGGGTGTTGATTTGGATGACGATGAGGATGAGGTGCTGGCTGATGACGCGTTTGGTATGGGCGCACAGTCTGGAGATGAGGAGGAGGGTCAGGGTGAGGGTGAGGAGAGTGAAAAAGATGAGGAGGAGGAAGACGAAGAGGAAGACGAGGACGAAGCCGCATCCGACGACGACGACGACGACGACGACGACGACTCCGTCGCCACTCCGAACCCTCACCCCGAAGACGAATCATCCGAATCTGAAGAAGAGGAAGACGAAGAGGAGCAAGCCAAGGCCAAGGAGTTCTTTGCTGCGCCAGAGGAGACTGAGACCAAGAACGGCCAGGCCTCGACCTTCCAGAGCATGAACCTCTCCCGACCAATCCTTAGGGGTCTGACCTCCGTCGGCTTCACGAAGCCGACTCCTATCCAGGCCCAGACGATCCCGATCGCGCTGATGGGCAAGGACGTGGTCGGCGGCGCCGTCACCGGTTCGGGTAAGACAGCCGCCTTCGTCGTGCCCATTCTCGAGCGCCTCCTCTACCGCCCAAAGAAGGTCCCGACTACGCGCGTCGTCATTTTGACCCCTACCCGTGAATTGGCCATTCAGTGCCATGCTGTTGCCACCAAGCTGGCGGCATACACCGATATCAAGTTCTGCCTTGCGGTCGGCGGTCTCAGTCTGAAGGTTCAGGAAGCTGAGTTGCGGTTACGTCCTGACGTGGTGATCGCCACACCAGGTCGTTTCATCGACCACATGCGCAATTCGGCCAGCTTTGCGGTTGACACGATCGAGATCTTGGTTCTTGACGAAGCCGATCGCATGCTCGAGGACGGTTTCGCGGATGAGTTGAACGAGATTCTCAAGACGCTGCCTAAGTCGAGGCAGACGATGCTCTTCTCGGCTACTATGACGTCGTCTGTCGATAAGCTGATTCGTGTTGGGCTGAACAAGCCGGCGCGGATTATGGTCGACTCGCAGAAGAAGACGGCTGGTACGCTCACGCAGGAGTTTGTGCGCTTGAGGCCGGGGCGCGAGGGCAAGCGCATGGGGTATCTGCTGTATATCTGCAAGAATTTGTACACGGAGAGGGTGATCATCTTCTTTCGGCAGAAGAAGGTTGCGCACGAGGCGCGTATCATCTTTGGGCTTCACGGCCTGTCGTGCGCCGAGTTGCACGGTAGCATGAACCAGACTCAGGTATGGTTTACTCCTATCTACATGATAAGGACCACAAACTTACAATTCCCAGCGTATCGCCAGCGTTGAGGCCTTCCGCGACGGCAAGGTTAACTTCCTGCTCGCCACAGACGTCGCCTCGCGTGGTCTCGACATCAAAGGCGTCGACACAGTCATCAACTACGAGGCCCCACAAACCCACGAGATCTACGTTCACCGTGTCGGTCGCACAGCCCGTGCTGGGCGCAGCGGTACGGCCATCACGCTCGCCGCCGAGCCCGACCGCAAGGTCGTCAAGGCAGCCGTCAAGGCCGCCAAGCAACACGGAGCGAAGGTCGTGAGCCGCGTGATTGACGCCGCCGAGGTAGACAAGCTCCAGGCCGAAGTCGACGCCATGGCCGAGGAGGTACAAGAAATCCTGCGCGAGGAGAAGGAAGAGAAGCAACTGCAGCAGATGGAGATGCAGGTGCGCAAGGGTGAGAACCTGATCAAGCACGAGGAGGAGATCAAGAGCCGGCCGAAGAGAACGTGGTTTGAGAGTGAAAAAGACAAGCAGCGGGCGAAGCAGGCCGGGCTGGATGCGCTGAATGGGGTGAAGGAGAAGATGAAAAAGAAGGGGGAGGGGAAGTTAAGTAATAAGGATAAAAAGAAGCTGGATTCGATGAGGGAGCGAAAGGAGGGGAAGGCGTGGAAGAAGGGTAGGGCAGAGAGAGCGGGGAAGGGAGCTGTGTTAAATTTGAAGAAGGTTATAAAGCGGAAGCCGAAGAATAAGGCGAAGGGGAAGGGGAGGAAATAATGTAGTTGGGGGTAGGAAATGTGGTATGATGTATCGATACCATTCATCTATCTACATAGAGGTTTGGATACCTTACATGTTGTCATCCCAATCTGTGCTGTTGTTAAAAGGGTACCTCTCCACTTTAGGGGGTTGGGTTGGTTTTTATTTTTATTTTATTTTTATTTTTTTTTTTTTTTGTTTGGGGGAGGGGAGGGGGGGGGAAGGGGGGGAAAAGCTAGAGCTAGCTCAATGGGCCAGACCTGCGGGTGACGTAAGGCTCAAGGGGCCTCCAGCGGCCTCTGGCTGAGGCCAGCAATCGCAGCGATTGGGCGCGTTTTGTGAATGCAACTTGTTGATAAACTGCATCACCTCCAGCCCGCATCTTCACCACCTTGGTTTTCTTTGCTGTGAGAAGGTCATCCTTCTTTTTTGTCTTAAACTAGGATATTTCTGGTTGATCGTTTCGGCGCACTCTGCAGTAACATCAACGGTCTGTATATATCCCCATCTTGCGCGCGCCAATTGACCCTCCAGAAATTGGCATGCGCTGGGCATCATAGGCGATAGCGCGCTCTCCAAGACACCTTAGGTAAAACTTTTAACTGACTGACCGTCTCCCGGCTAGGCACCAGAGCTTTGTTTTTTTTTTTTTTCTCCATCGACCGACTGCAAACGAAAACGAGGGCGGATATCCTTAACAAACCAGAACCGTGGCGCCCGCTCCAGAGAGCTCACCATCCTCACTGGCTTCAACAACAACGCCGGTTTCGAACAAGACAATCAAGCGCCTACCGGGACACAGAACTAATATCTTGTGGTGGCATCCCCGAACCGGAAGCCCGATCGTTGCGCATTCGCATTCGCGTCGTACTCTTGTTCCTCTATTTGTGCAGTCCTTCCAACGTATACATTCGTCGAGATCGGCTGTCCTATCGACGCTCCGTCTGCTTGTCCCGTTCCGCGAAAACTTCACGAGCTATCGTACCCAGCTACGAGGTCGGATTTGGGCATATATAATCTCAAGGCAAATCCGGAGGGCGATTGGGATCAAACCGGAGAGGAGATTCAATTTGGGTCTGCCCTTCGGGGCGGTTGGGAGGACTAATACCGGGCTTCGAGGGTCAGGCAAAAGCGTAGAGGTTGAGGCTGAGCATCGACACCAACAACTACCACCCTGGTCCCAAACTGCCACCTGGGAAGGTTACTCCTTCAGTCACGAAGCCTTGCAGCACACATCGACCAAGATGCGGCCCTACCAATACACCTCCCCCCCCACCACCAGCACCAACTCAGGGTTCGAATACTCTCCATACGGCACCGGCACTCCCCTTCCCCAACCACAACGTGAGCGTGGCGCCCGCCGCAAAAAAATCGCCGCCGTAGCGGGCAGCGTCTACCGCGCGGGTGTAGCCGCCGCATCAGAGCTCAAAGAGCAGTATTACAACAGCCGAGCGGCGGCCGCAGCAGCACGGGATACCGGGGTGACGGAGAGGGGGATACCCTCATCGCATGTGTCAGGACCAGGGGCGGCAGCAGGGGCAGACGAGTCGCCTATCCCCTCGATACCGAACTCCTTTCCCCATGTTAAGATAGCCACTTCGGGAAAGAGGGGGGGAGGGGAGGAGCAGCATCTGATTCTCTTCCCTACATATACAAAACGGTTTAACAAGAGCACTGCATCGAACTTATCGACGCGTTTCCCGCCCGGGCATCCATTCCATCAGGCGCTTGCAGCAGCCATACAGACCGGGGCAGAACGTTTGCCGCCGCAGGAGGAAGAGTACTGGCGCAGCACGGTTGTTATGGAAGAAAATGCCGTCGTGGATGTGGATGTACGCGGGTGGGTGTATCGCCCGCATCGGGGACCGTTGACGAGGAAGAATAGGATGGTGATCGGCTTGGCGAGGAAGATGAGTGGCGTTTCGTCGGCACAACCACAGGCAGGGGGGAAGGGGGAGGAGGGGGGAAATTGTAAGGGAGTTGGGAGAGTATGGGAGTGATGGAGAGGGGGAGAGGCCTCCTCTGCCGCCTAGGACGACGGGTACGGGGTTGTCGACAGCGGCGACTGTGACGACCGGGCCGCCGGTTGAGTTGACCGAGGAGGAGCAAGCGGCTGCTAACGCGACACTGATGGCAAGAATTGGGCCGTTTGTCACGACAGCTGTCGCTCAGACGCCCGTTACACTATTCTTCTATAACGACACCAGATCCCGTTCGCATACTATCCTTACGGACTCATCAGGCCACTTCTGCACGCGCGTGGCGCTCTCCTTCACCCCCACACACATCCGCGTCCTCGCCAACGAGGACTTGTCCATGGTATCCCCCATCGAAGTCACGCCCCCCCAAGGCATCAGCCTCATAAGCGACATCGACGACACAATCAAGCACTCCGGCATCTACCTTGGCGCGCGCGAGATCTTTCGCAACGTCTTCGTGCGCTCCCTGGAAAACCAGACCGTCGACGGGGTACGTGAATGGTTCAACCGCATGGAAGCCCTCGGCGTCAAAATGCACTACTGCTCCAACAGCCCCTGGCAGCTATACCCCATGCTGGGCTGCTTTTTCCATGTGGCAGGCCTCCCGATGGGGTCGATGCATCTGAAGCAGTATAGCGGCATGCTGCAGGGGCTGTTTGAGCCGGTCGCGGAAAGGAAGAAGGCGAATCTGGAGGGGATTTTGAGGGATTTTCCCGAGAGGAAGTTTCTGCTTGTGGGGGATAGTGGCGAGGCCGATCTGGAGGTGTATACGGAGCTGGCGGTGCAGAATCCGGGGCGAGTGTTGGCAGTTTTCGTGAGGGATGTTACCACGCCGGAGCAGACGACGGGTTTCTTCGACAGCTCCTTTGGCGCTGGCAACGGAGCTGGGGGGACCAGGCAGGCTGAGACGGCTAGGAATGGGGCAAGAAGTAACAGGCCGCCGCTCCCTCCCAGGACGCTTGCTCCCCCGCCGAGTTTGGGGAGTTTGGGGCTACCGAGTACGGAATCGCCTACTGATGGGACGAGAGATATTCCCCGAAAGCCGGTGCCCCCTCCGCGACCATCGAAACCGGCCGCTCTACGCGGGGCACCGTCGGATAACCGGCCTCGCACAGCAGGCGCCGATGTCACGAGACCAAGTCCGCAGTTATCAACAGAGAGTGTCCGGCCTAGCACAAGCGCGAGACCAACACCTCCCCCTCCCCCTCCTCCCCGTCGGAGGACGACGCCGTTAGCCGTCACAGCTGCAGGGCCGGTGATTTCTGTCGAGTCAAGCCGGGAACCAGATCCACCGAGGCTACCTCCTAGGTCATCTACCCGTCCGCTGGGACAAGAATCTCATCCTGTTTCGGGTATCTCAAGAACAGCCACGACCCCACCCGTTATTACCAGTGAGCCTACCACATCTGCGGGCACCTCGGGGCAGTTCGTCAACAAGAAGGTCGAGACATGGCTGAGGAAGTTGGCGAGAGCACACGAAGTGCTGGATGCCGTTGGAGTGAAGCTATATACGTGGCGAAAAGGGGATGATGTGGTTCTTGAGGCGGAGGGGATTGTTAGGGAGGCGTTGAAGGCCCTGAATAGGGGGGAGGTAGAGTAGGATTGGAGCCTGGGTTGGATAAGCATAATATATACTTATGAGGGAGTTTGGGAGGAAAGAGTTATAAAGAGGTATTAATATATAAGCTATAGATGCTGTTTTGTTATATGTATAGAAAATGACAGCAATAAAAACAGAAAGGGGGACCGAGAGGAGAGATCCCTTTGGACGCTTACCTCTGCTCAAACCCTAACCCGCACACTCACGCCGACCCTAACCCTGGTCTGTGACCGCCTACCCGTTTCAGGCGCATCAAGGACCCTCTGCCTCCAAAAACCAAAAAAATAAAAAAAAAAAAGGTAGGGAAAAAAATGTGGCGGCAGTCAACGGCGAGCGTCAAATAGAAAGCTGAAGATTCGTTGAAAGAAAAGCTTAGCATTTTGGTTGATTGAGTCACCAGCAATCGTTCAGCCGCGCTACTTCATTTCGGACACAGGCAGCCAATGAATCGGTCGGCGTGAGCAGGTGCCCCCTCCTTGTCAAAAAGGAAAACAAAAACAAAAAAAAAGGACAAAAGTCCCAGGAGCGCGCACAGGCTGAGCCATGTATGTGGCAGCTCGCGCGGGACGCCTGCTGCATCCACTGATACATTCTTCGGCTTCGTCAAGGTCAACACGGCTTCTTAGAGTCACTGCGCTCTCGGAAACTCGGTCCTATTCTTCTTCCTTTGCCTTTTCACCCACTCCATCGCGGCGACTTTGGATTCCGCGCCGCCCTTCGCCAGGCTTCACCATCTCGAGCTCGAAAACCGGCGTAAAGAAATCTAATCGCAACAATTTCAACAGCCCCTCCTCCCAAACTTCAACCCCGCTCCGCATCCCCCCTTCTCTTTTCCCAGACCACGTCGCGCGCCCCGATCACAGGCGAACAGGCCGTTTGATTCTCATTCCGAAGCCGGGCACTCCTGAATACCCGGCCGACTTCCCTTTCTCGCCGACTGTTACGAATAATCCGAAGGCAATGTACAACTACGTGCGTGTAGTGTCCGCCCCGTCGGCAGACACACCGGGAGTCTGTCTGTTGCTGCACTTCGACAGCCGGCGATACTTCTTCGGTCGGGTCGCCGAAGGAACGCAAAGGCTCTTGAACCAACGTACGGTCTCGCTGATGAAGGCGACGGATATTTTCCTCTCCGGCCGGATCGACTGGTCGTCGACAGGCGGACTGTTGGGAATGTTTTTGACACTCGCGGAGATCAAAGGGCGGTCGGACCAGATGCTGCAGGACCAGAATGAGAAGGCTCGGAGGGAGGGGAAGAAGGAGGTGAAGTATCATGAGGGGCATGTCAATGTGCATGGTGGGAAGAATTTGGTGCATATGTTGGCGTCGGCGAGGCGGTTTATATTCAGGAAGGCGATGCCTGTGTGTCCTAGGGAGGTGAGGAGGGATCCGAGGGCGGACGGCAATAAGAGGCCGGATTATGAGGATGAGAATATTCGCGTGTGGTCGATCCCCGCCTCTATCGCGACAGAGAACAGCAGTAGTAACGCTGCTGCTGCTGCTGCTGCTGCTGCTGCTGCTGCTGCTGCTGCTGCTGTTGCGCAAGACAGCGACCAGTCGCCGCCTAGGAAGCGCAAGCGGACCGAGGACAGCACCGCTGAAGGGGAGGCTGAGAACGAATCGACGTCCATGACTGACGAAGAAGCAGACCAGCACCTGCGCGAATCGGTCGTCAAGGACATGTTCGGCTCGCACTGGAGTCTCGACACCCTGCGCGAGATGAAGCTGTCACAGGTCAAGCTTCCCGCCAAGATTTTTGTCAAGAACGAAAAGGGCGAGCTCGAGCTGTACAACGGCCCCCTGCCCGACGGCACCAACAATCCCCCGGATATCAACGTCTTTGTGCGTCTGCCTTGGCCCGCATCCCGCGTCGAGAAGCTGCCCAAGACCGAGCCGTCCAAGGAGACCATGTGCTATGTGGTCAAGAACTATGGTCGTCGCGGCAAGTTTGACGTCACGAAGGCTGATGAACTTGGTGTGCCGAAGCAGCACCGCAAGTTCCTTGCCAATGGGCAGAATGTCACCGGCAAAGATGGTATTACTGTCACGCCAGATATGGTCCTCGGCCCGTCTGTCCCTGCGGCTGGCTTTGCCATTCTCGATATCCCTTCGCTGGAGTATATCGACGCTGTTCTCGCGCGCCCGGAGTGGGCTGATGAAGAGGAGATCGTCAAAGGCGTCCACGTGGCGTACTGGATCCTGGGTGACGGCGTCGATGCGAAGGACGAGCGCATCCAGGCGTTCATGAAGGCACACTCCTCGTGGAAGCACATCGTCTTTAGCAAGTCGCTCAACCCCAACGTCATCGCCATGATGAAAGCCGCCGATAAGACTATCCGCATGCACCACATCGACCCGGACCGCTACCCTTTGCCAGTTTACGACAACAACGGAGGTAGTCTGCCCTCCGGGGATGGTGTGCCTGACCAAACCGTCGGTGTAGCAGGCCACACCTACCTCATCCTCCCTCGCATCGACTTCCCCACGGACAACATCATCCCCCCGATGAACACCAAGTGGCCGTCGATCGACCTCGTACAAAACGGCGCCGAGATCCTCGCCCTGGCCCAAGCCGGCCGCGAGCGGATCGCCAGCCCCGAGTTCCAAGCCGAGGTCGCGCGTGCCCAACAGGACCTCCCCCTCCCGAACACTGAAATCATCCCCCTCGGCACGGGCTCCTCCATCCCGTCCAACTACCGCAACGTCTCCGCAAACCTGGTGCGCATCCCCGGCTGGGGCAGTCTCATCCTCGACTGCGGCGAGAATACCCTGGGTCAGCTGCGCCGGTTGTATGGCTACGCAGGCGCTGACGAGGTTTTGCGCGACCTCCGCGCCATCTACATCTCGCACAGCCATGCGGACCACCACCTTGGCACCGTGGCGGTTATCGACGCCTGGCTGAAAGCCACCTCCCAAAGGGAGGAAACAGCCTCCGGCAAGCTAGCCATCATCGCCGCGCCCAAATACCAAGCCTTCATCCGCGAGTTCCACCAAGTCCAGCCCCTCGGCCTCCTCGACCGCGTGTTCCCCGTCACATTGGGCAAGACCGACTTCCGCCACGTCCCGGGTCGCGTGCTGGAAGTCTACAACAGCTACAACGTCCCCGACCTCCCCAAGATCGAGCCCGTCCTGGTAGACCATTGCTACGAGGCCGCCGCGACAATCTTTACTTTCGATCAAGACGCTAGATACGGCGGGCTGAAGATCGCCTACTCAGGCGACTGCCGCCCGTCGGCGGAATTTGCCTCCGTCGGGCGCGGCGCCCACCTTTTGATTCATGAATGCACGTTCGAGGACGGGCTGCAGGCCGACGCACTGGCGAAGAAGCATTCTACCCTGTCAGAGGCCCTCGCCGTAGGGAGGGATATGCAAGCGCGCCGGATCCTGCTGACACATTTTAGCCAGCGGTATCCCCAGCTGCCGGCGGTGAGCAAGGAAGTGTTGCAGCAGGGACAGGACGGGGACAGGGATGTGGAGGTGCTATTTGCCTTTGACTTGATGAGGGTTAGGTTGGGAGAGTTTAAGCATGCGAATGCGTTTTTGCCGGCGTTGAGGAAATTGTATGAAGCTGAGGAGCCGGAGGAGGTCGCAGCAGAAGAGTAGGCGGAAGGTATGGGGATATAAAAGGGGGTTTGGGATTCTGAGCTGTATTAGTACGTATGCGATATTTAAAAGGTATCGGGCTGTGTACCTAGGTATAGAGGGTTCGTGATCGGTGGTGAAAACGGTAATATATATATTTACATATAAAATACATTCTGTTCTCTGACAATAAAAATTGGGATCACCTCGGGCTCACATACAAGACGCATAATTGAATAGTCGTTGACACAGGCAACGCTCAATGTGAACTTTATTTGCTCATTTCGAACGGCTCTATCGCTCTATCTCCAAGTACTACAACACCTCTTCCAGCTTGTCCACTCATGACTAACCAACAACGTCACCATCTACACAACCGGTATCACATACACCACGATGAGGGGGCCAAACCAACAAGAGGAACATCCTACAACACACCCAATCAACCAGTTAGCAATGAACAACGTCAGGGAAGGGACTCACCTGTTTTTGATTATCAGCAGCCATTCCTCTCTATGTATCGCTCGCTCGATCTAGTTAAGGGGGACTCTAGGTCTCAGAACGGGGGAGAGAAAGTAAAAAAGTAAGCACCACACCAACTTACATCCTCCAATACCAATACTCTTTCACCCCTTTGCTCAACGCAGGCCAAGCCATCCTCCTCTGTCCCTGTCCTTGTCCCTGTCCCTGTCCCTGTCCCTGTCCCTGTCCCTGTTCTTGTTCCTGTTCCTGTCCCTGCCCCAGCTCCAGCCGTCCCCCTCCTCGTCCCTGTTCCTCCCCCTCCTGACCAGCAGGAGCAGGACAAGTAAGCCTGTACCTCATCCCAAAACTCATATCGCGCTGGCTTGCGCTTCTTCGTAGTACTGCTTGCTGTTCTTGTTTCTGCTGGTTTTGGGCCGGTCCCTGAGGGAGTTGATACCATGAACAACCATAAATCATCCTCCTCACTTCCTAGCACAGACAGAGGTACTCGCTTGTTGCTGGCGGTCTGATCATGCCGAGGAGACTAAGAGTGCGGTCGTCGCTGGAGGATGGCGAGCACGAGCGGGTGTCGTTTCCCGCGGCAGAACATACACGCTGCTGCTGTTGGAAGATGACATCCGCGGGTTGACAACTTCGATCTCGGTATCAGAGCAGCTTTCATCATGGGATTGAGACGCTGCTAGCACCGAGTGGAGGGGAACGAGGTCGGTTGATGTGCTCGATACCGCCGTCGTCGTGCAAGGCCAATCCTGTTTAACCCTGCTGCTGTTGCCAGACAAACTCGAGCAAGAGGACTGTCCTGGGGAGTTGCTAGCAATAACCGCAAACGCAGGATTGGTATATGCCGCCCCCGCTGGCTGACGTCCCGTATCCGTTGAATCCAACTCTCTCATCCCAGCCTCCTCATCACCCTGAGAGTCCGTCTCCTCCTCCCAAATATGCAATCGCACTTGCGGCACCGGCACCCCCCCCCCCAACCAACAACCCTCACCCGCCCAGGCAAACCCCCACGATGTTTATTCCTCCTCCCTTGCCCTACCCCCATCCTCACCCCCATGCCCCTCAACCGCTCCCACCCCTTCCTCTCCCACCTCCCCTGGCGAACCACAGCTTTCGCCGCGCGCATAACCTTCATCATCCTCTCTTCCTGATCAGAAGGTTCCTGATGATGAGGGTAAAACCACAATCAGGCCTCAACAACCCTCAAAAGCCTCGGGCGCTTAGGTTTCGCCCGGGTAAGCATATTCGCCCTCAAGCAGAGCAAAACCTGAGGAAGTCCGCCGAGAACGGAGAGGATACACGCCCTACAGCCTACTCCCACATGCGCATGCACACTTCTTCTCCCCCCCTCAATCCCCTTGTCTCCCGGTGACACGACCAGCGCCAACCTCCACCCCCTCCCCACTCCTTTTCCAAAATATCTCTCGAAACTCCCGTCCGCACCATCAAAAAAAACAACCTCCCAGCCACACCCGACACACGCTCGACGCATTCCTTGACAACCCCCCTCCACTCCCCAACGGCCGCGTCGGTATACCCGAATCCGAGTTCACTGCGCTGCGCATACGAGAAGGGTCGGGTCATCAGGGTGGGCGTAGCCAGGGACGACGGTTGCGCTAGAGCCGGAGCCGGAGCCGAAGCCGGAGGTTGAGAAAGACGAGGTTGAGGACGAGGGTTTAGTTTTCGAGGGCATGTATGGCCTCGTGGAGACGTATCGGCGCTGCCTAGGTGTTCCCGAGATGGGCGAATAATGCTTGGAACAGTGATGACAACTGGCCAGGGATCTCAGCTGTTTGATGATCGACGGCTCTTCTCTGCACTCTGGCCGTCGTTAGCCAATGTGGATGGATAGAAAACGACGTACCATAGGCATCCATAAGCCTTATACCCTCCAAAATCCTTACGACGTGCCCTTTATCCAACAGTATCTTGACTTGACCAGAACAAAGACCACCCTTTCATCCGCAACTCCATCTTTCAGTGCATTGTTGCGTCAGACAGAATGGACTGGCCAGCTTGACGCAGGCAGGCAGTTACTTTATATATCCATCCATCTTCAGCGAGCTATGTAGCAGATGAGACAGAGGCAGGCAGGCAGGCAAGCAGGCAGGCAAGCAAGCAGGCAGGCAGGCAGGCAGGCAGGTAAGTCGTAAGATGTGGATGGTGTCACGCTTTCACGTCTTCGCATAGGCAGGCAGGTAAGCGAGCCAAATGTCAAAACCTCGCTTGAGACATTGGCTCTTTCTAGAAAGAACAATTGGCGAGCTATTCCAGGATCTTCATAGCCTCGAGTTAAGAGACCCAGTTTCGTTTTAGATCAACCGATATCTAGAAACAACGTCAGTTAAAGACAATATTAAAAATCAACACCTCAAACAGACTCACTTGAAACAACCGTATTCCAGGCTGCTGCTCAATCCGTCCAACACGAACGAACATCGGTCACTCCCAAAAACGAATCGAATCGGGCCTCTTGAAAACAACTCGATAGGCATGTTCAACAGCATACAACCACCAAGCACCTTGCAACACGCTGTTGGAACAAGGCCAGGATAGTCATGCCTTAAAGTGTAACCGACCAGAGAGGCTCACTCGCTCGCTGCTAGAGCGTTGCCTCAAAGGGGAAAAAAAAAAAGCTATGAGATCGGGCCCAGGAGCCACGTTTCTATCAAGCCTTTCCACTCCCATCATTGATCGATTGACCCATTATGATTTCCCATCAGCCCATACGAGAGATGACCATAAAAGCAAAGTTAACAGAAAGTCAAGAAGAAAAAAAACGTAAAACCTTTCCCTTATCAACGACGCCCCCCTCTCCCCCGGGTTTCTCATGCCCCAAATCATCGCACCTAATTCGCCGCACCATTGCCACCCCTATCAACAAATGCCGAAGGTAACAAAAAGAAAACACTAGGATAACAAAGTATACCATGCCTGCTAAGAGACGTTCCCATCGTAAAGTCCCCAATCTGCCTGATACAGCAAAAGTGCTGTTTGTGCGGAGAAAGTAACTTATTTGACGCTGTCAGTCTGTATCATGGCCATCATCTGACTATTGACGGCTGAACCTCGCACGAAGGCCGATGTGCATTGGCTTGCTGCTGCTGCTGCTGCTGCTGCTGCTGCTGCTGCTGCTCTCTCTGTCTCTGTCTCTCGAGACGGATACGAGCTGCCTCGGTGCCATCATCGGGATGTGCTGACTCGCGGAACCACGGGTGCTGCAGAGCCTCCTTCGCAGTGATACGCCGGGCCGGGTCGTAGACAAAGATCTTCTGGAGGAGATCCAAGAATTGCGCCAAAAACCGCGTTGTCGGGGGAACGATTTCCTGTTGTCGTCAGCTGATTACTCATCAACAAGGGACACATCGAGCATAGCTTACATCCAATCTCTTCATAGCCTTAACGAACCGTCTAGACGCACGAGTGGTGTCAGGCTGGGGATAATCAAGCTTGTAGCGCTTGAAATACCTGCAGAAAAAAATTGAGGAGGTTGTTAGCCAGTATAACTTGGAAAGTGCAAAAAAAAAAAAGAAAAATAAGTCGCGTACTTGGCCGCAGAGTTACCGCCGTTGCGGGTCATCCGGTGCACTTGCTGAATCAGAGGCACGTCGATCCGCTGGCCCACGACAGACTCCATCATGGCCAGATGCTCGAGGTTATCGTGCGTCTGGAAGAGCGCATCACCAGTAAAGAACTCGACTAGGATGCACCCGATACTCCAGATATCGCAAGGGAATGACCACCCAAGGCCAAGGATGATCTCGGGCGCCCGGTAGTGGCGGGTAGACACAACCGAGGAGTGGTACTCGTCCTGAAAGGTGGCCGAGCCGAAATCAATCAATCGAATCTCCGTGTCCAGGAGCACCTTTCGCTGTGTAGCCTGACGGCACACCGTCGTGCTAGCCGACGGAATCTTCCGATTGTAAGTAAATGTCTGGTATTCGCTGTTGCACAGCAGGATGTTTTCCGGCTTCAGATCGGTGTGGATCAGGTTCAGATCATGGAGGACTGTGTTTCGGGTCAGCCAATCATACTCTACACAAGTGTCTGCTGATCTAAGTGGTTTGGGAGTCTTACAAGCTACGCTCGTAAGGAGCTGCCTCGCGAAATTCTGGATCTGGCTGTTCGGGAAGGGCACAAAGTTGTTGCTCTTGAGGAAGTCGAACACGCTCTGGCCCAGCAGGTCCATAACGATGCAGATGTGGCCACGGAAGTCGAAGCAGTCGCGGAAGTGAATGCAACGATTCCGGTTCTCGGCATCATTTGCTCGGAGCGTCTCAAGCACCCGCAGCTCGATCTTGCTCGCCTCGCGGTATTTCTGCACAGAGCGGATGATCTTGATGGCAACAAACTTGTTGGTGACCTTATCCCTCGCCTGGACCACCTTGCCGAACGTGCCCTGGCCGAGCAGCTTGTGTATCGTATCTAACACAGTTAGTGAACGTCTCGTAGAGCAGAGGTAAGCAGAGGTGATGAAGTAGAACTCACATCTATCGGTCAGATCGGCCTCTGGGACGACAATGTAGTGGCCATCATCATCATCGTAACGGACATTCTTGTTTGGCGAAGTCTGTGTGTCGTTAAGAAGTCAGTAAAATTTACCAAAAAAAAACAACCCAGCCAAAAGCAGTGGGCCACCTACGTCAGGAATAACGGGGATATGAACCTCCTTGGCCTTCTTGGGCGGGAACGGCGGAGGCTTGTAGCTCAAGAACGCATCGGTCATGGGCGGAGGGAGCGGAGGCGGGACCTCGCGGCGCCTTGCCTCATTTGCCACCTGTTGCCGAGTGGTTCTCTTGCGTTTCTGTGAGGCCTGCGCATCGTACTCATATTGCCCATTAGACGACAGAGAGCCCAACGAGGTCGGAGCCGTGGTTTGGTAGGTTGTCGTAGTCCGATCGCTAGCCACAGTCGACTTGCTGGGGGTGTATGAACCGATAGCAGCACTGTGGTGGACAGGATCATAAGGCATGTGCTCGTCATCGCGCTTCCGCTTCTTGCCAGAGCCGTTGACGCCGTTAGTTGCAACAACCTGAGACGAGCTAGCCGCAGTCACCTGCGAAGAAGTGGTTATATGGTTGTTGGTCTGTGGCTGCTGCTGCGGTTGCTGGGGCTCTGGGGTATCCTCAATCACGATAATCTCCTTAGGCAAACCATTCTTGTAGAACTCAGCCCAATCGGGGCCCCGCGAGCGTCTCCTCTTGCGAGCCGGTTGGGGCTGCTCGGCTACGGGCTGCTGCTGCTGCTGGAGGAGATGGTGGTGGTGGTGGTGGTGGTGGTGGTGATGCTGCGAACCTGCGGACATGTTTGCTGTGTAGTAGTGGTCAGAGCGAGACGTTGTCACATCGGCTGTGTGATGCGGCAGGACTCTCGTCAGGTCGGACGCGGACACCGGGGCAAGGCCGTTCGTTGTCGACGCTGTCGCAGGAGGGTATGCAGTTGTAGCAGAAGGATAGGAAAGCTGAGAAGCGGGAGGAAGAACAGTTGCAGTGCGATAGGCCGACGAGTTCGGTTGGTTGGTCGAGGCGTACTGCTGGTGGTGCTGGTGGTGCGAATACCGCAAGTGATGTGGGTTATAATGTGGAAGCGTTGCGGTCGCCGTGGTCGGAGTCGACATGGTCTTGCTGTCGATGCTGCTGCGCGCAAGTTCCCGGCGTTTCTGCGAGAAAATGGCGTCGGGGGTTTGAGTGTGTGGGCTGGGCGAAAGAGGAGGAAGAAGGAAAGAGGGTGTTTCGGGCCAGCCACTGGTCGGAGTCGGAGTCGCTTGCTGCTGTAGAGGACGTGGAGATGGCAGCGGATGCGGATGAGATAGAGGAAAATTGGCTAGGGGACGGGGAAGGGGGCGGGGACGAGGACGAGGACGAGGATGGGAGCGGTTGGCAAGATTGGGGGATGAGGAGAGAGAGGAAAGAGAGGAGAGTGAGGAGAGTGAGGAGGAGGGATTGTTAGGATCGTCAGAGTCAGGTCGCTGGCAGGTTTGGGGCTGGCAGCTGTGGCACTGGCTTCCGGTTTGGTTCAACAAATCTGCGCGATGCTGCTGCTGCTGCTGTGACCTGACTGGTGAGAGGTGTCGGTACTGGGGGGAACCTGAATGGCTCAACGTTGAGGTGACTGAGTCCGGTACAGGTCGACTCTGGCTTTGGGTTTGCACTCCTGGCGTTGGCGTTCCGCTAAAGGATCGACCTAGAGCCCCCCCAGCTGGAGGCGCAACGCCCAAGGAGGACTGGTGCTGCTGAGGACTGATCAAAACCTCAGACTCGCGATGGCCACAGCCGCACCGGCATCCAGACTGTTACTGTTGTCAGCCTTTGAGGTTGTAGAGTCAAAGTTGTGGTGGTTTGATGATGCAGTCGGTTGGTCGGTCGCGTGGCCGTCAGGAAATCGTTTTCGGCGTTGCAAGCACAGAGAAAGGGCCGCTGGTCGCTGTGGAAATGAAGAGGGAAATGCAACTGCAGAGTGCAGAAAATGCTGCGTGCGAGAACCGGGAAGGAACTTGATAGGAGAGAGAGAGAGAGAGAGAGAACGAAAAGAGTCTCGGAGCCCTGCCCACAAATGGACGGTCCGCCCAGCGCAGTGGCCCGCGCTGTGATGCCCTGGTGCAGATTGTTGCCCCGGTCTGTGTGTGTGGGTTGTGGACTGAGAGGTCCAGTGGCCCCAAGTGCTGACCCCCCAGGTTGTGAGCTGGCTGGCTGCTGGATTGTGGCAGAACAGAGAGTGGCAGCGACCGGCAGCGACTGGCAACAACAGTCTGGCTCCTCCTCGATCAGATTGTCAGGGCTTGGAACCCGAGAAGGAAGCGAGGAGATGAAAATTGGTGAGGAGAAAGGGCAGAGTTCTCGTGTGTGCGTGTGTGTGTGTGTGTGTGTGTGTTTGTGTGTATGTGTGTATGTGTGTGCCAGGCATAAGTCGAAGTACCACGGTTTCGCCCTGGGACAGTTTTGCAACAGCCTGGGGAAAGGGAAAAAAAAACAACAATAGAAACGCAAATGGCACTCTCAACAAAGCAGTCAGATTTCCGTTCCGTGCGGGCTGAGAGTGGCAGAATGAAAATAATTAGGGCACTTCAAAGGTTCAAATTGAATTGTTGCATGGAGGCAAGCAAGTCTAAAATCTGCAAATCTCTGCCCCGTCAGTTGCCAATTGTGCCTCGTCACTTGTGGCCCAGGCCGGCCCAAGACCCAGCACTTAATGAAATGGCCTTCATCTACCTTAACCCTCATCGACTACGGGCCTAAACAGAACATAACAAAGCAGCCCGGCACTTGGCAGGGCGATCATTTCCGTGTCCCCCAATCAATCATTTTAAGCATGCAGAGTGCCCGCAAGATTCCACTTTGTTCTCTCTCTCTTTCAGATCAGCTTCGGACGTGGTGACTGCTGCTGCTGCTGCCAAGATGCCACCAGGGGCCCACGATCGCTCACCATGACGTTTTGTTACAGCTGACGAAAAACACAAAATGATTGTCCAAATTTGTTGTTGTTTTGATAAGTGTTTCGTGGCAGCTGCGTTGCAGATTTTGAATGACGAAGACTGATGGAAGGCTTCATCCCATCGCCAACCCCATGCATGCCCTCCTAAATCCACAAGTAATCCTCTATGCATTGCAATCGTTTCCTGCACCCACTTTGAATTGGTCTCGACGGCAGCAACGCGATCTGCCAGTCTGCGGTGCCAAGCCTTTACCCAGTGCCCGCCCGCCGAGCAGCCAGCCCAGCCGGGGCGGCCAGTGATGATCAAGCCAAGGGCCCCTGAAATCGACACTTACAATGCCGCATTCCAGCCATCCTATCAGCAGGGCGCGCCACTGGACCGCGAAGGTGGGTCTTGCCATCCTGTCTCCCAGGCTTCTCTTTCACGCGCGCGCACCGATGCGGGGTTCCATTGCTGCTGTCGCTTCGACACTTCGTCGTTGCCCTTCCATGGAACCTTGAAACCTTGGAATCGTGCAGGTCATAGCCATCGTCGAATGTCTTCCACCTCAAACATGGACTTAACTGTTTCCATTCTGAAATATGTAACGAGAATCTTTTGTCGTCCCGTTATGTATCGTAAAAATGAATCCAAATATGCCTCATAAGCAGAGTTGCAATACCGTCTGTGTCCTCAAATCGCAGCCAACCGTCTCGACCCCCATCGAGTGGCGCGGCTTCTCCGATCAAGTCCATCACGGAGCGCGCTGCCACCCTAACCATTAAAGGACCGCGCTAGGGACATGTTGGGGATAGTCCCGGATTTCTACATGCACATTTGAAGCTTTCCGTCACCCGTTAACATTAAAATATCAAGCCGTCGTTGACAGATAAAGAAAACGTTTCTTGGTATGGCCACTTGTTCAACCGCGGTTCTTTTTTTGTTTGGGGGGGAGGGGGGAAAGGAAGTCCCTGGTGAACGTGATGCTATTCGAGCGATCTGTTGGCACGAGCCCTGCCGCAATGCCTTCCCCCGTCTTGCATATGTCCACAGATGTCAGCCCGAACATATAAGCCACGACTATGCTCTCAGACTTGCACGGCCGGCATATTGCCACGCTGCCACTCGCTTGCTTCTGGGATGACCAGCTTTCCCAAGAAAACATTCGTGTTACAAGTCCTCATATATGTCTGGCTTTTCATACAACAACAGCGCATCATCCAAGTGTCCCCCCATCGCCAGGACGACTGCCTGCCTGAGACATATGTGGGGAGCAGTTCGCCGGGCTGACCTCCAGCGTTGTCTCGATTCATGTCAGCCAATCACCCTGACCACGAGTGCAGTGGTGTTCCGTGCGGAACGCCAACGAATCAGGGACGACAGGATCGAACCTAGCCCATAATCAATAAAATCATATAGGGGCGAGGTATCCCGATAAATGGATCGGCCTGAGGGCCTTTGACGCTGGAAGACAGGAACAAGATGCCGATCGAAATCATGCCTCATCAGGCATATTAGAGACACTGGTAGAGGCCTTCATGGAGAGAGTATCCCCAACCAGGAACTCCAAGAACACTGGGTGTAGCACCATCCCACCTTCCCCACTGGCAGGAAACGGTGAGAAAAAGCATGCCGCGACCTTGGAGCCTGCCGTCATCAGCCGAGCAAATCCAGCGCAGCGCGGGGTGACTTCTTCAGCAAACCAAGATTGAGGGTGAATTGATGACGGCAAAATGTCGAGCAAAGGATCGGATGAATTTGCTGCCGAAAAGCAACGGGAAACAACCACTCAACAAACCGACCGGTGCCAGCTGGCAGCTACCAAACACGCCAGATTACGGCGAAGTTCCAAGCAGGTGTCTCCAACAGCAGCAACATTCGCAACAAGCCAAAATCTTGACATTCTTCTCTTCCGTCAATCCGCTGTTGAGCTTTCAGGAAAGTATTGCATATCAGGCCCTGGCAATGGCCAACATGCCCCACGACGCTCTCCAAAGTGGAGCATCGCCCGTCGCTGCGGCAGCCGTTCCAAGGCAACATCGTCGCGTCGTGAACGGACAAAAAGACATCAAAATGTCCCCACAGTGGCCAAACCATCTCTCTGCACATTGGAAGCAGCCAGAGCCCTCTAGCGAGTGAAGGAAGCATGACCTCATTCATTGTCCCATGTTTTCCCCTCTTCACCATCACGTGTGATGAATCGACGGAGCCCTTTTCCACTCACTTACCAGAGGAGTCTTTCAATCTCTCTTCTACTTATGGGTTGGTTTCACAACAGCCTGCAATAGGGAAGATTGGGTGAAAGGAGAGAAAGGACGTTGGTCGTAACATTTGTGAAGGTCTCTAGTAAAGGAAGGTTGATTTTGCACCGTGTCTTGTACGGAGTCTTCTCGGGGCTAAAAATGCCAAACAGCAAAGCGCAACTGCCCTCCGTAATAAAACATGCCACAGGTCTTGGCATCGCAACCCATCCTTCAATCCAGTGGATTGACCATCCATCACCCCCTCTTTTCCTTGTTGATTTCAGGTGCCCCTCGATGATTACAATTAGAGCCCGAATGCGAGCTAGTCTATGTAGCACAAGGCTTTAGACGCGGTGATCGGTGAGTATAATCAAGCGGGAGGGTTACAACGCGAGACACTTCCTGGCCTCCATCTCTCTCGGCTGAGCCACTATTTCCGTGGGTGCTTGGCCGCCCAGTATGGAGTAGCTGAACCTCTTCCAAACCATTCCAGTAGCGGGAGCACAAATGAGAGAAATAGTAAGAGGCAGTGAAGGTTCCTCATGCGGTAGCAGGCCACAAATGTAAAATCTCCAAGTCAAGTCCCTCCCACCTCAATTGCAGGCTACGTTTGTCTGTTGGCAGTATAGGCACAGCCTTTACGTATAAGGGAATCACATCACGGAGGAGCACACACATGCCGACTCCATACTTTTCTAGCTTGATTGCAGCTTGCCTCTTCCAGTATTGGAAGGTATACAGTAATAGTTGGCTGCAGGATACAAGCTGTGGGATTTCATCTAACCCCTCTCCTCTCTGTGCGGGTGTAGGGAGGGGCATTGTTTGCCAGATATGTGTCTCCGTAGCTCACACCTACATACATTAGAAGTACTGACTGAAATATCTTGTTGAACCAAAGTTTGAAGCTTCTAGGTTTGAGGACTGATGTGGAAGTTGTAGCAAGGCTATCACAGCACACCCCTCACTCAGACTGCTCAGTGACTTCTATTATCGTCAGCGGCATCGACTCCACGAGTTTAGATGCTTCAGCTACCATATAACAATTGATGTGGTATAGATGGGGATATCTACTGTATCGGGCCTGCCGCTGTGGACTCAGAATTTCGACTTTGCGAGTGTCTAACTGGTCTGAGAACTCATACACGGTCGACAACTGCACAGAGTTCAGGGCCTTAAAACAACTAGACAAAAAATTGGGATTGGTTTCCTAATATTGCAGGAAATCAGCAAGGCACTGAGAGGACTGATACTACTGCAGGTGGTCTGTGACCTAGAATATTATCTGTAAAGACTGCATCTCAGACTGTGGCAGAGCTTAATCTTGATCCAAAGTAGTAGGCCAATCTAGTGAGCAGAGATGGTATAAGTGGTACAAATTTCTTTGCTCTCCCTGTTCACAGCACTTTGGGCAGGGATAACATGCCGCTTTTCAGCTGAGCCTCTTCACTCTCTGTGTTCAAAAAGACGAACTTCTTTTCCCATAAGAACATGCCTCGCTTTCTTTGAGTTATAGGAGTTAGTATTATTGGATGCTTCTCTACTAAAAAAAAAGGCCGCATCACTTACAGCAATAAGTCTCAAGAGTTTCTCTCTTCTATGTCACCCCAGCGCTTGTCTTTATTTCAATTGTTACCTTCCCTTAGCCCTTCCCGAACCATATGCTTGTTCACGACTATTTAATCCCGTACTTTGTACTACTATCTTTTTTTTGTCATCTTTTCCGCAACTACAGCCCCACACCTCTAGGTTGTTGACTGCCGTCGATCGAGCTTCGTTCACCTTCCACTTCCTGGTAAAGCATTGTTCCCCTGAATCCAATGTTGACCATCCGTCTCAGCAGGATAGCACGGGGCATTCCCACAGGAACCCCCGGTCTTGCATCTGGATCCAGCTCTGCTACGTTTGCAGGATACCAATGTTCCTTCGATGAACTACTAGTCTCTTGGCCATTCCAAGCAATTGCATACTTACTACGGCAATTGCTCCCCAGCATAAAGGCGCAAGCAAGAAGACACCAGAGAAGGACACCACCAAAAATGTTCCCCCCTCCCCCTCCCAAACCTCTCTCCTCCCCTCTTCCGATGCCGCGCCAACAAAACAATAACGCCCATGCTGAATCCACTAACACTTCCGGATTGTTCAGGAGTCGGGAGTTCTCCGAACGAAGCATCATCTGTAGGGGCCATGGGGGAGGACGCAACCGTGCCTGACTTCTCGCAGTGCGAGTCAATCATGCCCTGGGCATAGAAAATATGGTGATGACACCGGCGCTGGACTCCGCCGTACATGTAAGTGAGAACTTTAAGCTCACCCCGGGCCATACCAGTATAACACAATAGGCAGCGTCGGTGATTGAACTGGCTGATGTTAAAATACATCGGGTCTCACGGAAGCGCAGCGCGAATTACTTAGTTCGGGACCTTACTAGCACAGAACTGGATCCTGATGTAACTCCTTGTCGACTCTTCTGTAAAGCCAACGGTCGAGAAAGACTGTTTGTGGATATACAACTCCTTCATCCCTCCTTTCCTGGGTTGGGTCAAGGTCGTGCAGCAATAGCCCACCTGAGGACATCCCCACTTTCTGACTAGAGTCCTGTATCAACATCGTGAACATCATGATCCACGGCTCATTGCGTGGCTCAAGATGAGAGAATACTTGGGGAATATCACCTATAGTCCTCAATTTCCAAAACATCCACATGTTTGCGAATCAAACCGGGTGTTAGGATCTGGCAGGGTTTGATTCAAGTAGACGTTATAAGTGAATAATGTTGAGTAGTGATGATGAATTCGGGAAAGGCACTGCCATGGGGTAGGGTAAGGCGGTCTATATAGGTGAGTTTCCAAGGTTATCATGAGTTTAATGATACCACCAACTCAGGGGTTAAATTCCATGAACAGTCTTTGTTGCTTGGGGAGGGGGAGGGGAGGAGGAGAAGGGAAATTGAGTAAATAAAAATGTGTCTGCTTTGTTAGCACAGTCAAGATCGTCACAATCTACTAAGACTGGAAGTCATATGGGCCTGCTGGCTTGACCCTGATCTCTGCATGCTGATGTCTGCTCTGTAGATCGATATCATCACGACACTTACCTAACAGCCTAACAGCTCATTAAGCTAGAGGAAATATCTAGCAGAATAAGAATGTCAGTGCGCTCACATGACCTGTCAAGACTAGTTTAAAATAAACAACCATAAGCTGGGTCTATTTTTTTTTCCTTTGTACCGCTTAATGTATACCAAAGAAAAGGGTATAAGTAGTAGTGGTATCTTGCTTCTATATCGTAGCAAAGAAGCAAATACATGCCATGGAGATTCAGTGCTTCAATCATCACAAACAAAATCCGGCACCCGAAAGAAAGTGCTATGCATCATATCAATCCCCCTTTCCACGCTCGCTCACATACCCCTGTTAAACTCAACCAACCCATCCTCGCCTCCCCGCCCATGGAACTCCTCCTCAAGCGACTCAGCCTTGACCCTCTGGCGCTGGGGGAACGCAGCCAGCGCCAGAGGCAGCACGGCGTAGCTGGTCACCAGGATCAAGCCCAAGTTCACAGGCGTGGTATAGCGCGGGTTCTTCTTCAGCCACTCTGTGCGCTGCAAGCGCACCAGAATCAGCGGCGGGATCACCATGATAGGCGAACTATTCAGCACACGACTGAGCGCGGTCTCAGCAACAGCCAGGGTAGCCGCCTTCTTGGACTTGCCCAGGCTCTGGGGGGCACCCTCCTCCTCAGAAACTGCAGCATCGGCCTCCTTCTCGGACAGGGCGACGGGCTTCCTAGCGGGGAAGACATCGATGCCTGTGCGCATTTCTTCAGCACGCATGAGGAAGACGTTCAGGGCACCGGCGCTGGCAACGGCGGCAAAGGGGACCAGACGGGATAGGATAAGGCGGGTGTTGGGGGCGAGGTTCTTGAGGCGGGGGACGAGGTTGTTGAGGCCCACGGCTACGGAGCAGGAGGCTGTCACGGCTAGGAAGTATGACTGAGCAATCTTGGACCAGGAGAGTGGGGAGGACTTGTTCGCGTTGGAGTAGTTGATGGCGACGTTCAGGGACTGGTTGGCAACTTGCCAGGCTATTGTACCGCGGGTCTGAGGGAGGTGTTAGCAGAGTTACGCTACCTGGGAGAGGAGGAAGAGCGTACGCCAAGGTTGGGAGTGAGCATGCCGGCCGTGACGACCAGGTTGGACAGCACGAAGCAGGACATGCGGAAGGGCAGGAAGACGGGCTCGCCGGTGTCAGGGTGCAGGGTCGAGTCGACGATCTTCTTTGCCCTCCAAAGATCGGGCGTCATGTGCTTTATTTGGCCCTGCTTGTACGAGATCAGGAGGTTCTTCGCCTCCTCGAGTCCACGGCTGCCGACAAAGAGGGTTCTGTAGATGGAGGACATGTCAGTGCCTGTTCTGTTACTAGTCTGATGTCGATATCCCCCCGATTGGTCCTCCGCGAGAGCAGTTCCATGTCCGCGACTGTCTGAAGTGATCGCGTACCATCAGGAAGACACACAGGTTGTGTGTCTGCCCCTTCCCCCTCTCCCCCTCCCTTCTCTCCCCTCCCTTCTCTCCCCCTCCCTTCTCTCCCCCTCCCTTCTCTCGCCCTCCTCTTTCTCAGCATATGAAGTCCTTCTCCTCTTTGCGTTCTCACCTCGGATCCGTGATGCTGGCGCAATGCCTGACGCGCCCCCAGTACGTGCTGAGGTCATACTGCGACTCGGGGAGTTGGCGGCCCCCAGGAAGTGACGCAGACATGTTTGCGATGACAGTCCAAGCCTTCTGTTTGTCTAAACCGATATTGTACCAGTCGACGACGAAAAGGAGGGTGTCACGGGCAACCACCAAGGTCGAGGGTCGATGGCCGGTCAAAATAACAAGTGAATTTTTGGGTCGCCAGAAACAAATTATCCGGACCCAATCAAGCGACTGCACACAATCGCGACTCCTGAAGGAGAGATATCGTAAAAATAATAAGACAGTGACCAGTGAAACGAATGAAACTAGGCTGAAGATAAGAGAACCTAAGAAGTCGCCGTTCCAGAAAAATGACTCCGACGTCGGTGGGGCAGGGGTCTTGATAGCGGATCGCGGGGCAAACAGCGCCGAGTCTGGCCGCTCCCTGACTGTCTGTGACCTCACTGGCAGCACTGGGGAACAGCCCACCAGTCAACGGCTGCAGGAGGGCTCCAGTGGCTTGACAGGGGGCGGCTGCAGTGCCCCGCTCCAACGCTGCAGTCGCTGACCATTGACGAAAGGGCATCTCCATGCAGCTGGACCACCACTGGACCACAAGCTGCGGCTACAGTGAAGCTAGCCGTCGTCGGAAAGCATTCGTGTCCTGGGACCTCCATCACCGTCCATGAGCTGGCTGTTCTTGTCCTGAATCATCCGGGCTACTGAGAAAAATGATGGTCAGCAGGTGCTTGCTGGAAATACGCTAGCACTGTGTCTTTGACGGAGTTTTACGGTCACGGCTACGAGCAGGTGACACGGCGTTCATGGCACTCGAAGCCATGTAAAACATCCCAGTCTACGGATACAGATTACCTTTAGAAGGATTCGTCAAAAGATACACAGCGGCCCGACGATATCCACCGCCCTGCATCCATAGGCTTTCCTGCCGCTGCGTTGTAGGTTACCCTAATCTTGCATCTCATCTCACAAACCTATCACTCATCGCCCTGAGGTCACCAGCAGGTCTGGTGTCATCATCCCATCCATCTATCCAATGCAGCACATCCGCCTGAGCCTAGCCAGGCTCTTCCGGCGGCTGCCCTTCTCGCCCTCGACGACACCACTCCAGGCACTGACCTACCTGCTGGGCATCTCCTTGTTCAGCATTTCATTCCTCGTCTTCCTTAACAGCAGCGTCTCCTTCGTCATCACCGACCTTATTGGCGTCAAGCATGGCGTTGGCGACATCGTGGGCACGCTTGGCTTCGTTGATGAGCTGGTTGCTCTCGTCGCTTGCCCACTATGGGGGCTGATATCGGACCGTGCTGGCGTAAGGCAGGTCGCCGTTGTAGGATACGCGCTCATCGGACTTGCCTTGATCCTGTTTGTTCAGGCAAAAAATGTCTATCCCCAGCTATTGCTGGCGAGGATATTCTTTGCCATTGGCGCGACAGCAGCGTAAGCTCTTCTTTTTCTTCTCTCTTCAAGGCAGCAGCACACTGATAACCCACATAGCGCAACAATGGTCACAGCCATCCTCCCCTCTCTCACCAACGACACCGGCTTAGACGCCGCGGACGAGGATGATGGTCCCAAGACTCCCACGACAGTGACGCGCTCCTTCGACTCGGAAGCGACAATCACCCCGGATCGATACCGTCAGGACCCGAGGATTGCGCAGATTCGCCGCGACTCCGACGACAGAGAGAGGAGTCGCGCCGGCCACGGTAGGCCGTCTGCGCTGGCTGGCTATGTCGGTTTGTTTACTGGCTGTGGTGCCCTTGTGGCATTGGTGTTGTTTTTGCCCCTGCCGGCAAGGTTCAGTCACCTTGAGGGGGTGACTCTCGCTGATGCGGTGAGGTATTCGTTTTATGTTGTTGGGCTGGTTTCTTTCCTTGTCGCCGTCTTCGTATCCATCGGCTTGCGGGGGATCAAGGGTGAGGAAGGCAAAGGCTGGAGGTTGCTCTTCACCTTCCACTCGACCCCTTCAGACCCCGAGGTTAACACCTCCTCAACCAGAACCGTAAACACCCCCCCCCCATCTCCCTTTCATTTTCCCCATGCCTGTTCTTGCTAACAGTGCCCAGAGAATCCTCCCCTACCGTCACCTCCTCCTCCGCTCCCTTTCCCTCGCCCTCTCCGACGCCGACATCGCCCTAGGCTACCTAGGCGGTTTTGTCGCGCGCGCCTCGACCGTCGCCATCTCACTCTTCATCCCCCTCTTCGTCAACGCCTTCTTCATCCGCCACGGCTTTTGCCAGGGCTCCCCTACCGACCCATCCCCCGAGCTCAAGCGCGAGTGTCGCCAGGCGTACGTCCTCGCTTCGATTTTGACGGGCGTGGCGCAACTGCTGGGGTTGATCTTCGCCCCTGTGTTTGGGTATCTGTCTAGTCGACTAGCGAGGAGAAGGTCTTGTGTGAACTGGCCTGTGGCAGTGTCATGTATGTTGGGGATGGTAGGGTATGTGGCGTTTCCCAGTTTGGAAAGCCCGGAGGTGAGTGATGTAGATGGGCGTGGGGGAGGGCCGGTGGTGTTGTTGCTTGCGGCGATGATGGGCGTGAGCCAGATTGGCGCGATTGTGTGCAGCCTGGGCTCTCTCGGACGGGGTGTGCTAAAGGTTGAGGAGACACCTGAGAGGGAGGAGGAGACGAGAGATGCAGACCAGGTGACGCTAACTGAGACTGCCGAATTTGGTGAGGAGGTTAGGGCTGCGGGCGAGACAGCGCCGTTGCTTGAGGGGAGGAGCCAGGAGCAAGCTGAGCAGGAGGATAATACACGGGTGCAGTTGAAGGGCTCTGTAGCAGGAGTGTACTCGTGGTGTGGAGGGGCCGCGATTTTATTGCTGACGAAGCTTGGCGGCTACCTGTTTGATGTATGGGCTACGGGGGCCCCGTTCTACTTGATGGCCATCTTCAACGGTATGCTGTTGTTTGCCAGTCTCAGCATCGATGTGGCACGGGCAGCGAGGACTTATTGATGTGTGTATATTGGATAGCTTTTTTAAATCAGCGAAGATGGGTTAATGAATAATCCTGTTTACGTGGCATTTCTCACAAGTCATTTTTTCCATTCAGGTTTATATCCCACTCCCCCCCCCCTCCTCCTCCTCTTGGCTCATCCTCTGACCAATTTTTATTGCTCCTCGACTCTCAATCCTCCTTCTTTCACTACTCAGTTCACAACCCCAGTCGTTTCCTCTTCCTGCTCATTTGTGTCTCCGCTTCCCAACATACACATACGACGCCGGATTCAACGCCCTCTCCAGTTCTCCAACCACCTCCAAATACGGCTCCAGCAGCTCCCTCAGCTTCGCAAGCCACTCTTCAAAATGCATACCCCTGACACCAGCTGCGTCCTCCTCATCCGAATCAGGGTAAAGCAGCTCTAGCAGTCGATCCATCACCTCCGGTGGAAGGATGTTACTCAAACTCCAAATCTGCTCAGGCGTTAGGGATGCTGATAAGAACGACTCAGTTGATTCCTCAGTGGGCTCTGGTTCCGGTTCCGGTTCGGGTGAACCAACCAGTGCTGTGGGGGAGGAGTACGAGAAGGATGGTGTTGTGGAGGAAGAGGAAAAGGCGAAAATTAATGATGATGAAGTAGCGACAAGCTTGTTGTCGAGCCCTTCACCTTCTTCTTTCTCAGCAACACCCGGTTGTCGGCTGGAGATTCGGTGGTCCCTCTGCAGGGAAGACGTTGATCCGTGATAATGATGAGCATCCTGTCTACGCAGGGTTTGGAATAGAGGGGGGTTGAGTTCGGCGTTGGGAAATCGGGGGTTGGAGCCATTCAACTCGTGATGACTCTTCTTCGCCGACAATGATGACGACTTGCTCGTGATCGTGTCGACAAGGAGGTCCTTGGACCAATTCGAGCTGCTGTCCTGCGAACGGGCAGAACTTCGAGGGCATCCGGAATGACGCTCTTCAACACCCATCCTCCAAGCTGTCATTGTAGCTCTTGAACCTGCTGGTGGACTCAATGAAGGTGTTGAGGGACTTAAAGTAACCTCCTTGAATCCGCTCATAAATGCACTGAATACACTGGGGTCCTCGCCAACATATCATCTCACCAACGATATTGTGTCCCTCCCCTTGCAACATGCTCTCTCTTGTCCCAAGCACCCTCAGCCTCGCCACGTAAGTCTCAAAGGAAACCCTTACGCATTAACAGTCTGGCCAAGCCAAAAACAAGGTACCGTAGCCTCTCGTCCTACCAATTCCTTAACAATTTTTAACTTCCATCTGTGTTGCCCAAGGACGTGTGTTAAGAGACATATTTTTTTAAAAAAAATTTACCTTCTTTAAGGCATTCCGTAATACGACATGTATAGCTAACACCGGAGTGAAACCCCAACCCAGTCGGCCGGTAACAATATAGGCCAGCTCGTTGCTTCAGCAGTGTACGGTACACGCAAGATGTAGTACAGTGAGGTAAAACTGAGCCTTACCTTGCTTGTGACGATGACTCAAAATTTGGAATTCCTACTACGACTAGGACAAAGGCAGTTGAAAGTTGTTTCTGACGTTCTGGCTCGAGCTATCCCTTCATAGGGCAAAGACATCAGCTAGTCAGTCTCAATCTGTCTGCCAGCACTTACACATGGTGAAACATAGCTTGACATGCTTGACCAGAGCAGTCAGCCCAAGGATGATTCAATCCATGAACTCCCGACGTATTGGCCTGTCAGATGGGGACTCTCTACCCACGAAGCCGGTAGCCCTACAATCCCAATAGAACACACACGGTAGACATATACGCGCACACTAAACATGATAGCCAGCTACTGTGTGGTATAAAGGGAACAATTTCCGGAGCAATTTTGGTCAGACCGAGAGAAAAAAAGACGAAACATTCCATTTTCGTGAACGAGTAAACCGAGTGAAGCCTTTGCCTTGCCTGTCTTTGTACCATCTAGGAAGCCAACAAGACATGGCTTGCTATGGCCTGTCGCTAATCAGTATGCGACAGATGCTTCCCGTTCCCATGAAAATTCATCAAAAGCCGCCCAAGTTAGATCCCTTCGCATACTAGAGGAAGAGAGGGGAGAGACCCTCGATCATGCAGGGGTATCTCCTGTGCCAGGCTCTAAGATGTGTTACCGCTTTAGCGGCTGCCGAGGCTGGGGAAAGCAGTCTCGTCGTTGGTGTTAATCGCGGGAGCAGCGTTCTCCTTAGCGCCGCCACGGCCACCGCGGGGAGCACCACCGCGGCCGCGGCCGCCACGGGCACCATCACGAGCACCGCGGCCGCCACGGCCGCCACGGGGGCGCTCCTCGACGTAACGGTTCTCGATCTCGATGATCTGCTTGGTCTTGCGCTCGCGCTGGCGCTCCTTCTTCTGGACGGTAGGAGCGAAGAGAGCCTCGTCCTCGTTCTTGGTCAGGGGCTTGAGACCCTTGAACTTGTCCTCAGCACCCTCATTGGGCTTGCGGACCTTTAGGGCATTCTCTTGCTCGAGAGCCAGCTTCTTCTCGGCGAGCTTGGCAAGGTACTGGTCGTAGGTGAGGACCTTCTCCTGAGGCTCCTCCTCCTTGGCCTCAGCCTCGGGGGCAGCCTCGCCCTCAGCGGCCTCCTTCTTCTCTGTCTGAGCGATTTCCTCAGCGGCCTGCTCGTCCTTCAGCTCGGCCTCGCCCTCAGTGGCACCCCAGCCCTGGCTGGCCTGCTTCTCGGAGTTACTCCGAGGGGCGCTCCTAGTGGGGTGACGGTCACCCTCCTCACGCTTGCCACGGCCTACGACAAAGTCAGTTGTTCGTCCTGGCAATGTGATAATTGTACCGGAAGGTTGACTTACCACGGAAGCCACCACGGCGACCACCGCGGGGAGCGGCCTCATCAGTGGGCTTACCACGGTTGGCATCGCGCCCAGCATTCCGATCACGGAAAGCTGTAGCAAAATGTCAGCGGCATATCGTCCCAATAAGCCAACCAAAGTTGAAATGCTATAGACTACATACCAGCCTCGTTGCCGCTCACATTAGCACCGCCGCGGCGGTTGCCAGCAGCATGGCCCTTGGGAGGAAGGCCATCGGTGTTGCGCTTGGCCGTGTGAGTCGATGTCTTCTCAACGGCCTTAACGGGGACGACGGGGGTCTCGTCCTCCGTGTTGCCTGTTGTCGAGACAATGTGTCAGTATATAATTACATCGAAGATTGTGTCGAAACTTTTCTTCTTCGCCGAGCACTGCCTTGTGGGGGACACGGGGCTGGCTCGTCACGAGCAGGAGGCGGCAGGAGATGGGGACCAACCGAGAATGTCGAATGGGTTCTGCAGGACAAACAGCGAGTCAGCTTCTCAATTCCAATGCCATCAAAAAAGATCGAGTATCAGCTCCCGAAGTTCGGGGCTCGAGATGCCTCGTCCATGCGACTGGCCGGGCAGACACAAAATGCGATACCCCGCAGTGGCAGCTGGATGGCCTGGATGATAGCAGGGCCACAATTGAACGCTGAAAGAGGGATCTAAAAAATTCGCATGACGGGCCGGGACGATGACGAGCAAACGGACCTTAGAAGCGACAGACATCGTGCCGCTGTGGTTTATCGCCCTTCAAGGCGTACTGATGAGAACCGACCGCAGATGAATCCGGTTGGAGAAGACCGTAGGGAGAAAGAAGAATGGAGGCGGAAACTGGCACCTCAGCAGGACATGCCCTACGTTCGGTGCGATTGGATTGGATTCCGGTCGGCGGTCCACGGGCGGAAATTTGTTCTTTCGCCTGGTTCAAGGTCACGACGGCAAAAGAATTCAGAGATTTTGGCTTTGCGCCTTCTCTGCTTACCCAATCCTGCACGGATCGCTTGCTGCCCCACCACACACTGTTGCGACTACCAATGTTTTTCCTTTTTCGAAATTCAGTGTGCGGGGTTCACCTTGAGTTAGGGCTTTGCTTTTCTTTGTTCTGTTGCAACTCGAGCCGCGCCCTTAACAAGCGAGAGTACCAACCGCGAAAACTCTGCATTCAGCAAGCATCCGTTCATTCCTTGTATTTTCAATTGCAGAAAGCCATTTGAAAGGTATCAGTCTACATCATCATTCTGCTTTTTGCTTCGAACCACGAACCATTTGTGTGGCCAACCCTGTCGCATCCAGATAGCCATCTTTGTGTGTGGCTCATCGGTTGCCACCCACCCACATACCACACATACGGCAGGGGCTGCTGTGATGTGCGGAAGGTCAAGCTACAACCCTTACCCTAAACAAGTTGTGGCAAAGGGCCGCGGCCCGAAGCCAAAGGGACCCGTCAGAAGACTTGACTACGAACGTCCCAACACCAAAGGAAACTCCCGTTTGCTGTAGCGTTGTTACAAAAGGCTAAACTACATGGCTTTTTTGTTTTCTATACTATACAATTTTTCATGGCAATAATAGCCCTTCGCGAATATATACAGGCAAAATGAAACAGATAGTTTTGGAAAACCTACCTTCTGCCTTGTCGCTTCGTGAAGACTCAGCAAAAAACAAGCGAGCTTATAACAGGTATACGCTGTAAACAGCTCAATCACTTCCATGTGTCTGGGAACCAAAAACACTATGTCCATGGCCGTAATGATGAGGAAACATCACAGGTATTAATCACATGGCACCTGTGGAACCCTGGAACACCGGAAACACAGGACATGAAAGAGATGGTAATGAAATTAATCGAGAGACGGACCCACGACTTTAATTCTGCTGTCTTCGGAACTGTGAAGAACTCCCTTTGGAGTCCCAAGCATTCAAAGAAACCCAAGAGAAAGTATACGAGAGACCCCTAGATCACCCGGCTGACGGAAGAAGTGCCCTGGGATCTTTTGTCGCCGAATGCTCGAAACTTAGCCGTTTAGTGTCTCGATGGTCACATTGTGGATGCCGAAGTATCGTCTCACTTCCGGTGTCGTTCCTCATTAACGTTTATGTCGTGGCATTCTGTCCCCGTTGTGTTTGACCACTTCATTACAAGTTCCCTTAAATTGCAAAACTTTTTTTTTCCCGTCATTCAGGAGTAAGCCAAGTCGAGGCCTCTCCTGCACCATGCTGCGAATATACAAAATGCAAGTTCAAAAAAAACCACCGCCCAGTTTTTTGGGTATTATTTTGAGATTTTTGTTTTCCACAGTATGTTGCCCCATGCCGTATCCGAAAGCAATGAACATTCCGTAGCTCATCTGTTGAATATAAGAGCGGTGTTAACTGGCGAAGAAATCCGAACCGATCCCGCTGGCCAATGCAAATGTTCCGAGGGTATCTCGATGTCGTTTCTCCGGATCGTCCTTCCAGTAACTTGCCCAAAGATTGAAGCTCCCTCTTTTCCTCCCACTCTTTTCCCCCTTCCACCAAGTTTCCTCGGCAATGAAAAAGCCCCAGAATCAGAAGTGGGTCACCAAGGTAGGCGAACCAGTCGCACTTACTCCGGTGACCCTGGGTGCTGCATGGGATTATCGCATGTTGCTGGTATCGAATGAAAACTGGGTTGGGAAGGCCATGCTTGCGCTGAGACCAAAAGGATCGAAGTCATAGCTGGTGTCGAGCAGCTGAGTCATCGATGGATACGTGCCGTGCTGACCATGGGCGACGCTTGAGTCCATCGGGGACTGTCCAGCCATGGGCTGGCTGCCAGGTGGTCCTGTCGTAACCGGTGATGATAGGGACATTGGTTGCGGGTCTCCGGGGTACGGGGGTCCCGGATAAGGGCCAGGTCCGCTTGGTGTGTCGGGTGTGTCGGCGGTGTCGTCGATCATGTCAGCTGCAGCATCGTATTCCTGTTCTGTATTACGGTGTTAACCATAGGTTAACAAAGTTTCACTCAAGGGGTGAGAAAAAAAGAAAAGAAAAGAAAAGAAAAGAAAGGAGAGGGGTATACTTGCCGAGCTGCTCGATGTGGTTCTGGAAAGAGGGAGTCGGATAGAACGAAGCCGTGCTTCCGCTTACACTGGGCCGCGGCTGGTTGTTGACGCTATGCTGTAGTCCCCCAATCGGCTGGTGCATGGACCGCGGTGTTGGAAGCCCATGCACCGGCGGACCCATTTGTGGAGGGGTTGCCTTCATTACCGGACCGGATGGTGGCGTGGGCCGCATGGACGGGTTCAGATGATCGGATCCGGCAGGAGACGGAGCATGCTGAGAGCCGAACGACGCTGTTCCAGGTGGCGAAGCCGAATGAGAAGAGGGCGTGGGCCGGTTCGTTGGCGACAAGGCCGAGTGTGGTTGAAGCGGAGGAGGTAGTGGCGTTACATTGATTCCTGGCTCAATCTTCGGGGCGATGCCAGAGTTTGATCTGCGTGGGTGGTGTCTATTGATAATTGGCCTCTGGATGGGAGGCGGCTGCACGATAGTAGGCTGAGGAATATGCGTTGGCCCAAGATTCGGGCTGCCAGTTTTGGCCCGAAGCTCTGCTTGTACATCGATACCTGGGACAGTGTCAGCATTTCCATGTATCGCAAAAAGATCATATCACTACACAGAGATTGATAGGCACCTTTTTCAAGCAAGATACGTTCCAACAACGAGTTTTTGTACCGCAGCATCAAACACTCATCGGCCGCATGGCGATGAGCCGCCTGAAGGTTGGCCAGGTTCTGCTCATGAGTCCTGATGGCCTCCTCAAGCTGCTTGATGTACTCGGTGCGACGTTCCCGAAAAGCTGCTTGGGCCTGACGGTTTCTCTGCTTTCTCTCTTCGGAAGTCGCATAGATCTGCAGGTGCTGGTTAGCTCAATGGTCATGCATGATTTAAACTCTGCAGCTAGATGGGCATGAGATGAGATGAAAGATAAGGGGTGATCTCATTCCGACTGGACGATCGGAACAGCGTTTCAGGGGAAGGATTGCAGTTTGGGCACACCCAACGACAGCCAACTGATAACGTACCGGCTTGCGACCGCCTTTCCGCTTCGGCTGCTGATTCTCAGGTTGCTGTGCAGAAACACCAGCACCACTAGCATTATTATCATTAGATGCCGCCGGCGTCGATGAAGCAGCAGGTGCTGCCGACGCAGGGGGTTGAGCAGGAGCCTCACCCTCGGGGCTCGACCCCATGGACTCCTCACTTTCTTCCTTTGGTGGAGATTTCTTGTCGACAGACATCTTATCGGACATATCCTAGCCTTCCTGTGCCTGAGACAATGAACTGTCTCTCACAACAACCTTCTCTGAAGAGGCTGTTGGATGGCAGCACCAAATCTTCTCTCACTCTAGGCTTGGCAGCAGCCGGCCCAGTGTGTACACCGATAAGCTAACTGACTGCTACCTGCTAGGCACTACTGTGGCCTGTGGCACACTGGCGACAGCAGTGGGCGATAAGCCCTATGTGTGAGCGTTGTGATTGTGTGTGGGGGAGGGTCCCGTTGCTGAGCCGCTTGCACGGGCGATCTGGCTTAGCGGACGGCAAGCACTGCAAGACCCAGCAGCAGGTACACCTGTAGCGATAAGGGGATGGTGACAGTGATAATCACAGTGAGTAACAAGGCGTGCCAGCAAAGGTGCGCTGCGATGTGCTGTATCTCCCACCCACAACGGCCAGAAAATGTCTTAAGCTTTGATAAGTACCGCCCGGGGTGTTTGCGCTCAGAGCCGGGAATGGCACCAATCAGTGCGTCATATGGGGGAAAAAACGGAAACGCTTGCGGGATCCGACAGACTGGGACCGGGTATGACAGTAGTCCCGGCGATAAGGTAAGGCTAGAGGATCAGGGAGTATGTCCCCGGATTCCGTGTGTCAAAACCAGATTGTCGAGGGTGACGCCGGGAGGGCAGAGATAAGCAAAAGGTCGATGGTAGGTTGAGTATGTGTCAAGAAAAGAGAAAAATGGAGGGTTTTATGTAATGTTAATGCCGCCTGAAGCGGGAGGGGCCCGCCGACCACGCAGGGCGTGCTGGGGTCACCAGAGGGGTCAAATAGCGAGCTGTCTCCCCTAGCCACGGCTCCAGTCTTAGACTGGACCAGGTCACCTGGGCTCACTTCTCGGCCTGATCCTCGCACCAAGATTGGCCCCGTTTTTTGCTTGCCCACGCACCGTCTGCGCCGTTCACACACCGCACCTCTTTTTGCCGGAGGGGGCGTCTCCAGCCGACTCGAATATATTAGGATCAGGGAACCGTCTCCGCGGATTGTCGATTTGTTGGACGCTTGTGCAGCACTTGACAGCAGACAGGACAGCTCGATCTCGGCCGGTAATGTACCTGATTCCCGGCGCGCCCAGCTTGCTCACTGCGTCCCTGCCTGGTGCCTGTGCCCTGGAAGGGTTTTGGTTCCCGCTCGCCCAAATAGTTCCAGGTTGCTCGATCAGCCGATGAATGGCCTGGTATCCACTCGAAGGCTCCTGAACGACGTCCAATGGGCCTCGAGAAAAATGTCCACCAGCGGTGCAGAGTAACACGATGCGACTCGTTCCGGTTCAGTCGACGTGCAGACAACAGCCAGTGCGCAGCTCTGGGGACCCTCCAGTCGATATACGATCGCGTCCTCAGGCTGGCAGCCGCATGGAGCGCGACTGGAGTGTTGGTGTACGGATTGTGGATTTAGCTGTTCGCGAGGTCGGGGTCCGAGTTTTGGTGGTTTCCCATTCGTCAGAAAGGGGGGGATACGCAAACAGGTGCTTTTCTATCCGCCTCGGAAGACCTCAAGAGAGCTGGAGCTTGTGAAGCACGGCCAACGCAGTTGCTGGTGTCGAGCCAATGCTGTCTGCTTTGGCCAGTTAAGGGTGTCGCGGGGCAGAGATAGGGGGGTCGCGTGACGGAGCCAAGTCAGTGGCTTCACACTCGGTGTCTAGTATTCCCGAGTGTGCGTCTCTGTGTGTGCTGGATACGTCTTACTGCGACTTGCTGGTTTGGACTCTAGAAGGCCGACAGCCGCCCCGTTGCCGGTGTGCTCCCCAAGACTCCCAGGGTGCAAGATTTCTCACCTTGCGGACTGCATCCCAATTTCGAGGAACATAGAGGGGTCGAAGAAGCGCTGGGAAGCTGTTTTCTTTGTGACAGTTCCTTCCAGCAGGGTGGCACACCCCGTTATAAGTTACTAATGAAAACCTTGAACCAGGTCCTTGGGCAGGAAGTCGCGCTCCCCACGCTGCTTCCAGGCTGGAGGGCATAGCATCCCGTTCTATTGGAGCCCACGGCTGCCCGACTCGGAGATCTGCTAGTGTTGCTCTGCGGCACTGGAAGGTACTGTTCTCACCTCATTCAGGCACACCTTCCCGAGCGCAGGGGCCCGCGACCTCCATGTCCGGTGTGAGTGTGAGGGCTGTGGGCGGCTGCTGGGCGGGCAACTGGGCGTCTGGAAGCGCGGGTGTGTTGGTCCAAAAGGCCCCTGGTCAGCGTGATGCTGGCATGGCGCCCGCTAGCCGCGTACAAACAGACACACCCACCCTCCCCTCCTCGCGACATATCCTATTTGGGAAGCGGGAAAAGGCCCACTTCAACGAAGCTTTTGAGCGAGATTTTGGGGGCACATCATTATCGCATCTCGAGGCAACATTGAGCGGAAGCAATGCTGTCTTGAGTTGATCAACTGAATGCCGTGGGAAAGCACAATTTACGTTTTTTTCGGAGCTCTTGGCCGTCGCCTGCAGTGTTGTTCTCTTTGTAGCATTCGCCACTAATTGCCCAGTAAGGTCACCCAGTGTTTAAGCAAGCTGTACCTCTGCTCAGCTTTCTGGACAAGACTTCCAAGTCAGGTTGGTCGAACCCCTCAAGCCCAATTCCCAAGTCAAAACGGGGGTCGCGACGTCGGGGACCAACGTCATTCGGCATTTTCCAGACGAGGTGCTGTTGCAGTCGTTGCAGTGTACCTGCTTGCGGCGTGCACACTCTGCCGTTGCCGGTGACTGCAGATTTTTTTTTTTTCAAAGGCAACATCCCAAGGTAGGATCCAGTTCCAAGCTTTCGCATGCACGCGAACCGGGCAGAGAGCCTCGCACAAGCTCTTTGTCTAGGAAGATGCATGGGCTGCAAGACACCTTGTGTCCAAGGAATTTCCAGGGCGCCACGTATTGTCAGCGGTCTGTCTGCGAAGGACGTCTGTCCTCTGTCAGGGGACTCGAGGACACCGACATCGGTCATTCCGGGGAGAGGGGGCGCTTTTGGGGTCGTGGTGAGGGGCTAGAAGTGGAGGTAATGACATCCCGACAGTGCATCCTGCAGATGTCACCGGATTCCGCGCCCTTTAGATCGACTTTTGATCACCATGTTGGCGGGGACGCGTTGCTTGACGTTCTTGCCAAGCCTTCAGGGATGTTAAAATTTTCAGCGATCACCTGAGCGAGCCAAGACATCCAGTGTTGTGTGTCTCCGAAGACGACCCCCACAGTGTCGAACCGCTATACAAGCAGACCACGATCAGAGTCAAAATAAAAGATGGGATCGACAATTGACAGCGCCACAAAAAACGAATTCTGGAATTGCCCCTCCATAACCGGGTATCCTGGAGCGGCTTTAGATTCCAGATAGGTTCAAGCAGACAAAGACTGAATGAGCCGAGTGCTCGATGTATAACATTGGAAAAGATTGCCCAATTATCATTACCTGCGAAATGCAGGCGAAACAATAAGGACGGCCGAGGATTGAGCCGTCAGCCTCCTTAGAGAGACTCATGCTGTGCTGCTCTAAACCGGCGAGGTCCGGACGCGGCAGAGCTCGCCCGAGTCCTTCAATGAAGGCCACTGGTTAGGATCCCGGAACTCGGGGAACTCTGCATGAAGGATCAAACATGCCTCTTCCATACGGAGCACCTCCCTACGTACGTACCTATACTTGCTCAACTTGCCACAGCATCGTGTTGCAAGGCTCGTCACTGAACAGTCAACAGCCACCTGCAACATGGCTGTCGTTGAGCGTCTTGACAGCCCCACCCCCGCAATGCGCTGACCTGCAGGGAGCTCGTGGGGTTCCACACCAACCCCACGGATTGAGCGCCTCAGAACAAGGGGTTCGAGCAGGATGACCCCCAACCTTCCGTCTCTTTGACCACGGACAACGGCAGAGGTCCGACGATGACACGGGGGAACAGTCTTGGACGGCACTTCTTGTGATTTTGGGCATGTTTCATCGTCTGGCTTCGGTTCCTCAAGCCGTTGTCTGGCTCAAAGATATGCCCGAACAGACTTGAGACTCCAGACATCATTTTGGTTCTCAGCTGAAAGCAGAGAAGTCTCACATTCACCGACAATGTGATTGCCGAAATCTTTGGTATCGTCCCAGGAAGCAAGATTCACATGACAATTGTAGACGTATTGCCAACATCGACTTTCTTGAAATTGCATCTGCCGCCCTCGATCGTCAGAAGATCCCGCAAGATCCTCGTTCAAAGTTATAGCCTGGCTGCTGAGTGCCGAATTCCTGATGTGGGATGAGTTGTCGTGGTTATGTTAGAGGTCGCAACTAACGTGATCAGCTAAGAAGTTTCAAGGCTTCGACAAACTTGGCGATGTCCTATACCCCCTCCAATAACGGTCAATGGCGTTGTAGTGTCCCGACAAATGAGCTTCAGGCGATTCGGGGACTTGGACAGTAGTTCTTCCTAGCCTTGGATGTGACGTCCAACCATCTTCGATGACTGGAGATATCAGAGGAGCGAAGGCTAACCGCAATTCAACTCGATCCCAAAATGCGTCTACAAGCGAGTCGAAAAGAGACAAAAACTCCGTGATATGCGGCATTTGTTCGATGGCACTCCTGTTTCAAGTTACCCGCTGAAGGAAGTGAGCTTACCGAGCCTGGCTGAAGTTGGGGGTGCGCTGACTTTGCGCGCGGGATGATCGGGAGCTTAGGAGCCAATCGAGAGGGAATGGCTAGGGAGGGAACAGAAAAATTGGCAACTGGGCGAAATTAAGCCGTATTTAAGAGGGCTGTGGCTCTAACCCAAGAGGGGTCTCTCCTTTCATGTTATGTCTGCAGATGCAGGCCAACTTGAAGGTGACGTTGATGCCAACAGCAGTCGACAAAGTTGAAAAGGGGTTTGAGGTTCGAAGATGCCAAGACACCATACGCGTACTGTAGACTTAGACCTAGCACTGTGCTACACACGGTTCAAGGCCCACACTCTAGACCCCCCCAGAGGGTTTGTTTACTTTCCACATACGACGAATCAAACATCAGCCCACGCACAGCTCCATCTTACATTCCATGTCGCGCGCGTCCGACTGACATCATCCTTCCCTCGATCTATTCGCAACACGTCCGTCAATTAGCTTCATTCAACCCATTTTTGAGCTCTATTTTGCTTGCAGCGCGCGTCACCACAATGGTTCGCCGTTCCGCGCGCATAGCCAGCCTGCAAAAGGTGAGCTGACTTCGTTCCCGAGTTTTTTTTTTTGGATGTAAACAAAACAAATACACCGCCCATTGTCGCGTCTGCATTGCCATCGTCATTGCAAGCACGCTGACACGCTCTTTTTTTTTTGGATTCCCCTGTAGGCAAAACAAGCTGATGCGTCCGTCCAGAGCCCCGAGGAATCGTCGCCGGTTCCCCCCATTCAGGAGCAGGAAGAGCCTTTGCTCGAGCTGCCGCCGCCTGTTAAGCGCAGACGCGGCAGAGCGAAGCGAACTGAGCCCCAACCTGCTGAAGAAACCAAGCCCGCCGAGCCTGAGCCTGTTGAGACCAAGCCAATCGAGGAGCCAGAAATTCCCGAGAAAAAACAACAGAATGATGTCGAGCCGCCTGCACCGTGTGCGCCGTCCCCAGTCCGGGTTCCAAAGACACCTGGCGGCTCGTCTCCCATGAAGCCGCCCATGTCGGAAATGCATCCAAGCAAGGTTCACCCGACTATGGGCCCTCCTTCGTCTGCTCTGCGTCTTGGGTTCACCGACATCAAGCCGGCGGCAAACCGCGGCGATGGTCTTCCGGCCGTTGCACAAACGACCCCATCCAAGGTTACCGTGCCCTCGTCAGCCTTCACTTTCCGCATGACGCGCAACACTCCCACTGCCGCAGCCAAGCCAACTACTGCCTCTGTCGATATTAGTCTGAGCGATGAGGCTCTGAAGATGATGGGCGATATCCGCGAGCAAGCCGCTAAGCTCAAGGAGGATCTGCGTGCGCAGCAGGAGGCCGAGAAGACCGAGGAAGAACTGACAGCTGACCGCAAGATTGCTCGTGCCAAGGGCAAGGCGGGCCGCTTCAGTGCCGCTCACATGGCCGAGTTCAAGAAGATGGACTCTATTGAAAACCATCCCTCCGTTCTCCGATATCATCCAGACCGTCTTGCTCACATCGGCCCGCTCAAGCCGGGTGTCAAGCGGACCCAAGACAAAGCCAATCTTGACGAATCGGAGTCGACTCGTCCCAAGCAGGCTACGCCCGGGCTCAGGTCAGCCAAGAAGGAAGCTCCTGCTGCTACTGCTGAGCCACCGAATAGTGTGAAGCGCCCCCGTCAGCACAAGGACGAAGATGTGACGAGTAAACGTCCTTCGTCACGCGACGGCAGCTCCATCCCAGCTCCCAAGTCCGTGTCGGGTATTCCTCGGTCCAAGCCGACTCTGTCCTCTTCTCTCCTGACTCCGACGAAGGCTTCTCTCGCTCGGACGTCTACTGTAACCTCCAAAACCCCTGCCCAGAGCTCTCTGATCAAGTCCCCATCGAAGCCGACCGTCAGCCTCTCTAAGCCAGCCCTCAGTGGTATCCCGAGATCTGCTACGACGAGCAACCTTCACTCTCCTAGCAGGATTTTCCCTCCAAGTGCTAAGCCTGCTCCAGCCAAGGCTGCCGAGAGCAACGAGAAGAAGACTACTCTGGTTCCTGAAGCTAAGGCCACACAGGCTACGGAGACCAAGGCTACCACTGAGGTTAAGCCTGCTCCAGAGGCCAAGCCTACCACTACTACGGAGGATGTCAAGAGCCCGTCGAAGTCCCGCTTCGAGAAGATGGGTCTGGACAAGATGAAGGCCTTGCTTCGGGATGCCAAAATGAAGAGCGCTCTCCCCGTGCCTGCCTCGCTCACGTCCAAGACTCCAGCCCCGGATCGCCCAGAGAAGAGTGCTCTACCCGTGCCTTCCACCACACCTGGCCGCAAGCTTGCCAAGCAGGTGTCCTTTACTCCTGAGACACAGCGCGCTGCCATGACGCAGAACTCACCGTCTCCCATCAAGTCCTCCAACATTCCTCAGCTGCCCAAGCCCAGAGAGCTGCTGGGAGAAGTTTACTACCCTTCTCTCGATGCTTTGCTCGCCGAGCAGGAAGCTGCTGGCCCGCGCCCGCTCCCCGAGCCTCCTGCCAAGGAGTCGCCCAGCAAACCCACTTCTTCTACTGCCGAACCCGTCATCAGCGAGTTCACCTTCCGCAGCGAAAAGACCATCAGTCTCGGCTCGTCCCCCGGCCAAGCCACCATCCGCCCTGTCCGGCCCTCAATCCTCCCCACGGAGAAGCTCCCTGTCGTCGAAGCCGTCGTCTCAACCAGCACCAGCCCGAACAAGGAGAATGTGGCCCCTTCGACCATTCAGAAGCAGCGTAGCGTCTTCCTTGCCCTGCCGCATGGCATGTCTAACAAGAAGCGGCACCGTCCGACCTCGGATGAGGAGGATGCGGAGAAGGAAGCTGCTGAGCGCGCTGCCAAGAAGCAGAAGATGGAACTTGTGCCGGAGGGCGATGCCCTACTTGCGCCGAGGCTTACTGCCAGCGTGATGAAGAAGGGTCCTGCTGGAACAGTGACGACGGGCGGGTCGCCTAGCAAGGTTGTGCCTGCTGGTAGCCCGAAGAAGGTCGAACTACCTGGTCATACGCCGGCTACGCCTAGCCCGATTAAGAAGAAGACTAGTATCTCGCTGAGTCGGCTGAGTGCGTTGGCTAGGCCTAAAATGAGGAAGTAAAGGTGAAGTTGTCTTGCCAGATCGTTGGTAAACATGGCTTGGATGGGCCTGAAGTTTGTTCGACAGACAGCATGTCTTCAGCTGGCCAGATACTTTGTCAGTTTGGTGAATGAGTGTTCGGCTACGACCGGACTGGACTACTTGTGTTGAGGGTCATGTCCGGGCGATGTGGGTGACACCGCGAGTGTAGCTTGGACAAGTTGCTCTACGCGAGCATAATCCCACCTCAGTTGAGTGATTGGGTCATCCTGATTGTATGGCATTGCGCTTGCATTTGATGGGGGTCAGAACCATCTCATATTCTCCATTCGCATGATTCGGATGCGGCGTTTTCGGAATGCAAAGAACATGGGCGATCAGTTCGGTGGTCGGTCTAATGGGCGTTAATATTGCATGGGATCTTTGGTGTGGCGCAGTGTGTAGGAGTATTGTAAATTGCTTATTGTATCCATTGATTGTTCTTTCCTTGTAAATAGAACTCATAGAGGGTTCTTGCCTTGCTAATCTCGGTTCCCTTGTTGGTAGTGCTGTGTTTGGGTCGTGTCATGTTCGCTTCATCGAGGTCTTTCTTATGTCGTAGAAGCTTCAGTATTTCCCGTGTTCGCGTCATCCATTCAGACTTTTGATATATTGCTCTCTTCTCATCTCCCAGCTCCAATGGCCATTCAACTCATGGAGTTAGCTGCCGTCTCTTCAGCGTCTTGACATCAATCCAGTTCTCTTTTCCGAAATGACCCCAGCATCACAATCTCCCCAGCCCTCTGTCCCAGACCCTGTCCCCTTCACCTGCACCTTCTGCTGGAGAACCTTCACCCCTCCGTCATCCCAATACCAAGATAACCATCCATACCAGTCATTCCACCCACGTGTCATTGGCCCCTCCTCCACAGCCCGGCTAGCATGCTCCCGCTGCCATGCAGCACTTATATCACTTGCAGTGTGTTGGGGCTGTGGCCAGCTTGTATCCCGCGGCCAGGCGTGTGTCAGTTTGGGATGGTGCTTCTGGCATTGGGGATGTTATGGGTGTTTGTTTTGTGGGGATAGGAGGGTTGTAATTGGGAGGACAGTTAGTCAAGTTTGGGACGAGCAAAAGGTTGTGGAGGTGCAGGAGGTTCCGGTATGTGAAGGGTGTTTGGGGGATGTGGAGGGTGAAACAGACGGAGCGAATTTTGAGGATAAGGGAGGAGTGAGAGAGACAGGATTGCCTCGGTCGACAATCTACGTGTCAATGAGGGATCCAGTCGGAGAAGGGGCCTTTAGGCCGAAGGCGGGGAAGCCTATTCCATGTTGGATGCAGCCATCCTGGGAGAAGATCGCGCAACAGTCACAGCAATTGTTAGAAGGCAAGGGTCACAGGAAGGAAGCATCTCGGGAAGTGCAATCCCCATCTCCCTGTGGCCAACCCGCTCAGAGATTGAGTGAAGACGGTCAAAACGATGAGCGCCCGACAACCCCGATTGCCAATTATGAGACTCTTGTCCAGATGCCACTCAGACAAGCTGTATCAAGCGATGCTCCAACAACTTCGGTCGACTCGGATTACCTGACACCTCCTGAGTACCCATCGCCTGGACCATCGCGAAGGCTGACTTTCAGGACACTGGACTTAAGAGACAGCTCGCGATCAATACCTCTAAGTCTCATACATTCAAACTCTAATCGCGATCTCCATATGAGGAGGAGCTGTTCCACTGCAAGTTCGCGCTATCATCTCGTCCATCCCTTTGCGATCCCAGGAACCTTCCCCCCGCTCCCAGTCCCGGAACGAAGACAAAAATCTACAAAACGGCAACACAAAGAAACTTCCGGGCTCCGTCGCTCAGTCCTTGTCAATCATTTCATGGCCAAGGTGCAGAAGATAAAATCGTCCCGAAAACACAAAGGAATACCTATTGAAAGTTGGCAACTTGGACACGATGGGGTGGTTGAATGCACCGGGGGAATGTCAAGATGGAAGTGGAGGAGATTGAGGGCTCGTGCTCGATTGAGAAAATTATTCAGGCATTAGGTGTATATTTTTATACAATAGTCTTAAAAGACTGAAGTTATCAACACCCGAGATCCAAAAAGCACTTGCGCTGACCCTGAGATGACCAACTCTCGTTTTCGAGATTCTTGATATCAACCCAACTAAATAAGGCTGTCAAGTCTTGGTGGCGAAGTCCCACATGAGCTCGATCTGACCAATTATATCGTGTGGGCAGAAACGAAGGTAGCGCCAAACCATCTCAGCCTTGCGTCTTGCCGCTCCCAATCAGCCCTCCCATTAACATCCAGCCGTTATCAAATCATCTCCCTCCTCCAACTCCCCGTTAACCAAACCCTAACCACCGCAACCATGGCTCCCCTGACCCCTGACCTGAAAGCTACTCAAGGCAAGCCCCTCCTGTTCCCATTTCCCATCAGCAACCTTCCAACTAATCCTCACCAGAAAACATCAAAAACGTCATCACCGACCTCTACACCGTCCTCTCCCTCGCCGCCAACTACGACACCATCTCCCCCTCCACTGTCTCCACCCGCAACAACGCCCACCACTCCACGCGCGAAGCCCTCATCCACGACTTCGACCTGCTCGCCGAGTCCCTGCGCGAGACGCATCGGACCGCATCCTCCACACCCCTTTCGGCATCACAAGGCATCCCCGAGCCGCTGATCCAGTATGTCGAGAACGGGCGGAACCCGGATATTTACACAAGAGAGTTTGTTGAGCTGGTGAGGCGGATGAACCAATTGATGAGGGGCAAGATGCATGCGTTTGGGGAGTTTCGGGATTTGCTTGCGAGGGAGATGACGGTTGCGCTGCCGGAGTTGAAGGAGGATGTGAAGAAGGTGGTTGTGGAGACTGGGGGGAGGTGGCCTTTGCCCGAAGAGGAGGGGGAGGGAATGAGGGGAAGGAGGGGCAGCAATAGGGAGAGAGAGAGAGAGAGAGAGAGAGAGAGAGAGAGAGAGAGAGAGAGAGTAGGTTAGGTTACGGGTACGGGTACGGGTAGGTACGGTACGGTAACGGTAACGGTAACGGTACGGTAACGGTACGGTAACGTAACGGTACCGTACGGTACGGTAACGGTACGGTACGGTACGGTACGGACGGTAACGGTAACGGACGGTCGGGTAACGGGACGGACCGGTACGTACGGTACGTAACGACGTAGGTAACGTACGAAGGTAACGGACGGACGTACGTACGGAAGTAGAACGTACGGCGTACGGAACGGAACGTAGTACGGTACGAGACGGTACGGTACGTACGGACCGGACGACGTCGTACGGACGACGAGTAGACGTAGGAACGGTACGAACGGTACGTAGACGACGACGTACGACGACGAACGGACGGACGTACGACGTACGGAGAGGACGAGAGNGACGACGACGACGAGACGTAGAGTACGAGAGACGAGCGAGTAGNGNGCGAGNGNNGAGAGAGAGAGAGAGGAGGATTTCGGTTGGGTTCGAAGGGGATGGCTAACGATAGAGGGACGATCTCCTGCTCGATATCGGAGATTTGCGTTTTTTTGGAAGGGGTTGGGGGGAAAGGGGAGATGGGATATCATGATACCAGGCATGACACATGGACACATGGTTGGCGTTCGGCGTTATAGGTTGGGTTATGAGCAGCATCAGTATTACAACACATCTGGCATTGCCCCTATTCACTGCATTAAAGACTCAAGAAACATCGGACGCTAATCGTCTCGGAATAAAATGCAATTACGAATTATCTAGAGTCCATGTAACAACACCAGCCGCTATGCGAGACCTACCCACCCAATCCCATGATGGATGCAGATAGACAACTCGGCCGCGAAGCCTAATGCCACACTACCTAGACCTGTACACCCACACAAGCGTCTAGATATGACAATCAAGCCGCCCCTGATCTAAGTCAAACAGTACATCCCACACAATCAAGATATTGGGAAGAATATAACATGGTGTGTGATTCTAAAATCACTCGGCCAGCGCCTGCAGCGCCTGTGTCAACGGCACAGTCCTCAAGCTCCTAGCTCTCTTCAACCCCCCATTCCCACCCGTCTTCTGCGGCTGCAACGCCCCCGGCTGAGACGTGGGCGCATTCAATATAGTAGGGCAATACTTATCCTCCCACTTTCGGAAGACGCTCTTGCAATCGCGCGGGATGCCCTCCAGCACGACCGTGGAGACAGGCACGAAGGGACGGTCCTCCATGCCGGCGGCGAGGATGGCATACTCCTGCGCAAAGTCAAGAGCGTTGCGGAAGGCGACGTACTGGTGCTGTGAGCGAGCGCCGACGATGATGTAAAGCTCGAAGAAGGCGTCGAGGACGTAGATGTTTTCTTGGGAGAGATCGGTTTGCCGGAAGGGAGCGATTTCCTTGATCTGGAAAGGTTTTATTAGCGTCGGTTGTGACTTCGAGGGAAAACAAGTGAGGGAAACATACCTGCTGCTTCTCCACCGAGCTAGCAACAAACAGCCGGCTATTATATCTCTCATAGCTAGGCTTCAACCGCCAGTGATCCGCCGACGGTAGCCTCGTCGCCCCACCAAAAATCGCCCAGAAACCCTCGTTCTCGCTCCCCTCCTCGACCTCAATCAGCTCGCCTGTCACGGCCAGGTCCATACCCACGAGCCGTGCACAGCTGAGCTCCTCAACGTCGCTTCCCTTACCCTTCCACAAGTAGCACTTCCCGTTCTGCGTAATCAGGTACGGGAACCCAGAGCAGAGACTAAGCGGCGAGAAATCGACCTCGTCAAAGACAATCTGCCCCATGTACCGCCGGCCGCAGAGCATGCTCGGCAACAGCGAGTCGTATCTGTTGCTGTCCCCGCGACGCGTGATGACGACGCCGCCTAGGGCTTGGATGAACTCGGAGGTTTCGTGGCCCTGATGGATGGTGACATAGTTTGCGCGCAGTTTGTGCGCATGGTGCATGGCATACATGTTGCCCTCGTTGATATCATCATTGGAGACTCCGTCGCCGACCCAGAGGTATACCTCGGTAAGCCTCTCGCCGACATTGTTGGCGAAGGTGTGCGTGCAAAGGTACATCTCGTGCTCAAACAGCGTGCGTGAGTGATGGCTGGGAGGGGAGAACCTCTTGCCATCGGACAACAACCGCTGGAATTGGACACTCTCCGTGTGTACAGGGGCAATAGAGATGGGCCGCTTGATGAGGACCTCCGCTGCGTCGACGGTATACTTGCGCCTGGGGCGCTCAGTGCCGAAGAAGGCCTCGATCATGGCGGCAACCTCCGACGGCTGCTTTCCAGGAGAGCGCATCGGAGACGCGACTCTGGGGGAGGTAAGAGTGGGCGAAATCACCGGAGGAGGTGTGGGCAGCGGCCGTGACACCTTAGCAGGAGGGTCATCGACATCCGGAGCATCCTCAACTGTAGGCTTGGGTGGAGAAACAGCGCGAGTCGGGCTCTGCGCGGCCACGGATTTTCTCCTAATGTGGAAGACCGGCTTCTCCGCCTCAACCGTGGCAGGCTTCTGCTCCGTCGGCTGACTGGAAAGGACATTTCCTGCCACAGACTTCCTTCTAATATGGAACTGAGGCTTGGCCTCGGTATCCTCCGCAAGCTTCTGCTCCGTAGGCTGACTCGAAAGGACCTGCCCCGCAACAGACTTCCTCCTAATCGGGAAGAGAGGCCTGCTCTCCGTCTCAGCATCACCAGGCTTCTCGGACTGGCTTGGAAACCGGTCCTTGATCGGCGAGGCCGGCTTAGGCTTCACCGGCTCCGGCTCGGGTTTAGGACTCATTTGACTCTGCTGATCAAAGAACTGTGACATCCGCTTAACGTCTAGTTTCTTCGGCGAGAGCGGCGTTGAAGCTTCAGCGCTCGGCTCGGCGGATTTCGACGACGACGACGTGGTGTTGAGGGCTGCTAGTGCTGCAGCTTGCTCAATGACCTTGGTAGGCGACCGCGAGTGCGAGCGTGACCGGATGGTAGGTGAACGCTGGAGGGCGGTGTCCGTACTTGGCTCGGCAGGTTTCTGTGTTTGGCTCTGGGTCAAAGCCGCGAGAGCAGCTACCTGTTCTTGGACTTTGGTCTGGGAGCGCGGACGGGTCTTGACCGACGAAGTGTGCTGAAGATCGCTGTTCGTCTCAGCAGGCTTCGAGTTCTGCTGGCCGAGGGATGCAAGAGCGGCAACTTGCTCATGGACCTTGGTCTGTGAGCGCGAACGACCCCAAGAGCGCTGGGCATCGTTTGAAGACTCAGCAGGTTTGGATGACTGCTGGCTCAGAGCCGTCAAGGAGGCAATCTTCTCGTGGATGGACTTGGACCGAGTCCTGGTCGGAGTAGCGCCAACCAGCGTAACAGGCTCACCAAGCTTTGGTTCCTCCTTGGGAAACTTCTTAGACGAGTCAACCAGGGGGATAACATCGCTTCCGGTCTTTGGTTTCTCCGCGGTCAGGGGGTCAGCCTTAGGGAATGTAAAACGGTCTGGTTTAGGGGAGATAGTGGCCTTCGCAGAAGCCGCAGGCTTTTCCGGCTCGGCAGCCTTCTCCTGCGGCTTTGCCTCAGCCTGCTCCATCGCCTTTATGACAGAAGTCGGGGCCTTCCTCTTAGGACCACGGGCTCGGTTTTTCGTCAGATGAGTCAACTGGGGCCCAGGAGCGCTAGGAGCTTCCATCTGGTCGGCCGAGCCGCTGTTGCCAGAGCCCTCAGGGCCCTTAGCCGCACCAGCTACACCCGGAGGGCCTCTTGCTATGAGACTGGCCAGCGCGGGGTTAAAACGGGCCGCTAAGCTTCCCACATTGCTCTTAGTCCTGATGTGCCCAGGTCTTTGAGTGCTGGCCTCAGAAGATGGAGCCGGTGTATCAGCCTTCGGGGCTGTGGAGACGAAGCTGAATCGGTTTGAGTTCGTGGAAGTGGTAGGGCTGGCAACAGCTTCAGACCCAGTGCGCGAGTGCCTCAAGGTTCCCGTCCGTTGCAGTTCAAGCCTCTTCGCAATGCCTTCGGGGAGTGGGTTGTCGCTGGCAGAGCTCGGTTCTTTCGCAACGCTAACGCCCCGGCCTTCTTGCTGGGCTTTCTTGAACTCTTCTTTCTTCTTCAGAATGGCCTCCTTGAGCTCGTCGACCCGTTCACTCTTCTTAGGACCGCCCGTGACGTTCAAGGCCAGCTTGCCCTTCACGAGGCTCTCCTTGAATTCGTCCTGTGGCACGTACTTCTCGGTCTTGGTCCTCCGCAGGCTCCCGGCGATGCTCTTGAGCTCGTCGATGGGATCTGTTGTCTTCTGACTTGGCAGGGGAACGGGGGGCTTGAAGACGCTTGATCGGTATTCAGATTTGGAGGAGGTCGGAGCATCGACAGAGCTGCCAGTTTGCGAATCATCGTTCGACGGAGAGGACTTTCTTAGGCTGCCACGGAAACTGGCCAACTCGGGCTTGTCGATGAGCGAACTTGGCTTGACAAGTCCGTCAGGTTTAGCATCAGGTTTTTTTGGGAGGGCAGAGTTGGCTGTGGATTCGGTAGCCGGAGCGTTCGTAGAACTCGTGGCATTCGCCTTTTGAGCCTTTGCTTTGTTCAGTTCGACCAGCCAAGCCGGTTGGCTCGGAGTAGCTGGTGCAGGCTTCGTCTTGGGAGACTCTGGTTTGTTCAAAGCAGCCTCGAGCCAACTATTCTTGTTGGGACTCCATCTCCGAGGGTCCATCGTCTTGGACGGGCTTGTTGGCGGAGTTTCCTTCTTGGTCTCTTCTTTATGTTGCCCTTCCTTTTGAATGCCTGATTCTCCCGTGGCAGATAGGCCATCTTCCTTGCCCTCTTCCTTGCCTTCAGCAGAGTCTCTCTCTCTCAGCATGCTTGTTGGTCGCGACTTCGACGTGGACGACCGTTGAAGGTTATCCAATCCGCTTATGCTGGATCGAGACGAATCTGCGCGGTGGAGACCAGCAGGAGAGTTGACGCTCCATCTCTTGACGCTGTCGGCGCGCTTCATCATGGCGCTCTCGACAAAGCCGCCTAACCCTTTAGTGGGAGAGGTTCTTGTGGGTGATGTCCGACTGGGGGTCGAGGCCGTAGACAGGCGGTTAGCAGACGGCGTGTCTGCGTCTCCGAAAGCATCCCCGGTCGGGGGATCCAGGCGCTGGGCAAGACCGAGAGGAAGCGGTGACGCAGGCTTGCCGGGAGTAGCTGGAGTACCAGGTCGCGGTACCTGATTCTCTTTGGAGGGCTCGGTGAAGACATCGCGCGCAAGACCAGGGAGCTGGGTGCGCGCAGAGGGCAGCTCGACCGTGTTCTCGTCTTCCACTTGGTTCTTTCTGAAGGCCGCAGAGCCGCGACTTGGGTCGGCCGTTTGGCGGAACCATGATGGGTCCTTGCTGGCCAGCGCTTGGGCAATCTGATCGCGCGACATGGGCTGGTCGGGTGCGATGGTGGACTCGGTAGCAGGGTTGGAATTGCGAGCCGAGTTCTCTGCCGCAACCATAGACAAAGGTCGGCTCTTCGGCCGGTCGGACGACTGAGACGTAGGACGTCGCTGCCAGGCGAGAGTCGTTCGTGCAGAGGGAACGGCGATTGAAGGTGATGTGACGGTCACGCTGTTCCGCTTGGTGTCCGAGTCAAGGGGCGACTCGTTCTCTTTGGTCGGGGAGCTCGAGTATGAATAGTCGGTTGTGCCGTCCATAGGCTCAGCAGATGGTACAGAGCGTTGCCCAGGGCTTCCTGAGCTCTCGAGGCCAGGAGAAGCCAAACTTGTGCCGTCCGAGGCCGAGGGAAAGATACCGATGCGGTGAGTAGTCGGTGAGGGAGTGGCGGCGGGGGACGACTTCTGTGGTGAAATTGATCTTGCGCGCTCTAGGCAATGCAGGTGGGTATGTCAGTCCGGTATTATCTCTCTGAGCCTAGTGCCAAAACGAGGGGTAGTGTGGTAGACAATCTTGAAGGGGAGAGGGGACCAGGGGGTAAAAAGGGTACAGCAGCATCGTCCAAGATGGCATCGCTGTGTGGGCAACGTAGGTTATGGACCATGAATGGGGCGATGGCAGGGCGGGACGGCGGGACGCTGTGGAAGGTGAACAGCACCCAGACCCGGGCAATGCGGGACTGGCGTACCTGCGCGTCGGGCCTGACGTTCTTTCTTTTCCTGCAAGATCCTTTCTTCTAGCTCGCGCGACCGAGCTTCGTCCTCCTCCTCGCGACGCTCCTTCAGACGCTCGACGGTGCGCAAAAAGTCAGACACCTCGTCAGACATGGCTGTTGTTTTTTGGTCCTGTTTCTGTTTCTGGGGCGACGCTGTCGTTGTTGTCCACGGGCAGGTCGTCGGCTCGCCGTCGGCATGACACGGACACGGGCGCAAGCTTCAGGCGGTTTACTGCGTCTGCGACTCTGCTGCACTTAATACGGAGTGTAGATGGATCAATGGATCAATGGTAGCAGCGGGATTGTGATGAAGGTTAATTGGATGACACGGCGCACAGCGGCTGTCAGAGCAAGACATCCATCCTCCGGACAGGCTCAGAGCAGGCTGATGTCAACAACAATAACAACACGGACACGAATGACGGCCCGGAAACCACAGGGGATCGAGCGTCAGGGAGAGCCACAGAAGAGCGAGCGCCAGCACCCAACAAGCACTCGACGGCAGAGCTGGAGGGGCATTCAGGCGCTCCACTGGACCACTCAACATAATCCAGCTGATCCCGTCAGGCTTGCCCTGCAAGGGTCGCACAGTGCTCTTACACAGCTTGGCGTGGTCTAGACTGTGTCTGCCCCACATGTCAGCCCTCTACCGATGCTGATTGGCTAGCTTTCAGCTGTTTCAGCTCCCACCTTTGCGCAGCTCTCCAGGTGCTCAAGCCAACGTCAAAGCCGCCCTCCGCCGGCATCTATTGATGGTAATGCAACCTCGAACAAAATGCCTTTGTTTCAGGCTGTTCCCGAACCATCTGTTGTTGTGTTGTGAGTTCTTTGGCCCGTCTTTGATGTCACGCTTTTTTTTTTCCATTTTAATTGCTTTATGAGATTGGATTTTTTTTTTGCTGTTTTGGCTTCACCTTTGGCCTGCCACTACTCGACCTTTCTGTCCTTACACATTATTTACTTTTTTCGATCATAATAAAAAAAAAAACTCGAATCTCATTGCCACAGCAACTCGCTAACCGGGGTGTTCAGGAAACAAAACCCATCAAAGCCCACCGCCAGTCATCCTTTGGTGGCCCCCCACGAGGGCGTCGAGGATTCCAGGAAATTTCTCATTGGATCACTCACTATTCAGTACAAGAAAAGACGTGCCTTCGCGTCCTCAACAACCCAAGCTAGCCCTTCTTTGAGATTTTCTCCCGTCATTGCGCTGCAAGGGAGGATATGCCAACGGTGGGTTCTGATCACTGCAAGTTGTAGGGCCTGGTATCTACATGTCAGTACGGGATGCATAACTCTGTTAATAACCATCAGCTATGCCTACCTGCAAAATCTCCTCTGCCGTCATACACCCCCTAACATCGGTTTTGTTTGCAAAGACCAACAGACTAGCCCCTGAGAGTCGCTGTTGCGTAAACAGTCAGCCTGCTCGTTTCTTAGTGAAACAATTGTTTGGACATCGTCAATGCTTACCTCTTCCTGAAGAAGATTATGCAATTCTTCCCGGCAGTCGTCGATACGGAGTCTGTCCGTTCCATCAACCACCCAAATCAAGGCGTCCGTCTTTTCAAAATAATTGCGCCAGTATGATCGCAGGGTCTTTTGGCCACCAACATCCCCTGATGCGGTCAGTCTCACTTCGACTGTGCAATACCAGCAAATCTCCTGGGGCTTACATATGTTGAGCTTGTACCTAACGGCTTGTCAGCGAAACAAGCCCCATACAATACAAACTCGGCTCAGAAACGCACCCTTCATAGTCAATGGTCTTGATGTTGAACCCAAGGGTGGGGCTGACCTTGCTAACGTCCTCGCCCAAAATCTTCTTCACAATGGTAGTTTTGCCCGCGTTGTCGAGGCCACTGTCACCAGGATAGATACATCATTAACTGAGCAGATTCATTTGGACATGTGCAGTCATTTTCCATACAGCATTAGGATGCGAAGCTCCTTATCCTTGAGCCTCGCTTTCCGCAGAATTGACAACATGTTTTATTTGGGTTGTTTATCGCCCGTTGGTTGCTGCGGGGTCGCCATCGAGGGGCACTGAACTCGTGGAGGGGCAGCCTCGGCGCCGTTCCAGCTCCCAGCGTACCCCCATGACAAACGCCATGGCTGTCATCATCCAATCATCGCGTATCCACGTGACTGTGATGGGCCTGGTCAGCAACGACAACGATCTAGAGGGATCTCCAAGAGGGATCTTCAACCTGTTAATCACCTCAAGTTGCGATATTTGGAGGTTGGTGGCATATATACGGCCATGAACTGAATTATGTTCCTATCCTTCGTTCTGACAACTCTTCTTGCTGTTCAATGAACAGAACCTTCGAATAGTTCCTCCACCCCTCGATAGATGTTCTCGCCCTCAGTCTTGCTAAGTAGTCAGGAGTAAGGTTCTCTACAAAAAGGGTAAACGGGGTTGATGGTGGACAGAAAGCTCTGCAAGCTCTGCACTATCTGTCGTTCTCCATTAGCTTATGTTATTTTTTATAACTTCGGAAGAGAGCAAGTAACCAGTGGTCAACTTGCCCCAAACCTTCATACCAAGTTTAGCCTTGAACATGGACGAAACGGCAGTCTACCAAACTGCCAACATTTCAGGTAGCTGTTCTCGAGAGTTTTAAACCTTTGGCGACTTCCATGTTGAACAAGGAAGCTACTAAGTGGCATTCGAGCCTCTTACCCTCATATCGTCTTGCTTTCTTTTTTTCCTTTTTTTTTAAAACCACAATCCGGATCTATCTGGGTAGGAAGGCGTGATTGGTGGAACTTGGAAGATACTCATCGCTTCCATGATCACACCTCACCCTTCGGTTTGGTTCCTGCCTGCAGATCCATTTCAGGCCCTATAACCGAGGGTTAAGAGCCATCTTCTTTTCGTTTCGTGGGCTAGCTGCGATGACTTTTGTTTGCTTGATCTTGGGGCTTAATGACCTCATGCCCCTCGGCTTCCAACCGTTGCTGTTTCTGTTTCTCTATGGTTCGCCCATCCCAAATCAGGCAATAAATAAGCGACAACATCATGTAAGCTCTTTTGCGAAGCAATCATCTCTCCTGCAGCACAGACGCTTATCTGTCCATTTGGAGCAATATTACAGTCTCTTAACGTCTCCGGCCTTGAGTCATTATCGTCCGGATCGGTACGCTTTACCCAATGAGCGCTGTTGTGTTTGCTCTGGCCGGAAGTTCCCTTATTCTCTGTCACATGACTTGCTGATAGGATTGAACGTTTGCAGAGAACTTTGACTTCAACGTCTCGTCTCAAGGTTCAAGATAGCTGTCGTGGCGTGATCTTGGAGATAGCCTGTGACCCTGCTTTTGCGTTAAGAGCTAGTTCTGCCTGAGATTCATTCTTCCTCGCACAACAGCTTTCATCCAGGAATCACTAACACTTTAGCGTCGCCTCTGTTCTTGGATTCGGAAAAATCAACCATGGTGGGAAAGGAGGAACGTTCTCTCAGTGATGTCGTTAATTCCGCAAGGGCTACACAGGGCTTTGGCTTAGTAGCTGGGATCGATCACTGCTCTGAGAGGTTCCACGAACCATGTGACGACGGCCAGATCAACAAATCAAGTCAAGCCCAACCACCTTCTTCACTGCACAGCCCACATGTCCAGTCTCCCAGGACACATAATTCGCAGAATATGATGTCAAGTTTTCGCGGGTCTGATCATTCAGATCGTCGGATTGAACATAGTAGGCTTCCTGCATATCGTCAGGGTAAGCAGCTATCATATCATCACAACTTCTCCAATTCCTCATGCCAGACTTGATAACATTTCTATAGAAGGTATGAAAGCAGCGACCAATTCCCCAATCTGCGGGAAGCTAACTTCAATTTCCCACCAAATTTCGCCAACTTTCACAAATTTTTCAAATAATAGCATGGTTCCTCCTCGTGGTTGCAGGAAAAAGGGGCGTTCTGGCCCTCCGGGTGCCCAAGGACGCGGGGGCGCAGTCTCTAGCGGCCAAGTTCAAGGCCAGGACGGGAACTCCTCCCAATCTGTGGGCGGCAATAGGCATGGGCTGCGCCCATCCCACTTCGGTCGTCAAAATCGCGACCAGCACGGTGCTGCCCGTGGCGGCAACGCGCACGCAGGGCTGAATCCCTCAGCTAACAGCTCGCGGAGGTCGGGCAGGGGTGGGCGTGGACGACGGTCTTCAGTCGCCGAACGAGAGGATGTCGCGCCCTCCGACAAGGCTACGTCATTGGGCACTCCCGACCACCTGAGTACGTTTTCCGTCGACATTTACCACAGAGTGCCTCGACGGAACATCAACTACCCCGGATCGGACCGCAGCAATTTGCCCGACGTCTCAATCCACGGTAGCCAACGCGGCGGCACGCCGAACCCTGATGACTTGCCCGGACCCGACGTGCGCAACGAGATCGCTCCTAAGCACACCATCGATTCCTATGTCGACGAGTACGGCATCGAACACTGGAACCTTGCGTGCTGGGACTACTGTGCAAGGGAGGTCTGGGAGATGGAGAAGCCTCACAACAAGAGGCTTTACCTCCATGGGTTCGTCAACAGCTGGATGGAGAACGTGCCCGACTTGCCGGTGGTCTCTCTTGGTCAGGATGCCCCGAGGGATCACTACATGTGCGCCATCGACCCACAGACCGGGACCTTCTTGCCGCCCATCGAACACCCAGTTACTATCTCTCGGCACCATGAGCTCGATCAAAAGGACACCGAGCTGTGCTGGCGGCACTTGTACATGACCAGCGAATTGGTCATTTACAGGGAAATGAAGCTGCGCAAGAGGCGAGAGATACGTACACAAGGACGGCAGGCCAACAACTACTATAAAGGCCGGCGCGGATTCGATGCAAAGCCAATTACGGGTGTCGATCTTCCCCGAGACTACGACCCCGATAACGAGACTCATGTCTCACTCCCCTTTAGGCCTGTGGAACAGAAGGCGGGCGAACAACAGGTTGTCGAACCCGAACCGGGAAAGGTAGAATACAAGACATACCAGCCCAAGGTGCCTTGCTTCCTCCGCCCTGCCAAGCTCGGCGACATGCAAGCTATCTGCGACATCTACAACTGGGAAGTTGAGCACGGCATCCAGGCCTTTGACACTCAGCCTGTCTCAGTGAAAGTTTTTGAGAACATATTCTCGACTTCTCGGGAGAATGAGCTGCCGTTTATCGTCGCTGTACACGGGTCAGCCAGAGACAACCGGTACAGAAAGGGCAACGTCGACCTTTCGACCTGGCCTCAGCCGGCTTCCACTCCAGAGAGCAAGAAGCTTGATGGCAAGGTCCTCGGTTTTGCTTACCTGTCGGTCCTAGAACCAGGTCTCGGAGGAAGCATGTCCGGGAGCGGCTGTGCTGCAACGAGAGCTTACGTATTCGTCCATCCCGACTTCCGCCGCAAGAAGATCGGCTTCTCGCTTGTGGACCGACTGCTCATCTGCGTCTCGTTGACACATATTCCGCAAAAGGCTCATGATTTCATCGACCTACAGAACAGTCGCTGCTACCGTGGTGCCTGCCAGCAGCACGGGCTTCCACGCCAGATCTACAAAATCCAACTTCACTACCACGTTCGCCACAAGCACATCACTGTGGGCGATGAGGAGCTAGAGAAGAAGCAGGCTAGCTACGATGATGAGCTAGTTAGCATTCGTAAGGTGCTCGATGAAAAGCTATTCTTCGACGAGGCTTTCCGCTTCGAGGCGGTCCATTGCCTGCCTGGTCGCGGTGAAGGTGGCAAGACGATGTGGGTTGACTCGGTCGTCTTTGAGCATCCCTGCGTTAGAGACCCAAGGATCCTCAACAAGGATAACTGAACGTAGCCTTGAAATGAGGTTGAGCTATGATGATATTGGTGAGGCGGATGGTGATGGTGTATCAGAGGTATGGTGATGGAAGGGGATATGAGCTAGAGGGAAAGAAAATCGTTCGAGTGGTTTTGATTATATATGTATCTGGTTCTTAGGTCTTTCACGGCATCTGCTCTTAGAGAACGGGAGGTAACGGAATGGGAATAGCTTTCTTAATGTTCAGTGATTGATTTTTGTCGGCCGTCATGTTGATACTTGGTGCTCAATGGAGATACAATCGTCATAAGGCTTATAGGGTCTTGCCCAGTGACTTAATCACTTTCTTCTTATCTGGATAACTCGATCACATCATAAATCTACAGAATGGCGATTTCAATAGTGAGGAATTCGAAGAACAGCCTCAATGTATAGCCAAGAAAGTATGTACGGTCAAGCTATGTGCATACATATATATATATATATATATATATATATATATATATATATATATGTGTGTGTGTGTGTGTGTGTGTTTCCCTCCTTCTTCTCATCAGCCCCCAAAACCATACCTCCTCACCCTCCGTCCAATCGTGACCCAGAAATACCATTCAATGCCGCCGCCGAACCCTCCTCCCATTACGCTTCCCCGCTCCAGCCATTGCGAGACAACACATGCAACATATGCAACAAC